TTGGGCCAACAAGACAGAGCAACAAAGCAGGAGACCATTCATGACCCGTTTCAGACTCATCAGCCTCAGCTCGTGCCTTGGCCAGCAGCGAGCACTCCCAACTGGGGAAGCAATGAGCCTGTTCAAGCTTCCTGGCTTCCATGTTTCCCGGTTGCAGGTTGCAGGTTGCAGGCCACGACCTCCTGTCGACCTCGACCGACGCTGCGGACTGGACGCACCCCCCCATGGAGCTATCCCATCTACCCCCGAGGCAAGACAGTCTCCCTCTCGACTAATAATAAGTCAGGCCCGCTAGCCGAGCCCTGGCCAGGCTTGCATCACTTGGTTCTTCAAGCGCGTTGCTCGCAAACGCCCTCGCCCCTCATCCGAGACGACGCCGACCAATCCGGCGCGGCGCCGACTTGTCCACACTTGCTGAAGCCGACTGGCAGATCTGGGATCCAGAAAAAACCCACCCTTGGCCCTCCTGATGCCCACGTCCCTGTCCCAGCGGATAGTTGTACTAGTATGGACGACTTGACTGCTTTGTCTGTGCCGGCCTCCAGCCCAGCCGTCCTTATAACTGCCATGGCGGCTGTCTCCCCCACATCTTGGACGGTGGACGTGACTGTCGAGGTTGTTGCGGCCGCCTCATCTCCCCTGCTCACCAAGCGACCAGATGCTCGTTGTGTCGGCTTCATGTCGACGGCCAGGCTCCCTCACCTCTTCCCGACACCCCGAGGCTTTGGCAGCCGTAATTATACCAGTACCGCCGCCGTCGCTGCCGTAGACGCTTCTCCTCGATAGCAGAGCCCAGCGCCTCTGTCCCTGGGGCCGTTGCGCGACCTCGTCCTCGTCCTCGGAGTCCGCCGCCAGCAATGTCCACCGACCCCCCCATCCGACGAATTCCACCGCAGCATGTTCACCACGCACAAACCGCGCAAATGAGTTCCTTTCAGTTTGCACCCCAGCAGTTTCCCCAGAGGGAAACGCAAAAGAGTTAGTATTCTGGTTGCGCCCTCGTTGCGACGCACCGTCACCCGCCGCCGGGGCCATGCGCTGTGCCGTAGGCTGACGGCTTCTGCTCCAGATTATGTCTTCGTCGACGAACACAATCGCCACAAGCGACTCAAAGGTTTGACCGGACCAGAGGCATCACCTCGCTCGCATGTCCACGCGCCCAAGTTCTGACCATTTGGCAATAGTTATGAGAGCGTGCGAAGGCTGTCGAAAAAGAAAGATCAAGTGCGATGCGGCCACCACCAACACCTGGCCGTGCTCGGCATGTATCCGCCTCAAGCTTCACTGCGTGCGACCAAACGGTTATGAAGGCTCGGATACAACCACCACATACGATACCATCCTGGATCCTTCCGCCCAGTTTCAGCAAATGTCCTTGCCGGGACAAGCCGGACACGACTCTTCAAAGCCAATACCAGACGTGTACCAAGGCTCCTTCACCGACCGAGACCAAACCGCCTTTCAGCAAGTCTCATTTGACACGGCGTCGGGCCAACACAACTTGCACTACACCACGGTGCCAGCTGCGGCAGTATTGGACCACGTCTATGGAGGTCCCGACGCATTTCCGACGCCGCCAATGCACCAGGGACCAAGGCCAGAGTCATCCCCAGAAGCACAGTCCGTCGACTCGTACCAACAGCAGGATTTCGCAGACCTGTTGGGTGGGCTACGACTCAATGAAATTGGAACGGGTATGTTTCGGGCTTGAGACAGCGTGTGGACAGGACACTATGGACTAACTTGGGGCCACTCTAGCGCCATATCTGAGAAACAAGGCTTCGTTTCGCCGGGAAGAACAGCCAGCGGTGGAGGATGACGACGATTACGGCTCCATTCTACCTGCCGTGACGGCAATACCAGGTCACAAGATTCGTATTCCCCCAGCGTTGATGCCGGACGAGTCTACCGCCCTACACCATTTCGACCTTTACTTTCGCCATGTGCACCCGTATGTCCCCGTCTTGGATAAAGCCGCATTCTATCAGCAATGGAACACGGGCCGAGAGTCTATTTCTCCCCTCATCCTTGAAGCAATCTTCACCATTGGCGGCCGGCTGGCGGAGGAGCCGGCAATGGGACAGCAGTGGCTTGCGCTGGCGTCAAGTACGTTGACCAGCTGAACTTCCCATTCGCTTTCAAGCCAATCCGTTATACCTAACACGATATACACTGAATAGGACATGCCGACTCTTTCATGGATGTACCCAGACTAAGTACCCTCCAAGCTTTACTAATGATGCTCAAGGCTCGCGAAGCTGCTCCAAAACGAGGGTACTTTTACCGCTCCTGGATGCTCGTCGTACAATGCGTGCAGATGGGCAAGGATCTAGGACTGGATGAACACTTTGAGGATCATCAAGCCGGAATTTCTTGCGGTTTTACGCCTGCTGAATGCCGTCTTCGAACAAGGATATGGCAGACCATTTTTGTTTGCGAGAACATGGTCGGGGCCCCCCAAGGTCAGATCAAGTCCCTTTTGAATTCTATTCGAATCCGACTAATGCCCTCGCCCAATAGGGAGACACGACTTGACCGTGAACCATGAGTCGGTTGACTTTAACCCCCCTCGCCCTATCCCGGGTGGGGACGAGAGCGAATACCACGTTTCTCGAAATTTCACTTATCTGGCGCGTATCCTGCGAAACATCAGAAAGATGAGTATCGCCTATGCGAAACTGAGAAGAACCAAGGATTGGGCAGTCAATCCAGAGTTTCAGCAACTTGAGCAAATGATTTCAGCATACCTTCCCGCGTTGCCTGGCGACATGACCATCAACTTCCCCCCCGACAGTTCGCCGCCATATTTACCATCATCCTTCCTAGGGAACCTGCATTCATATTACTACCTCCTGCAAATCCTGTATCATCGACCAGTCCTGTCATTCCTCGACCCGACCGCAAACGAGGCGCAATGGAAACATCACATGATGATTAGTTACAACTCTGCAAAGGCCCTCTGCCGGTTGCAAGAAGCCACGTTGAAACAGTATGGTCTGGTCGATCTGCAGAGTATGCAACGCGGCTTTAGTTTCGCATTATACGCCGGTCTTTCCTGCATTGTCATTCATCTGGTAGGTGACTTCTTGAGACTTGTTCCGCGTAGACGAGACAAGACGGTAGGATGCTGACGGAACAAGGTCGCCATCGTATCACCCGACCCTGATCTCAATTCTGATGCACGCGAGTACTTTGAGCGTCATATGAGGCTGATGGAGACGGTAATGGAAGCTTGGCCGATGCCCGACTTGCAGAAGCAGGTTGACGCTATTCGTGAAGCATTCTCTGCAGACATTGGGCGGCCGTTTGTACTCAAGCCCTCATTCCCTTATGGCAGTCCGCATCCCTCCAACCAGTCAAGCTCGCCCCGAGGGACTATGGCCTACCACATCCCCGCGCACCGTACAGGCTCCATGGATCATCAGCTTGATCCCTCCAACCAACATGTCAGTTATATAAACCGCCCCATTACACCTCCAATTTCTGTGGGCCCAATGGACAGCAGAAGTGACTCCCCAGCCGTACAGTCGCTCGTCATGATGCCCCAAGACGGTCAGGTCCCGGATATGCAACAGACCCTGGGCCTTGCCAACAACCCACCGACTTGGAATCCGGCACGTATCTTCGAGTAAGTCGTCCGCTGCCTTTTAACCCCCACTGGCAAAGTTTTCAAGTACCGAGCACGAAAATGGCAGGACCGCTAACACCACATGTAGACACTGGAATACCTCTTTCGGTACGCCATCCCAGCCTGGCACTGTCCTAGGCTCCGCTTCTCAGGCAACATCACTGAACGTTGTTACTGCAGGTGTTCCCGACCAAACTACCATTGCGGACCAAGCGTCGAATCAGTCACTGTCCCCAGGTACTCAGCAGATGACCCACCAACAGTATTCTACGACGACGTCGATGCCAAACTTTATCACTCCTGCCATGTGGCAAGAGTCTGTGGCCAGCGTATACGAAGGAGGTCTCAAGAGAGGCTGGGACTATGACGGCGGAATGGTGCTGATGAAGCGACGATGAATGCCAACGATACAAGACGACCTTTCTAATCCACGGGCTCGGACCACGGCGGCTATATAATAGGAGGTTGTGTCGAAGACGGACTTGCAGCGGAATATTGGCACGTTGGCGTAATCACAAAAAAGCCACTCGGAACTTTTTCTTCCATCACACAGCAACGACCCCGGTTAGGGTTACCAGGCACATGAACTTTTCGCTGTTGACCTTTGTTCGAATTGCTTGGCATGGGCCGACGATATACACGATGGAGACAACAAATACGCATCAAAAAAGGAGAAGAGTACAAAATAACAAAATAAAACGAATTCGTGTTGGACATCAAAGGAAGGAGGGACAGGCGGCCGGGTAAGTCGTCGAGTCGAAACAGGCAATGGCAGCCAGCTTGTAATTGATGCCGCGGAACGAACTTATGAAGCCATGATGGGAAGGGGCGTTAACGGGAGCATATTTAAATGGCATTTCATCAGAGGTTGATATCACATGATGCTTTAATGTACCCAGAGTAAAATGTACAGTAGAATCGTGGTCGACTCGGTAAGCAATATACCAAGGGGTGGCATGCCGGTGAGAGAGTTGGCTCAATGGATTTGAATACAAAGGACTGGATAGTTGATGCTGCCAACATGAGAAGAGAGCGCTATCCGAGTTGACCTTGGATATGTAATGTACATAATACGGCATGTTGAAGCGGTGGTGTCGGGGTGCCGAAATGGAAACCCGCGGGGCAGCAACAGCCGGGGCAACGAACCCGAAACCCAGTGCCTCTAGTCTTGCAGCATGATGATGATACGGCGGCAACGAGCGATGATTTGCCCCCTTTTTGTTTCCGATATTTGATGCAGTGTTGCTTCTTTTGCCACCCCGAGCAAGTAGGCATGCAAAACTCCAAACGCTCAGAGCCACGCCTCGACCGGCCGGGCCCCTGAGCAACGTTGCCCCCTCCCCCTTTTGCCTGAAACGTCCACGACCAACGTTCAGACAGGGCCGGGAGCGTCTCTCCTGGCAATCTTGTCCCTGACCGCCTCCCAAATCCACGTATCCACCGCCGCCGCCTTGTTCCTCCTCGCCTGGTGCCCGGCAGCCACCCTCTGCTTGCCGCCGCCGCCGTCCTGCACGTAGAAGGCCCCCACGGCCCGATACATGTACCACCTCCTGGCGGCGTTGTCGGCCGCCGTGTCCCGGACGTAGTTGACGAGCGAAGCGGGCCAGGGAGGCGGGGGACGCGCGCGCCGCCGCGGGCAGGTGCATGTGCACGTGGGTGACGAAGGGCGCCGTCGACCAGGCCACGAAGACGGCGGGGACGATGCCGCAGGCGGCGACTAGAATTAGTTAGTGGGTGAGTCGGCGGTGAAGTTTGGGGGAGAGATGGAGATGGACTGGTCTACTTACCTGCTGCCGTGGCGGGGGGCGGCTTCCCGGCCCGGAAGTAGCTTGGTGCTGCGAGGAGCGTGAAGAAGGCGCCGAGGAGGAGGCTCGTGAGCTTGAGCACGGCGAGGAAGGCGATTCTCCCGGCGCCGGCGTGGTAGATGAGGATGCGTTCGGGGATGTCTGGCCTCGTTTTAGCTGTGGATAGGGACGGGGGGGGAGGACGCGTGCTGGTACCGTGGGATTTGGCGCTTTGCGCGGCCGACTTGGCTTGTCGCTTGGCGGCTTCACTGCTGGATTTTGATGGTTGATGAGCAAAGGACCGGAGTTGGCTTGGGGGGCGGGTGAGGCGCAGGTGCGGGCTGCCGAGTTGGAGTATGCGTCGCCATGGGGGCTGTGGTTTGGGAGGGACTCGGGCGAGGGTTGGGAGGATGGCCTTGGGGGCCGGCACGCGTAGGATGAGCATGGTTTGCGGGTGGTGAGGTGGATGTGATGGTGGTGAGTTGTGTCGTGGTGTCGCGGGAATGGGCTTTGGGAGCATAGCTTACCCTATACGTGTTTACGTCGGAATTATTGAATTATTGCACCGTGTATAGACTAGTGCGCATATTTCGAGCTGTGAAGTCTTTTATTCTCGTTATGTTCTCTCGTCAATGTTAGTTTTTATGTATTGTTTTTATAACAGCTTGCAGAGATGGTCGGGGGTGTAGATTGATTTACGACTTGCGCGGCACCTGATACCAGATGTCTATTTGCATCTCGAAATACATGCGGCGGGTTATAATGACAAAAATGACAAATGGAACCATGGCCATCATGGAGCGTTTTCGACATAGCCGCCTACTCAGCCCGATCCATAAAAAAAATGAAAAATAAAAATAAACGCCATGTAAACAGGGCGGAATATCTATTCAACCTTGCCCCTGCAGCAAGCGCAGCTCTTTCAAGGCGGATCCTTGCCGTCCCGTGGACTAGCTTGTTGCTCATTACTGTATTTAGAAGCGGCATGGACCGATTCCCGCGTCAACACCGCGAGCTTATTGGAGGGCAGACAAGATACTCGCAACTCCATGCAACGGCCTGGAGACTAGCGCTGGCCCAAGGCGAATGAGACTCAACAGCTCGTCTTACGTGACATGGTTCGTCGCCACAAAGAACTGGGCATGTGAGCGTCAGCATGCTGACACCAAGGCCATCTCGCATCCGAGGCGGCCTCGCCCTTTTCAAACGAAAGAGACACTCGCGCTCGCTGAACAGCTTCTCGCTTCCTCTTCTTTCCCGCGCGGCTCGCAGCTGTAACTTGTCTTGTTGAGCCGGGGGAATGCAAACGGCCGAGATTGTCAACCCGTCTTGCAGCTCGGAGAAGCACGACTCTTCCCCCAGAGACCACAATGGGGACTGCTACATTCATCCTCTTCCTCTGCGCCCTGGCCGCCAACGCTGTCTGCAAGACCAACTTTACACAGCCGCCGGCCAATGGACCCAACGCCAACTACCAAGACAACCCGGTGTACCAGCAAGGCCAGAAGATAGACGTACAGTGGAAGTCGGACCTTGACACCATGGACCTCTTTGTTTTCCAGCAGTACCCAGCTGCCGGGAAGGGAGTTCAGTTTCTCAAGAAACTCCGCGGTAGGTCGCGATGCCACAAACCCGCCCCTTTTCCACGCGTCCGTCCTCGCGCACTAACCACACCCCACGGCGGCATATAGAAGGCACCAGGTCGACCAGTCTCATCTGGACCGTCAGCCTCGACGGGCTAAGCAGGAATGTGCCCCGGGGAGAAAACGCCATACTCTACTTTGCGGTGCTGCGCGCCAGGAGCCCAGACAGGGACGGCACGAGCCACTACTTCAACGTGAGCGTGCCCGACGCGGCCTCGACGACCGCACCCGCGACCCAGACATCCGACGTGCCCACAATGTCCACGACGACGCCGGCCGCGACGGACGTGCCGGAGAGTTCTGGAGAGAGCGGCCCGGGCCTGTCCAGGGGGGGTGTGGCCGGCGTGGCGGTCGGCAGCACAGTCGGCGGCCTCTTGCTCCTCGGCGGGATGGGACTGCTGGCGTGGAGGAAGATGCGGAGAGGCAGGCCGGCAGAGGACGCTGCAGTCTCGGACGCGAAGCCCCCGGAGCTGGCGGGCCCTGCTATCCACGAAGCGCCTGCTGAGCATCGGCCCCGTAGCACGCCTGTGTACGAGGCCCCGTAGGCTTTTGTATAGGAGAGGGTGAATAGTGGTGTTAGCGGGATTCGTCGGCCATGTACCAAGACGGCAAGAGAGGCTGATCATGGGGCCATTTTGAACCAAGAGTCGGGGGTACGTTACCAAATAAAGACGGAGCCGAGGAGGAGACAGAGCTGCGGAGGACGAGAGATGGGCACTCAGAGTCTCAGACTGGGACGCGATGTTGTGAACTATGTCATGTATAGGAGGCAAAATGTGTCGGACTGAATCAGGTACCTGGCTGTTGCGCTCGATACTATACTACACTATAGCATACTATAGCATAGTAGTATGTATATACCTTGTTGGTGGGCGAATATATTCTGCCACAGACTGTCACGGTCCGGCTTTGCTGCCTACACCATCGTGAGTAACCGAGTTGTGAGGCTCTTGGCGGGGTACCGGGGGGAAAGTCACAAAGCTCTTCGTATTTTGCATGGCAGATCGTGCAGCGTTTCTTCCTCTCGTCGGCGCCTGGCGTGTTTGGTCTGGGCCGAGTCCCACTTGCGATCAATCGATCCCTGAACGTTGGACAAAGTTCTGCATTTGCCGAGAAGATGGACTCATCTACAGTGAGCCGGCCACTTAGGTGGCTGTAGATAAGATGATACCTGAAGTGCTGTCACCACTTTAAAAGTACACTAGTCCATATTCCATGGTTAACCCTGACTCCTAACCCTAACTAACGCCTACTAACCCCAACCACCAAACTAAGTGGGGCTAGATTCGTGTGAGTACCTGAGCCTAGAATATCGTGTCTTCAGGCACACGTCGTGTTTGACGTTGTGGACGCCTTGATTTACTACATAAACCCGCCGAGTGCTTAAACCCCGAATCATGTCGAGCTCCTTCGCCGCGCTGTCAACTCAACGGCCGTTTCAACCTTCTTTCCTAGACAGCAACTTGATCCTCGTTCACCATGGAACCAGCGGCTGCCATCAAACTTCCTGGCCTCGGCCTCCCGGTTGACTTTCTCCCCGATGCGGAGCACCGCTTCCCCGTGCTGGTGGGAAACTCCAAGATAGACTTCAAAGCCAACACGCTCACGATCCGAGAGCTCTGCATGATGCAGTTCATCGAGGAGATCACCAACAAGCCGGACTGGTGGGTCAAGGTTCACGACGCAGAAATCGCCGCCAGGTGGAAGGCCGAAGCTCTTGAGATGAACTGGGCCGCCTTTCTCAAGCATGCCGATTTTTCGCCCGCCATGGCCGATGCCGTACGTGTACCTGGCTGACGGATATACACTTGTAAGACGACCATGGCAAAGCTAACACGCCGTTCCATCCTACAACCAGTGCATTCAAGAGCTCAAGCTCAAGGCCGACCTGTTCCAGAAAACGAGCCTCGTGCCCGTCTTTGACTACACGACTGCCGTTATCAAGTCTGATGACTTGATCCCGGAGCCTCTCTGGCAGGCACTCAGCCAAGGAGTCAAGCTCTTGGAAGACGTGCCCGAGGACGAAAAGGACTGGCATCCAGGGAGCGACGGAAAGGTGCTCGACTTGGTGCACCCTTCGCTGTGGCCCTTGGTCTACGGCAAGTCTCGCATCCTGCCCGACCGACGAATCGGCCTGTCTGATGCGCTCGACAATTGCGGCATGGGCGACGTCATCCCAGAGCCGGCACCGCCCAGTGGCCGCAACCGGCACTGCACTTCGACCAAATTCCAGTGGCTGCCGTGCGACGTCTCGGTGGAAAAGGGGCGTGCCAAAATCGAGAGCTACATAAACAACCTGCACCCCGTCAAGCATGCTTCCCTGTACCCCGTCATTGAGAGGTTCATCGAAAAGGCCCTGCCGGCCTGGGACCTTCTCTACCGCTGGCCAGAAGAGTTTGAAACCCAGCGGCTGACGACGGATTCTGTGTCGGTGCGATGCAGAACCAGACGCAACTGCGCAAAGTCCCCTCACACTTGCGAGCCCAAGGCTCGGCCGACCAGGGACGATGAGCCTCGGCGTAGTGCCTATGAAGACCCCTACAGCGATTCTGAGGTGTCGGAGTCGGAGGAGGAAATTGATGATGTGGATGATGAAGACGAGGAAGAGGACGACGAAGAAGAGGAGGAGGAGGATGATGTTAGTCAGGATGAGGGAAACAGGAACCAGAGGACCGAATCCGAGGAATTGCCCAATCCAAGTAAACTGTTAGTTCAAATGGGCCCCCCAAAGCAAGATGAACCAGAGAGCGAGTACGAAACAGAGCAGTACGACAGTGCCGAGGACAGGGCCAATGCCGCAGAGCAATACACCAAAGACGAAGAAGAAGAAGAAGACGAAGACGAAGAGGACGAGGAGCGCGACCCCAACCACGTTTCCGAAAACGAAGTCAAGCGCCGCGACTGGCGCTGGTTCTACAAAACCCACCCCGTCAACGCCCCCGAGCCCAGCACCGAGTCGCCCCTCAAGCTCAGCGCCTCGGACGTCAAGACAACCGACTTCCTGGCCCCAAAGCAGCCGCAGCCGCAGCCGGAGGTCCAGGGCGACCCGCCCAGCCGCCGCCTCCAAGTCATTGTCAAGCTGGCCAACATCCACCTCACGCCAGAACGGCCCAGCTACGACGGCGGATCGTGGCACGTCGAGGGCCAGCTCAACGAGCACATCTGCGCCACGGCCCTCTTCTACCTCGACAGCGACAACATCACCCCCAGCCGCCTGGAGCTGCGCACACAGGCCAACCGCGAGGGCCTCGACAAGTTCGGCCGCCTGCGCTACGAGCAGTACGACTGGCGCACCATCCGGCGCACCTTTGCCATCGCCCGGCCGGGCGGCGGCGCGACGACCCAGCACGTCGGCAGCGTGCTCACGCGCGGCCGCCGCGCCCTCTTCTTCCCCAACGTGCTGCAGCACCGCGTCGCGCCCTTCCGCCTCGCCGACCCCGCGCGCCGCGGCCACCGCAAGATCCTGGCCCTGTTCCTCGTCGACCCGGCCGTCCCTGTCGTCTCCACAGCCAGCGTCGCCCCGCAGCAGAAGCACTGGTGGCTCGGCCGCCTGGGCCTCGATGCAGGAGGCCGCGGGTCCAGGCTGCCGCCGGAGCTGACCGCCATGATGCTGCGCAACGTCGAGTTCCCCATGGGCCGGGAGGCGGCTGCCGCCCTGAGGCGGGAGCTGATGGAGGAGCGGACGGCGAGCGAGTCTCAGACGGCGGATAGGATGGGGCGCGTCGAGTGGAACTTTTGCGAGCATTAAGATGGACCAGACGGGCGCTTTGCTCTGCTGGCGTGTCCTGGCTGTTTGTGGTGTGTGTGTATCTAGATTTGCGAGAAACGGGGGCAGGAGGGCATCGCGCGATGCGTGGCGTTTTATAGAGATGGTTTGGTTCTTGGAAGCGCTGCAAACATTGACCCTTCTTTGCGAATTTGTTCGTACATGGTAGACTTTGCCGGGCACATATGTAAACGTGTGGTCCCTATCATGCAAGAGTTGGCTTGAGGAGCCGAAGCTTGATTCATAGACGGGCCTGAGCGATTGCTGTTTCCGACGTGAGCATAACCCGCTGGTTCCAGGCACCCGCCACTGCGACCTTGACCGGGCGTCACTTGGATCTGGTCATGTTTGTAGCACGACGCCCCCGGCTAAACTGACGCTCGACGTCGACGAAGCGACATGCCACTTGACTGGACAGAACAGATGCAACGAGGAGCGGTCTTGGGAATAAAATGGAAACAGCACACATATCCCAGCTGAGACATAACCTTGCCCATGGCACAATCCTGCTTTTCCCATTCATCTACGCACATATTGTACATGCCAAACGCCAGCCGGGACAAGGGCCGAATTAAAAAAAGAAAAGAAAAGCCAAAACACTGTATACTCTCAACTTGTAGCAGCCCAGAGGCCTATTCGTGCCATCCGCGCCCCTAGCCCATCTAACCCAGCCGTCTTTTCTTCGCCCGCTAAGCGCCGACCTGTGGAACAAATGCGTATCGAGGCAACGCCGCCATTCTCTCCTCCGGACTGAATTCGACATCGTCATAAATCATCCTGCCCTTCTTCTCCTTCTTGGCCTTCCTGTCGCCCGCGTCATCGGCTTCCTGTGCCTGCTGCGGCTTGACGCCCGCCTCGGCCATGCGGATCAGTTGGTCGACGTCGTCGCCCACGCCGCCGGCCGCACCACCCTGTGGCTGCCAGTAGCCTGCCTGGGGCGGTCGTTGCGGCAGAACAGTCCCCCCGAGAGCGTGGCTGGGAGGTCGGGCGGGTAGGGAGTCGGCAGGGTATGCGTACGCCTGCTGCCCGGGGTATGTGGGCTGCGCGGCGGTTTGCTGCTGGTTTCCCTAAAGACGCCGGTTAGAAGACTCTCGTTATTTTGCCCAAGTGGCAACATGTACACCCGTTCGTTTCACGTACTTGTTCCGTGGGAGGGGTGTTGGTTCGCTCCTCCGCCGCGGGAGGTAGTGTGCCCGCCTTCTTCTGCGCTCTAAACTCGGCCAGTCTTTTCAAGAGGTCCTCCGACGCTTCCACCCTGACCTTCTTCCTGGGCATCGCCTGTCCCGAGGCAGGGTTGCCCGTTGCGATGCGCCGGTCCTCCTGGGCCTGGTAGAAGTTCTGGATGATTCGGCTGCGGTGTTGCTCCAGGGCGTCCTGGGGAATACCCTCCATTCCAAAGATTTCGACTTCGAGTCCTTGGCGGTTAGGAAGCGCATTTTCGACCTGGCTGAGGGTTTCTTTGTGGACTTGGTTCAAGTGTACGGAGAGACCTGTTCGAGGTTGGTATTTAGCAAACCTGTGTGTCACGATTGCGTTGTAGGCTGCGACTTCACGTCCCAAATGAAGAGCGTCTCTCATACCTCCGGCTGTGTTGAGTCGTCGTCCGCAACGATCGCATTTGAAATGTTTGGCTTTTTGGTGAGAGATGAGGAGCTTCAAATCTTCAAAATCTCGTTCGCCTGCGAATAATGCCAAGTCAGAATTCAGTCTCGAGTCCTTTCAGTTGAACAGCGGCGGTGTCTAATCGTACAGTAATAACACCAAGGACGAACTAGCACCTCCTCGATGTCGGGGTGACCACGCTTCTTTTTGCCCATCTCGACGAGCGCGCAAGAGGTCGCGCACGGGGCGTTGACGGGGAAAATAGGTCTAGTATCAAGGATTGGAGACGGTCGCACGCGATGAATGCGCAAGGAACGAATTGGGGCGCGTAGACTCGGAGGGCAGAAGAATAGAACAGTCTAGTGGTTTGGATGTGTGCTTGCTGGTCAGGCCTGCAAATACTGTGTGTCGTGGACTATGTAGCGGTATTGCTCCCAGCTTGCCCGACGGTTGAAATGCGGTTAAATGGAGACATGGCCAACCCCAGCCCCAACCAGCCCGACCCCGCTTTTCCGTGGCCCTTTCTTCTCGCATTCGCAAATATGGGATCGTCCAGGATAGAGCTCCAGAACAACCAACTACATTACACATGAGTGGAACCGCCACCGAAAGGAAAGCTATCGTGGCGTGCAGGTTTAAGTCAGCTTATATATACAATTCATGGGATATCGTGTATATTCCTCATTATCATAAAGGCACCTCGACCCCACAATATGCTAATGCCCTGGTACAAAGTCCCATCATCCCTCATTCCGCGTATCATCGTCCTCTTCACCATCCTCCAGTTCTAATCAACAGTGGTATATAGTCGGATCCAGCCCTCATAGGTTTTGCTTCTATGCACTTAAATAACGCCAAAGCTCTCAGGGTTTCAAATATCAAAACAATGCAGCGGCTGCCGTCATCTCCTAATCCCGAGGAGTCTGATCAAACATTATCAATGGCCATGATGTTGGCTGTGGCACCATGGGCAGTTCGCCACCAGTGTGAGGCATTCCGTTGCCCGCCATTATGGGCGTGATGACCGAGTTTCTTCCTGTTTCTGCATCGCCAAGAGTCATTAGTGAATCGGCGCCGTATCGTTGTTGGCTTTCTGCAATCGCAGCAGACCAATTCTGCCATGACGACCTCCACATCATGTCAGAGTTTTGGTGGCAGATATGCTGCCCAGCCTCGGATCCGTATCCTGCGAGGGTGGCAGTCTGAGCAGGGCCACCTGGGTGCCCAGCAGCTGCACTTGAACTAGGATAATATAGCTCGGTCTGGTCGTGCTGGTATGAGGCTGTGGCCTGAGGGTTTGGTTGCGTCTGTTGGTCCATGTATGCCAGGGATGGATACGTCGCATGCGCCGGGGCCGTAATATTTGCATGGTAGAAATTTTTGGTGAGTTCTTCCGCCTGGGAAGTGTCTGCCGACGGAAAGGATTGATTCTGAGGGGCAACAGCTCCAAACGGAACGGCATGGCCATGTTGCTGCTGCTCTTGTGGTGCCAACGGAACTGTGCCTTGCGAGGGCAAGGTATGCTCTTGCTTCACGTTGACGTGCGCCAGAATCGGGTTCTTCCCATCCTTCTGCGGCATATCATGTTCGATCCAAGACATGGTGCGGTTAATCAATTGCGCAATCTGAGTACTCATGCCAATGCCGCAGCCTGCCAAGACGGCCTGTTAGCAATTGTGTGGGCGCCTTGGAGTCAATTGGGAGACGCTTACCGAGCAGGGCACTCATTTCTCTAACAATGTTCATCCACCTCTGCATTTCATCCCTCAGCCTGGCTACTTCGTCTTGTGTGATTTCAAATCGTCGTTGCCATTGAGGTACTAGCATGGACAAGATGGCAACACAGTACAGGGACATCTGATGCCATGTCGTATCTAGGGCCTTCATCCTACTCAGATGTTCGACAGTCTGGAGATATTCCCTAGCAGCCTCCTCGCAAATTTTGGTGTTTTCAGCAATCAGGGCCGCATCAGTCGTCATTGCCAACGACGGATGTCTGATGTGCAGGCGGAACTCCAGCATGTAGGTGCGTGCGAAGAGAGCGCCAACCATTCCATGGTCATGTTTCTTGGCCGGGCTAAGCCGCATGGATTCTGGAAGGTCGGCCTCCCACTGCTTCATCTGAGCTTCAAGGACGGCGAGGACATTCTTGTAGTTGCTTTCGTCTCTCCGCACACTAAAGATATTCGCGTACATCTCCATATAAATGGGGATGCATTTGAATGCGGCAATTGCGATTTCATAGGGGCAAGGAACGGTTCGCGATGTGTCGACGCCCTCGTCGGACAATAGCTCATCAGCGATTGGCTCTGGGAAATCGACGTCAAAGTCCTGCACGGATACTGGGAGTGGGTAGCCTCGTTTGCCATTGATGTCAACAACAACCATCATCATGTTCCACCAGGCACGTTTGCGAAGTTCGTTCTGCAAATCTGTTGGTTCACCAGGCTTTTTCGTTCTCCGATGATAATTCAGCTCGATTGCTCGGTGCAAAGCCATACTTGCAACTATCGATCCGCAACCCGGTTTGGGAAAGGCTCTCGTATGGGAGGCGATGAGAACCAGACCTTGTAAAGCTTCAAAATCTGCAGAGGAAAAGACCTCGTACATCTTGCTGAGAGCAAAATGGTAATGCTTGTTTGAAAGATCATTAAAGTTGTTGCGCTGCTCCAGGGTTTCGCTGTTCCGAACTCCAAATTGGAATAGTATGATGGCGAACACCATGTGCACCATGACCAACTGGGGCACAGTGGGTTTGAAACCGGGTTCATCATATACTCTCGTCAACTATGAAGGAAAGTGTCAATGGATGGACGATTCGAGTAAAGGGGCAAAAAAGGGCCTAGGGCAGGACGTGAATGGAAACTCACAAGTTTCATAAATGTTGGCTTGTGCAGCAAGGGCATGAAAGAGGCAATGGTGATGAAGTACCACTCAGCATAGATGAAGGCATTTTCACGGGTAGGCAACTCAACCTGAACAGCAGGGTTCACGCGCATGGCGGAACGCAAGAATGCCTGCACTGACTTGTTATACAAAGGCACAGAAGGGTCAGCAGCGGTGGGTGGCTCATCGACATCTGGCGCATCAAAGGAGGTGGTTTCAATGGTAGTGCCCAACAGAGTAAGTGTCATTCCCTTCAAGGAGCTGAGAGGTGCATCGTCGGATCCAACGCCCCAACGGCTCTGCTCGGGCCTGGTTTGCCACTCGTTGCGCGGAAGATTATGCCGGAGAATGCTGCTTGTTGGGTCCGGCGTCGAGCTGTCCTTGATCCATAGAGAGCCAAACTTGGACCAGCCGTCGTTGCTCGAGGCGGCGGCTACATTGGCCGAGGCATTGCTCGCGTCTTCTTCATGAGCGGCGTCGGGAGGGCTCTGGGCGCGAACACGTCCTTGGAAGGGCTTGACCTCGACGTTCTTTTCTGCGCAGAGCCGCTCCAAGTCACGAATGTGCGACATCATGCGGCTCTTTTCCCGTTCCAGCTGCTGCATGTAGCCTCTGCGCTCGGTGCGGCCCGTGACACGATCCGTGACATAACAGTCCAGATTCAGATTGATGCAGTGCGAGCAACCCTCGGGCAGGGCGTCACAGCGGATCTTGCGCACCTTGCATCTGTCGCAAGCTTGGCCAGTGCGGGTATACGACTGAAGACGGTTCTTGACGACGGAAGAGAAATCCTCGGGCCCCCGATCCGAACGTGCCAGCTTTAGCTTGGCGGTGCTAGAGGCGCTGGCATCGTCATCACTAGCTCCGCTACCATCCGCCGAGCGTTTGGCAGGGCGAGGGGGCATCTTCACATTGAAGGCGACGGAAGCTGGAGGCTTGGTCGAGCGCGGGGAGATGCTCGTGGGCGACGAGATGGCCGAAGAGACATGGATGGAGGCGACGCCGGTCGGGCTGGAGTTGCAGCTGGAACTGGAGCTGGGGCTGGAGCTGGAGCCCAGCCGGACAGATGACGGGACTGCAGTATTGATATGAATACCAGACGATGATGTTGGAATCGGCGTCGGAAGGGAAGACGAGGGCACAGACGAGGGCACAGACAAAGGCAGCAGGGTGGGAATAAAGGTGGGAACAGCGGTGGGAACCGACGATCGGAATGATGGCGTCGGAACGACTGCACCTGGTGGGCCAGCACAAGCTTCATGTTGTTGAGATGAAGACGAGGCGACCTGGGGCCCGGAAGCACAGCGACCGGCGGTGCCCTCCAGCTGGTGCTGCTGCTGGTGCTGCTGGTGCTGCTGGTGCGGCGGCGCCGTGGCATCTGCACCGGCACCTGCAAATGCACCAGCAGCGGTGCGGATAGTGGGCGCTGGGGTGCTTCTGCTGGTGGAGGTGGTGCTCGCAGGCGCAGGTGGAGGTGCGCATGCAGCGGCCGCTGCAGGTCCGGGCTCAACAGCAGGTGGTCCATGTGTGCTGGAAGGCGCATGTGGCCTGGCAGCCGCTGGCCCAGCAGGTGCAGCGGGGTTTGCAGCACGAGGGCGTGCAGGGCTCGTAGGGCTCAAGCTTGCACCGCCCATGTCGACGTCGCCGATATCCGCGCTGACGGCAGAACTGACACCCGCACTAGCAGCGCCAAGGCTACCGCCGGCAGCACATGTTGCGCCTCCTGCAGCGCTGGCAGCACTCAGGCTGGCAGCACCGCCAGGGCCCGTTGCGCATCGGGCTCGGCGCCCGCTAAAACTGCCGCAGCCGTGGCCGCTGTAACTGCCGTAGCCCTGGCCGCAGCTGGTGGATCGGGAGCTCGACCTCGCGCTCCATGTCGACGTTGACCTTGACCATGATCGGCCCGCGGGCGACGGTGCACCGGGGCCACGCGGCACCCATGTGAAGTCGACAAAGGTCGTCGACCTCGGTGAGACAAAAAAAGAGCCATCATCCTCATGCAACACTGACGACTGCGGCGCCGGTGGCCCTGGCAACGTCGAATCACCGGCGTTTGCGGCTTCGGGTTGCGAGAAATGGAGCTGAGCCGTGCCGTCCATGATCGAGGGAGCTGCCATTGGCCTTTCATGCGACGCATAAGATGCCGGGCACCAATAATACAGAATTGCGGGTACAAGCACTCCGGAGGTACTTGGGAATGATATCGAACAAGTTACTATGCAGCACCTAACTACTCCGTCGCTGCACTCAAGACCCAAAGCTCACGAGCCAGGATATCCGGAGCGGCCTCCAACGCCTTGCACCGGCTACCAGGCTGATGATCAGCGAGGCTTGGAGCAGCAAACTATTCGGTCTCGTCTCTGCTCCAATCTTCAGCGGCACCCGTCCTTGGGGGGCCGGATGACACAAATTTGGGGGCCGACGGGAAGCCTGACAGTCCCCAGTCGTCCAAACCAATCTTTGGCGTCGGAGCAGTCACGGAGAAGACGATCCGAGCACCTGGGGTGCTGTCAAAATGCTTTGCTGGGTGGCTGTGCGAGCAGGCTTCAAGGGTTGTCTGCTTTGACGCTTGGTGCTTCGGTGCGGCGTCTAGTCCTAAAGCGCCGAAAACACCTCAGCTGCGCAAGGTGCTTGCTTACCTGCGGGCTGGTGGTTTCGCCGCCTGCCAATGTACTATTATCCGTTTAGACTTGGTCGTGACAGACTTTGGAGGCTGCATATCATCATACCTATGGTCAAGTTCGGACAATCCGCGCGGACAAAACCCGGCCGACGGAATCGACGGAACACGACTATGGCTTCCCAATGCCGAATAAACCCCCGAATCAGCAGATTCAATTCTGGCACATTTAGCCAGTCAAGGCTGGGCTATGCCAAATAAAACCTTCCGACGTTGAAGCGCTTGGGTAGGGATCAGACAAGGGTGGCACCTTTAAATGAACGTGCATATGTTGTACAATGCGCCCTGTGGAATCCCGAGAATGCCTTAGAAGGTCTCCTCTTGGCAAACGAAAAAGTGGCGTGTTTGCAATTCCCCAAGGTTCCCCGAGAAACTTGGGCAACCAGACTCGACTTGACATCTTTCACCCATGACCCCTGCTTTGGAGACAGACTCATCTTCCTTTATACCTTTGATTTCTCCTAACAATGCCCCTTTGTTAGCCGGAGCAAGCGACGAGCTGTTCGTTACCGTGATCCGCACTTATTACCCAGGTCTTGTTTGTTTACCCATTGCCTTGCCAATGAGGCGGCCTTGCACGGCCCTGTCTGCAAACTTGACCCTGATGACCCTGGCCCTCGTCACTGAGGTGCTTGGGTTCGCAATGTCCGACTACTAGCCGCGAGCCCCGTCGCCTGGTCAAAACTTAGAATAAGGCGACCCAGATGGTGTGATGTAGACAACAACACCCGCCAACAAATATTCTCAAGTCGGGACGCTCTAGTGGGGGGAAGTGTCCGAGTTCTAAATGTTCCAACCCGAGTAGAAAACGTCCCGAGCCCACAAGGAACTAGGAAACTTCCCGGCTTGATGTACGGAGTATTCTAGAAAACTTCCGGTTTCGGCACGCCGATTTTTGGCTTGCTGTGCTCCGTATTCTGTTTGCTTGCCGACTGACGAAAGACTTTTTTACACTCGCTTCCGCGGCTCGGACCGTTGACACTCTGCAAATTCTGTGAATCGTTTCCAGGATACGAACCATGAATGATGAATTGTGGCTGCTCTCAACCCTTGAACCTTGTATACTGCAGCTTCAAATCAATTGCCTACTGGGTTGGTACTGACCGGGTCTGTTTGTTGGACGCAGGTCATCTGTTTGGGGAGCACATCAACTCTGTACTACTTTGCCGGCGCTATCGAGTCATGACGGGAAGCTTCAAGGTGCCTGCGTTTTGTCTTCGGACGGCGAGAGCCGGCAGCTTGCAGCCTGTACAAGATCCAAGAGATGGCTCGGAGACGGAAGAGCCCATGCTGCCCCTTGCGAGGCAATGTCGCTCGGAGCCAAGTAAAGAACAATGATGATGACGCCCACGGCGACTACGATGGCACCATCCTTATTTTTGGCTGTTCAAGCGCCAACTTGGCCCGCACCCATTTTTTTCGCCCTCAAGCTCATTGTCAGAAGCCGCAAGAAGCCCACAAAAACCACCAGGGTGGGGCGGCACGGCCGGAACTGCGGGGCTGGCACCAGATCTTCTCGTGCGATGTTTAAACCTCGTTTTTTCCCAACAACCCAAACATCCACTATCGCTATTACCGCCATCACCGCTATCACACCTAGGACACGTTTTGCCCGATAGACGACGTGTCTCTTTTGAGTCACTCTACAACATCCAACTATGACGCTAGAAGCCCTGTCGATCGAACACATTCCCCCGTCATACAAGGTCCACCTCGGCCTCTTTCAAAACGTCCACAATGCAGACTTTCTCCATCAACAACTCCTCAGTCGAAATACAGACTTCGAGTACGCTTTTGTCGACGCCTCTGTGGTACTGTCAGCCCCATGACTTGCTCCATTTGTTTCCAAGGACAATATAAGATTTCAAGCGTTTAGAGTATCCAGCTCACATTGTCCATAATTTCACTTGTAGGTGGTGTCTCGCCGGCAGTTGCTTTCGGCCATTTTCAAGGCCGTCAACGCGGCTACGAACGGCTCACTCAAGACGCCAAATGTACACTCTGAGATTGTAGTCTCTCTAAATCCGTCCAATAATGTAAGCAAACGCACCCCAATGGCCGCCTTTTTTTGCTCTGGTCCTCCAATGATTATGCACCAAGTCCAAGCACAGACTTGCTGATGGCAGGTCAGATTACCGACTCGTATCGCCGGTTTGGCATCTCGCCTACTACGAAGAACCTTGCCGTCGTCAAAGTTACGTACTCGCCGGAATCGTCGGAGTCGAATTCCGCTGCGTCCAAAGACAGCATCCAGGCGCATTTAGCGGAGCATGTCAAGGGAACTGCCGTTGACGTCACCGATGCCAACATAGCCGCTACAACAGATATCTCCAAAGTTCGCAAATATTACAAACTCAACGGCCTGGACTGGCTGGAGGCCATCAGGGACGAGCAGAAAAAACGAGCAGAATTAGACACACTTGTAGTTAGCGCAATGGCACTACGCGGACTTTGATATCTATTAAAGAAGCCAGTAACAAATTCACCAATATCCTAACAAGGCTGGGCCAACGGGAGTATTTTAAAATATTTTTGTATTGATTTACTGTAAGTCATCATGTAATCTGTCCTGACACCCTCTCCGCTCTTTTCTCTACCGCGTTGGTTCTCATTAATCTAATATCATAGAAGTGTGCTCCTTTGCTCCAAATGAATCGCTATGAATTGGATATAAACGCCAGAAATTTCTCAAAATAACCAAATTTTGCCAACAGACATCATTGAAAAAAAAAAACAAAGTGCTAGGAAATCGCTTCGCCGCCTAGAATGCAAAATTTATGCAAGACGGAGAGTATTCTTGACGCGACGAACAACCTCGGCCCACATGGCGTCACGTCCACTCTTCGTTCGCTGGACAGCGTCCTTGTTCTCTTGAGCACGTCGAAGCAAATATTTCATGCACTCGCCAGTCGTCCCCCAAACGAGATACTTGTAGGCAGGCAAGTTGGGAGTAGCCGAGGCATCTGCAGCACGTGCGGATTGGCTAGCCTCGACCAGCTCACAGCTAATTTCGTCGGCCATACCCTGAAGTTGGGCGAAGGCGATCTCGGATTTGGCACCACCAGCGTCGCAAATCGCGCGGGCTTTCTGAACAGACTCGGCGTTGTGAGTGGCAAGGACAAGATGGGCAGCGGGATATTCGCCATTGCCTTCGAGGGTGGTGTTCCATTGACGGGTCAGGACACTCGCAGCAACACCGTCGTAGCACGCGTCGGTATCGGCTTTGGTATCAAAGAAGCATTGGCGAGGGTCTGAACCAAGATAGGCACCGCGAACCAGCTTGACGCCGAGTGAGAATTGGCCCTCCTGTGCCATGGCAAGGTGGCGTTCCAGAACGGCGGGAGTCTTCTTCTTGTACGCTTGGTAGGTTCCGTAGATGGTGCAAGTGTCAGGGGAAGTGTTGTACTTGTTGGCAAACTCCATTGTCCAGTCGTCAATACCATCCTGGAGAGCGTCCTGCTCAGCATCGAACAAGAGACGAACGCCACGCTCGTGAGCAAGCTGGCAGATGGAATCGATAGACTTGGATAGGTAAGGGCTGGCGGGAAGTTTATGCTTCAGCTCATGCAGAGCCAGACTGCCAGCGCCGGTGAACCTATGAGCGGGGTTAGCAAGATGGGCCTTTCTTTTGCAAATAATGACACTTATCTAGTACTTACTTGAGTGCGACAAAGTCTCCTGGCTGTGCCAAACGGACGGTTTCAAGGGTGCCCTCGGCCCAGGGCACAATCTCGTTGTCGATGACTTTTTGGGTCTCTTGTCCTGCAGCCAACTCAACCTCCTCGGCCTGCTTCTCTGTCAAGACAACCTCGCGAGCATATCCCAGGATTACGCCAGTGAACCCAATGTTCTTCAACCTGTTGATAGTTGCCTGCACTTCAGCGGGATTCTCACCAGCACAGAACTGGGCATAGAATGACTTCTTGAGGAAGTATCGCAGAATAGGGTTTCTGTCCGGGTTAAAGACGGGGTTGGTGCTGTGAGCCAGCAAGGTCATGATCTGCAGCGACGGTGGCAAAAGCAGAGGGGAGGAAGACACGACAGTCGTGGCCAAGGAGCGGATGATCATGCTCAAGGGCAAAACCGAGAGGGGTGCGCGGCTTGGTTCCAAGTTGGCCGGAGGAGGGACGGCACCTGGCAACTCAGCGACGGTCGACGACTTGCGCTCGGAAGAGTGAATACCCCGGCGCTGCTGGGTCATGAGGGCAAAGCTGCCTTTGGGAGAAGCGGTGATGTGGCCATGGTTGGCACGAATCACCGCCGTCGCGAGAAGAGCATATGTGGATGAGAATGAGTCGGTATTGGGGAAAGTAGAGGCCCTGCGAACGGGCAAGCAAGCAAACCCGCGAGAAGGCGCGAGTCTCATTGCAATCCTGTTGGCTTCGTGTGAGGAGTGAAGTCGGCTAGCTCTGCCTAAGTGCTAGGTTTTTTGGTTTGTTTCCTGATGGAAGATGGGAAGATGTGATGATGAAGAGTGGGAAGAGGTGAGAGGAGAAAAAACAAAGCGACGATTGGGTGGCGCTTTATGTTTTTCTTGGGTGGTTTGGCGTTGATGTGTGAGTAAAGTGTTGATTGGGATTGGGTGATTTGGGCTTATCAGTGAATATTGGGAGGTAGGAGGATGGATGGGAGGGTGCCTCGATGGGATGGAGAGATAAGAGAGGCAGTGAGCGAAGCAGGCGAGCAAGCGAGCTTCGTTGGTGGCGATGAGTTGTGAGAGTTGAGAGCAGCAAAGTGTCCACAGCAGATTCAGCTGGGCAAACGTTTGTGGTATATTAAGATGATGACGATGATGTCGACGATGGTTAGTATGGACACAAGATGAAAGAAATCCCCAAAAGCCAACTCTCGTCAAAAAGGGTGGCGGCCAGGGCTCCTCTCTAATATTGGTTCCAGTCTCCTTTCCTGTTCGCCTTTCGCTTCGGGGTCGGTGTTTTTCTGTTTAACCAGGTGACCAAAAGATCGTGGGGTGGGCGGGCGCCATGGAGGAGGGCAAAAAGTCGTGGTCTTATACCTTTGGGCTGGCCATTGCCTCCGCCAGAGCCGGGGGTCCGGGAACGGCGTTATCGTGGGACACGAAGACCAGAAGGGGGGGCGTGGCTCGTGAGTGTGCCGAGTAATGAACAAGCCAGAGCATGGCAGATGCCGGCGTACGGAGGTCTGGCTATTGATAATCTCGTGCGGCGGCGAGCGGGCGGCGACTCGGACGAGCGAGCCTCCTCTCCCTCTCGTCGCCTCTCTGGCTGATTAAAGAAAAACAACACCAAGACGCCAGAACCAGGCATCCAGCGTCTGGTCCGATAAAGGGCCCACGCCAATAAAACCACACGCCCCCCCGCCAAGCCCAGAACCAAAGAGACCGCAACAAGTGCTATCTATTACTCAAGCATTATCTCGAGCCTCCACCAAAACCCGAGCCATGCCGTCCAACGCCTCCGTCCCCCCCCAGACTGGCGCATGCACGCCCCCCTCCTTCCTGTCAAGCAAATCATGCAGGGCCACGGCCGCCAGCTTTCCGAATCGGGAGCAAAACGATCACGTGGCCCCCCGCCGCGAAATTACTAGCCTCAACCTGGACGCCCGAGTGTAGCCGCGACTCCTTTTTTTTCCTTTTTTCTTGCATCCCCACACTTGATATCAGCTTGCATTGGCCAATGGCCGCGTCGCGTCCTGCGCGATCCTTGTTTCTGGAATGCCTCCGATACGGCGGATAGCACCAGCCGTGCCAGAGAAAGGAAAAAAAGAAAAATCCCAAACAAAGCCTGCCTCTTCCCGTTGCACACCGTAACGCCGTCGATACCTTTTTAAGAATCCCCCCCCCAAGCTCGCATTACTTTCGCCTACCGTAGACGCTTTCAGAGAAACCTACCTACCTGTGCGCCGCGCCGGGGATCTGGGCATCTCGCAGAGTCGCCATGCACACAGGGACAAGAACAGGTCTGTGACGACGCCCCATGTCTCACCAGACCTTGGGGCCAAGGGGGGAGGCGGGGGACCACACGCGCATCGCATCACATCTCGCTCACCGAGCAAGCGAGTCGTTATTGCTCGGAGCACGGAGCGCTTTCCAACCCCAGACGATTCCATTGGGGGGAAACAAGGGCGACGCGCGCACCGGGGGAGCATTGGATGCGGTGACACGGCGGTGCTCGCTCCGTCGTGACCGTGCTTATTGATGGGACTGGGCCATGTCCCCCCCATGCCGCCGACGCACCACCATGTACTACGTGATGGGCCACGGACCAGGCTGCAAACAGCGTCACCTACGGAGTACGGAGTAGTAGATGGAATAATACGTGGCATAAGCCGTCGGGAACCAATGGTCTTTTTTTGGCTCGTTTCATGTCCATTGTTCCCCGACGCTGTGTCCATTGCTTCTAGCCGAATTCCTATTGTGATGCTTTTGTGTTGCCGCCTTTTCCCCTCTTCTTCACCATCTTCTTCTTCTTCTTCATCATCCCCGCGAGCTAATTTTACACAATGGGCGTGCCCCGGTATCCCCGGACTTTTTTTTCGCTACAAACTTGCACGGAGATAGTGCGTGGTAATACGGAGTACGGAGTACTGAAAGAACGATGCCACAGTGACACGGGACCACATCCCGTGCTCCGTAGTACGTACAACGCTGCACTCGATTAGAAATACATAACCGAGAGAAGGGAGTGTTTTGTGCACCTCATAGCTGTGTCACATGAACGGGGTGGAAGATTTGGGACATGGCCTTGTTACTACTCCGTACTACCAAGCAAAAGGAACCCATTTGCGGCTCTCATGGTATGCGACTCGGGTCTGGGTGGTCACTCGTCGTCTCCGTACGTCGCACAACGTATTACTGTATTATTGTAGTGTCATTCTTTGCTCAGCCTTTGCTCACCAGGTCAAGTGACCCGTAGCCAGCCACTGCCGGAAAGGCCGAAGGTCGGACCCCGAACCCACAATCCGCTTTAGAAGGTATGGAGCCCCTTCGCATGGCGTCGGCAGCTGCAAACCCCAAGGAAGGCCAGGGGCATTCGCAAACAGTCTCCCCGCAGTGCTTCCATTTGATGGCGACTCTGGGCAGCCAGCCGCCGATGATGATGATGATGGGCAGCGGGCAGCATAATATTGGGACCACAAGCCCAATTGCCGTCGGCTTCCGGCCTTCCCCACTGCGCGAGTGTGTACGCAGTAGTTCGTAGTACGCGACTAAAAAGGAGATGGGTAGGTTGGTGTGACTGCATGGCAGTGATGATGGATGCCAAGTTGGTGCGTGGATAAGCTTTGTGGTCAAGCAACTTGGCTACCGCGCTGCGACTGGGGTCACGATTGGGGCCGGCGCCGTTTCTGGTCTGTGGTGCGTGGTGCCTGCTATCTTTCGTCCCAAGCCCCGTCGCCGCCAGCGCTTGAATCTGGTCGGGATGCGTATGCGTGGCTAGTTGGAGATCCAAAGCGACGTCGGAGGCTCTCCACATACCCTATCGGTCTGCCGCGGGCTAAGCCTACGAGGTCCTGAACCCCCCCGTACGCAAGCCCAAACAACAGTCCAAGCTTGGCCGTGCGTCCAGCCGTTGATAGCGAGAACCTATCTGATCCATGCGGCCGAAAGTCGGCGCCAGTTAGCCACACGTCTCATTTGCATTTGTCTGGTACGTACCCGCCACTTGCAAAGGCGATAAGAAAGCCGACACTTGCCATGTCTCGTATGGCCGTTTGATCGGACAACCACTGCTCATCCAGTCTGAACAGCGCCTCTAGACTGACACCAGAGAAGAGACGGGCAAGAGGCTGGCTGACGGGACCGGAGTGGGATTGTGTAATTGAAATCGGATGGGAGGGGGGCGAGGTTGATCTTGGGAAAAAGGGTAAATGTGGGCTTAGACACACATGTCGGAGAGTTAAATCCGGTGAGGCTCATGGAGATGATGATGCCCGATGTGAAGACGTGATTGATAGTGAATGTGCGATTCCATCGAGATTCCACTTACGGCATAGGGAAAACGCGCCTGCTACGGTCAGCGTCGCCATTGTCGTCGAAAACATGTCGCTGCTGCCTCGATACCGGTCAACGGTGCTTTCCAGTCCCAGTGCTACAAAGCTCCAGAAGCTCGTCTTGGCCCCCATTCGGAAACCCTCACGGATGCCACCCTGCATTGCGTGATAGTTTTTGGATTTGTGATAGAGATACCAACCCGTCGTAGTGTCAGGCATCTTATGTGCGTGTTCTGCCCGGAAGCGGAGCTGAGCCATCTGGCCGCCCTGCATGGCACCAAGCGTGAAGCCAATCACCCCCGACGAGACCGTCCCAAGGAGAATGCGAGCCGGCGTTGAGATGGACAGCCTGGGGTATGGGTCAGATGGAAATGCATCGTGACCGTGAAACACGGAAGATGAGCGTGATGGCGTGGTTGTAGAGGTGGGCGCAATCACATCTGTGGAAGCTGGCAGATCCATGACGGAGCTCTGTGTCGCCTTCATTGCGTACACCATCAAGAAGAGACCGTTCCCTGGAGCAAGGATTGCGAAATCCCAAAAACGCTCTGGAGAGGCTTCTGTCGTGCGTCAGAGTGTTTGCCCCTTTCGTCACGTCCTTTATCAAGTCGCCTTGTCGATCTTGCGATAGTGGTTGGATTCAGTTGGCTTGTTTGCGACAGATGACGTGGACGATCTGGTTTTCGAACAAAGGGTGGATGATCAAGACTGCCGCGGGGTTGTACGAATACAGGTGTGAGTGGTTGAAAATCAGTCAAAATTCCAACAGTACAGGATACCGTTCTCGGACAACAGCGTCGTTAGGAAGCTACCTTTGAGTTGCCGTTTTTTTCTCTTCGTTTTTTTCAACGTTGTTAGCCTCAAGAGTGAAGGTCGAGGGTCCCTCACCGGAGCGGAGTTTCCGTGATGCCGTCCCTTGTGCGCCACACACGACTTTAGCCACAGCGGCCGCTGGGAAATCCAGTTACAAACTGTCACGTGATGGCGTAGCTGTTTTCTGAAGCTTCATCAAGTTGGTTGACCGTGAATCTAGAGCAACGGCCCGACTCGATGGCTGTTCCAGGTACACAAACAGCAACGCTCTTACGCAAACATGGCACGTCGTACTTGTATACAATTCGTGCCGCTCGCTATACTAACGTTTCCGACAGACTCCCGTGGATGACGGCCACATCTCGCTGCGCCTCAAGCACGGCATTCACACAATATTCATGTTCGCAGATGCACAGGCGCCCATGTCCGAAATCACCAAGGAGCTGCTTGAACTTCTGAGCGAACGATATCCAGAAGGCCTCACCACAGTTGTGTCGCCGCTCAAGACTATGGCAATCCCTGCAAATCCCAGACTGGCCTATGGAGTTCTCAACGTGCCCAACGACCCCTCCAGGGGATGGAAAAGAATCAAGACAGGCGAGGACGAAAGCAGCACCCCAACTGCATGTGGGTTAAAGAACAACAGCATCGTGGCATTCAGCTTTGTGTCGGGCCTCGAAGACGAGGATGTGTTGTTTGAGGTGGAATGGCCCAAGGACGACGACGAAATGTACGACCAAGCAGGGTGAATTACGCCATAGTTTTCATTACGAAATGGTCAACAAGGACCTGTATGGCATTGCAAAAGCCTGGTCTGACGAACTTTTTTTTTTTTTTGGGCTCCGATATAGGATGGAACCAGCTCAAGGCGCTTCGGCTATCAACGCAACAAACACAAATGGGGTCAATGGGTCGCAATTTCACATCTCGAGCCACACCCCACCACCAACCCCCGACCTGAATCTGCTAATCAAGAGAGGTGGAGGATGGAACGGCTCAAGTTTAATGCAAAGGAGAACAGACCTCTTGTTCGTGGGGGGATTCGGTTACAGCATTCATGCTGTGTGGGGTATGTATTATAGAAGAAAGTTTTCCTCTTGCAACGTCTGAATACCTTGGGCGCCTCTGCAGTTGGTCCTTGTGTCGGTAACTGTAAGTTTATCAGAAAGTGTGCAAGCATCCTATAGTCTTGGAGGAGGGATGTCTGAATTTCTCCTTGGATGCCAGGAGGTGCAACCTGTTGTACATGACAGGCCGCTCCAGCACTTGCGGCAGAGAAAGCTCCGTGGTGGGATGATTCCAGCTGGTTAAGAGCATAAAGAATTCCTTCTCTCTCTCGTGGCCCTTTTACGTTAAGCCACCGAACATGATGGACTGGGAAGTAGTCATGTCACCCATGTACATTTAGACTGGATCGGTTGACGTGAATGTCGTCTAGGGTAGCGCACAGAAATAATGGCACCCCAGATGCAAAGGAAAGCTTCACAAAACGAAAGTTACATTAGGGGCGGCCAGTCGAGGCACCAGGTGGGTGTAGGGCCTCGGTGTTGAAGAGACGGTTGTTGTTTTGTGGTGGCATACGAACACAACCACGGGTTCCTTTAGGCAGCGGACACGACGGGGTGTGGAATAGAGGACTTGGAATGTCCCAATCAAGGATGATAGGCTCGAGCTATGATTGCCTTTTTTCGAGTAGAAAAATCATGCGCTCTTGCTCCGTACTCGGAGTTTACCCTGCATTTATACCTTGTATCACATTCTCGCCCCCTCAGTCGAGACTTTGAGGGCCAAAAATGCATTTCCCGTGATAAACTCTGATGGAAGCACCCCGGTTATTAAGCTTTCATGGCACTTTGACAACCGTCACACCAACCTACCGGAGAAATAAATAAGGAATCCAGCGCGCATATTTCACAAATGTTGACTGGTCCGCTGGTGGTGTTGGCAGATAACCCCAGGCCGCCCGAATACATATGTACCTACTTAGGTAGTATTGACCTTTCAATGTTGTGTTTTTATAATGCTGTGCGACATCAAGTGATGTCTGGTGTCTTGGTCCACTGTTAGCCGCCGTGTGTTGTCATCATGTGCCAGCCAAGACATTTACCTGCCGTCTTGTCATGCTCGACCCAGCAACCACGCCGATGACGTGGATGCCATTGCCATTGTGAGCAAAGTCGAGCCTCCTCTGGCCGAGGGCGAAGAAAAGCTGCTTCGCCGCGGCCACGATGCGCGTGTGCGTTTGTGGAGTTGGGCTCATCCTGATGAGAATGGCAGATCGAGATGGCCGGGCCCAGATTGGCGACACGACCTGGGAGAAGTGGATCGAGCGGATGGCACCATGGTCATTCTTTTGAATTTCGCGAAGCCAATTCGGCTGTTGCGCAAAGCGACACTGCTCGAGACCCCCAGAAACGGCCATGTTTGTACGTGGGCCTCGCCGCTTCGACCGACCAGACTCTATGACGCGCCCATTATGGCGGCAATGGAGCATCCCGGGACAAGCTGTATAAATGCGGCCCCCCTCGGGACCATGCCGACTCTAACTCTGGCGGAAGGACGGCAAAGCACTGAATCCATTGCGAAAAATACACAATGAAGGACAAAAACGACGTGATCCACGAGTTCAACGACCTCGTCAACATGACGGCGGCGGAACTGGAAAAGTGGCTCAAGTCGGGTGATTCCCAGGCCGTGGGATGGCCCAAAGAAGATGACGGCGGCGGCGAGTCCGTCGGCCACGATAGCGGGCGGAAGATTGTCCAGATTCTCAAAGATAATCCACAAAAGAGCCCGGACAAGTACACCGATGACCAGATTGAGCACATGAGAAAGGTGGTTTCATACTGGTATGTTTTTTCCCCTCTTCTTCTTCTGTTCCCCCTTGGCCCATGTCGAGTCCTGCAACGCGATATTATTCCTGACAACTGACGCCTTTCGTGTTAGCAAGCGGCACCTAGCTCAGGAGAGCAAAAGCAACGACAACAAGTCTGCTGAGGAAGTAAAGAAGACAAAATCATATGCGTCCCTGAAGAACTGGGGCCACGACCCCCTCAAGGAGCGGGAGGGTGATGGCGATGAGGACGAGGACGAGGATCAGGATGAGGATGAGGATGAAGATGAGGATGAGGATGAAGACGAAGATGCGGGCCAAGACGATGAGCAAGACGTAGGCACGAAGCGGGGAACCAAGGACGACCAAGATGGGGAGAACAAGAGACAAAAGACGGACAAGGCGGCTTCCAAGAACCAAAAAAACGGCCACAGTGGTGCAGCGAAATCGGCAAACAAGCAGGATACGAAAGACGACGACGCGACCGAGCAAGGCTCACAGCCATCTTCCGACGAAGACGACGGCCAAGAAAGCAAAAAGAGCGACAAGAGCGACAAGAACGGGTCTTCTGGTAAAAAAGAGCCGAAAAAGGGCGACACGGTGAGTTGGGAATGGGGCCAAGGCCAGCCAGAAGGCACAGTCAAGCAAGTCAAGCACGAAAAGTAAGCACCAGACGTCCGCATGCCCAAATCGAGGCGATTTTCTAATACCAACCCGCGGCAGAGCTTCGGTGACGACCAAGAAGGGGAACACTGTCTCGCGCGACGGCACCGAAGAGGATCCCGCCGTGGTCATTGACGCGGGTTCCTCCAAGGCCGTCAAGCTCAACCATGAGCTGAATTAGCGCGTGTTTGCTATGGCCGTCTGGATATATGGCGTCAGCTATACGACATATGTTGGCGTTATGTATTTCCAAGAAACGACCGCGCTGGTAGAATGCCGGCACGGGCCTCATCACTGGAGTCAATTACACCGAGTTATAACTTGTCACACGGCCGTCGTCGGAAGTTGGAACAGATGGCAGCTCCGGAGTGGAATTCCGTCTCTGCGCAACCCTTTGGACGGTGCTTGCCCGAAACCAAGGCACTAATTTCATATTAATATGTTCGAATACGGGGACTGGTATTATCGGGGGTGCTTGATGAGCTGCACAGGTAGACATGCCGCTCACCTGCCATGGTACATGAGCGATTGTCAGGACTCAGGCTTGTCTGGCCACTCTCGGCTGAACGTGCCTACACTAAAAGCACAGAGATGATGACACTTGGACAAAATACCGCAGCAAGACGGCACGAGCACGGCCGTCTACGAAAATAGTAAAAATAGTGCGGAAATATGCATAATATTTTGATGAGAATCAGACGTGACAAAATAGTGACTACCTACCGAGCTAGCTATATCACTCGATTATGGCGCTGGGTCGTCGCAACACGAACAGGGGAAATAGTGTAGGGGTTATCACGTTTGCTTTGCATGTAGAAGGTCCGGGGTTCAAATCCCTGTTTCTCCATTGTGTTCTATTTTTTGTTCCCGCAGCCCATGTTTTGTTCTTTTTATTATTTACTAATTCTTTTTTTTTTTTTTCAAAAAAATCTAAATAATGTGCGTGAAATCTCGGCCGTTCAAGTAAATCCGACCTCCAATGTCCCAGTCCAAACATCTGCAAACATCCGTGTCCCGCCATCTCTGCGAACGTCAAGAGTCTTATTTAAAACACTGGAAAAGCTCCAGTGGGCATAGGTAATTCAGGCTTCACCCCCTAGGTTGTCTGTCACTTATAGTTTGCACTGATAGCATCGCCGTTCCTCATGCAACAGGCGCCCGTGTACTTGTCGGAGCATTTGCATCACCTCCAAATGCATGTTTCTCGTAGGCGGCAGAGGGGTTCCTTTCATTACAAACGTGCCAAGTTTGGTCAATACTGTTTCTTACACATTGAAATGGGCAAATGCTCGAGCAGCACGCCGTGGACATGACACGAGTCCGCATACAAGGCCACGGCATATATGCACCGAGACTCGTAAGCGATTGACTCGAGTGTTGCCAGCATGTATTCCGTGACAAGTGTTTGGCCATATATACTGGATCTGCCGGCGGCCAATTGAGGCACCAGAACTGGAATGGGAGAAGCATCTGTTGGGACTTCGTCGAGGCGAGTCAGGTTGGATAGGTCGTATATATCCTCTACTGCAGTTCGCTGGCCTTGAAATCTCTTATCCCGCCCAAATACCAAATAGTCTTGGAGTCGTCTTTCGGATTGGTCAACATTTGTTGACTCTCGAAACGGAGAAAAATGAGGGCTCGAAGGGGGATGGTGGTGCCGCAACTGTCTTCAAGCCTTTCCCAAGAACTCGTATGCAACTCCATATCGGGGCAGAGAGCACACTCCTGCAGCGTCCGCAGAGACGAGAACCAATTTGCGGACTCGATTGGTTCTACCAGCTTGCCCGGGGTCGCCGAGCTCCGAGCAAGTCGTTTCGTCTTCATGAGCTCCATGGGCACCGAGGCCGCCGTGGCTGACCTTGAGCAACTTGTCCTTGGCCAGCTCTTTTCCGCCGGCAGATATAACAGCCCATAGTTTGAGGCTGATCTAATCCAAAGCTTTGAGCACGCCGACCCAGGAGTTGACATGGTTGATCCAGGCAATGCAGCCACTCGACCCCTTGAATATGGAGGCTTGCTTTGTAATTTCTTTGCGGCTCTGCAAACTACGGTCTTGGGGGATGCAAAACAAGTCCATCCATATGTAACGCCACCCTAACCGATGGAACTGCTCTGAGAGACTTTTGACGTCGAATATCTTTCATATCGCGCGGCCTGCAGATTTATGAGATAGACCCGCCACACATTCGGCTCCCAGCTCTGTGGGTGGAATTCCCGAGAAGAAGCAGAAATAGCTTCCCATGGTATATGGACTTGTCTGTCTGGATTCCCTTGGCAATGGATGCAAGCTCTTCAGCTGATAGCGTGTGCCGGCCCAAGGTAGGAACAAATCTTTGCCTCTCAATGTAGTTTCGCACCGCGTCTACAAGTTCCCTGCTGCTGCACCTGGCTGCCCATCAAAGTCGCAACAGGCGGTAGGAGTGTTGCTGCGTGGGCGACATGGCATTGCGGAAGTTCTCGTCGTTTTCCATCAGGTCCTTCACTTCCTCCCAGCCACCGAGAAGAGGCAAGAGAAGGGAACCAAGAACACGTCCATCCGGGCGTGGACGTCTGTCCACCACTTGACCTTTTCCCCGGCAACGACAAAAGACAAGGATTCCAATGTCTGACGGGCGGAATCCACGGACAGAGACCAATATGAGAAACCAAGGCATCGGCGGATTCCAAGTTGTAAAGGAACCAATTACACGGTGAGACAAGGTGAGCTGAATAATGCTAGCAAGGGCCTGCCTAGTTTAAAAAGGACCAGACTACTTTGTCTAGTGCAAATCATGAGCCCCTAAACCGCATACTACTTTCAACTTGCACACCTGCTATAGTGCGGCCCTGTGTACCTACGCAGGCTGTATAATACGCACATATGCAGGAGTTGCTTCGTCGTTTAGGCAAACCTAACGGGGAAGTCAATGGCATACACAATCGTCACAAGCAGATACAGCACGTTTACAAGGAGTCTGGTACAAATGTAGCCAGAATACAGAGGCTAAATATATTCGTCCACCCGACAAATATACACTGCAACATAAAGCGTGATAACCAGGTACCTGACCTGGTTTAAACAAGTTTGCCTCCCACTGCACACGGCACAGCAGAATGCATCTACTACAAGGGCATCTCTTCAATATGCGCCAAGTCTAAGAATAAGACGATCCAAAACAAATTTACCAGGTAGCAAACGCTCAAACATCCCCTCCAGACTTGGGGCGTCTTCGGAAGCCCACCATCTGGACCATTTCTGTCCAGAAGCCAACCGGCGGCTCGGTGAAGGAGTTCTCATAGGCCTCAATTTCAGGTCGCTGCCAGACCAGGTCGACCTCCTTGGGCGGGATGTAGCGCGTCTTCTTGAGCAGCTTCCATCCGACAAAGAGCAGCACGGCCAGGATCTGCATAGAGTAGCTCTGGAAGAAAACCTCGACGTCCCACTTGGGCCGGAAGGCATAGTACCCGTACGTGAGCACGACGAGACCCTGCACAGCCAGGGCGATGTAGGCGCAGTAGGGCTGGAAGTAGGCGTAGTAGGGCCGCTCTGCTTTTCTGTTGACGCCCTGGACTTGGCACGCCCTGTGGTAGTTGATGAAGGTGATGGACATGATGAGGTAGGTGATGAGGCCGCCGCCCGTGACGATGCTGATGAGCCAGGTCAGGACCTTGGCCGAGCCATTGGAGACCTGGAGGAAGGACAGAAACGGGAAGCACATGACGACGCAGAAGCACCAGATGGGGACGCCGCTCTTATTGCAGTAGCGCAGGAACCTGGGCGCGCGGCCCTCGAGGGCCAGCGAGTACAGCGCCCGCGTGGCGGCATACGTGTACGTGTTGCCGGCGGAGAAGATGGAGGTGAGGATCAAAAAGTTGACAATGTGCGGCAGCACCTTGACGCCCAGCGACTCCATGGCAATGACGTAGGGAGAAGCGGCCGCGCTGCCGGCCGAGCCGGTCCCGAACCAGATTTCGACGAGCGTCGGGTCGTTGTAGGCGCAGACGATCCCGACAGCCAGGGCGCCGAGGACAAAAAAGATGCAGAATCGGTAGTAGACGGTCTTGAAGGCGGCCTTGATGTAGATGCTGGGGCGCTGGGCCTCTGCCGACACCATGGAGATGTACTCGGGGCCGACGACGCAAAACGAGGCGCTCCAGAGACAGGCGAGGAAGCCCTCGAACCGACCCAGGTCGCCGTTGCTGAGATATGTGGCAAAGGCTCCTGGGTTGGAGAAGTGCCGAAATCCATATGCGTCGTGCTGGGGGTTGCCGCCGCACATGGTGACAAAGGTGAATGCGAACAAGATGAAGATGAGGATGAGCTTTCCACCAGAGAGCCAGAATTCAGCCTCGCCGTAGAAGCGGACGGCAAGGACGTTGAGGAGGCTACAAGGAAACAAGTCAGCAAAACAGAATCTCGTCAAAAAAAAAAAAATTAAAAAAAATAAATCTGCTGGAAATCAACATGGTGGCCCGTACCCGTAGCATATAATTACAGCAGCGCAAACGCCGGCTGTTGGACCAGGATGCGTGACATTGGCGTTCCAGAAAGAAATGACAAAGGTCAGAGCCGTAATCTCGAACGGAATAAGCAAGGCCTCGTAGAGGAAGAAGTTCCAGCCGGCCAGGAAGCCAAGAGCATCATCGACCCAGTACCCAGCCAGCCGGACAAAGCCGCCGGCCACGGGCATGTAGGTGCTCATTTCAGCAATGCAGTTGTTCACGAGGGACAGCACGATCGAGTACAAGGTGTACGCGATCAGGAGACTGGCAGGGCCGCCCTTGGCGAGGCCGCCGCCGATGCTGATGAAGAGGGCGGTTCCAATGGAGCCACCGGCGGCAATAAGCTGGATCTGGCGGTTCTGAAGCCGCCGCTGGAGATGGCCCATATCCGCGTCTTCCACATGCTGCGAGCTGGCGCCGTCGGCCGAGTCGACCTTGGCCTGCTTCTCTTGGCCGTCTCCGAGATGCATGGTTGCTGAGTCTTGAGGGGGTAAAGGAGGCAAGGAATCGAAGCCAAGTGCTTGCTGATGGAGAGACAAGACTGCCACGAAGAAGAGCGAGAAGGACAGTCACGCAAGGCTGCTGCGATATTAAATAACAGAGCATCGACTGCATGATGGCTCGCACTCTCCCCCTCCCCCTCTCCCTCCCCGCGCATCTCAACATGTATGGATGTACAGTTCCGGCGGCCAGATGGTGGTCGAAAGGCCTTGCCCATGTAAGCCCATCTCAGCTGTTCGGTGGAGCCGGTGGGACAGAATCTTGGGAGTTGTCTGGGGGTGGCAACAGCCGAAACCATTGTCAACTCGACCTGTCAATATGCTGCACCAATCCGTCATCTGTCCATGGCCCTCAGCAGCCCACGTCGCCACACACACCGGCCACCGCTTTGGGTTTAGGCCTTTTGGACGTTGGCTCGCGGGGACGTTTGAAAACCATTAGCCTGGACGCCACATGAGGCATGGGCAGTTGGCCAGATTGGGGCCATGGGTGAAGTGGCGATGGTGTTGCGAGTGGCAGTTGCATCGTCTGCCCTTGATCCAATCTTCAACGACACGGCGTATCCGCATCCAGAGACAATGAGGCGCTGGCGGATGGAAATGAATGTTCATGATGGAAGCCGCATTCGAAGGACTCGCGAGTCGCGTGGGTGCGTTGCGGAAAGTCTGCCATTGGGCCCCGCGCTTCTCCCCAGACTGCCACCGTGCTGGTGGCTTTGTTGATCTCTCGTGGCTTGTGGGATGACAGGTTTCCTAGTGTCTCGGGACATGTTGCGCCGCAATTTCCCTCATCACACGGCGCAGACGCGGCAAATCAAAATGCTGTACCACCCAGCCATGTTTCCCATGCCCAAAGCCAACGAGGTGCGGCTCGGTATCATGGAGGAGAAAGTTCGGTTTCTGTCGACCTTTTTGCGTGGAATTAGTTTCTAGAACGCACCAAGTTCGGTCATGTCCGTGACAAGTGGTTCAAGGAGATTTCAATGTTGGCTTGGATCGGGAACGGGCATCGGGTAGTTGGGACGCGGGCGCGGGCGCAGGACAGGAGGAGATGAGAGATGTTCGGTGAGAATGAAGCAGGAGGGGCTCCGTTGTACGGAGTACGACATGGTACTTGCATCGTGATGAAACAGCCCTTCCTGATGTCCTGGCTGATTGGCGAGATGGGCTGTCCGAGCAGAGCAGAGCAGAGCGACTCGAGTCGATTCAACGTTTCCGGCCGCCGATTCACGAGGCCCAACCGTAGTGTGACTTGCATATGCTGCTACAGAACACTCCACAAGCACTTGAGGTCGAGACTGTTGGTTCGGTTGGCGTGCTGCACCGCGCGATATTTATATCTTCTCCTCTGTGACTGTGAGTCTTGGACTGTTGGGTACGGAACCCGCAAAAGCAATCATGACGAGAAAGTGGAGCCGAGATTGCGAGCGATTGCGCTTCACCATCAAAGCACGCGACTTTGCCTCAGCCGCACCATGACTGGACATCGAGAAACCACTCCATCGTCGACTCGGGACATTCTCTCTCACCACTGAACGCCACTGCCGCCATGCGGACGTCTCTCTGCTCACATTTGCTGCTGCTTCTGGGCAGCAGCTTCATCGCCGTCGCCTCCGCATCTCGAGACACACCCCGAGACTCGCAAGTCCGCCTCACGGGTCCAATTCGTCATCACCAAGTCGACCCCGTTATTCTCGATGCATTAAAGAAGCATTCCGATCCTGTCGATGCCCTCGTCTCGCTGCACCCCGAGGCAGCTGATCAGCTTGCCCAGCCTCGCTTGCTCCGCGTATCTGGTGAGCCGACGGCCAGATGGATGACCGAAGGCGACAAGTTGCGCCTCAAGCGCAAGGGCCACAAGTTTGTTGACATTACCGACCACGAGGACTTTTACAAACAGAATGTAAACGCCTTGGCTGGAGAGGCTCGTAAGTTTTCAAATCACTGCAGCGCAGACCAATTGGGTGGGCATGTCACTCACGACTTTTTGTAGATTTGCCCAATCTCTCACATCAGCACATTGTAAAGCCTCTCCTCCCCCAAGTCTCGACAAAGAGGATGCGCCATGTGCTGGAACACATGACTAGCTACTACACCAGATACTTTGGTAGTGTGACGGGCGAAGAGAGCGCCCAATGGCTTCATGATCACATCGCTGAGGTATGATATGCCTGTTTCCCAACAGGGACTGAAGTTGAAAACGTACTGACGCCTGCGCGTAGATTATCAAGGAATCCCCATTCCACACCCACATCTCTCTCGAGGTTTTCACGCATTCTTTCCCTCAGCCATCCATCATTGCTCGTTTCGAGCCCAAAGTGCGAAACTTCTCGCTGCCGCTGACCATCCTTGGCGCACACCAAGACTCCATGAACTACCTGTTCCCTCTCCTGCCCGCGCCTGGTGCCGATGATGACTGCTCGGGGACTGTGAGCATACTAGAGGCTTTCCGCGTGCTGGCAACCAGCGGCTTCATCCCCATCAATGGACCCGTCGAGTTTCACTGGTACGCCGCTGAGGAGGGCGGTCTTTTGGGCAGTCAAGCTATCGCGCGATACAAGAAGGAGTCGGGCGCTCGCATCGGCGCCATGATGGAATTTGTGAGTATTTGCGTGCTCGGATGTACAGTTCGACAGACGACTTTTTCTCTAACGCACGGAAACTAGGACATGACAGCCTTTGTTGCCAAAAATGCTACCGAATCCATTGGCTTCATTGAGACGGAAGCGGATGCTCCTCTGACCAAGTGGGCAGCCGACTTGGCCAGCGAATATGTCTCGATTCCAGCCAAGGTGTATAAGCTCCCAAGGTGAGCCCAGCTTCCCATCTTTGAGGCCCTCCAGCCCCAGCGACCCCAAGGCTGATGATCAAAAACAGCGGCGCGGGCTCCGACTACATGTCTTTTACGAAGCTCGGCTATCCGTCCGCTTTTGCCTCGGAGGGTAACCCGTCGGCTGGTGCATTTCCTGGCGAATTCGACCCTTATGTCCACACCGCCAAAGACACCATGGATGTTGATGACGACACGGGCATCTTCTCGCTCGAGGTAAGTGTATGCGAAGTTGTTGATGCGGTTCTCATGCTTACTTGTCACAGCACATGGCGCGATTTTCAGAGCTGGCCATTGCGTTCGTTGTCGAGCAGGCAGGCTGGGACAACAAATGGAGGTGAAAATAGACTGTATATATGCACTTCATTTCATGGCTTGGACGAAATCCATCGTCGACGGAAGTGAAAATTCGTAGACATGACAGATAGATAATCTACCATTCTTGACATTTACCAGCTCGTTCCTCCCCCCACCACAAGATAGATACATTGGCATACAATACCCTTCCTGACGATAGCATCTTTCCATCAAATGGCCCAAGGAACCCTGTGTTTCCTGTGCTTCCTGTGCTTCCGACTACGCAGCCTAGACCTGCTGCTTGTGAACCTCGGCCTTGGCACCGTGCTTTTGCTCGCTGGCCTTGTCGGAAACGGCGTCCTTTGCGGCGGAAGCTCTAGGGAACAGTTGGCAACTCTTCGTGCAATACAAAAGGGGGGCTATTTACCGCTCGCCGAGAGTTGCGTCAGAGTCCTTGGCAATGTCCTTGTTGACCTCCTTCGAAGTGCCGGTAGTGGCCTTCTTGGCCTGCTCAGAGACGTAGTTGGCGCCTTGCTTGAGTGATTCCATGATTTGTCTGTTTTTGAAATTATATGCTTGTGAGATTGGGTTGATTTGCAGAAACGGCAGTGAGACGAGCGGCCGCGGGCTTATTTAAAGCAAGGTACAACGTAGGGAAAACATCAAATGGATTTAAGTGGCATGACGTTGTGAGAAAGCTTAACGTTGGCGGCGACGTGGGCCGGCGGATTTGCTCCGGTGGCGAAGCGGTTGCGAAATGATGACGCCGGCGGATTTCGGTGCTGTCATTATGATGCTGCCATTTTTGGTGGGCTGCGCCTTTTGAGTTTGCGCGACCTGTTGAAAGACATGTGCGATTTGCGGCGTTGGACGATGGACATATTTTGTTTGGCTGGGATGTTGATGGTTTGCTGGGGCTGGTGGGAAGAATGGGCGTCGCGTCAAAGTTTGTGTCAATGTTTCATTTTGACGGGCATGGCACCGAGTTGGCCTGATGTGTTGCGTGGGCGTGCCTCTACTCCATTTGTCAACGGGTGAAATACAGGGCATCTATAACCAAGAGGTATATGCGGTTCAGCTATAACGGGCACTAGTGGAATTCCCTTTTGTTTGTGTGGTCAAACGGTGATGCCATTCTTGTACAGAGAAATGATAGGCTTCCTTTTGCGTCCGAATTTCCTAATTGTTGATACAGGACGTTCTAGCTAAAGAACCTATTGTTGCTGGGCTTGGTCTATTGAATGCAGCGTACAAATCATGGGGCGAATGGCAGGACGTGTGCAAACCGACTAGGCCGGCATAACGCTGCCACAATATTTGTTACGGAAATGGCCCAACAACTTGGACGTCCAACAAAGGGGCCTCACCGACAAAGGACCCAGAGGTTACACAGACTGAACACATGACCAGCCAGGAGTCTTGGGCAGAGACGATTTTTTCATGTATGTATGCTGGTCACTGATTCCTCCCTTCCTCTTGGAAAACCAAGCATCTTTGTCACCCGTCGAGATTATCTTGAATTTGAGTCTTTTGCTCCAAGCATTGTACATCGAACTCTTGTCACAATATTCTTCCAGCATACTCGCCCCCTTTTCTTGGCATTTTGCCAGAGCGTACAACTTGCGTTCCCACCTATAGGCTCATTATTGTAACTGGTCATATTCTTTCTCTGCTTGTCAAAGGGCCTTTTATGATTAATAGACAGGGGCCATGAAGTTACTCTTTCATCACCCGCCTTTATAGTAGTCTGACCAGGGCCAACGGGGCACATGTCCCAAATTGTCATGACTATGGTTGTGCTCTTTTCATGGTATTCCGATGGACAAATTCGCCCAACACTTTATTGCTCATGTGGTACACTAGACACTTTTGCCTCAAAGAGCATCTATCCGCGGGAAAGTTTCACACACTCGAGGCATCAGAGCACACATGGAGCATGAAATGAGTCAAATACACTAGCAAATACAATCCATGCCGGACAAACAGAAAGGATCTGCGTCCCCTCCACTACAACACGAGGGCATCGACTCTCTGCTGCGAGCCGCCCGCGGTTCCCAAGAAACACCCGTCCCAACACGAACTGGCTGGTAGTAATATCTGAAGCCAAGAACCGACGAAACCGCCCCAATGATGAACCCGGACATGATGTCCAGCCCATGATGCTGAAAGTCGTACCAACGCGTCGCACAGATGTATATCGCCGCGCCTAGAGACACCGTGTCGTGACCTTTGTAAGGGAGACTGATGTCGGGATTGTGCAGGCTGAAGGGCCGTTTGTTGGGTGGGAATCTGCCTGCGATGAATCCCGCCACGGCGAGACCGATGAGGATGGCCCAGTCGACCGTGTAGGAGAAGACGGTGCCGGAGGATGGCATGGTGGGAATGGCGGGCGGATGGTGAGCGTAAAACAATGCCGAGAGTAAGGTTAGTGACCTGGAGTAGGAAAGGGTAAAACGAGGGGGAAGGCGACAAGGCGCCTGAAATAATACGCATATATGCACATTATCGACAAAGCGGCGGTTGTTGAAAGAGGTCCTTTTGCCCTTGTTTGCAGGGAAGAATGGAATATCGCACAGGCACGGCATGTGAAAATACAAAGGTAGAAGCAACAAACGGAGCAGACAAACACAGACATTCATCAAATTCAAAGGCACCTGCAGCGTGATATTGTGAAATTAGTATAATCGCAGATAGGCGTCGCTACCGATATGATGCCAATGTATTTAAGCAGACGCCAGCCACGAGCTCAGAAAGCGTAAATACACGGCGCCAGAACGTCGAGTTGATTATCTACGTGTTGCTTTTCATACGTGCGCGATATTCATGAGCCAACAGGTTTGATGGCAAGGAGTTGCCGCCTAGCCCTCGGCACAGCATTTTGCGGAAGGAGGGAGGTTGCAAGCTCCAAGGACATTTTCCGGACCAAGGTGTATCACATGCGCATTGATGGTCCCAAGACGTCATTTATGGCTTGTACAAAGATCAGGACAACTTTTCTTGGAGAGACGGCGAGGCTAGGTAGCGGACCTCGTGTTGGGCCAACTTTACGACACCACGGCCGCCCATGAAGTAGGTGATCAGTCAAGTCTGGTGCAATGGTTGGCAATTCTTGGCAACGAATACCATGCAAGGCCTTTTAAGATTCAAGCGCACGTCACCGCGGTTGTGCGGCTGCTACGGGCCGTCCAGTAGAAAGGGAGGTTATTTCCGTTGCTAGACTCCGTGTCGAGCCAAAGCGTCCAATATTAACATGACCACGGACCAACATCAAGACATGGAGGCCCTTTCAGACCATGCAAGTGTCCGGTTACCAGCTGACGTCTCCCCTCGCTTCTGATCGTGTTAATTGGGCGTGTGTATGTATCCCCGCCTGTCAGTCGTCTAGGCTTGCGCAATGTAAGTTTCACGTTCGAGGGAATGGGAAGTCCAAGGCAACCGTCAGGCTAGGTCCTGAGGGCCTGAGCTTGATCTCATGGTGCTTCTTGTCACCGTTGTTGGCCCAACAACCTTTGTTGGTAGCCTCGACGGTGTCTTTGAAGTCAATTGAGCCTGCGACCAACCAGCCTCATTGTCTCCCCGAGTTGACGGGCGGCTACAATGCTCCGTATGTAGAGAAATTAGTCTCATGTCCCCATGCAAGTGCTTCCCTTCGAGTGCTTTCTAGCTTCAGAATCTTTCCATCCGTGGCGGGTTTTGAGTTTGCAAATAAGCAATGCTAATTCTCATCGCCATCCGTTACTCCGTACTCCGTCCTTGAATGCTGGGCATCCAACAAGAACAAAGCCTGAGCTTTGCGGTTGGGTGATTCCTGGTGGCTGCTGGACCGTGTCGATGCATGTTGGTTGTTTGCAGGCTGTACGCTCAGAGCCATGCCGCTCACATCCCGCATACATACGGAGTACCTGTCAATATGATGTCTCACTTGGGGGCGCAGCTGTTGCACTGCTGTTATCGGACTCGACCACGCTGAGAGATGATTGGGAAAAAGGCATGCGGCAATATTGAGACGACTGTTGAAACCACTGTCTTTCAACCAATGCCGTGGCGACTGTGATGACTGCACCCGCAATCTTCCCATTGTTGAACTAGGCTGTGCAGATCGGAAGCTTTGAGAAAAGGCAAATATCTCAAGACACTACACCTATTACGTACTATGTCATACAACACGTTCTAGGGCATGGCGATGTAAAAGAAGTCTTCTATTCTAAACAAGGGCAGTGGTGATGTTGCGTCTATAGACCAGTCTGGAGAGCAAGCAAGTGGTGTAAGAACATCGATGCCATCTAACCGTGTCAAGGAGGTAGGTTGATGACCCTGTAGTTGCGGGGATACCATATTGTCACACCGTAGGTTCGTCTCGCTCTCGGAATCGTTTCTCGGCTTCTTCTTGGTGTTACCGCACTCAATCTCCGGCTTTCGCTTCCTTACTATCAGCGAGTCTAAACCTTCTAGAGTGGTACTCGGAAGCCAAAAAAGATTTTGGTGATAGCCAAGTAGAATCTTGGCGGTTTGATTTGCCCCATACTCTCTGGCAGCCTTGGACAGCCCTGCCTCGGACAATTGCTTAATGTATTGTTGCTTGCCAGATCCGAAAAGGCCATTTGACCCGAATCTGCCCAGTTATTAGCACAGACAGGCAATTTATACCGAGTGACGCAGACGTGGACCAACAAAAAAAGAAGGGAAAGGAAAAGAGAGAAGAGCAAAGCCAGCACCTGGGGATCGTACATGGAGTCATCAATGCTGCAGACAAATAGGGGTCCGTAGATGCCAGGGCTATCGAAGGAAGCAGCGTGCAAAGTATCGCCAGCGGCGCAGACACTGGGACTAGGGGGAGGACTCTGCATGTTATGGGATTCGATTTCATGTAGTCGGCTGCAAAATAGAACCCAGTCACGGCCACGTCGAACCAGGCCGGCGTACTTTTTCCTGTCCTCGGAGGGCGCTTGAAGGCCGATTGCAATGAGGAAGTCGGCCATTTGCTTAGCGGAGATTCTTTCCCGCGCCCTGGGAACGATGCGTAAGAAGAGCTCGTGGGCAGAAACGGCAACAAATCTTTGTAGAACGCGTAGTTCCGTGGTCTGGGAATCCAGCTGAACGGCACTGGGAGGAATAGCTGTGCCCGGCGTGGCTTGTCCTTATGGATATACGTGGATGGTGTCTCCCAGAACGACTCGGGGTTTTGGCGCCAGTGTTGAAAATGACTTGAAAGGTCTTCGAGGTCCTTGGATGGTGAAGTGACCGTCGTCCTGTACACGCGGAGTTTGGGAGGCAAACCATATACTACATGAAGCTGTTGGTATATCTGGCGTAGCCAGTCAGGGTTTCCGCCTTGACCGAAGGGTTCATCGGGCGGAAGTGTCTTGGTAGTTTGCGCAACGGCTCCGTTTGTCAGAACTAGGGACATGGTGTGATAAGTGAGAATATGGACGAAAAAGATGAGAGCGATGATGGCCGGTCACAACATAGCCAGTCTGACATCCAGTCAGCAATGCACAAGGACTGGTATAACCACGATCACGGGCAGCCAAATACTGCTTTTGCAGGCAAGTGCAGCAAATTACATTGGCTGTGCTTGTTATATGAAACCAAAGAGCGGATTTAGAACAAAGAGAAGGTCTTAATTTGGTGTATGGGAATGGTCTTTGATAAGTCATGGCCGGATTGAGAAGCCTTTAGCGACGCAATACCATCTCGCGACTGGGTGTTGATCATTCATAAAAAGGGGTGGTGAGAACTCAAGAACTTGTCACAGACTCGGACGACCTATTCTTTCATATAGCAACCCAAGGGGCCCAAAGCACACGCACACATACACCGCACATTCCATCCTTCTTCCAAAAGCCAAAACGGACCAGCATGAGCTCTTCACGATATCCAGGAGATGCGAGAAAGAGGAAGGACAAGGACAAGGAAAAGGAACAGGAAAGGGACGGCAAAGTGAACAAACGCACGCATGTATTTCACACTACAGAAGGCGAGGGAACTCCTGAAGAACCAACTGTAGGCACACATATTTCCCATACCATGTAACCCTCCCCCCAGAAAGGTCATTAACTTGGAAGTATGTTTAGGTCCACTGGATCACGCAACGTTCAAAAAAGAACGGTCCGGCCTATGAAGAGATTGTTAAGAGCATAGCTTCAAAAACTAAAACTGGAGTTTGGCATATCAGGCATGTTGGCTTAACAGCACATTTTATAGGAAAGAAATATAGGCTAATTAAAATATAAAGGGCAACAGCGCATGCCACAACATCGCTTGGCGGTGCTCAAGTGAACGATGATGTACATTTCACAATTTTCACGGATTATAAGCCAGGAAACGCCTCGGGCCATTATGACTTCGCGGGTCATGTCTATGTGGTAATGGATGACGATTATCCCGAGTATCCCGTACGTCTGCTTCATCCTAGCGAATTCGAATTGAGGCGAGCGCCTGAGGAGATAGCATCTGCTATTCTATGGGATCAAAAGACGAAAGAAAGCTCTCTCTATAACATGGACGACGAATACTACGAGTATTTCTGTGGGGGCGAGGAGCAAGAGGAGGAGACAGAATACCACGAGGAAGAAACATCAGGATATAGCCAGCAGTACGGCTCCGAACATGGTCCAGAGGGGCAGGCTGCGACTTATTCGGCAGCAACTGCCGCCGCTGGAGATTCGCCTGCAGATCCTCAAGACAAGAAGAGAAGAAAGAGGAGTAAGAGTAAGAGAAGGCCCAAGGGAAAGGAAACAGAACGCGGCGAGTAATGTAGGGCATCGTGTGTAGTTACTCATGTCAAGTCGGTCATGTATGCTTTTCATGAATGAGTCAAAGAGTCTGGAAGCAGAGAGTTATGGTCCTAAACAACAACTGCAATGCGCAACTAGAGACGTGGAATTACTTGGGCAGTTGCGACAAGCCCGGGTCATAGTTATTGACACCTAGATTGAGAATGAAATTATGCAACTTTTATCCCATCGCCGTCGACAGACTTGGTCCCCGAACTGGAAACTATCTATAGGGCCAAATAGACCATGTATTTATGGCTTAACATGGGATGATTACAGTTTTTTTCCACAACACAGCCGCATCCACTGTCGCAAATCTGCCAACGTAGATTGATCCTCGTTGACAGTATCTCTTCGCTGCTGGTCGACCCAAGCCTTTGCTATTGCTGAGAGTGTCACACAAGCATTGTCACTGGCAAAATTGCAGGACGAGCAGGCACAGGTGCCAGGATGTCCTGTGAACTGGCCGCTGGGTAACGAGAGACGTCAATAGCATCTTGGTAAGGCAGGCAGTAGTTTACTCTATGTGCCGAGTCCCAAGCAATAATTCACTGTGCTTGCAGGGAAGGAGCACAAAGAAACTTGGCCAGACTCACGTGATTGGAGCCTTGGTCTGTGAGCCTGTGACGGTCAACTGGTATTTAAACTTGACAGCACAAAAATCGCCAGCCTTGATGCAACTTGCCGCCTCACTGCACTTTTCAGATCGCACCTGGCACTCATCACTACAGCGCAGCTCCCACTTCGAAGCCCAAATGCCTCCGCAGGTTGGCGAACGCCCAAAGCCTGTTGTGGGTTCACCAATAAGACGGTATCCCCAACATCCCTCGCGACTATGGAAACGGCTATATTATGAGGGGTGGCAAGACGATCATTTTCTCTTCGAGAAACTTGTTTACTATCAACCGAACGGCCTTCACCCCATCGATCTTGGCGACGAGCTGCACGACCACCGATTCCGCGTCATTCATAAGCTAGGCTATGGGGGATCATCAACTGTATGGCTCTGCCGTGACCAAAGTAAAGACAGACCAGTCTACGTGGCAGTCAAGATCTTCCACGCGGGGTTCGCGGAAACCGAGTGCCGCGAACTACTCATGTTCAAAGTTAAAGACGAAGGCATTGATCATCAGGAACATTACCTATGTCTCCCCAAGGAGCGATTTATTAGCGAAAGCCCCAACGGAACGCATCTCTGCCTAGTCTTCCCAGTACTCGGGCCTACAGTGGACAAGGCCGCCTCAATCTTTGAAGAAGAGCAAAATAGTAGTAGTATTCTTCGCACAGTATCTCGCAGCATCATTGAAGCTTTGGCTATTCTACACCGTCGGGGCATCTGCCATGCAGGTATGTTCTGTGGGTATGCTCCCATTGCTGTCCAGTTTATTGACTCTTGGCCAGATTTCCGCCCGGCAAATATTCTTCTAGGGCTGCAGAGCCTCGACGGCCTGCCGGAAGAACAAGTACTTGCTCAACTTGGCGAGCCAGAGGAAGAAATCATCCAGATCCGAGAGGATTCTCTGCCGACTCCAGACATTCCGTACGCGCCCAAGTACCTCGTTTACCCTGTTGACTTTCACGATACCAGCCCATCGTTTATCCTGCCGCGGGCCGTGGTTATCGACTTTGGTCAGGCTGTCGAAGCCGCGGCGGAGAAGGCACCGCCCGGCATACCGGCCAACTACGCAGCACCAGAGGTGATTCTGCAAGGTGGTGGCGGCCAAGAAATGGATCTATGGTCTCTGGCTTGTACCCTGTACGAAGTCCGAGTCGGTAAACAGTTATTCGATGTACCTCAGCTGATTGGAGTCGATAAGGAAGACTACGAAGAGGAGATTTCCACTGTCTTGGGGAAGCCCGGACATGGTAGGTCTGACCGGGACATGGCACGCGAGATCGGCAAGAGGGCTTTTGGCGATGACATGACGCTGGAAAAGGAGCAGTGGGCGGAGATGCTGGTGGGCTTGCTGAGGTACGAGCCGGATGAAAGGTTCAAGGCGCAGGACCTGCTGAGCAACGCATGGTTTGGGCTTGACTCCTAACAAAGCTGAGGAAAGTGTCGGTTGTCGTGTAACATTGAATATGATTTTCCAAGACTCAGGTACGCGTGCACCCCGTCCTTACCGCTGCTGAGGTTCACATGACGATGGCTGGCAACTCGACGTTGGTCCTTGGACGTTAGACCGACACAGCAATGAGGAAAAGGGCCATCTTGACAGAACGCAAAGGCAAAGTGTTCACATTGACTTTATTCTGCTCAGATTTTAGTCAGCATGGGCTGGATCATCGGGTAGATCCAAGTATTACCCCTTTGGAATTTAGAGTTTGAGTAAAAACAGGGTTCATCCGATGCTAGTCCCGATCGTCGTGACCTCAAGGCTGCTGCGGATAAGAATGTAAGTGTCTTGGATTATTTGCTACTGGCCGCAACTGCCTCTTTCTTGCTTTGTTTCCGGCTCTCTCGATACTGCAGAGTCAGTCAGTTTGTTGAGCTAGGGAAGCAGTACTTTGTTTGAAAGCACGTAACGACATGGCTGTCGGGCGCAAGAACAGCATGGCAGAGTGAAATGGTCAATTTCAATACCATAAGTCCATGACGCTTCATGTCATCATGTGTTATAGCAGAATGGCGAATACTCGGTGGTGGGAAAATATATCCTGCCTGACTTTAAAATGGCCCGGGGCCAAGGAGTACTAGATCTTCCATGTCTTCAAGGAGCCCATCGATTCATGCATCGATTCGCGCCGAAGCTCCGAGGCCACAGCTTCGTGAATCGTCAACACTCCCTAGTCCGGAATGGGCGGATACAACGTCGCGCAACCCATTTGGATGAGGACGGCTGAATCATGAATATGGCATCTAAGAAGGCACTTTTGCTGAATCAACAAAGAGTTTTCACTTGGTACAGGTCCTCAATTGACTCTGCGCATTATCCATATCCGCTCGGTATGTCGCCCGAATCCGCATGATGCCCAGTTTTGCTCATTTTATGGACAATGGGTAGCTTTATTACAGGGTTGTTCCCAGTCGCTTTCCTCTGACAAGGTGCACGGGGAAATGTTTATCGCTGTTGGTGGCACTTTTGAACTGGACCATGCGTCACTTTAATCCTAGTGACGTGGAATCTGAAACGTAGGTGGGATTAATTCTCCGAGCCACGTTCGCAACGATTCATGAAGTTGCCATGATTACCCTGGTGGGATCTTGCGTTCTGGTGGTAACTTGCCAAGCATCGCACCGCCTGTTGCCTTTATCAAGAAACGACGGGATATCATTATAATTTCAGTTAATCAGACGATCACTGGCGATTGGGTTCAACAAGACTAATATACTGAGTGTTTCTGGAGAACTTGAGAGACGTGCAGACAACACCTGGTATAACGCGAGACATGCGTCAAAGTGTTTAATAGTTGTCTAAAGCTCATGGATCGCTGACCATGGCACTCGGCCTACTGTTCACCATAGCTAGTGACTGTTCGACCACGTAGTATCGTGGTATAGAACCTTGTAGAAGCACCCGTTAGCCGCTGTCTGCGACAAAAAATGAAATCCTCAAGCCATGACATGCATGTGTAATAAACCATCAGTTGAATCAAGGGCCCAAATGAGGCGATGAAATTGTCAAAAATAAGGAAATTAGCAAGGAGCATTAATCAAGCGGCAGTGATTCGAAAAGAAGAAAGAAAAGGAATCTTCACCTGATTCCGAGTCACGGTAGCTTCGTTGCGCTTGTTTCACTGTTTCATCCGCTGGCAACGTTGCATGCAAAACAACTCTCTTGCCACTGCGCCAGGGTATTCCACTCGAATTTTATACGCATAGAAATATACAGATGCATGAGCGCGACTACGTATACGGTGGAGGCATTTGTGGAAATAATGCGCAACGATAGTACCAATTTGCCAGACGAGGCACACACGAGTGCGCGCACACTCATATATATATATATGCCTCGACGTTGACAATAACTTCGTGGATACAACACATCATCTCATCATTTCTCACACAGCCTTTTCACGGTCAAACTTTCCACTGCAAACACCGTCTTTTACAATATGAAGAGCTCTCTTATCTTTGGGCTAATCAGCACGGCGGCTGCCGCTGCCCTTCCCGCTCCCGCAGATGGCTGCGAGTCTGACTCTGTCCCTGCCGTTGAACAGACAAAGCCTGTGGGAGAGAACAATGGGAAGCTGCCTTGGCTGAAGCCGGGTCAGTATGCCAGCCTTTGCGGCTCGAGCAAGTTCACCGACGAGGACTGCGGCACCGACATGTACTGCAAAGCCTTCGACGACATCAAGAACGTGACCGACCGCAAGTTTACTTCTTCCAAGCAGTGCTTCGCAGCTCACGAGCCCGAGCCTTTGCCTTGGCGCGAGCCAGGTCAGTTCGCCAGCCTTTGCGGTTCGAGCAAGTTCACCGACGAGGACTGCGGCACCGACATGTACTGCAGAGCCTTTGACGACATCAAGAACGTCACCGACCGCAAGTTCACTTCTTCCAAGCAGTGCTTTGCTGCTCACGAGCCCAACCCGAACCCGAAGCTGCCTTGGAAAGAGCCGGGTCAGTTTGCCAGCCTTTGCGGCTCGAGCAAGTACACCGATGACGATTGCGGCACGGAAACGTACTGCAAAGCCTTTGACGACATTAAGAATGTCACCGACCGCAAGTTTAACTCTTCCAAGCAGTGCTTCGATGCTCATGACCCGAAGCCCAAGGCCTAAACGACGACGAGCAGATGTCCTTGGTATTTGACTAAATCAGGTGCCTGGCCATCGCGCTCCATACTATGATATACTATGGGCTATTAGTGTATCTTGGGAATGCCTCCGTCTTCCAGGAAACAGAGGGGCGCAGGACCGGTTCCTTGTTGGGAGTACCCGTGGTAACCAGGGCAGAAAGATGCGGTTATCAGCGCGTCGTTTGATCATGTATCATGTTTTGTATTCTTCTGTATTTAGACTTTTAAGCTAGACGCGCGGTACGATTGTCGCCGAGAAGAAAGAAAGAAAATAGACGTACCTTTTGTTTGATAATTCATGATATTCTTCCTTCCGCACGATCGCTCAGGTAGTGTGAATAGTAGTATATCGACAGTTGTTTCGGAAGGCCACTTTAACCAAGCTACTTGTCATGCCTGTTTCACGACTGCTTTCATTCCCCATGACACATCTAGACAAGGTCGATTCAGCCAGTGACTCGGTCGTGCTCAATGACGCTACTTGCCAACATCGCGCTATGACGCGCCAATCTGGACAAGCATTTGACGTGGCCTTTTGGCCTTTTCCGTGAGGCTTCAATAGTCTGTGACGGCACAATGCCAACGGCAACCACCTGTACACGAACGGCGGCGACTCCTTTTCTTGCGAGTTTTGCCTCATTACGAACGTTATCGAAGCCAGGTCATTGCTTTGCAGCTTGGCCGGGCGGCCAAGGGTGACTCGTTGGCCACCTCTTGCCATGGCTGTGATTAAGACTACGCCCACATGCATGTAGGAGCGATGGTTTTGGAAAAATGCATCGCGTGCGGCGTGGCTTCAAAATCCTGTAGCGCTAAATAATTGAACAGGACATCGGGCCAAAGGCAGCCAGTCATGACTTCATTATGATCGGTCCGTCGCTGCGCGGACTTGCAAATAGGGGGGCCTCGCACACAGAGCGGCTAGAAGAGGACACAGAGAAGTAAGAGCACTGAGGTTTGACAACATCTTGATGCAAAGACTCGACTGCGGTGCGTCGTTTCCTGGGCAGTTCGTTCAGTGTGCCCCTCGACTAACCTGCACATGCACATGCATTTTGTTGCAAGGAAAACCAGAGCATCTACTCCGTACCAAATTGGCACTTGAGAGATTCCTGACTAAGCCGCAGCCGGACCCGCGATACACGCGATACTAGGCGCCTCTTTACGCGCCCCTTTCTCAACCTTTAGCGTTTCTGCAGTGACGCTCAATCTCCTCGTTACGCGGCACTTTGTTGCTGCCAAGTTGCTTTAGGAATACCCCGTTTCCTTTGTGGCCCGCGCATGTAGCTGGCTCCATGTTGGCACGGGCTTTCCTTCGCAATGGCTTCGGCCTCTTGGTCCCCTTGGCCGTCGCCTGCTCCATCTACCTGTACTTGTACCCCGTCTTCAGCAGATGCGCATTCCCCCTGCCGTCCAGAGACCCCGATGCTGCATTTGAGGAGACCAAGAAGCTGCATTGGCCGTATGCCGACGCCGAGACGAATGCGCAGGCCCATGCATTGCCCACCAAGCAGGCGCCATTTCGGCTCTTGGCCCTCGGTGATCCCCAGCTCGAGGGTGATACGTCCATCCCAACAGTCTACTTGGGCATTTTCCCCCACGTCAAGACCATTTTCCAGCGGCTTACTTTTCAAATATGGCACGACTCTCTCCGGGATCGAGTGCGAGTAATACTACACGACATCATCGACATTTTTTTCGAAGATATCCCCTTTATTTTCGAGTCGTGGCGCAAACGCTTCGACCTGTTCGGCAACGACTTCTATCTCGCGCACATCTACAGAACCTTGCACTGGTGGACGCAGCCTACACACGTTACTGTGCTGGGGGATCTCCTGGGCAGCCAGTGGATCGAGGATGACGAATTTGAACGTAGAGGCCGACGGTTTTGGAACCGAACCTTTCGGGGCGGTGAGCGCGTACCTGATGATGTAGCCATGTGGCCCAATATCGAGTACAATCTGTCCGGCATATTGGACGGTTCTGCGGCCGAAGAAGTCTGGAGAAGAAGAATAATGAATGTGGCCGGAAATCACGACATTGGCTACGCTGGCGACTTAACCCCCGAGCGCATTGAACGGTTTGAGCGAGTATTTGGCAAGGCAAACTACGAGCTACGATTCGAACTTCCCGTCACCGACCCTGAGACCAATGCTACAATTCAAGATCCGGAAACAAACCCTGCCTCCGTGCGACTACCCCCTGAGCTGCGAATCATTGTATTGAACGACATGAACTTGGACACACCCGCAAAAGACCAAGGCTTGCAGGACGCTACGTACAACTTCATCAACGCAGCCATTGGTACGGCATGTGCTGTCGAATACAAGGGCCAATTCACCTTGATTTTGACTCATATTCCCCTCTATAAGCCTGCCGGCATCTGTGTCGATTCACCTTTTTTCGATTTCCATGGCGACCATGACGGGGGAGGCGTCAAGGAGCAATACTTGCTCAGTTCAGATGCCAGCAAAGGTATTCTTGAAGGCATTTTTGGTGTTAGCCGCGATCCCCAAGCCGCCGGACAAGGTATGGGCCGCCCTGGACTTGTCCTCAACGGACACGACCATGAGGGCTGTGACACGTACCACTTTGTTAACCAAACAAACGGCACCACTCCCGATGAACGATCCTGGGAATCACGCAAGTGGCAGGACGTGAGGGTGTCCAACATTCAGCAGTTGCAACAGCATCCCGGACGACGAGAGATCACCGTGCGCAGCATGATGGGCGACTTTGGTGGTAATGCTGGCCTTCTGAGCATGTGGTTCAACCACGACACTTGGGAATGGGAACACGAATATGTCGACTGTCCCCTTGGGCGACAACACTTCTGGTGGCTGACACATTTTATAATATTTGGCGTAATACTTTTTGGATCTTCTTACGTGGCGGTCGCAATTTTGGAATCCAAAGGCGTCGATGTAGATGCTCGTCTTCGTCAAGCCTTTGTTTGGGCACAACAGCAGTTGAAGGAGTTGGAGAAGAAGCGACAGGCGCGTAAGAACGCGGCGGTATCGAACGGGAAGCCCGGGGGGAAGTCATGATTGGATGCGGGTAGGCATTTTAGAGCATTTACATTAGCCTAATTTCTTTTTGTACAATATGTTGGCAGCGTTGCCATTTTGGGACTTGTTTGCATGGTTTGAGGCGTCCGTTCATGAAGGGTCCATGGTTTGCTTCTCAGGCGTGTGCAACCCCGACGTGGTGTAGGCATTGATTGTGTTGTCGTTGTCTTTTCCCTCTTTTTCTTTTGAATAAACTGGACTTGATGGGCAAAACGGTTGCACACAGATCACGGCCAGTTAGCTTTTGGTTGGACAGAAACTAGCACACAAGCAGGGGAAGGGTTCGGTCTCTGTGAGATGGTGACTCCGGAAGGCGGTACAACGAGGAAACGGAAGAACGGCCGGTAAGCCGATGAACTGGTTCGATTATGCGTCCTCGACGTCGTACCCCGTAACATCGCACGGCTTCCAAGAGGCCGCAACGCTAGGGTTCGGGGGCAAGAGTTCGCGACAGCTACCTGCCTCCCTACCTGGGTAGGTATGAAGCAGCTATGCCAGCCAGCATTGCCCATCATATCAACGGAGCCGACTGTCAAAGGCAAACGTGTCAAGTTGGTTCTTCTATACATTGCATTCCCAGCATACAAAATGTTACAGAACCTCATGTTTGCTCTGACGACACGCCGCGACACACTCCGTGATATGAAGCACAAAGTTGCGATGTGGCCATTCATCTCTGAGCAACGGGGGAGAGACTACGAGTCTTCGTCTTGACCAACAGGGAAACAACTATAAAGCGAGATGCCTTCTCTATTCTCTAGTCTCAATATCGAAGCTTCCTCGTCAGTTCAACTACGTTGCAAAATAGATCTTGTCTCCATCTCGTCAAGTCGCCAAACCGCCAACATGTATCTACCCAGCCTTCTAACTTGCATCATCTCCATCTTCACCCATGCCCACGCCGCCCCGAGGCCCGACTCACTCGCAGTAATATGCCCCAAGTCCAACACAAGCTCCTCACCTTGGCCAGGAACCACCCCCTTTACTGCCATGCCTCTCCCAACTCTCCCAAGCGCAGGCGACTGCGCTCCCGGCGGCGTCTGTGACTGCTCTCGAATACCCGACAAGAATAGCAATGAGTTCGTATCATCCACCTATCCGTACTTACCTAGGTACATAGCCACACTAACCCCGGCTAGATACTTTCAATGTGTCACCAATCCCAACTGTGAATACTGCTGGGTCGGCAGATCAACCACGTCGACGTCCTCGTCGTCCAAGACCCTCGTCGCCAATTCCACCAGCATCTCCATCACCGACTATCACACCATGTCGCCCGGCACCTACACCATCACTACCAACGGTACCGTGATCAATATCGTCGTCACACAGGAAATCGCCACTCCTACTTCTTCTACGCAGGTCTTTGTAACCATGACGGAGACAGTGGTAGTTACCGTGTCGTCCGCATCTACTTGGACTGCAGGTAAATCCAGTTCGACTGCGACGGTAGATGATGATTGTTATGGACGGTGTAACTGCTCCAAGGTCGAGGATAAGGACAGTAAGGGGTAGGTCTTATTTCATTCTTTTTTCCACATCTTCCTACAAAAAGCTAGGATCATCTTGTCAGGAGGCGATGGCAGGTAACCAGGAGCAGATTCTTCGAGTGCCTCACCAACCCCGACTGCGAGAAATGCCACTCCACAAACGCAGCGGCCTTGGCTACCGAGACGGCTGCCTCGAGCAGGATTTCCAAGAGCTCTGCGTCTAGCAGTACGACGACGACTTCATCTTTTGGCGCCCCTACAGACGCTTGTCCTTTCTTCTGCGACTGTTCGGGCATTGAAGATAAAGACAGCGAAGAGTAGGCTGCCTCGTTTACTTTACATGTGGGCGTACGGCTAACTGCAGCTAGGTATTTCCAATGCATCACCAACCCCGTCTGCGAACAGTGCAAAAGCCGCCGCTGGTAGACGCTGAGTTGAGTCTCGAGAGCCACGAAGTCAAGTACCTGGAGGATGTGGCGAGCGGATCAAGACTAGCTATGTGTAATTGGTATGATAAGTAGTAGCTTCTTACGGCATAGCTAGATAATAAAGAGGTGTGCGCCGCAGCATCGCAGCTGTTTTGCTTGAACGAGTGAGCAGAGAGAGATGTCAGGAATCCATACGGCTATCCTACAAGATACAACTCCCAGCATCCATTCGCCATTCCCATCCCGAATCCTAATCATTAAGCGAACGTGTCCATTTACATTCATGAATCAACGCAACAATAGTAATCGACGCCATGCGCTACGCTACAACCAGCATATTGTGAGGTGCATAACCTTCCCTAGGGATACCATCGAATAACTGAGCCGCAGCGTCAGCGTTGCGCTTCTCCTCCTTCTCTGGCCCATCCGTCCATCCTCGTTCAGGACCCCAGAGGATCTTCCGCTTTGACTGAGCAGCAACCTCGAGCAGGCCCCTCATCATGGCGCCCGACTTCTTGACGCCAGGGTAGCCCTCAAACTCAATGGCGACGTGGCCGGGGATTTCGCCGAGCACGTCGCCGAGCAAGTTGCGACAGAAACCTTCGTAGAAGCCTTCCGATCGACGGAACCCTTCGTAGATGCCGTCGCTCGGGTCGCATTCAACATACACGGTCAGTTTGCGAAGATTGCTGCAGTCCTTGAGGCCCAGGGCGTCGTTGACCACCCACCCCCGCGGGGGAGCGTTCCAGCCAGGCCCGAGCCGCAGCTCCAGCGACGTGATGCATCGGCGCTGGCTCGGTTTCAGGCGCGCCAGGAGCGGCTTTCTCGACTTGAAATATTTGCCGGGAAAGGTGGGGAACAGGCGAATGGCCCGGGAGCTGAAGAAGAAATGAGTCGCTTCTGCCCGAACCTGTTTACATGTACGGACCAGACCCAGCGCCCTGTGGTATCTTTTATGGTTGCCGGGGTCGAGGTCCAGGACCTTTTCGGCATTGCTCCAGTAGTGCTCGTAGACCTTGACGCGCAATTCAGAGGGCAGGTCAAGGAAGCGAAAGGGCTTTTCCGGGACGCGGCTCTTTCGCCTTAGTGGTATGAGAGGCGTGTCGAGGGTCAGGGAAGCAATCGGGATGTTGCCGACGTCGTCGACTTCGGCTTCGGACGCATGTGTTGACGGATACGCCGAACTTGCTGGCGTAGTCATTGTGGAAGATGCTGGCGTCGCATTGCGCGGCGTCAAGCCCGTGGGAGGCTTCGAGCCTCGTCTGACAGGTCGTCTGGGCATTGCCGGGTGGTAGTTGTGGTATTTGGTGTGACTGCTCCGCTTAGAAATAGGCCGTGGTATGTGGCGACTGTAGGCGCAAACACGAACCGCTGCCAATGTCGGGGTGGATATGGGAAACAAGTAGTTTCTTTAAAAAGACGCTAGAGCGAACGAGATGAATGTCGTTGCAGATTGGCGCTCGTCAAATATTCAGCGCGATAGGGTCGACTGTGATGTGTGGAAGGCTCGGATCGCGAGTTGGCTCACAGAGGGTGGTGCCATGGTGAAGTCGCAAAGACTGTCGGGAGACCACCCTCTAGAATGCAGCACACGCATGCATAATGATGCCGGGCGATGCTCAGTGGTGTATGGAGAGGGGTGATGGATACAGAGTCCAAGTCAATGGCGACTGGAACGAGTCCTAGGAAGGGTGATGTGGTCTCGTGATGTTTGAATCAGGGGTGAGGGGAGGGGAAGCCGAACAGGTGCAGGGTGTGTTGAGGAACGCCCAGCCGCTTGTTGCATCTCGACGAAGATGCCGTCATCCAATGGGAGAGACGGCTGCCAAGACAGTCTGAAGGACCAGCCTACGCCACACTGTCCACTAGGAGGCCATGTTGCTTGCCTAGCAGTCTAGAGTGGCATACTTGGTACACAAAAGATAGTTTGTATTGGGGCGAAATCGGCTGACGGATGGATACCTTAGCCTAGGTGCCTTGTGGTAGCAAGCGAGCCTCCTCTTCTCTAGGGTTTGAACTACAACTACCCGAGGCTGCCCGGTTTCAATACAGCCAGTGAGAGAGGCAAAGGCATGCGCAGGAAACTACCGAGGACTTGGCCTTCGTGTTATTAATTGAATTCAATTAATACATGCATATTACTGCGTAGAGACGGCGAAATCGGGTCCCACAGACATCCGAAATAGGACATGGGAGCCCGTTTAAACACCGGCTAATCATTTGCGGGTCGCGCTTCCATAAAATTTCAGTGAGCAGAGAGCCGCCATGTCATCGCGCGCGCACACATGCCCGTCATTTGACCTAAGCAGCTCCCGGTCTAAGCTGGAAAAAAAAAGGGACATTCTCGACTTCTCTCAAGCTCCCCGGCTCTTGTCACCAGAGCTGCTCATTTCCGGCATCACACAACACGACAATCAGGTCGCCCATGGGATGCTAAGCTTATAAAATTCGATTATACATATTATCCATCTACGCATTGCGCTCCTTGCGATATCAATCCGTCAAGATGCTGTCGAGAATAGCCCGCGCCCCGCGCCTGGGCATGTTGGCTGCTCAATTGTCACAGTCCGCTGCATCGCCGGCTTTACGAAGTAGACAGACAGCCGTATTCGTCTCCCCCTGGATGCGGTCGTTTGCCAGCAACAACAAAAATATTGGCGGGGGCGAAGGCCAGAGTCGTCCAGAGTCGTCCACGCAACCGAAATCCGACTCCAAACCCTCTGCTTCGCAGAACACTCCGCCCTCCAATGAAACCGAAGCCGAATCATCCCAGCCTTCAAAAGAGGCTGAACCGATCCCTTTCCACAAACTTCCTGATTTGACACAGGGTATTCCATCGACCCTCGACGCAGAACTGCGCAAACAGTCGGGCCAGGCCACGTCTGCTCTTGAAGCCGTTGAGCAGGAAGAATCCGAGGGCCGTGGCAAGCGGGAGCGCGCCGAGTATGTGTCGACAAGTGACCGCAACCGAAAATGGTGGGCGCGATTTATGCTGGCTGCCGCCGCCGCCGGAGCATCCTTTGGGGTTCTTTACATGGGTCGTGACTGGGATGATGCCATCGAAGTCGAGCGCCATAGTGATATTCCCAATGGCTGGAGTCCCACGCTGTGGTGGCAGAGGGCCAGAGCCCGTATGGGCGAGTCGGTGTCCTATTACCAAGATCCGGCATTCGACAAACTGCTTCCAGACCCCGATCCCAGCTTCGAGCGACCCTACACTCTCTGCCTAAGCTTAGACGACCTCTTAGTACACAGCGAGTGGACCCGAGACCACGGCTGGAGAGTAGCTAAGCGACCGGGAATGGACTACTTTGTTCGATATCTCAGCCAGTACTACGAGCTGGTTCTTTTCACGACTGTTCCGTTTGCTATGGGCGAACCCATTGTCCGCAAGTTGGATCCCTTCCGTTTCATCATGTGGCCGCTGTACCGCGAAGCCACCAAGTTTGAAGACGGCGAGATTGTCAAGGCAAGTACAAAGACAAATGTTTCTACAGGAGCATCAACTCATCGTTTAAACAGGACTTGTCGTACCTCAACCGAGACCTCTCCAAGGTCATCATTATCGACACTAAGGCACAGCACGTCCGCAAGCAGCCGGAGAATGCCATCGTGATAGATCCTTGGAAGGGGGACCCCAAGGACAACGATCTGGTTGGGTTGATCCCTTTCCTCGAATACATCCACACGATGCAATACTCGGATGTGCGCAAGGTCCTAAAGTCGTTCGAGGGCAAGCACATCCCTACCGAGTTTTCCCGACGTGAGGCTATTGCAAGGAAGGAGTTCAACAAGCAGCTGGAGCAAAAGAAGAAACATTCCAAGGGATCCGGCGTCGGGGCACTTAGCAACCTTCTCGGACTGAAATCCAGCAACATGAGCATGACAATGGCTCCCGAAGGCGAGCAGAACCCATCAGAGGCCTTTGCCCAAGGCAAGATGTTGCAGGACATTGCCAGAGAGCGAGGGCAGCGCAACTACGAGCTTTTGGAGAAGGAAATCCGCGAAAACGGCGAGAAGTGGCTCAAGGAAGAGCAGGTCGCTTTGGAGAAGGCCCAACAAGAGGCCATGAGCAGTATGATGGGCTCCTTCTCCGGCTGGTTTGGACCCAAGCCCGGCGACGTAGCTGGCGCCGGTGCCAGCGCCGGTGCTGGTGCTGAAAAGAAGGCATAAAACCCAATTGCCTGCCTACTTGAACAGCACGGCGTGTCTCCCCTCTCGTCATCTAACTTGTAATTGTAGCACGCCCTGAGAAAAATATCTATATATAGCAGAGGTTAGGACTCCCACAGATGTTGAGAGATGAAAAAGGAGGTTCAACTTGAAAAACATATGTTTTGTTTACAAGTTTTTTTTTAATCATTTATCGAACAAAGTCATGCGGTGGGCATTCCGCACATAGAATTTTCTCGCATTTTGTTAGCCAGGGGCGGACAGAGGGAATGACTGCACAGGCAATGAATGAAGATAGATAATTTGTATAGTAGGTGTATGAATCAAAAAGTGGTGTTGGCAACGAGACTTGACGCTTTCTGGGTGTTTTAATAGTGTGAACGGTGGGTGCATCCCTCAATGGTAGAGATGTCACCTTGTCCAACAACTTGAATATACCTGTAACTCTGCCTAGACTACCGAACCTACTACATCTGCTTGATAAGGAGTCTAGTATGGTCCAGTTGAGAAGATTCATTGCTATGGATAACATTTATCACTAAAGTCCGCATGCTCTACCACATAACGTATTCCAAGGGCCCGGTTGGGCAAACAAAAGCCGGCAATCACTTGCAATATAAACCTAGTCTACCTCCCCGGCTCATTGAGCACCCAGCATCCCTAAAGCATTTCGTAATTCTTGGACCGCAGTAGGCACATCCTCAAAGTTCAGCGCTGATATGGCCCATTTGGCGTGCTTTTGCGCTTGCTCAATGCTCTTATGATTGGGCGCGAAGCCCGTGGGCGCACTCGGCGCTGGGGGGCCCGCCTGGCGAACAGGAGCTGGCGCTGGCGCAACAGTAGGCGGCACATATTGGGGAGTAGGCGCGGAGGGAGGAGGTGCACTGGGTACGTTGTTCCATGCCGAGGGCGTGGGAGCAGAGGGCTCGGGCGGCGGTAGTTTCGTGGGTATCTGAGGAGATTGTTGCGGAGGGTGTACGTCTGGTGATGGCGCAGGCGATACCTGGGCCGGCGGAGGATGCATTACTGAAGCTGGCGGACCGGGACTCTGAGTCAACGGTGAAGGAACAAATGGTTCCGGTTGGGCAGTGGTCGGTGGGAAGTAACCTTCCTGGACTGGCGCAATAGGAGGCTCCCCGTCATCAGGAGCGTCTTCTACAGACGCAACTGGCGGGCTCATTATTTGCTGAACTGCCGGGTCGGTAGGGCTAAGAACTGGTTCGGAGCCCTCGTCTTCTTGAACCTGGGGATTGGTCTCGTTGGGGTCTTTGCCCTCCCGTATGGCTTTCAGAATGCGCGCGGCATTCCATTTCGCAAACTTGATCTTTTTGATGATTTCGGGTTCGGGGGTACCCCACTCATGGGTAAGGTCAAAGAAGGTGGCGGCCGCATCAAACGTATCTGCCGTCTGTCTACGCTTGGTCAGCCCCATCGCTCTCGGGGTACAGTCGTGATGATAGAATATATAGTCTAAGCGGCTACACGTACCTCGAGACCTTGTTGGCTCGCAGAGTCCTCTCGGCTCGACTAAATGTTTCCTGAGCAAACTGCTCGACGTATGCCTGGCCGGCAGTGTTATCCACGATGGCCTCGTCATCTGCGCGCTCGGTCTTGGTTGCCTCCAAGCGCTCAATCAAGCCTTTTGTGTATGCAAAGCAATCGTCGTCGGTAGTGTGGAGGCTCTTGGTAACGATTTGGTTGACCGCATGGTACTCGCCTGGGACAGGTGTCAGCACGTCTTATTTCTCGGGCGATTTATGGCTATACGGATGTCGCGCATGCGAGAGAGAAGCTTACACCAATATGCTATAGCAGGTTTAATTGTGCGCAGCTGGTTTGCGCGGTTGATAAACCGGCTGACCTCGGGGATCTTGAGAGGCGGGGGCAGAGGCTCGGCGCTCATGGCTGGCTGGGTTGGGGGCTCTGGCCAATTGCAGAACCATGCAAAAGAAGACCAGGATTAGAGGCGAGTGAAAGTCAAGTCAAATTATGTCTCTTGCCACAAGTCAGTGTCAGTAGCGGTGGGAAAAGGGAGACAATCGAGGTGCTTGAGTTCTGCGTGTTCCGAGCATATCAGGCGTCTCGAGCTGAGCCTGCCCCACCAGATTAGATGTGCACACTGCACAGTCCGTCAATATGCGGCCGTTGATGCCCGGTGCCTGAGCAGAGAAGTGACGTTAGTGCTGCCTGCTCCTGCCTGCGCATGTGCCCCTCTGGAGCTCGCGCCACAGCACCTGCCATTCTGCCATCGAGCTTCGATGTTGCAGCAGCGGCTTGCTTTCCCCAGGTGGCGGGGCCACTGACCACATGTGCACCTTCCGGCCACGTGTGGCTGGGCACTTCGAGTGCTCCTGCCACTATCGACATTGAATACTGGCAGGTGCCTCCAGACACCAAAACCACCACCACCGACAGCTACACCGTGGCCTTTTTCCCTTTCATGCCACGGTGTTGCATCAGGCCATATTGCTTCATCATTTGCACACAACATAAATACCAAGCCCTGCCTCATCTACCAAATTAGCCAGGGTCTGCTCTCATTACGACATAATTAATCTTTTTTTCTCTTTTGAATTCTCCTTCGCGCACTCGTATCTTTTCATCTGCCATTCACGCAACCATGCTTCCTCCCGGTTCCGTCGCTGGCCTGACAGCCCTGCTGGCCGCAGTTCCCAGTGTACACGCCATGTACACCTCAAACTCCCCAGTTCTCCAGGTCAATGCGAAAACGTATCATACCCTGATTGCTAAATCAAACCACACTTCTGTGCGTTGCTCCCCTTGTCCTCCAATGGCGTTTGCTGTCGCCCGAGCAAACCCCGTTTCCCCTCTCGTATAAGCCTGCTCACATTTCCGACAGATTGTCGAATTCTACGCACCCTGGTGTGGCCACTGCAAAAATCTCAAGCCTGCCTATGAAAACGCCGCCAAGAAGCTTGATGGGCTTGCCAAAGTCGCCGCTATTGATTGCGACAATGAGATGAACAAGCAATTCTGCGGTGGCATGGGCGTCCAAGGCTTCCCCACCCTCAAGATCGTTCGTCCTGGGAAGAAGCCTGGCAGTAAGCCCGTCGTTGAAGACTACCAGGGCGCCCGAACTGCCAAAGCCATTGTGGAGGCTGTCGTAAGCAAGATCAACAACCATGTTACCAAAGTCACTGATAAGGACTTGGACGCCTTCTTAAAGCCTCAGGGTCCCAAGGCAATCTTGTTCACGGACAAGGGAACCACCAGCGCCTTGTTGCGAAGCCTTGCCATTGACTTTTTAGATGTCATTTCTGTTGCCCAGGTGCGCAATAAGGAGGCAAAGATTGTGGAAAAGTTTGGAATTACAAAGTTTCCTACATTTGTGCTAGTTCCGGGTGGCGACAAGGAACCCATCATCTATGATGGCGATTTGAACAAGAAGGACACGGTTGCCTTCCTGAAGCAGGTTGGACAGCCTAATCCTGATCCTGCCCCGGCCAAGCCCAAGGTCAAGGGTGACAAGACAAAGGCCCCCAAGTCAGAAAAAGCTCAGAGCAAAAAGACGAAGGCCTCTTCCTCTGCCTCACCCGACACCGAGGACTCGGCCACAACTCCAGAGGCTTCTACCCAGACAACCGCAACCGAACCCGCAGCCTCGACTCCTGATGTCATCTCCATTACCACCGTGACTACCAAGGACACTCTTGTCGAGAAGTGTCTCAGTCCGAAATCTCACACCTGTGTCCTGGCCTTTATCCCAGTCGATGCCTCCGAAAACAGTGCTAAAGTCACCGACTCCCTGTCACAGCTCAACACCAAATACGTTCACGGTCACCGGCAGCTATTCCCCTTTCTCGCCATCCCCAGCAATATTGAAGGGTTGGATTCGATTCGACAAGCCCTCGGTCTGGAAAAGGACGTGGAGCTCATTGCAATTAATGCCCGACGCTCTTGGTGGAGACATTACGATGGTAACTTTGATGTTGAGAGCGTTGAAGCATGGCTTGACGCCATCCGTATGGGTGAAGGATCCAAGAAGAAGCTGCCCACGGAGATTATTGCCGTGGAGGAAGTTGTCGAAGAGGACTCTGACAAAAAGACGGACGCCGAAGAACAGGCGCCAGCAGACGAGGTCAAGCATGAAGAGCTCTAGTAAACAGCAACCGTAAATCTGGAAATCCGGATGCTTTTGATGTCAAGTTAGTCCCATGGCAGTCTAGTATAATTATGTATTAGCGTTATACCAACTTGCTTCCTGTGCTTCCGCATAAAGGACGGAAAATTTCGCAGCTTGATGTGCCTTGCGCACACCATTTACTCATCCAACTCCATGGCCACGGTATCGCTTCGTTGTACAGCGCCTTCCCTGATCATCTTGACTCCCCTGTCCTTGATAGCTTTGTCGAGAAGCATCTTGACCTGCTTGCACCCGTCCAAGCCAACGACGAGCATGCCCTCTAGACGGCTGACCTGGACGCGGCTCTCGCAGACAAGAGCGACAACACGATCACTGTCGCCGAGCGACGCTACCGTGAGGAAGGGAAGCTCCTGCTCCTCCTGGTTGTTGAGGTCCAGCAGAGGATCGGCGGAATCGTCACCGGCGGCATAAGAAGACGTCGATCCGGCGGTGCAGGCAGCAATATAGTCCGTCATCGGGATGCCGGCGTCAATGACGGCAAGAGTGGCGGCGTTGATCAGAGCGGCAAGGAGAGAGCCGTCCTGTGACAGGACGTGCAGCGACACCGTGATGGAAGAGTGCGGGAAGAGATGCGTATGGACGGTGGAGGAAAGCGCCTTGGCAATGGTGATTTCAATCTCTTGAGTGCGTCTACCGTACCGCTCGCCACGTCAGCGCTCGATAATTAAACAAGACATTGGGGTTTCGGGACTCACTTGTCGCTCCGCGCGCGCTTCTTGCGGTCAACGCTGGAGAAGCCGGCAATGACGACGTTGACAATGATGGAGGCGGCGTCGCGGCCTGGCGCCTGTCCGCCTCGCCGTTGCGCTTGGGCCTGGGCCTGCTGCTGCTCCGACGGGCCGGTCACGACGCACATTACTTTTGTGTGGCCCATTTCGAAGTAGGACGATCCGTCGGCGGCATCTTGGGTGCGGATCTGGGCGTGGAGGCGGCGGAGTTCGTTCCAGCGGCGGCCGTCGACGCGCAGGAGGGCGAGGGAGTATGTGGATGTGTCGAGGGGCATGGCGCTGACACGGGGGTGTGTCTGTCGTGAGTGAGGAGGGGGGGATCACCCGCGTGAAAGAAGGATTTTAAGGTGCGAAAATGGTGCTTTGAGCTGGACTTGTATGCTTGTTGGATATTTCGAATTGGGGTTTTTTTTCTTTGGAGCTCCAGTGAGAGGGTGTGGCTTGTGTGGCGTGTACTGGTGCTTCTGGGTGTGGCTGAAGGTCACTTCCCGAACCAATGTAAGACAAGGTCGAGCTGTTAATCTGCCTTAAGTACTTAAGTACTGAAGTAGGTATATATTGGTTAGGTCTACAAAGTTCGCTGTCCCTAATATGAGATTGGGCAACAAGGTTACGAGGCTAACTGCAGCGTTCCATCATGGCCTTGCAGTGTCGAGTTCCGATACCCGTCAGCCAAATCTGCGGGCTCCAGGCTTCGCGATTGCTCGGGTGTATCCTCCTGAATTGATCCTGGCATGAAACTACTTGTAAAATGACGGAGAGAAAGATGCTAGTGACGAGTTTCCACTCACGCTGGTCAAGAGAATCTTGCTAGATTAATTACCTACCTAGGTAGGTAGGCTTAGACTGACATTACCCTCGGATCTGGGGAAGACAGAACTGCCTACCCGGTAGTTAAGTAGATGCTCCGTGTAGTGCATGGTATAATTCCAATGTCTACGTTTTCGTTGGCTGGTTGGGGAAAAGCAGGGCAATACTGGAACGACTAAAATGCTCATGATTGTGACTCTCCAACTCTATCAAAGAGGCCGAGGTGGCCTTTGTCGGTGCATCCATGTCCAAGGATTATACATCAACATTTATTTTACGTCAACAGCAAAAGAACCTACAAGAATGTCACCCATAGGCCCAAATCCAGAGTACAGGCGGTTGCCCATAATCTGCCCACCTTGGTCCTTGTGCAAAGCAAGCAAAAGGCATACTCAACCGCCTGCTTAGGCAAAACGAGCATCACACTCCTCTTTGTAGGCCTTCAGCTGCTCCATCTTTGTCTGCGTGAACTTGTTCATCTCTTCAATGTCCTGGTGAGAAAATTCAGCACTCCCGTCATGCAACACGGCCCAGTAAATGGCATCCAGCTCGAAGCTTTTTCTTGCTGCATAATTGAACCAGAACCCGCCACTCCTCCACGAAGCACGCATCCGAGCAGAAAGCGGCGGTCCGGTTCGCTCCGTGCCTTTAGATAGGGACGCGCCTTCGACCTGTTCCAAGGCTCGAAGAAACTGCTCCATCCTGGGCGTATAGAGGGTGCGGAATTCTTCTATAGAACCGCGATCAAGCCACACCTCTGGACCAGATATTAGTAGCCACCACGGCGGATCATATGTGAATTGCGCCGGCATTGCATTTGTAAACTCGAAATCGAGCATTGCGGTTATTTGAAGGGTTTCTAGATTGACGAGCATGTTGGACGGCCGCATGTCGTCGCAGAAGAGTAGAAATGGCCCCGTGTCATGAATGCAGTACTTTGGGATAAGACGGGGTAGCTGACGCCGAGCAATAAACCGCGCTTGGGCGATTTCTGGGTCGTCCGCGATGTTGCGCTGAGCCCAAACGTGGTCCAGGTGCTGCCTTGCGACGGATTTGAGATAATCGCTTGTGCTATCAAAGGTGGTTGTTGGGAAATGGTCATCCGGGCAACCCGAGACAGTTGCTAGTTCATTCATGTTGTACGTGAGGGGCCGTTTGGTAACAGACCACGTATTTGAATCGTGATCCTTGGAGATGGCGCCGATGCGGGAGAAGGATAGATGAGAGAGCTGAAAAGTGTAACTCGCGATTTGGAGATAGATGGTATCTAATGCTTTGCTATCGATGTCTGGATTCAAAATTGGATCCTCTTGGTCGCTCTGAGTGGGTTGTTTGAGGACCGTCGATAAGACGGTTCCCTCGACGTGGTCCATTATGATGAACGGGCCAAACTGCTGCGGACTCTCGGCGGTGAGGCCCCAGCTATGAACACGAGGGATAGGAATCGCGGTGTTTTGGCGGATATATTCCATGACCATGGCCTCATTTGCGACCTTTTCATCTCTTAGGGCCGTAGCCGTGTGTCCGGGCTTTGGGAATCGAATAATGGCGTCTGGGCCTCCGTCGCCGAACCTAAACTGGAAGCTGAAGTTGAAGGATCCTTTGAGAAAGCCGACATACTCTGTGGCTGGACCTCCTTTCCGACGGCTAGCGACGAATGCTGCCAATTCGGCCTTGGCATTAAAAATTTTGTCTAGCCAGGCTCTGCATTCGTCGTCGCCGTTGGTCTCTTCAATTTCATCAAAGTATGTCTTGAGCTGGAGTATCTTTCGCACATCGATGGATGATGCAAATGTGGAAGTAGATGACATGGCGGCAAGAAGAGGGTAGCGTCGGTGCAATCACTCACTCTGCACAATGAGAGACTTGATTAACGGACTTTGGTATCTTGTTCCTCGACATCGACATGGCGGTGGACGGATCGGATCAAAGCATGGCCGGGCACGGCTATGGGCGACCAACACAACATTGAACCTCCTAGAAGTAGGCAGTCGCGTGAATGAATACTTGGACCGATAGTCATTATTGATGCCCGAGCCTGGTCACGCCTCGGAGGGTCAGGCAGGCAGGGAACACCTCCGTCTGTCGTCTATGGAGTAAGCATGCCTCTGGTCTGGTGGGCGGGAGTTGAACGAGTCAACATTGCGAATTTGCATGTTGTCACATGATGGTCGCAATCGGCCGTCGTGGGGGCAAAGTTCTTTGGTGTTGTACTTTGATCTGTGTAGGAACTCTCCACCAACGTCACGTTTACAACGAGAGAAATGGTTCTTCTGCCTGAGATGGCAATATTCTGGATGATCTGTTTTGTAAGTTGACATGGTTCAGTTGGAGACTCCTTCGTTGCACAAGGCAATTTCGTTGGCTGACCAGAGTTTGCATGCGGAGTTTCTGCATCTCAACGTCGCAGTGCGCAGTTGAGCCCTAATTAATGAGAATAAAAGCTTAAGTGGATGGCAGCCGTCACTGTTGGCGGCAGCTTTTTGGATTTGAGAACTTGTAGCCGGATGCCAGGATTGGACGACAATCTTTGGCTTTTGCAGGGAACACCTTGCAGAATTTCACCGTAAAGCCGTGAGCAAGGAGGACCCCGCGTCATCATCAAGGGAATTTATTCAGCTATGCCGTCAAAAGGGCAGGATATAACCTTGGGAGTAGCCCGTCAAGGGTGAGTGTAAATTGCCTGGTTGACAAAGCAAAAGACAAAGCCGTGGAGATCCCCAGTTGTGCTATGCTATTATATTAGCTGCGATGCGGATAGATTTGATATGTCAAGGCTCGCACCGAACCCTTACATTCATTGAGTGAAGCCTTTGTCAACTAGCGGTCAATTGGGTAATCGTGGTAGAGAGGCTGAGTTTGTGAATGGACTGGGCCACCACAAGGCAGATAGTAGTAATATTTTCAGAGACTCCCCGTGTATACTCCGTTATAGAAGCCGCACGCTGATAACGACAATCAAGCTGGACGCTCATGAATCCCGGAATCGCTGCCTCCAACTTGGGTCCGGTATGTCTCGAAAGGACAGCTTCAATTGGTCTCTTCATTGACTATTATAGAGAAAGTCCAGACCCAACGGCCAATTCTCAAAGTCAAATGCCTCATCCATCGACGGCCAGTTTATACCTGTGTTGTATGGACAATCTCCCAACGCATCCGTCTTGAGTTTTGCCTTGGCTTGGGTGTTGTCCCTAGACAGGGCGACCAACTGCTGAGCAGTGCACAAGGCTTCTTTTGTAAGATGCGTATCTAGCTTCTGCGAAAGATTGCGTAGAACTCCCATAGCCGTCGGCAGCAAGGTCAAATAGCTGTCCGTATCAAATTGCAGGATGATGCAAACAGTCTGGAACGGAACGCTCAGCAAGTTCCACCAAAATTGGTGCGCAGATAATAGTCCGTCGATGCTGTCCAAGGCCTTTTCCAATATAGCAATAGACGACTTGGTAATTGTTTTGCTGGGGCGAAGAGCTGCGGACACGTACCGCCTCAAAATGCCAACACAGACCTCCGCTTTGAAGAGGCAGACCAACGCAGACTCACTGGCTATACTTTGAAGTTGCAGGAAACAGTCGGCCATGGCTTGCGTATTCAGACAGTTTTCCACTTCTGTCTCGACCGAGTCTAGAACCTGCGCGAGGGACACGAGGTGCTCGATATAGACACCGGGGCTAGACGAAGGAGGCGAGCAGGTAGCCAGCGAGAGCTTCACTGAGCCAAGTCCATACTCGACACTAAGCAGGCAATTCAGGCACCAGGCCACCCAGTAATGGCGTCGACGGCTTTCGAGCTCGTCTTTGCTGAAGAGAGCCTCGCGAGAAGAGGTGGTGGTTGTGTGTCTTTCGGAGATGTCGCGGTGCAGGCTCAGAATCTCGGCAGCATGCATGGCCGTCTGACTAGCCAGACAAGCCACAGCGGGTCGGGTGGTGAGACGAATATACAAGGTTCGCAGTATCCATCCTGCGACTGAGTCCATATCTAGCAAGGATATGGGGGTGGATAGTCCCATATCCAGAATGGAGAATGCGTAGTCAACCAGGGCTTCTTCCTTGGGGTGACTAGGATTTGCAAAGAACGACCCGAGCGCGGCCACAGCTGCGACGACGGCCGCAAAGTTTGGTCGGGACTCTAGCGAGCCCCAAAGACTGGATAGTCTCTGGGAAAAGGATTCCTCGGCCAGGAAGGGGAACATGGGATGAACAGCATTGAAGTAGACGGAAGCCAGGCGCTGACAATCCGCCAAGGTCGTGAAGCTTGATAGGGGGGTATGGATGGCCCATTTTCGCTCTGGTCGAGTGCCCAGATTCCAGGCAAAGGAGTGAAGGCGTGGCGGCACCTCGGCACCGAGACAAGAGCCGACAAGATGAGGTAGAGCAACGGCGCTGTGGGCGTTGATGTATCGGCCCTTTTGCTTGCTGACAAAGACTTCTGTTGAGCGAGGCTCCTGCGCCGGCGGCGGCTTGGACGGTGATGGGCGTGATGGGCGTGATGGGTATAGAGGCGGAAGGCCGTCATGGGCCATGGCGCGGCCAAGGGTTGTGTGAGTGACGTTGCTGCTGCTGCTGCCCTCAATGCTGCCATTTGCGTCGTCTGCGGAAAGCGCGGAATCGGAAGCGACGTGATAAACGCAGGTATAGCCGTATCCATGGCACGACGAGCACGGCTCTTTGCCATCACATTTCCGCTTGCGCCGCCGGCATTCGGTACAGGCTGCATATGCCCTGAGCCGGTTCTTGGCTGCGCCCTGTTGCACAGCGCCGTAGCTTCGTTTTGGCATGGCCGATACGGGCAGCAAGTCTCATGAGCTGGACTGGCGATGTCAATGTTGCCATGCAGCGGCGAGAAGTAAGATCGACGCGACCAAAGCTGGGGAGAAAACATTGCATGTCAAACTGGCTGCCGTCAGCAATGCAAGGAGCCTGATCTGGTTTGGCAGGAGCGATCGACATGTGTGGGCCTTCAATGTTGCCGGGTTCCATGTTTCCAGAAGCTCTTCTAGAAGCTCCATCATGTACGTTCAACTGTTCAACACGTTCATATATATTTGTTTTCTCAATTATACGCCATCTATTTGTTGATTCGCCATCTCACTGTCCGCCCTGTAGCATATCTACCAGCTCTTTGAACGCACTCTGCAATTCAGCTTCCATCCCATCCTTGCGCCACCGTTCTGTGTCTGCCCCATTGATCTCATCGAGCCTTAGACAGTCCTCCAAAGTTTTCGAAGTCACAGTCAATTGCGCCGTGGATTTCGCAACGCGCATCTGCAAACCGGTAAGGATTTGTCGCAGATGGTCGGCTGCCTTGCCGCCCCCTTTTCCACCGTACGTCACCACAGCCGTTGGCTTTCCCTTCCACTCATAAAATAGATAATCGAGAGCATTCTTTAAGCTCGCAGTTATACTCCAGTTGTATTGAGGAGTGACGAAGATGAATGCATCGTAGCCGCGGACAGTCTCTGACCACCGCCTGGTGTGCTCGTTCCTGTAATACGGTGTCGGGTCATCCGGGGGTAGGTGAGACGGGATCTCGGGCTCGTCACATAGGGGCAATGCCTGGTCCTGGAGATCTATTGTATTTAGAGCGATGCCAGTTGGAGATGGCGAGATCGTGTCGCGAACGTATTGCGAAATGAAAGGGTTGAGACGCGGTGCTCGCACACTACAGGTGACAATTGCAATGCGGTAGACTCTGCCGGTGGTTGTGGCCATCTTGTTCGTAATCTCTGAAGACTTAAACATTATACCCAGCTCCCATCTCCCGAGCATTGAATTTATAGAAAAAAAAATGCAATGTGCCTTTTTAGCATTTAGAGTCAAATGCGGATACTGCGGCGGATGGGGCGGATATTGCGGTCCTGCTCATGACATCACCAGACATCAAGGTCTTGTAAAAGCGTCACAAGGAAGTTATCCACTAAGTCTTGCGAGATCAATCCGTTAAAAGTTAGTACGAATAATCTCTCCGTTGACCGAGCATGTAACCGTTTTGCCGCCTGGGTGGCATAGTAGTATTCCGAGCATTGAGTATCTTGCGTTTCTGCGGCGTAGCAAAGCAGCCAGCGCACAGTCAACGCGCGAATGTAAGGTTCAATAAATATAGAATTCTAATTCTATAGACTGCAAATATTGTCGTGTACGAATAAAAAGTCTTGGGCATGGACAAATGTGGCAACAACTCTCGTGAGCCCCAGAGATGAGAGTGAAATTTCAGAAGTAGGCCGAGCGTATAAGCCGACAGTCCAATGTTATTATGGCAGTCGGAGTCATTATCACCGTCATAGGATCCAAGCAAGCTTTTTGATTGGCTACGAGTCGTGAGCATCAAAGCACTCTTGGCTAGTCCGGAACTTCCCATCAGGTCAACGTCGGATATCCATGTCAAATGCGTTGCAGTCGAATAAAGTAGTACCGCAATACGATTCGAGGGCTTAACTGCTGGTGACTGTACATATGGGTCCTTTGGCTGTTGTACTCACAGCCTTCCTTTTCATCTTTTCACGTGAGACTTTTCCCCCACAAATCACGACCCTGAAGAAACTTTGAGCAGCTTCCACAACCCAATTCCGGGGCGCAACATCAGACGCGCATCTTGGCGCGCGGCTCTTTCCAAGGACAAAGATTCGATATTTCACGGGGCTTTAATGAAGTTTTATGCTGCGGGGACTAATTTTAAGTTGGCGCGGTTTCAGCTTGCCCGCGGTTGACGAGCCCCTTCATCGTCCACTTGATTGCCAGCGGAGAAGAGCCGGTGTTTGGATGAGTAAGTCTACTGGGAGCTGCACATATACATATCGCCGAATACAACTGCTAGCGTAATTACGGAAAATATCTATGTACACCCTTGGGCGTGGCATAGCACGCCCAGTATGTACATATGTACGTAGTTTAGTATTTTCGGCTTTAAATCTCCACAGCGTTAAGGACTAAAAGACGTCAATTTGCTGAAGAAGACGATTGTGGTTGTTCTATGCAAGTTGAGAAAAATAGTTCTACAAGGCCGGTATCAATCTAGGCTCGATCACAACAACAAACAACCTCATCCTCAACCACCGATGCCGACAAGTAAGGTGGCTCCGCACGCGATTGCACGGAAAATTTATGAAAAATTTCCGCAGTGGGGATGTGTGTGCATGAATGCGTGGGCCGCAGCGTTATGCATAACAGTCTTGATGGTCTGAATATGAAGAAAGCGTGCTTGGGTGGAGTGTTATTCATGCACTCTCCAGCGAAATGGCGCAACTATAGTCAGATATTGCAGACAAATTCCAAGTGTTATTGAAGCATTAAAATTGAAGGGTCTTTGCTTGCACATTTCGCTCCATGTCGGCCTTGGATCCAGGCAGTTGGTAGCTGACGAAAGTAAAGTTTGATGGCACTAGTTCACATACCTAGGTAGGTTGGCCTTGTCTCTCACAACCCTCGTGGAGTGAGGAAATTAGAAGTCCTATAGTTCGTAGTAAATAGTAATATTGATGAAGATTATGCGTAATTTCTCACTTTCCTGCACGAGCGGCAGGGACACATTGCACCTTGGGTCAAGGTACCCCAACTGAGCCTATCTCGCAAGCATTTCAACAAGAACGTAGGTTTGCTAACGTCTTAAATATATCTCGTCTACTCCCCCGTTCTCATGTCCGCAGTCTAGATCCACGTGCTCTCATTCTTGTCACTCTTTTACATTTCTCACACTCCTTGAACTTTGACATTCTTTTCAACATGCGAGTCCCTCTTCTTGTTGCCGCGCTGCCTCTTGTCAGTGCTCTGCCTCGAGCTTTGCTGGATAAACGTGCTGCGGACACGGTTGGTCCTAATCGCGGCAGAGCCGCTGATGTGAGCTGGAATGGACAGAATGACTATTCTAGCTCGCGGGGACGAGATCGTCATCCTAGCTGGCAAGGCAAAGACCGTGATCCCAGTTGGCAAGGCAAAGATCGTGACCCCAGTTGGCAAGGCAAAGACAATGATCCCAGTTGGCAAGGCAAAGACAATGATCCCAGCTGGCAAGGCAAAGACAATGATCCCAGTTGGAACGGACCAGGCTGGTCTGAAGATCCATACCTTCCAGATTTTCCCCAAGAAAATGATCGGCCAGAAGATAATAATCAGCCAGAAGTTAATGACCAGCCAGAAGATAATAATCAGCCAGAAGTCAATGACCAGCCAGAAGTCAATGATCAGCCAGAAGTCAATGATCAGCCAGAAGTCAATGATCAGCCAGAAGATAATGATAAGTCAGAAGACAATGATCTGTCAGAAGATGATTGTCCCCTTGAAAACGACGGTCTGTCAGAAGACAATGATCAGCAAGAAGACAATGATCAGCAAGAAGATGATTGTCCCGATGAAGACAATACACCCCCGAAACCAAGCGCCACCACCACAAGTGCACCAGACAAGCCCGTGGCAACGCAAACCGAGCCTGTCGTCTCAGCCACCCCATCACCTACCGAGGTCCCGTCCGGTACCAACAAAGATCTTTATATGCCAATTGTCGACAAGTGGCTTCGTGCTTTGAGCTTACGCCCACTCAAGTACGACGCTGAGCTGGCCAAGACTGCTCTCCAATGCAGTGAGCTCAGCAACGGAGCCCTCAAACACCGCGGAAGCAACGCACAGATCATGGCACCCGGCAACGAGACGGCGTTCGAGCATGTCTTTGTAGGTGGCTGGCTTGGCGAGCGATCAGATCTCTTCCCAGACCAGGAAGTCTGGAGAAACTTTAGCAAGGCATGGAACTACCGGGGTCAGACTGGCCATGCGGACTACTTGGCCGATCAAGGCACATACGACGACGGAACACCGCTGAAGCTGACTAAGATTGGTTGCGGCTGGGCAGGGGGCTCGAATGGGGGGCAGCAGTGGAACATGTGGACGTGTGATCTTGCTTAGAATCCAGGCATATTGACGCAACAGTTTCAGAACTGCTACCTTTGGGAATACAGTGTTGTTAGCTTTTCAAGGTATTGGCCTATTATGAAAGGAACGCCGTAGCTAACTTCCATATTCGATATTTTTCTTCACTGTACGTAGTTTTCTCTTCGCTTTAGCTTCAAAATAAACTGCACATTGCGCAAGCATTGCATCTGTTGGCACAATGTATTAGTCGTACAGGTCAGGGAACGGCAATAAACCGCGTAGTACGCTATGAGTACACGCAACGAGATGCCCCAGACACTACCAAGATTGGTGTATTATAAATATAGTATACGCTATAAGTGTAGCTATAAGTGAAAGCCTGTCCGAGAATGATATAATTTTACCTAGATACAATCATCGATCACGCTTCTCTTCTATCCTCGATATCTACTTCTCGGCCGCATGATAGCCCAGTCCATAGACCGGATTGGCAAGAATATGTACTCCGTATGTATGATTGCTATACTCGAGACCATATGCAATTACAAAGTAGTACTGTTAAGACAAGACTCAGTGTCTCTTTGCCAGTGTTCTCCGTGCAGTCTTTCCAAGGTAATAAAGGGTTTCCGCACTTATGTTCCGTGGAGATGTTATGGTGTTGACAGCTTTCAACGTCTGGCGATGCTGCGAGAGGCTGTAACGGGCGGCATCAGCTGCTGCGTTGCTCTTAGCCTCGGAGAGCCTTTCAACAAGGACCCAGGAGTCCTCATCGTCATCGGAGTCCATGAAAGGCACTGCACGGGGATTGGAATCTATCGCGTAGTGTGAGGAGTCAATGGCAGCACAGGCCATGGCAAGCACAAAGGCGAGATGCCTGGCTTTGTTCGCCCAAACACTGCACCTGGGTAACACGACCCTCGTTTTCCCACCGTCGACACGAGTCTGAACTTCCAATATTTCTCATTACCCGCTAGACATCATTGGCAACCTCGTCCACAGCTCGCATTCAGACTCCTCACTCAGTATCTCCATGGGGACCCATCAGGATACTCTTGAAAATACTATTACTATTCGCTCCGTCACTCAGGAATGCCGCCTCAGGCTTCAAGAGTGCGTTATTCGGCATGCTGGAGGAGGCGGGAAAGGAGAAAGCATCAACGCCCCAAATCTTGCCAGGTCTCATTGGGCTGAAAACCGCCTGAGCGACTTCAATTTGTGGGACGCTGGAGTTGGAGCAAGCGCGGCGGCACCGAATTCTCTCGATATTCGCCTGCGGAAAGATGCTTCGGCCAAGAAGGTCGTCATCAGCTCGTTGAGTACACTAGCGACATGGGCAACATTGTATCGAGATATTGCAGATGGGCTTGAGCCACAAGCCAGAGGCGCAGGCGAAGAAGAAGACCACCCTATTACTCTGGAAGAAGCAAGGCTCAGCGTCGAACAGCTGCTTGGAATTCTTGCCAATTTGGGCGTCGCAATTCGGCAGTCTGGCGCAATCTCGCGTCTGGGCAACGCGGACGGCACATTTCAGAAGCACAAGCACGAGTACTCCTCGCTGATGCAGCACCTGACATTCATCCTCCAGCTCTCCCATCTTCCTCGTGCAAAAGTCCCCGTGGGCGATGGCGGTGCTACAGCAGAAATGATTCAAGTGCCAATCGCCTCAGATGAGCAACAGGGCCCGCTGCGATTCGAACAGCAAGTCCTCATCGATGCAAACGCCAAGCGTCGCCATCGATTTGAATTTGTGAGGGAACGCCGGGGTGAATTGAAGATGGCTGTTGATCCACAGGATTCTGCACCAGCTTCATCACCAGACTCGCGTTTGCGGGAGGGTCTGTCTCAGTCGGTGCCGGCTCCAACTGGCGAGATCCAATATCCTACCATGATGGCCAAGGCGCCTTCAACAGAGGCAGTTGAAAAGCCTCCGCCTCGCTCACAACGCTCAACAGCCACTACGAATCAATTATCCGAGTTGACAGCTGACATCCCGTTGGATTTACTTGTTGAAGAGCTTCCTGCGGCCGCACCCCCCACGGCCATCGCTCTCAAAGCTGACTATCCAAGCCCCCCGAAACCGTCCTCCGATGCCGCCGGACTCGTGTGCCCATATTGCAATTTAACCCTCCCGAGCGAGACTGCACGGGCGGGGCAGTGGAAGTCAGTTCACCAGACAATAATACCCTGCGTTCTGTATACTAACTTGCTACGCTTGCAGGAAACATGTTTCCGAGGATCTGGAGCCCTACACATGCTTCCTTCCGGACTGTCCACAGGACAACCGCTTCTTCAATACCTTCAAGGCGTGGAAAACAAACGTCTTCTCGGACCATCAAGTTTGCCGGGGATGGACGTGTTTCTTCTGCCAAGAACCTCGCAACTTTGCTCAAGAAAGCGCCTTCAGTGCACACGTAAAGGCGTTTCATCATGATGCTGTGTCTGAAGAGTACCTGGGTGACCTCTCTACGGCATGCCAGATAATGGATGAGCCCACTCTAGACATGTGCCCCGTTTGCTCGATGCATGAGGCGGCCTGGACGATAAAAAAGGCCGAATGTACACATTTCGACCCGGGAACTGACTCGTTCTTGGACCATATCGGAAAATGCATGCATGATTTTGCTTTACGGGCACTGCCGTCTACGGAGCTTGATGGTTTAGTCGACGAATCCAGTGCGGCACCTACTGGCGCGGCATATCTTGATAGTCGCTCGTCCCTTTCTTCAGTCAGCCTAGGCTCCTCGACTCTCGAGGGGGGTGACCGAGGAAGGAATTCGATCTGCTACATGCTGCTATGTATTCAAGCCACGAGAGAATGCAGGCATGGCTCAAGGGGCAAGAAAACAAAACCTAGCTCAATCGGCAAGAAGACAAAATCGAGTTTCCGCTTTAACCTACAGGCTGGCTCAGACCACGTGGACCATTGAAGCTTATCGTAATCGAATCTGGTAATCTTCCCATGTGCTATCCAGTTATCCGAGACTTTATTCTGGTCCTAACAACGGCCATTAACCGGCTTCTTCCTTGTTCATAATGGGAGGAAGTATGATGCTGAGCAAGTCGTGTTTTCTAAATGAGGGAACCGCTTGAGAGACTGTACATAGCAGATATTTGACTAAATAGACTTTGTCCACTCCACAAGTCACAACACAGGCACAAGCTACATCTACAGCATAACCTCGAGCAGCATGCCTTTACGCTGCTGAATCACGCGCGATTCCACCATCTCGAGGGCCCTTTTCAGGTCCGCGACCGTCTTCACTCGGACACCCCTCATCCAGGCTCCGTCGTCGTCAGCCAAACCCCCCCCACCAGCCCCCGACCCGGCCGCCGCTTCCGCCAAAGCGGCATAGTTTGGCGTCGGGCAAAAGGAAATGTTAATCTCGTCATCAGTAGCGCCGGCAGCAAGGCCGTCGGGGTAGACGAGTTGCGCCGAGTTGCGAGGCGCCTTCCAGCCTGCAGGTATATTAGCGGACAGCCGTGTGGATTGCCAGTACAAGCACGCTCACCTCCGTTGTTCAACACAATCGTCAGCACAGGAATCTCGTATTTGCTCGCAACCCACAGCGCGCTCGAGGGCGCCGCGCACATGAAGCTCCCGTCGCCGACGACCTGGCAAACAAGACTGTGCTGGCGGGCCTGGTCGCTTTCCAGGTCCGTCAGGGCCATCTTGACGCCGAGGGCGGCCCCGTTGCTCCAGCCGATGCCCGTCGCGCCGCAGTTGATCCAGCTCCCGGGCCGGCTGGGCTGCAGCTGGTCGGACAGCGTCTGGGCAGCGGTGACGGCCTCAATCACAAACGTCGTCGACTCGGGGAGCGCCGTCTTGAGAAGGCTGCCAATGTTGGCGGCATTCAGGGGCTCGTCGTCGCCGAGACGAGCCTGGGCCGCGATTTCCGCCAGCCGAGAGGCGTGGACCTTTTCGCGGGCCGCGCCGCGGGCAGCGTACTCGGGGTCTTGGAGCTGCTTGGCCAGCGCGGCGTCGTTTTTGATATACTCGACAAGCTGGCTGAGTGCGGTGAAGCTGTCGGCCTTCCAGCGCCCGTGGGCGGGGAAGAAGGAGACGGGAATCTGCTGGTTGAGCGGGTCGCAGTCGACGTGGTAGATGGTGGCGTCGTCGGGGGGCGGGTTCCGGGCCGGAATCCAGGGCACGTCGCAGTCAAGCAGGAAGACCAGGTCGGTGTCGCGGGTGCACTCGTCGAAGGCGAGGCGGAAGCCCTCGGAGGCGGGGTGCTCAAAGGGAAAGCACACGTCGCTGCCGCCGGTGTCGTGGACCCTTATGCCGGGGACCAGGTCGGCCAGGGCGACCAGGAGGCCCGGGCAGCGGCGGTCCCGGCCCGAGTATCCGGTGACGACGAGCGGGCGGCGCGCCTGCACGAGGGCGCGGGCAATGGCGGCGACGGCGTCTTCCGGCAGCGCACCGGGCCCGACGGGCACCCACTGCGCCTGGTCCAGCGAGTACGGCTGCACCTCCTGGGCGAGCACCTCGCGCGCGCCGGCCACGTAGACGGGGCCCTTGGGCGCGCTGCTGGCGAACTGCAGCGCGCGCCCGACCGTCTGCTTGACGTTGAGCCCCGTGCGCACCTCGCCCGTGTACCGGCAGTACTGGCGCACAATGGCCTTTTGGTCCGGCGCCTCCTGCAGCCAGTGCATGTACTCGGTGCGCGAGCCCGTCAGCTCGCCGGCCTCGGTGTAGGGGCACATGCCGGCAAAGATGAAGACGGGCACGCGGCCGACGCTGGCGTTGTGCACGCCGTGCCCGAGGGCTTGCGTCCCGACGTCGACGTGCACCAGCACGGCTTGCGGCCGACCCGATACGCGCGCGTACCCGTCCGCCATGGAAATCGCCGTCATCTCAGCCGGGCATGTGATGATGCGCGGCCACGCGTTGGGCCGTTCCCGCTTGCCCTTGACGATGGCTTCCAGGACCGACGGGTGGTCGGACCCGACGTTGACAAAACATGCCGTGATGCCGGCCTTTGCAGTCTGGTGTGAGCTATTTCATGTACATGTGAGCCGGTGCGTGGGCGGGGGGGGATCTCGTACTTCCCAGAGCGCCTCGAATAGGGCGAACGCGGTCGTGTACCTGGGAGCAAGTGTGAGCCCGTCTGTCCCCCGAGGCCTGCGGCGGTGAAAACTGGCACTCACGGCGCTTGCGTCAACTGCGAGGCGGCCATGCTGGCACGGTCCGGGGCCTGGCGCGAATACCGGCTCGTTGAAAAGGGCGCTGCGGGTGGTGACTCTGGTGAGGGTGGGAGACGTGCGAGTGGGCGGAAGCGACGCGACGCGGCCGAGGGAGGTAGGGGGCGGAAGTGGACTTTGCGTGCCAGGCGAGTGCGCAATGCCATGATGGCATCTGCAAAGGGGCAATGGGGTTCTTATACTCTGTGCCGACGAGGTTATGCAGAGTTGGTAACGAGGGAGGGGGAACCGGTGGAGGAGGCGATGTCGTGTTGGTTCGTGTAACGTCGGCTTTAAGACCGGGCTGTTGGTCCGATGTTCATCTTGTCAGAAACACGGTTACGTGCAAGCAGTGAGCACAGGCGGGCCATCTTAAGCGAGTACTAACAAGAATCTTGTATTTACAAATCGCACGGTTTTTCTCTCTTTGTACCACCATACTTGCCGCATGAAAGCATTCCCAATGGCCAACATGTCGGCGGGCCAAGCCTATTATACAATTCCCAAACCGAGACACGCTCCCAACACGCCACGACGGGCACAATGGCACTGACGGATGGACCTACAGAGTGTTTTCACCTTGCCGGTGTTGCTACGATGCTTTGCTACTTTGTCAACGGTACGGCCTGGCAGGGGTCGCTTTGCAGCTGGGTTGGTCTTGCAGCTCGACGTACTGTGCGTCCCCGTCGGTGGTGCTAAACATGGTGCTCATGAGGCTCTTGGTGAAGTAGGGGTCCGAGGGCGGCTTCCTCCCGTTCTTCAGCTCCTGGGACTCCTTGAGCTCCGAGCCCGTCGGGCGGCGAGGCCCGCTGCGCGTGCGGTTCTTCTTGCGGAAGAGGACGGCGAGCTCGGGGAAGCAGACGCACAGGTTGCCCGAGGCGAGCTCGGCGGCGCCCCAGAGCAGGATCTCGGGCTGCTTCCACGACGAGTCCGGGTTGCCGCTGTTTCGGAGGCGCACGACGAAGCCGATGGTGGCAAAGATGGGGGCGCTGCTGGGCGGTCAGAGAGGAGAGAGGCTTCTTCGACTGCCGTCAGTCGATCAATGGCAAAAGGCTTGACACGTACCACAGGCCGAACGTAAAGGCGAGCACGACGAGGACCCTCTTGAGCCGGTCCATCTGGAGCTTGCGCACGGCGTGGACGGGCAGCAGCAGGATCAGGTAGTCGGTGACGGTGTTGAAGGCGCCGCTCACGTTGAGTATGATGTGAATGTCGACGCACTTGCCGGGCACCGAGGGGTTCCAGATCTTGGCGCGCGGGTTGCACTCGAAAATCTTGACGAGCGACGTGCTGCCGTAGAAGCCGAAGATGATGACGATGAGGGTGACAATGGTCAGGTCAAACTTGCTCCAGCGGATGGGCGAGAAGACGCGGCGGTACAGCCACAGCACGGCCAGCTTGGTGACGCCAATCATGACGCCGTACTCGATGGCGGCCACGTTGAACCAGTAGGCGGCCTGGTGGGCGTCGTCGATGGTGATGTCCCAGCCGTGCTGGCCGCCGTGGTTCGACATGGTGGCTCGCATGATGCCGCAGTAGGCCACGGTGCCGGCCCAGGCGGTGGTGACGAGGGCGTCCTCGAACAGCCAGACGCGCTTGATGAAGATGCGGACGTAGCTGCGCAGGAGGAAGAAGACGGTGACGAGCGGGATGCATATCGCGATGGTGATGTCGGCGAGGTACGCCAGCGACGCCGGGTGCTCGGGGTTCGACACGACGCCCGGCGGCGGCTTCAGGGCCGGCGTGAAGGTGGGCAGCGGGCTCGTCGACACGCCCGACAGCTGCGGCGCCATGGAGAGCGTCTGGTTTCAAGACGAGAGAGGCCGAGAGGCGGCAGTCATTACAAATTACACGACGGGGGGCGATGGCTCGTCGAGCAGTTCCGCAAGTGGACGGGGGAGCAGACACAGCCAACCAGGGAGAGAAAAAAAAAAGTGACCAAGACCAATATAGATATTCTTTTCGCTCGACTCAGACTGTACAAACTCCATATATTGCCACTGGTGCGCTCCCTGGGAATCCTTTGGCTCGAAACCCCAGACAGCTGAGAGGCTGAGGGGGGGCAATACCGTATGCAAACCGCTCCAAGCTTGCCGTGTGTCGTGCCATGGGGAATCGTGTCCCGCGTGGCACGAGTATCAAGGGGAGCATGGAGCATGAGCTGAAGACAAGGGCATGCCTTTGAGTACATGGACCGTTTGAGAGTTGAGAGCCGGTGGTGGTCACCCCCAGACATCTCACGTCGTCTCCCGCCCCTGGAGCCGCTTTCATTGGCAACGACTGCGAAACAGGCCGCATCTGGGGTTGCAGCAAGCCGTCTGCCCTACATGGCACGGTGGTATTTCCGTCAGCCCGCATGCCGCGCAGTCGAGACGAGCAGAATACCAGGGGATGGATGCGGCCCGGCCTGCGCAGTCCGTCCGCACGCGAGCGCCAGGAAGGCAACATTGAATTCATGAACCGCCTGGCCACGCCACGACCCGCGTCGAGCTTGTTTGCAATATTGCACACTGGTTCAGCTCATACCATGCTCGCGGGGGGGAAACGTCTCCTTCGAGAGATGCCCTGAATATTGAGCTAGTTGATCCTCTCGAGCAGCGTATTTGAAGGCCACCGCGTCGTTGCTTGCCCTACATATCCCGCTTAAATACCAAACCAGCACATGGTCTGTACTCGGGTACGACGCCCTACATGACCACCACCTGCTCTTGCTGCTCTACTCTTTCTCTCGGTCTACATACGTTACGCGGTGCCACACACGGAGTCGAGCTGTTCGCAGGTGCTCAACGATGCATAGCCCAGAGAAACCGCCTGGTGAGGGCCGTCCCTCGCAGCAGGCTCCCAGTGACTCAGAGTACGCGGCGACTGAGCCCACTGCGATTGCAACGCTGGCGGACGACGACGTCCTATCAGACGCAGAGGCAGCCAGGCTGATTCGGAAAATCGACTGGCATGTCCTGCCAATGCTATTTCTGATTTACGTTGTGGCGTTTCTCGACCGGTACGTCGCCCCCCTTTTTCCCCAGAGAAGAGACGCAGAAGCGGTCGACGACGACGACGACGGCCGTGTAAGTCGCCCTGAGATGATCCAAATTTGACACCAAATCGCCTGCCTACAGGTCCAATGTCTCCAACGCCCTCACCATGAGCATGCCCAGGGAGCTCGGGCTGACGGGCCAGCAGCCCAACATCTCGCTGGCCGTCTTCTTCGTCCCCTACATCGTCTTTGAGATCCCCTCCAACCTGCTGATGAAGCGGCTCTCGCCGCACGTGTGGCTCTCCCTCTGCGTGCTGGGCTTCGGCGTCACGGAGCTGTGCCAGGGCTTCATCCAGGGCTACGGCGGCCTGCTGGCCACCCGCTTCTTCCTCGGCCTCTTCGAGGCGGGCATCTTCCCGGGCAGCTTCTACCTCATCAGCTTCTGGTACCGCCGGGACGAGTCGCAGAAGCGCTTCACCGTCTACTTTTGCTCCGTCATCCTGGCCTCGGCCTTTGGGGGCCTGCTGGCCTCGGCCATTGCCAACATGGACGGCGTCCGGGGCAAGAGCAACTGGCGCTGGATCTTTATCCTCGAGGGCATCCTGACGATTCTGGTGGCCGCCGTGTCCTTCTTCTGCGTCAGCGACTTTCCCCACGAGGCCGCCTGGCTGTCCGAGAGGGAGAAGCAGGCCGTGCTGAGGAAGACGCGCGCGGGGGACGCCCGGCTCGAGGGCAAGATTACCCGGCGAGATTTAGCAAACTTCTTCACCGACCCCAAGAACTACCTGGGCGCCGTCATGTATTTCTGTAAGTGCTTCCCTCCCTCTCTCTCTCTCTCTTCCCCCCCGAGCTGCTGCTGCCGGGAGATGTAACCGCTAAGCCCCTGCCAGCGGTCGTCGTGCCCGTCTACGCGTTTGCCTACTTCACGCCAACCATTGTCAAGTCGCTCGGGTACGACGTGTTGCAGACGCAGCTCCGGTCTGTGCCTCCGTTCGCGGCCGCCTTCGGGCTCTGCCTCGTGCTGGCCTACCTGTCGGACCGGACAGACCTGCGGCTGCCCTACGTGCTCGTCTCGGGCGCCATTCTCATCACGGGCCTCGCCATCCTGCTCACCGTGCACGCCAACTTCTCGCTGCAGTACGCGGGCATCTGCCTCGTCTGTATGGGTGCCCTGGGCGCCGGCCCGAGCGTCATCTGCTGGTACCTCATGAACCTGACGGGCCACAAGGAGCGAAGCATCGGCTCTGCATGGATGATTAGTTTCGGTAACACGGGCGGCATCCTGGCCCCATTCGCCTTCCTGCCGCACGACGCTCCATCCTACCGTCTCGGCTACGCGCTGTGCATGGCAATCAGCGTCCTGGGCATCGTCGCTGCCGCCTGCTACGCCCTGCTTGTCCTCCGGGAGAGGCGCAGGCTGGCCAGAGACGGCGGGACCAACAAGGCCCATGTCCCGTCGCTGTGAAGAAGAAGCAACGTGTGTATTTGTCAAATGGTCCGGTTCCGGAAGAGGAAAGGGGGGGAGAGGGGACAAATGCGGAATGGATGTACGTGGTAGCAACAGAGCGTTGCAGTGCGCACGTGTTGTGAGGCAAAAGTCGTCGAGTTGTATATAGCAAAGTGACCACTCGCGTATTTATGCAGCAACTATTTATAATCGCCGTGTCAAGGCTCTCTGCCACAGCAAGCACAACTGGCAGCGTCACACCTGTGCCTTTTTTTGGTGGGTGAGGTTGTTATTGTACCTGCGCCGTGATACTTTTTCCCATTTGATCGTCTCTTGCGACCCGCATTCCTAATGGCCGACCAAGGCGGAAAAGATGTCATATCGCGGGATATCGAAGGTACTTTGGCGCAGAGGACGAAGCTGCAGCGTGGGCTGGACAGTATTGCTGATATCGCATTGTGCCGAGAATAGATGACAACTTGGCGGCCTCGGCCGAAGTAGCATCAAGCTTGTCCAAGGCGAGTTGTCGCCCTTTTGTGTTGGACTCGTGACCCGAAACGGCTGACTCGACGAATAGGGACGAAAGATATTCATCTCGGCGACGGTCATTCTCCTCAACTTCAACGTCACGCTGGGCTCCTCGCTCCCCAGCGGCGCGGCATCTACCCTGAATGCCCATTTTGGCATCACGGAAAAGCTCCAAAAGCCGCTGCCTGTGGCCGTGTTTCTCGTGGGCTATAGTAGGTCCCGCCGCCGGAAGCAGTCTCCAAGCCAGACGACTGAAACCTGACGTCAACGCAGTCTTTGGCCCCATCATCTTTGCCCCCATGTCCGAGTCCTGGGGGCGCCGGCCGGCCTTTCTGATTTCCTTTTCCATATACACGGCGTTTACCCTGGGATGCGCCCTGGCACCCAACTGGCCGGCGTTCCTCTTCTTCCGGTTCATGCTGGGGTGCGGCGCGGCGGCGCCCCAGACCGTCTCGGGAGGGCTCTTCTGCGACATCTACGCCGACCTCCGGCCTCGCGGGCTGGCGGTGACACTGCTGGGCCTCACGAGCAACGTAGGCCCCCTCTGCGGGCCCATCATCTCGGGCTTCACGTCGACGAGGGTCTGGCAGTGGCAGTTTTGGTGCGCCCTCATCCTCGCCGGCGTCAACTGGCCCATGCTGCTGGCCATGCCCGAGACCTTCCCGCCCGTCCTCAAGGCTCGCCGCATCCGGAATGTCTCGAACCGTCCGTCGAGCACCCCTGCCGCTGGCAAAGCACCCTTCAACCTTGGGAAGCAGGCGCGGATCCTCGCGCGCCCGATTCGCCTCCTCTCGGAGCCGCTCGTCTTCTTCACCGACCTCTTCATCCTCTACCAGTACATCATCTTCTTCCTCTACTTCGGGGCGTACCCCGTCATCTTCCGCGGCACGTACGCCATGCCGGACGGCATCTCTGCCCTCATGTTCATCCCGACGGGCATCGGCGCCGTGCTGGCCATCGCCATCTTTGTCGCCTGGGACCGGTTTCACAAACGCAGCGCCGACAGGGGCAAGGCCTGGGCGCTGCAGGAGGAGTACAGGCGGCTGCCGCTCGCGTGCATCGGGGGGCCCCTTTTCGCCCTCTCCGAGTTCTGGCTGGGCTGGACCGCTCGGCCGAGTATCCCTTGGGTTGTGCCGGCGCTGTCGGGCATCCCCCTGGGCATCGGCATCGACCTGACCTTTATGGCGCTCAACAACTATCTGACCGACGTCTACGGCATCTACAGCGCGTCGGCCCTCGCCTCGAGCGTCTTCACCCGCAACGTCCTGGCCGCCGTCATCATCCCCCTGACCACGTATCCGCTGTACGAGAACCTGGGGACCAGCTGGGCCTGCACCCTGCTGGGGGGGTTGTGCGTGCTCCTGACCCCGATCTCGTTTGCCTTTATCCGCTGGGGCCCCGTGCTGAGGGCGCGCAGCCCCTTTTGCCAGAAGCTGGCTCGGGCCGACGGTGACGACCATCGTGGCACCTCGGTGGAAGTGGTGGTGGCGCCTTGTTGACGGTTGCCCGTGAAGGCGATGGCATCATGGCCACATATCCTGTTGGTCGAACTCGGTTCCAACTTCTCACCGAGGCCCAGCCACCACCGGCTCGACTCACCTGACTCCCAGACGCGTAACCGGCCATTGTCGACTGTTGGTCGTGGTGCGGTGGTGGATGAATTCAACCGATGCAGAGATACAATAGTGTAACCCCCCCAATGATACGGCCCTGCGTCTCGAACGCTCGCCATGATTTCCAGTTTCCTGTTCCGGAAGACTGCATATGCGAACCGACGGCTCATGCATCCGACGTTGGCTCGGATGAGGGGGCAGCGGCGTCTAGACTGTCAACAAGGCCCGATCTGTCGCGCCCAACGGCCGGCGACTTGGTCACTCACCGTTGCAGTTGTAACCCCCGGACGCGGGAGGTCATGTCATGTCACGTCAATTTTGGAAACCACCACTCGCCTGCTTGGCTTCCCGAGTCGCTGCGTAAGCCGTACATATTCGATGTCGAGTTATCTGTGTTGGTCCAACTCTGCTCCGCATGGTGGAGCCATCATTTCCGTCCCGTCAGTTAAACTCCGGACAAAATCCACCAGACGGCTCACTAGCCATGATCGGTGCCAAGATGGGCAGGGCTATAAAGAACAAGGTCGCAGCAGCGCCCCCAACGCGGCACTCTGCATGAGAGAATCTACCTGTGGCCAACGTTTCAAGTATGTATGTACACCACGGGGCTTTGATTCGGCACTTGGGACAGAGTGTGGCACGGGACAACCACCACCGCCACTTGGTGCAAGGGGCTCGTTGTGCCAATATGTAAATGAATTGAATATTCTAGGCGGTACTCCGTACTCGGTAGCCATTGCGGAATCCAAGATTTGGGTCGGTCAGCATGACTGGCTCCGGCGTCTGCCAACGACGGCTGCGAGCCAACTTGCACGTTGGTTCCATCATCCATGTTGGAACGTTGAGCACCATGTACCCTGTACGATATAATACCTGCCCCCAGCCTGCATGTCGCTTACGGCTCGCACCATTTCCATCATTTACCCTCCGAGATCGTCAGTCATCCCAGCCCCATGTGAACCGCTTCACATCGACTGCTACGGGTTCTCGGGCAGCGGCACAGCATCCGGCGGCTGATGCCACTCGAACCCGTCCGGGATCGGCACCGCTCGCTGCTTCAACCACGACTGCAGAGCGTCCCAGTCGGCGCACTTGTGTCGCGTGTTGCCGTCCGGGGTAGGCTGGTTGTGCTGCCTCACCCAGTAGTACGGGATGATGCCCGGGTCAAAGTTGCACATGAGCGTCTGGCGAATGTAGTCGATGCAGTGCTCGTAGTGGCGCTCGTACATTTCCGACGCGCCCTCCTTGTTTGCCTGCGTCGTGGGAAAGAAGGCCGCGTGGTGGTCTTGCCAGATGAAGTGCAGGCAGTGTATCTGGTGTGTTCCCATGGCCACGGCGAGATACCCGCCCCCGGCGGCCTCGGGGAACTGCACCGCCGTGAGATTGTGTCCGATGCGGCTGATGTCGTCGGCCGTGACGCGAATGGTTCCGTCTGTGTGTATTGGCCAAATGTTAGAGCGGGAGGTTTGTCAAGAAACAGCTTGTGCCGTCGACGTATGTCCTTACATGCCATGAGATCTTGCCACGCTTGTTCGACCTCGGCCGTTGGCGGTCCTTTGTAAGGCGAGTCGTACCACAAGGACCCGTTGAACCTGACGTCTAGATATTCCTCTCGTATCGCCTCGTTTATCGGTGCTATGTCATGCAAATGTTAGTAGTTGGGCATGATGGCTATTTCGGCTTTTGTGGCAGGAAGAGTTACAGTAATAATTGAATTTGGACACGCAGCTTTGTCGACGTTGAATATAAGATGTGGGCAGAATATATGGAATAAGAAGAATATAGGTGGCCACAATCGCTCCGTGAAACAAGAGCCACGGAGCTAGGTGCCTCCAATGATGCCTAGGCTCGGCCAGCTTTCGAAGCCGCTGGTCGAGGAGATGGCCACTGACCTCTTCATCGTTGTCTTGCTCGTCGAAATCGTGTTTGCGTGTTTGCTCTGGCGTGTGTTGTCGCCAAAATGAGAATGCATGTTTCATCTTGGAGGCCAGTACGTAGCACAAAGGACAATGTGAAATTGTTTCTCATGTCAACATTGCCGACGGCCGGAACACGTACCACTGGGCAAATTTTCGGGCATCGTTTTGCTTATACTTGGTACATGCATGCCGAAACGGGGTCAGTTCACAAATCGCCCGATCCCAACATGTATCTTGACTTTGCGACGACAAAGTCGTGCGTCTTTCTACTCGATGCAACCAGTCGGCCTGCAATGTAACTTCGCAACGGGAAGGTCGTGCAGTTGCCTGATTCCGGGTGGCCATGCTACGTAAAAAGGGATATATATGCCGTGCTTGCGCGGCTTCTTGTGCTACAGCCCAGCAATGGGCATACTGTCGAAATAATAAACTCCACACAATACAAATAACCTTAACCCGTCTGCATAGCCCAGGACTACTCTTTTCTTGTTGAGCTAGTCTCTCTCTCTCTCTTTTTGTTTTCACAAAATCCCAACGCTGGTGACTATGCGCTTCATACTTCCTTTGCTCGCTACTCTCGCAGCGGCTGCACCAGCAGGTACGGCATCCCCTCCCCTGATGAAACTCGTGCGTGGGTAGCTCTTGACTGACCAATATTCATCCAGGTGTCTTTGAGAGCGATAAGCTCTTGACTATTGACAAGGATGGTAAAGACAGCTCCTACGATGTCAACAAGCGCAGCCATTTTGTGGCGGACCCTTTGCTCCAAATCTCCGAGGACGACTCTGCCAGCTCATACCAGCGCAGCAACTTCAAGGCAGACCCTTTGCTAGAAATCTCGGACGACCCCAATGCTTCATCGTACAACTAGGGTGCCATGGGTGTCAAAGCTGGTTCACGTCTACAAGCCCCAAACCGTCCGAGGGGCTGGTGATGCGTGATGGAGACGTCTCGAGTACACAGGCAGGTAGAACAGTTTAGTATTTATCAAGATTGAAGGAGTAAAATGGTCATTGAACCTGTGTACAAGGCGCGCTTTTGCTGTATGTGATGTAGGGTACATGAATTGTTCACACTCTCCCACTAATAGATGGCCGGCGCCTCTGCATCTTCTCACAGATGTGACACCGCAGACGCACCCTTTACTACCAAGGTCTCGCCCAGTCCACGGCACATATTTGTTATCGAGCACAGTTATTGTTCAATAGCTGGTACTGTAATTGTGTCGCGTGCAGCAACTTGACAACACCAACCCAATAAGAAGCGAGTTGCTGTACGCCACTCGTCCATCACTGGCCAGAGGCAAAAAGCCAGCAGCCATCACGACATGCGACCTATAAAGCTCCAGACACCTCCGCATCGTTCTCGAGGACTCGACCCCACACGGCAACTCTTGAGCAGGTCCATCCACCAGAAACAAAGAAAGATCAAAGCAACTTTATCCATCATGCCATCCTCGGCCTCGATCAAAGCAAAGGAAAAGTACGAGGCGATGCTTGCCGCGGCAAAAGGCGACGGGGTTTCTCGTAAGTGCCGTCCACCAAAGCAATGACAGCCACGGTTACCCATGATTTGAGCTAGACATGTCCAACCGCGTCGTCGCAACGAGGCACCCGTCGACTGGAGGCAGCGAGATGACCAACTCCATCACTCGCAGGTCGAGCCAGAGCAGCGATGCCTCGGGTCACGGCCGCTTCCGAACCATGATTAGAAACATGCTTTCGCCGCCGGCCTACTAGGATGAGGACGCGTACGGAGAGTGTAGTACAGTTTGTGAATATATATCCTTTGAGATGCCTTTGGGAGCCGCCGTGTCACCTTGCATCGCGCCGTGTGTCGGGTACACTAGTTTGCAAGCACTTTTCTACGCACCAGCTTGACAGGGTAGACACGTTACGTAGGCATCTTTGCTGCCAGACAAGGGGTGACGGAGGAGCGCGTGGTATGAGTCCAAACTGAGACCGTCCCGAGATAGCCTAGTGAATGCCTGGAATGGGAAGGTGTAATGGCATCAATCGTTGACTACAGACTAAAGTCTTGCCCCAGCTTTGAAAAGACACGTGGTATGCATGCGAAATGGACTTGAAGCCTTGTTGCTTGTCCGCGCCCGTGTTGTTGCGTCTTTGCAGTATTGACGTCACGGCGCCTGGTGTCGCAAAAGTCTACATATGGCTGGTAACATGCCTGTCGTGCAGACAGGACACAATTGACTTTAAATGTCAAGTTCACAAGGCCATGATCCTCCGTGTAACTAGCGCTGTTTCTCATTTTTTACAGTGGCAGGCAAAGGGTCTGGTATTAACCAGATCAGGTACCTGGCTATCGCGCTCAAACTATAATATACTAGTTGAGCCGTTGGCAACTAACCCACTTAGTTGTCAACGGGTAAGGCATATTAGTGTATACTTGTCGGTGGGTAAATCTATCCTGCCACCGACTGTTATTTCACTAGCCTACACCAGATGTAATTGATCCATGTCCATGTGGCCCGTGGCAGGTCATATGGAACTCGCGACTCCAACTCGCTAGACGCTCGTGTGCCCCGAGGCAAGACATCAGATCCTCGTGCCCGACAAGGCGAATGAAACCACTCGAGCCAACGCAGGAACATTCATCGCTCAGGGACGCATCAGCTAGTCCCTGCAAAACTCCCCCACGAATGGCTGATGGCTTACACGGCAAAAGCGACTACGGGTACTCGGCACGCCGTGTGCCTCACGTTGTCACTCGACGCTCCTCGGGCTTGTCACGGGGAGGCAATTGAAGATGGATGACACAGCTTCATTCCTGTCCATGCAACGTCTCCTCCTAAACGTGGTGCTGTCTCGCGTGTCTCTCAGCTCGCAATGCCGTTCCACGTGTCGATTTGGGAGCTTGGTATGTAGCCGGGCTCCTCGTGCGCTGGATGGATGACTCTTGTGAAAATGATATATAACACGCCCAAATCGACCGCGGATGGACGATCGTGTATTGCACATGGTAGGCGATTGCACGTCAAGTTGGTAGTTTGCACTTGTGTATATTCTCTTCCCTTCTCTGTACATGTTACATCTTTTACCGTCTTTATATTGTGTATATTATCAATATGCATCATCTACGCGCTCTCGTCGGCGTTGGCCTTGCTGGTCTGGCGGCCGGAGTGCCCTTGACTGACAAGACATCAGTCAAGCCGCGACAAGCACCCGGAGCGCAAAACGTCGTCTACTGGGGGCAGAACGGCGGCGGTACGATCGAGAATAACGACCTCGCGGCGTATTGCCAACCCAATTCCGGAATCGACGTTTTGGTTCTTGCATTTCTATATCAATTTGGAAATGGCGGCAACATACCTTCAGGGACTATAGGTCAGTTTTATTTTTTTTTAATTTTTTAATTTTTTTTAAATTCACCACTCTCATGGAAGCCGAGAGCGTATGGACTCTGGAGAGGCTACGAATCTATCTATACATGTATAGAAATACGCCGCATCTCGTAGGCAGCAGGCTACCCCCCTGACCAGCTTTTCTATTCATTTTCCCTTTCCCCTGTTTTCGAATGTCCCAGTTCTAACCTCATACAGGCCAATCATGCTACATCAGCACGTCCGGCCAGGGTCAAAACTGCGAAGCCCTGACCGCAGCCATACACACCTGCCAGTCGGCCGGTGTCAAGATCATCCTGTCCCTCGGCGGCGCGACAAGCTCCTACTCCCTCCAGACACAGGCGCAGGCCGAGCAAATAGGCCAGTACCTGTGGGATTCGTACGGCAACTCTGGAAACAAGACGGTGCAGCGGCCGTTTGGCAGCAACTTTGTCAACGGATTCGACCTCGACATCGAAGTCAACGGCGGCAGCAGCCAGTACTACCAGTACATGATTGCCAAGCTACGCTCCAACTTTGCGTCGGACAAGTCCAACACGTACCTGATTACCGGCGCGCCGCAGTGCCCCATCCCCGAGCCCAACATGGGCGTCATCATCAGCAACGCCGTCTTCGACCATCTCTACGTCCAGTTCTACAACAACAACAACTACACGGTCCCCTGCGCGCTGGGCATCAACGGCAACGCCCCCTTCAACTACAACAACTGGACGTCCTTTATCGCCGATACGCCGTCGGCCGGTGCCAAGATCTTCATTGGCGTGCCGGCCTCGCCGCTGGCGTCGACGGGCACGCCCAGCGGCGCGCAGTACTACGCCGCGCCGGAGCAACTGGCCGCCATTGTCGGCGAGTACAGGAGCGACGCCCATTTCGGCGGCATCATGATGTGGAGCGCGGGCTTCTCGGATGCCAATGTCAACGACGGGTGCACGTATGCGCAGCAGGCAAAGAGCATCCTCGTCAGCGGAGCGCCTTGCGCGTCGTCGGGGCCTCCGAGTTCTACGCCGGCAACAGCTCCGGCCCCGACCGCGACCACGATGCCATCTTCGACTTCGGTGTCCTCTCCGACAGCGTCGCCTACCGGCGGCACAGTTCCCCAGTGGGGTCAGGTGAGTTTTATCCATGTGCTCTTTGAGGGAAAGAAAAATCTCGCGCGGTAGCTCACACAGTGGCGACGTCTAGTGCGGCGGCGAGGGCTATTCCGGTCCTACTCAGTGCGTTCCTCCTTACCAATGTGTCAAGCAAGGCGATTGGTGGTCGTCATGCCGGTGAAGTCGGTCAGTGGGCGCATACTATCTACAAGACTGGTTTCATCGTGGAGTCTGGTATGCCGCAGGGCTTTCCCCCCTTTTACTCCGTACATAGCAGGCAGGTTCTATTCGCTTCATATTTGCATAGATAAAGAATTACAAGTTACCAGTACAAACTCGTCAATTGAATTTCAATGTTCCGATCGGACGCTCCGTCTATCTATGCTCTAGGTGTACACAAGGAAAACTGCTTTTGCCATTGAAAATGTCCCATGCTCGCCCGTCCCTTAGATCTTGCCCTGGACCGCCTGGTCAATCTTGGTGGTCAGGTCCTCGAGCTCAAACTTGGTTCGGTTGCCGGCGAGGCCGCCGTTCTTGTCGTCGAGGAAGTACTCAATGACGCCGTAGATCTTGTCCTGGATCTGGACAGTGGCCACGGCAAAGCCGCCCTTGTCCTGGGGGGTGTACGCGCTGGCGATCTTGGTGACAAACTCGGCCGACTTCCAGCCGTCCTTGGAGACGAAGACGTTGGTTCCCTCGGTGCTGAGCTGGGTCAGGAGGACCTTGCCGCCGTACTTCTCGGGCAGGTAGACGCCGTCGTCGCCGCTCTCGCCGGTCAGGCCGGTGACGGGGATGACGACGCGCTTGCCCAGGGAGTCGCGCTTGTTGAAGCTGACGAGCTGCTTGGCCTGGGCGTCGTTGGCGATGAGGAGGTCGCCGCTGGCCACGATGCCCGTGAGGCCGGGCAAGATGGGGCTCGTGCCGGGCTTGGTGTAGTTGCTCAGGTACCAGGGGATGGCCTTTGTGCCGTCGGCGTTGACCTTGATGATGGCACCGGGGTAGGTGCAGACGACAAAGGTGTTGCCGCAGGTGTCGTGGACCATGTCCTGGCAGCCCCCGTAGGCTCCGTTGGTGACAGCGGTAAGGTTGGCGTGCCACAGCTCCTTGGGCTTGTCGCCGTTCAGGTCGACCTTGTAGAGGAAGTTGTCGCCGCTGACATTGGCGCCGGCGGTATCAAAGGCGATGCCGGCGTTGATGGTGACTGACAACTGGTTGGTCTTTTGGTCAATCTCGACACCGCTGGCGTGGAACTCGGCCACGTCTGTGCGATCAAACGTGATGGTGTCGACGACGCTGTCCTTGGAAACGTCGACGACGGCAACGGCGGCGTTGTAGAGCTTGCTAGACGAGGGAATGGTATTAGTTCCACCGACGTTCCCAGCAAGCAACTGCTCTCGCAGACATACCTGAAATAGGTCAAGCCGTTCTTCTTGTTGAAATCGGCGCTCTCGGGGTAGAGCTGGGGAACGTTGATGATGACATCGGTGCCGGCGGCCGTGTTGCCGTTGGCGCCGTTGGCGCCGTCGGTAGCCGGCAAAGCACTGGCGACGGCACCCAGAGCAGTCAAGGAGGGGAGGACACCGGCGCGCATTGTGAATATGTGGTAATGAATGGACAAGTTGTGCTAAAGAAAATGACAATGAGTGGAAAGATGGTGCCAAGGTGTTTGTTGGAGTTGGAGTTGGTGTGATGGTGATGAGGTATATTCCCCGGGTTAGGAGGAGACATTGTCAACAATATATATCCATTCGATAATATCATCACAGGGTCTCTTGAGTCGCCAACCCGGGCGTGTAAGCCGAGTGGGAGCCAAGAAGTTTCTAACAGGAAGGCCAGTTGAACCATGATGTGCGCCCAAAGTTGGCGGCTTGAGTCAGCACCGCGCTTGACGATTGCTGAGCCACAACCCGAATCAAGCAAATCGCGGCCTTGTGGGGTCCATGGTGTGCGATGAAACCTTGTCCGCAATCGAGGCAGTTACGAAAAGGTCACTGGATGAACAAATACGGCTACTATCAATCTTCAGCCCCTGCTGCCAAGTGCTCATGCCTCATGGGTCATGGGTGCTCCATGTTCTACGCGTAATGTGTAGCCTTACTGCTATGGAGAATCTTACGATTATGCCGCTTGCATAAAGTGCCCCGATGCGCCGAAATGAAGGCAGATGCTATTCATGTTATCAAGATGGAGAGTGACGTGGCAAGGGTAGCACGTTGCCGCCGCGCAGATTGATTGATGGCATAATATTGACTGCATATGCTCATCATGTAAATACAGTGAGTGGGTCGTAGGTAATTCCGAGCAAACATTGAAGCCCTCATCAATAATATACAAGACGTGTCAATCCGGTGGGACTCACTTGTATTAATGAGATTAAAACATCTTTTTCTCTTGGCGCCATATATTTATTATTAACTAGGCTCTAACATGATGAATAGTCCAGATCAAGGAAAGAATGCGTACACGATTCGTCCACACTCGCAACCGTTGACCCCTTTTCGAGTCAGTGGCCACCAGACCAGACCGTCTCAGAATTTAGCCACCCAAGTGGGCGAGTTTCAATATACGGCCCGGTTGTGTCGGTCGCGCGCGTTGACTAATGACGGACAGCGCTTGAGAGTCGATCCTCCGGTGGGATCGGGCGGCCGCTTGACCATTCTCTCCCTTGTTCCGTATTTATGGCAGGGAAGAACATCGTCGTGAGTCTTCACCAGGGGCTGACGCGCCGCAGAATGCATCGCAATAGGAGTATAGTCTGTCGCGGAATATTTGCCTACCAACAAGGAGTCAATAGCATGCGCGAATATGCCGTGGTATATTCTATGTACTAGTATAGTTCCGTGGCCGGGTACCTGCTCCTACTCATGGCGTGCTCTCGGCAATTTGCGAATCCTTCCGTCATCTTGGCGATGCTCACGCTGCCAGCGGCTCCTTGGGGCTGCATCGAGTCAAGCGACACGAACCACACGGAGATGCAAATTTGGGACGACTGCGCTTTGACGCCACCATCTTGTCGACTCGCCACGACGCTTGAGATGAGGGAACGGTGGCGCGGGACTCCCGCACAGGAGGAGAGAAAATTGCAAACGTGCACCGGACGTCTCTGGCCGACTCCGTGGTTGCGCTGCCACCTCGAACCCGTACCCAGGCTGGAACAAGCAGCGCTGGCCCTTTCCCAGTACATGTATAATATTGACCATTTGAAGTTGCATGACGACGCGGCTAGGCGTAGCGTTTACTCTCATCAGGGACACCCGCTCGCTATTTGGGTGGAGGCCATCGACGGATCTACCGAGCCGTGGAACATGAACTTGATGATCAAGTCAATTGCCGTTTGTGGACAAATGCCTCGAGTTCATCTTTGTTACTTGCTGACCCTATGTATGATCCCTGCATCCCATCCGTGCAGGCGCGTGCTACGTAAACATGGTGTTTTGTCATCACGACGGCCAAGAGCGTGCCAACTTGACAAGTTATCCCACAAGCAACGCCGTTGCCTTCACCTGCAGCAGCTTCCTGTTTCCATCCTCATGGCCACATTGGCTGTTGGCTTCACCTTGTTCTTACATATTGTGAGGCACAAAGTTGATAGATGGGAGGATGACATGTACGCCAGGCAGTATTCTCTATCCAGAGCTGTAGATGGGCTCGGCTTTCTTGTCAACTGGTTCAATTGCCTCTGGTACGCAAGCGCATTCCGGACCGATTCTTCGCTTTCGGGTCGCCCATAAGCTCCCCTAATGCTGCCTCCATGTCATTCCCCATGGTGTAATGAGTGTCTTGGTTAGATTCATACAGCGTACAGCTTGGCATCATTCCCGCAAAGTGACACATCATGTTCCTATCCCGCACGCCGTGCCGTATCTTGACTTTGGAATACGTGACGCCCTCGAGCCGGAACCCCCAGTCGGCATCTAACAAGACCTTCATTGTTGGCTTATTCAACTGCCGCTGTGGCGCCCTGCGCCAACGGCTCAGCCGTCAGTGCGCGCACGAGTTGAGCTCATTAACCTGACTGGGCGATGGAGGGTCGCCGTGGCTGTGGAAGAAACTGTCAGCCGTTGTTGGCTTTTCCTTTGGCGCCGCGACTGGATTCCGCGACTCCTCCGAGGCCTTGAGCTTCTCTTCAAGCACCCGCTGAACCCATCTCCTCTGCAAAACCATGACGGCGAATCTTTCGAGGCCGATTCCCCTGGAAAATTGCACCACGTCTCGCGCCCAATCGAGCAGGCTCCGACTGGGTTGAGGTGACGACGGCCCAAACCCCGGCCTGTCAATGGCTGTCGTGTACTATGTACAAGCTACTTTGTCCGGCCTCACAAGGCTGAACGTGGCATCGTCCTGCGGAGTTGCGTTCAAATAGGGTGATACACGGCTGGCGTGCTCGTCGCTCGAATACTTCGCCTTCAATATGGAATAAGCCAGTCGTCGAGCACCTACGGCTGCATTCCTCGCTCGTCTGACCATTTCGTTGGGCCCGCACAAGCTGACGCCGACATCACATCCAGCACGCTGCTCCTCGAGTCCCTGAAAGACACTATCAAGATCTGGCCGGCCTAGTGAGATGGTCCACCATGTAGGCATGGACTCGGTGTTTTCTGCACGGCTTGTTTCCTCTTGTTGGCTCGTGGCTTCTGTGCTACCGGTTTCTGTGTGATGCGGCGAGATGGACAGCCTGACCGTCGACCCTGGCTGTGATGTCACGTCATGGAGGGCTTGAAGTTCCTTCTTGAACCAGGCTGAGTGCTGAACGCTTTTGACCACCCAGATAAGGTGGATGTCGACAATGCCCGGCGGAAGGGTAACGCTGCGTCTGGTCAAAGAATGCCGTAAGGAAACGATTGATGACATGGTGCTAACAGCAGGAGTAATACCGATCCCACTCGCACTTAACACGACAACAGAAGACGAATCAAAGTCCAAACGACCGGCCCCAAATGGACCACTTGGCCGAAGCTTGCCTCCGTGATTCGCCGACTGATGCGCCTCGCCCACGGACGGCTGGTGCTCGCTGCCTGTGTCCGCGTCGACGTATTAGACTTGACGGCATTGGAGTATGCCCAGGTGGACGCACCGCCGTGAACGGATGCCAGTTCCAAAATGATACACCAGGAAGCTGAACCGAAACCACTTGACCTGGGCGAGTGATGGTTATGCCCTTGACAGTAGACTTGGTCACTTGGCCCTCCAAGTGCGCGATATCTGCTATCTCGATGGCCCGGAAGCTGTGGTACAATCAGAGGATGCGGTCAATGGCCCAGAGCGAGAAGCCAGGCAGCAGAAACTCTGGCCCGTTTTTCGGGTGTATCAGAGCACAGACCATGAAGACAAAGAAGAGAAAATGGGCAAAATGGAACAATTCGAAACCCTTGCGGCGGGCTACTGGCCAGGCCGTTGGGAGAATGATGGCAAGGCACAGCCATGCCATGGTGCCAATTCGGATTCGTGTGTTGGCGAAGCTGCTCTCAATCTCATCGGTCTCGCCGTCTCGGCGTAATGGGCTGTTGCATGGGCCACAGTCGCCATCCCGATGCAGCGGTGGTACTGTAGCAGAACAGTCAAGTACTACATATGTAGGGATCCTCAATACGAGAGAAAGGAGATTTGTCCGCGGCGCAAGGATCAGTGCCAGACCGCCGTTTACGTTTGTCAGTCAGCCGTGTAATTTGTAGTCGGTCATGAATTCGTCGCCGTTGACCCCAAAGCAATGTTGAGTCTGAGGATGACTAAGAACCTAACAAGGTCCGCGACATGATGGTCAAGGACAAATGGGATGGTTATGTGGTGATTGAGAAGTTTGTGGCAAAATAAGGTCAACCTCCAGTGCGTTCCATTGCGACGAGCATTGCGATCTAAGGGGCTGTGAGCGAATTCCATCAGTCACGCGGGCTAGGGATGTTCTTGCTGACTTGAAGCGTGCCTTGTATGCAGTATTTTGACAGCCGAAAAACACTTTCGACTAGAAAAACACCAAACACGGACGCAAAGTACGCCCTGGCGGCGGTGTAAATATTGTTCTGCAATATACGGAACCAAGAGCTCTGCTATGGCACGACGAGCTCAACAATTTTGGCGTCGATGGCTTCGATGCCTCCACAAATATAGCAGACTCGAGTCGCCGCAATCTCCAGACTACTCAATTTTATATTTGACAATTCAGTCATCTCTGTATCTCATTTGTACTGGACGCGTTGGAACTATCAGGATTATTCGCCAAGTGGAATCGACCAGACTTGACATGACCGCCTTGGATGTGGGCTCAACCTATGGACATTTCCGTACCACCAATCTTGGTCAAAATTGTATACTAATATCCAAACGTGCAGTACCGAATCCCCTGTCTTGTAATACCACATTTAAGCCTCGCCGACTTTTCAACTGTTGGTCCATGGTGTGAAAAGCTCCATGCCAACTTTGGTCAGGCGGCATTGACAAAAGACGGAACCGGATCCGACTCCGGGGCCTCTGTTCGCTCAGGAAATGCTCAGCCGGTTGCTATTTTGGCTTTTGGTTGTCGCCATTGCCTTCGTTTCCCAACTCCAAAAAGGACACGGAACATTGAAAGAAGAGTTGACAGTGCTGTTGTATCCACGGAGGCCCCAGCAGCGCGCTGACTTGTAACCACTTCAACTCGCGACATGAAGGTCTTCTCTGATCCCTGTCACCACTCAAGCTCGTCTTCCGCGCCTTGCAGCCCTATCAGACCCTTGAACCCAATTTAGATGTGCGCTGGCTTGGATGACCATCGCATGCTGTGCCACCTTGAACAAGCGTTTGGTGATGATTGCATCACCTTGAGCACAACCCTAAAAGCTGTGCTGCTGGATGTTGATTGTCGCTCAGCTGAATCAAAACGCATCTCAAAATTGAGACATGATCGGACTTGACCGCGATTTGGTAGACTACACCCGCGCTCGTCTGAATGGTCGGTGCGATTACCGAGCCTGGTTCAACGCCCGAACGCCACTGAAGACTTGGCGTTCGGTATGCAACCATATGGCACCCTATCTCAGTCATCTGTAGAGATGGATATAAGGTGATTCCTGATTCTGACGTCTTCTCAAGTCTGTTCATAATTGCATGTGAAATGTCTAGCAACTTGACCACACAGGAGTTCCATGACTCTCCCCCCATCCTGCAAGTTTGTTGTACGGAGCAGCTCTCACTCGCATGGCTCAACTAACCTTGGTTTGCGGCTGATAGAAAAGATCCACCCAGGCACAGGAAACCCCAGGTAGGGTACGGATGGTACTTGCAGATATTGGTTACATGGCGCCTTTCCGCTGGTAGCAGTACCTCCTTGGTTTGCCCAGGTCGAGGACGATCATTGACTCGATTCGCCTACCTCTGCGAGACCAATGCACTTCATGTCTGGGGTCCTATGCGTTATGGTCTATGAATATCACAGCGCAGAGTTGTCCTCTGTCTGGCTCCAAAATCGGAATGCTTTGCCTTGGAAGTGGCTTGTATAATAATGCATTAGATGTAGCATGTTCTAAAGGTGAATAAATGAGAGAATCTGGAGTATAAACAAACTGGCGTCTTTTTGTAGTTTCGAAAAGATAGTCTGCAAGATGTTAAAGGAAACCCCTGTAAAACCTGCCAGCAACTTGACATGACTAGGTGGGGGCTGGATATTAAAATCCCCTGTCGGATTTCTAGCTAAGACGCGCCGGGTAAATTTACTAAAAAGCAGTTTTCATATAGATACAGACGAGGGGACTGAGTCGAATTATTCCATCCTCTCTCGCGCTCGACTTCGCCCTGTGCCCGGGTCCAGTCCGCAGTTATAACCAGCCAAACTCTTGTCTCATCACAGCTGCCAACATGTCGAGTTACGACGACAAGCCACCAAACTATAGTCCCGGGCCTGTCTCGGCAGTTAGCCCCAACAGTCCGGACCCATGCTACGATCATGATGCCAACGCCCCCGAAGTTGTTGAGCTCATGTCGCCTTTAGACGCCAACTCAGTACAAGGCTTACACTACGGGCAACAGCGCTTCCAGGATCACACGAGCGCTCATTACACACACCAGAATACAAACAGCGAGGACAATGGTGGGAATGCGACGGATAAGGAGGTAGTGCCCGCAGAGTACGCAACATGCCAAAATCTAGAGAGCGCAATAGCGCCAGCAGGGAACACGCCGAGCGTTTCGCCGCATCAACCATGGCAAGCGCAGAAAGCGGCAGACGCTCCGCTCCCTCCGTTACCCAACAAAGGAGGAAGAATCCTAGGCTTGAAGCGCGGCGTCTTTTTCATCTTGCTCGGGCTTTTGCTTGCTGTCGTGGTTGCCGCAGTCGTCGGTGGTGTTGCGGGAGGAGTCATCTCTTCAAAGTCAAAGTCCTCATCGGACGCAAATACTGCCTCGACGTAAGTTTTGGCCCCAATCTCTGGAATCAACTCTCTACAAAGTCACGGCTATTAAACCATCTCATAGCCCAGTACCGACGCCATCCACACCAACAGCCTCATCTACTGCCTCCTCTGCAAGCGCATCTGCGACTCCCTCAGCCACGTTTTTGTACAACGAGACGTCGTTTGATCAGGGCTTTGCATTCCAGGGGTTCTCTAGGAACAAGTTTAGCGGCGCATATACTGCCATCGTTCGGGACAAACAAGGCGGCATAGACTTTGACTTCGACATTCACAGCTACGACTGGGTTGCCAAAATTACCAACTGCTGTGTTTCGTTTTGCAACAACGCCACCAGGGAGGGATGGATGGGATACACGTGCGATTCGAGACACAGGGAGGCGGCTGAGGAATCCTTTGCAAGAGCCTTTATTTGGTGCTCCGATAACCACACGACTCCATACGCACGGGGGAAGTGTGTGTAAAACAGTCGACATAATGACAAAATGGCCATTCATTTCAAAAATTATATATACGTTGGGCGTCCTAGCAATGACTAAATACAGGGTTGGCGCCCCAATTCCATACAAGAAGAAGAGTCAAGTATCAACAACAAGGGCCGCAGTTTGTGCTTGTGCGTCTGGCCATGTACAAATGTTGTTTACACATGTGCAACTTGTAAACCGTTCCGGGATGCACGCTCAATAGTCACCACCCCAGTTTCCGCAGCCGTTATGCCCAGGAGCATGAGGCCTGCGCGAGGTGCGGACGGGGTCAGGGCCGGGCTGGGGGAATTCGACATCGGTGCCCTCGTACGTGCAGACGCCGTTTCCGACGTTGGCGACAAACATGGCAGGACGGCTCTGGTACGAGTCTGCGGCGCCGCGCTGCGCCCACTTGTTGCCGGCCTTGACCGTGATGGCGGCGCAGTTCATGTACATTTCGCGGTTGCCCTCGTTGTTGAACCAGGACCAGCCGAAGAGCATGTCGCCGGCGGGCAGGTCGCTGGGCAGAGTGAAGCTGTAACTGGAGTCGCCCAGGACCGGACAGTTGCCCACCCACGAGCGAATGACTTTCCACGAGTTGCCGCGGTCGTAGGAAACCGAGGCCTGGCAACTGCCGCCGTCGTGAGGGATGCGTCCGCTGATGGTCATGGAGTAGGTGCCGCCCGCGGTCCAAGTTGCTACCGGTCTGCCCTTTGGCGTGCCCAGATATCTGGCGTAGCCTTTGCAGGGGAAGTCGCTTCCGTCCGAGTTCAGCGGCGAGATCATGTCGTAGTCAATGTCCCAGCCTGTATAGGGGTTGAAGCCGGAGCGGATGGGAGGAGGATCTTTCATCTCCATGTGTGCTGCGGCAAATGCGGCCATGCCCAGGCAGGCGCCGATAACGTGGGAGGCTTTCATCTTGTTGGCTTATACAGGACGTGCCCAGGAGGTATGAATAGCTGATTAGTTGAGATTCGGTGCAAGTCTTGATGAGCTGAAGTATGGGATCCGACTAGAAAGACGTCGGTGGAAGAAGCATTTTATATTCCTCCCGATCCCTTTTGCTCCTCATTCTCTTTTGTCTCCAGAGTACCAACAAGTTCAAACATGTTACCATATTGGTTTTCCAAAAAGGGGTTATCAGGGTTAATGTCACTATCCCCCACGCTTCATACTGTCAACTGGTGCCATTCATTATTCACGGGCCAGCTTCAAAGCTAGGGAGCGATGGGGATACCTTCCTAATGCGGCGGGTCGTTAACAATAAACACGACACATGAAGTGATACAGTCAATGCGAACGGGAATAATGCCTTGGCAGACACATCGACATCCATGTCACGCCAGAAACAGGTCATGGACAAATGGGAATGCCACAGAGTTCCATGGTTCTATTACAGGCGCACCACTTCAGACTCCTGAAATGCGAAATATATCCGCAGTCGTCGTCCATCATCAGGCCCAGTATAGGCATATTCTTACCAACCGTTCAACTATACCCAAGTTACTTGCCCTGAATGATTCCGCATCGGGTCATCATGTTACGAGCACCAGGAACGGCGGCGGGGTGTCGATCTCCTCCCACCCGAATGACTTGTTCGCACCGGGAGCCTTTTGCGCCGTCCAATGAGGAGCTGCAACGTTCCTGGAGACCAAGCGACGTGGTTGATCGCGCCTGTTTTTGGCATCTCCAGACGTCTGGTTGATCTTGACGGGTTTGCCCCCACGTGGGACCTTGACGGTGACAGTTTCATCAGGTGAAGCAGGCTTGTAACTTACTATTTAGGCAACTAACTGCATGGAAATGGTTAAGAATAGTCCCAAAGGAGACGCGGAACTAGTAATAATCCGTGGAGGCATGACCTCATTGCCGAGCGCTCTCATCTCATGCGAGTAGTGCCTCAGCATAAGTTATGAGGTCACACCCGGTTTTTAGTGGTTGGGGAGACGAGTATCTTATCTTACTTCCAAAATCATATCCATTTCCGATTCTGGAAACATGAATAAATGTAAATTCACCAAGGGTTTGGGCGTTTCTTGTTGCACCAACCCTTATACACAACTCCTCCTTTCCTTCACATCAAGACGGATGGTGTCCAGAGTGAACAAGACTTGCGTGCAAGACTGTACATCTCACGTGGGGTCAAGTCGGTCGCATTCACTGAGTTGACCCGATAATTGAGACGGTATGGCTCTTGCTCTCTCCATTGTCTCACCCCCAAATGCATGACAAGACAAGTTGAAGCTGCTTGACACATGGGACTGGCGCACCGGTGACATTTGGATGGCACCACCCAGTGTGCTTAGCATCTGCTCCCAAAGCAATATTGAAGTGTGTTGCCGATGGATGCCCTGCACTCCGGCTCTGGTACTCCATAGGGTAGGCGGAGTCTCGGCCAAGGAGCGCAGACTATGTCTCCAACATTGGAGTTTATATTTTTGGACTGTACGGACTCTAGTACTGAAACATCAGTCCTGATTATACTGCTAATACCTGCCCATGTCAAGGCTGCGTTTATTGCAAGCCCCAGTCTAGGCGTAGCATTCTCGCCATGATGACAGGCAAGACAAGACTGGGCGGGTTTCAATGTTGGGAATTTATCCACCAACATCTGCCATCTTACGTGGGAATCCCAGCGAACAGCACCTGGAACACCATTACCAGAGCTGCATGTATCAAATTGATTGACTCCCACTACTCGCGGTACCATACATTGGCCTGGAGCAGTTTACAACACAAGGTCTGACTGTCCTGTAATGACAAGTCCCGCTTTTCAGAGACAAGTTACGTTACAACCGCACACGGCAAGGCCTGCTGACCCCGATCAAGGTCCTTATTTTCCTCCAATCCCCAAAAATCGGCGCAATTACCTTCCCCTTTTCAACATGCTTTGGGTCCATCAAGACGACTGACTGCCAGGCCGGCATGAGACCGGGCTGAGAGTGGCTAAGGGCTAGACCAGAGTCCTCCCCCAAGGTGTCAGCAGCGACGATTCCAACTCGAGGATAGTTCCGGCATTTGGGTCTCGAATTATCCATCCATGGCTCACCCGTCCGGGGATGGCCACGGCATAGGCCGTCGTCCCAAGTTATGGCCAAGTGGAAGAATCATTGAATGGCTCGAGGTCCAACACGCACGTATATAAGTAGGCTGGCTGTACAAGTTTTGCAATACCAGACGCCTGACGGGTCAAGATTCACACAAACACCGTCTCGCTACCACACTCAAGATGCGTTCAGCCAGTCTCTTTGCCGTGGCCACCCTCGGCGCCGTAGCCTCTGCCTACCAACTCCCCGCCAATCTGAAGAAAATCTATGATCAGCACAAGGTATGTTGCAAACGCAGGCGACAGCACGTGCCGGTCGCTAAGACGAGACACCACACAGGCCGGGACATGCTCCAAGAAACTTTCAGGAACCTTCAGCGGCGGCGCGGCCTACTGCGGAGATCTCCCCAACGCCATCTTCCTCAAGGGGAGCAGCGGCAACTATGACAACATGGACATTGACTGCGACGGCGCCAACAACTCGGCCGGCGGCTGCGCAAACGACCCCAGTGGCCAGGGGCAGACGTCCTTCAAGGACACCGTCAAGACGTACGGAATTCCCGATCTCGATGCCAACATCCACCCGTACGTCGTCTTTGGAAACGAGGGCGCCAGCCCGTCCTTCAACCCGCAGAGCAAGGGGATGAAGCCCCTTAGCATTATGGCCGTCGTGTGCAATAACCAATTGGTGCGAAGTATCCCGGCTCCGGTCCGTCGCCGCCATCCAATTGCTAACAAGAACTTTGTTTCTAGTTTTATGGCGTCTGGGGCGACACCAACGGATTCACTTCGACCGGCGAGGCGTCGCTGGCCCTTGGCAAGCTCTGCTTCCCCAACGAGGGCCTTTCCGGCGACAATGGCCACGATCCCAAGGATGTTCTCTACATTGGCTTCACTGGAAGCGATACCGTGCCTGGCAAGAGCGGTGCGAATTGGAAGGCAAAGAAGACGACTGAGTTTGAGGATAGCATCAAGGCCCTGGGCGACAAGCTCGTCGCGAGCCTCTAGATGTAAAAGTACCTTACTTGCCAAGAGTCTGCGCGACCTCCTGTGATTGCATCGACATGTTTTTTTTTTTTCATTTGGCAGCGACGAGGCTGGCGCCCTTGCCCTCCACCTTGTTCGTCATGATTTGCATCTCGGAACTCGTGCGTACAGGCTGTCCCCGTGGATGCGATTGCTCTTTGCGTGTCCTCGTCAATCCACGTGTTTGGCCTCATGGGCTAGCATGGCCTGATGGCCAGTTGGGGATGTTTCTGCATCTTACGACCCTCGGGAAAATGTGTATAGCCCATCGTGCCATCTCGAACGGCGCGTAAGCCCAGCGCCGCTGTCATGCGGTAAGAGGTGCCAGGCCAGACATCCATAAGCGCTGTATGTATCTGCCATTTGTAGCCTCAGGAACTGCGTCATCAGACGAGACGGCGCGACTACAGAAGGCGTTGGTCAATTTGTGTCAGTCCCCTGCGGCCATGGACGGCCATGGTTCGCCCCTCGTACGACTTTTCCACCAGTAAGCACCATGCGCAGGGCCGTGTTTTAAACTAGACTCGGCCATGATGACTAGCAAAGTCCGGCGTTCGTTTGGAAACGCCGCCAGCTGAATGAATATCGTGGCTTTGTAGTTCGGACTCGGACAGAGAACCGCCATGACTTGGTAATGCAGCCAATTCACCACAAAGCTCCACAGAACTCAACACTTTACCATATTATGAAACAAGGGCCCGGCGTGTTCGTTACAAATCCCTTGCGCTGACAAGAGGCACAATCACGTCGACGGCGTTTGCAACGGACTTTTTAACCCGACTTGGAGAGCGCCGGGCCCGGACATTCCGCGGGCTTCTCACCGACCGGCCAACAGCCAGCATGGAACCAACCAACCATGTTGAACCGGACCCTGAAAGGTCTGGATTAGGATGCAGTCTTTTCGGATGACTGGTTGGGTCCGTCTGACCCTTGGCCTGGTGTCCGTCGTTATTGGCCGCACAAATGGCCATTGTTTCCCTATCTCCGGGAACGACTTGGACATGATCACTGTCGGCTGGCTTCTCGGTGGAAGCCATGTTCCAACACTCGGCGTCACCACTTGCGGCACGTCAAGGGTCCGAGATCAAAGACCAATGCGTCGCGGCCGAGTTACAAATGTGTTGGACGCCCAACGCACAAGGCCATTGCTGACCACGTTGATTCAAGGCACCCAGTCTGCCACGGACAAAAGTGGACGCAACTACGGAGCACGGAGTCATCGGCCACGGCATTTATCCACGAAACCCGGCCCGATGGCATACATGAAAGACGCTTCCTCGCTTACACAACGCCCATTCATAGCCCGCGACTTTCCCCAACCCATCTCCCTCCATTGCGTGGCATCTGATTCCCCATGCCGAGACAGTGTCGATATAATATGCGGGCATCCAGGCTTGGCATTCGCAAACAGTCCAACCAAAGACATACATGATTCGCTCCGCACCGCGATACCACCATGGCAACAAGACCGGCCAGCCACGGCCACAGCGATGGCGAGGAACCGGCCCTTCAGCACAAGATTCCCTACTGGCGGCTTGTCATAGACCAAGCAGGCGTAACTGATCATGTCCTTCACCACGAATACCCGGGATCGGGCACCCAGGAGGACCCCTACCTGGTGCAATGGACGCCAAACGACCCCCGAAACCCCATGGGCTTCAGCGACGCCAAAAAATGGTTCATCACCGTCACCGTGGCCGTCGCCACGCTCGCCGTGTCCCTCGTCTCGTCCGCGTACACGGGGGGCATGAAGCAAATCATCATCGAGTTCGGCGCCAGCCAGGAAGTAGCCACGCTCGGCGTCTCGCTGTTCGTGCTCGGCTTCGCCGTCGGGCCGCTCCTCTGGGCGCCCCTGAGCGAGCTCTTCGGGCGCCAGGTCCTCTTCGCCGGCACGTACGCCTGCCTCACGGCCTTCAACGCGGGCTGCGCCGGCGCCCAGAACATCTGGACGCTGTGCATCCTGCGCTTCTTCGCGGGCGCCTTTGGCTCGTCGCCCCTGACCAACGCCGGGGGCACCATTGCCGACATGTTTGAGCCGGCGCAGCGCGGCCTGGCCACCGCCATCTTCGCCGCCGCCCCCTTCCTCGGCCCGGTCCTCGGCCCCATTGCCGGCGGCTTCTTGGGCATGGACGCCGGCTGGCGCTGGGTCATGGGCTTGCTGGCGGCCTTTTCGGGGCTCGTGTGGATTCTGGGCGTCGTCCTCGTTCCCGAGACGTACGCCCCCGTCATCCTGCGCCGGAGAGCGGCCAGGCTGTCTGGCATGACGGGCAAGCACTACGTCAGCAAGATGGACCATGACAGAGGCCGCGTCACGTTTGCCGAGTCGTTCAAGTCGGCGCTCTCGCGGCCCTGGATACTGCTGTTCAGAGAGCCCATCGTCTTTCTTCTCTCGGTGTACATGGCCATTGTGTACGGCACGCTGTACATGCTCTTTGGTGCGTTCCCCATTGTGTACCAGCAGCATCGTGGTTGGAACCAGGGCGTCGGGGGGTTGGCTTTTCTGGGCATCATGGTGGGAATGCTTGCCGCCATAGCCTTTACGCTCCCCTTGAACAGGCGGTACATCGAGACGCAGCGCAAGTGCGGCGGCCACGCACCGCCCGAAGCCCGCTTGCCCGGCACGCTGGTCGGGTCCATCGCCCTGCCCGTCGGCTTGTTCTGGTTTGCCTGGACGAATTCCAGCTCGGTTCACTGGATTGTCAGCATCCTCGCGGGGGTGCCCTTTGGTTTCGGCATGGTCCTGGTGTTCCTGAGCATCCTCAACTATCTCATCGACTCGTACACGATTTTCGCCGCCTCTGTTTTGGCAGCCAACTCCGTCTTGCGTTCTCTCTTTGGAGCCGCCTTCCCCATGTTCGTGGGGAAAATGTACGAAAACCTGGGAATCCACTGGGCATCCTGTATCCCAGCCTTCCTTGCCCTGGCCTGCGTGCCGTTCCCGTTTCTGTTCTACAAGTACGGTGCGTCTATTCGGGCAAAGTGCAAGTTTGCTGCCGAGTCGGCTGCCTTTATGGAGAAGCTACGTCAACAATCCCCCGAAGCTCCTGCCGTCGTGGAGAAGAAGATGGACGGTGACGCCACCGAGACGGGTGCCGATCTCTCGAGCGACGAGGAGACCAGGACGGGCGAGGAAGGGACGACATATTCCCCCATCAAGGCGACGCAATCTCACGCTTCGACACGTGGTCAAGCGGCTGCCGACACGACACTATACGATGGCAATCCGTACAATATTGACCGCGTCAACAGCAATCACTCATTTGCCAGTCACAAGTAAATTGGTGCATAGCGCGTCTCAATACCTCACAGTTTTTATTATTAATTCGTGGCTGGAGTCATAGAACTCGCCTGGTATTCTCTCTTCTCATTGTCTTTGATCTCAACATGGTTCTTACTTGGGTTTGGCATATGTACACATGGAGCATAGAATAGCGGGAACATGACAACCATATAGAGTCTGTAGCATAAGATGTTTTTCTCTAGCAATAAGTATACACTGGGAGCCGAGGCATATTATAATACACGGCGAGAGAGATGTATACTCGCTTTCAGTTAAATCATTTCATTTCACGCTAGGTAGAGGGGTAAATCAAGGTCGATTTCTATTTCAAAGCTTATCAACTATCCCTAAATATCCAACAGTGAACTATAATAGTATATTACCAACTAAAAGGTGCCTAATTACCGTATTATATTGCTTGCGCGGACCTGGAATGGACTCGCATGGCATATAATGCTTGTCACAGCCCCCGTCAACCACTCCCTTCTCCTGCATGAGGGAAAATTAGTAGTATTTCGGGTTCGTCGGGTCGGTCAGATCAAAGATGACGACGCTATGGGGACGCTGGTGATTATGCAAGTCAGCTTATGCTTTCAACTAGTTTTGGAATGAGTGACGCCTGGCATGTTACTTACAGCTCCACCTCTGGTCTTTGTAAAGATGTTTTCAAAGTCAATGGTTCGGTTGAAGTTCAACGAGCCGTCGGGGAGAATGTCAATCCAATGGCCTTTGTAATCTCCAGGGGTGTTGAGCACGGAAATCTACTCGCGTCAGCTCTCATTCCATTAGTAAAGCGGGTTATACTAACGTCTCCTGCCTGGACGAAATAACCAGTGACCAAGAGGTTCTTTTTGTCGGGGGAAATCTTCACATAGTGAGGTCCAATGATGGGCTGGGTCTCATCAGGGTTGTCCAGACGTTTGACATTGTTCAGGTCTGAAATGTCTAGAGCAGCGACGTGGTTACCCAACGTGAAAGTAAAGTATGCCAGCTTCCCATCGTCGCTGATGTCAGAGTAAATGGCAACAGAGTCCTTGGCCTTGTCCCCGAGATCATAGAAGAGTTCAGCAACGCCCTGTTTGCCGTTGGCATCTTTTCGAAATGGGTAGATGATCCAGACCTGGCCTGGATTGACCGCACTGTAGAACATTGTTTTAGAATCTTGTATCCTAGTATTAATAATGGTTTGTTGACTCACGTGGCTAGAGCGGCGCTCTCCTTGTTTCCAGGAATAAACTTGACATCTTGGATACCACCACCCTGTGTATGGTTAATCACCAAACCCACGGCTTCTTCCGGAGGGACGAATTGCTCACATGAGGAATTTGGATCGTGGATATAATCTTGCGGCTATCAAGCTCCCACAGACGCAGCGTGTTTGCCTTTTGAATGCCAAGAGCCGAGACGGGTTTGAGAATGCTAAGTGGAACGACAAAGTCGGAAGTGAGGATAACGTTGTTCTTGAAGTCGACACTCAGGCCGTGTGGTGTGAACTGTTCACCGAGAATGTTGAGCTGCTCAAGTCAGTAATTTCGCTTCTGATTTCATTTCCAGTCCATCACATACTGTTCCCTCGACATCCTCTGGCCATTCATGAATAATATTGCCCTTGGCGTCTGTCTCAACCAGGCGTCCGGGTGAGCTTCCCACAGCGCTACCCATGTATGTAATCAAAAATCCACTGCAGCACTTTGAATTAGTTTTAGTTGTGTAGAATGTTTTCCAGGTGACGCACCCTTCAGGCTTGGCTCGGATCTCGTCAGTGATGGAACTCAGCAGAGCCCGGTTGCTGTGAGCAAACTTTGGGTGATAAGGATCACTGGAATCCCAGTAGAAAGCAGTATCCTGGGTTTTGAGAAGGGAGAGCAATCCGCCGCCAACCAGAGTCTTTCCGTCCAATGAGGTTCCCAGGTGATGAGGAGAATTGCCGCTTGTAGGAACATCTGATATGTGGATGATTGTCCCAAATGTATCCTATCCAACAGGTCAGAAACGGCCTATTTAGATTCATTGGGAATAGGTCTCTTACATCATCCAAGCTCACAGTTACCAAGAAATCCTTGTGGGTATTATCGCCAGCGCCTGTCCAGAAGTGGCCAATCTTCTTCGGCTGAATGTTGGACACGTCAAAGGGCGGACTGTCGACTGGGGGCGTTGGCACTTGAAGGATAGGCAAAGGAGGAGCATTTGATGCCAAGGGCTCCGTAACACCTGGAATTGCTGGAATAAGGGGAGGAAGACTCAAGCCGAGGGGATCTCGCTTGGCAGCAGTACGACTGCCGTCCACAGGGCCTGCCAATACAAAGTCGGCGACTCCTGCGAGAAGCAGGAGAGAGTGGAAGCTGCGTCTCATTTTGAGTGCCTTTCGAGGTAGTTTGAGCAAGTAAATGATGAGAATGTGTTTGATTGTGGAATGATATAGGGCTTGGGTGAGCAAGTTTATCCAACTATATATCTGTGAAAAGCGCCTTCTATGCCAGCATCCCTTTTCTTCCAGCTACCCTTGTACGATTTACACCATCGTGGATTCAGTCATTACTGCGAATATGATGCAATTTGGTTATTTACGCAAATGCTGTTGCTTTTTTTCTTCTGGGTTCCGCTATCGAGATCCCAACCACGAGGCTGCCTCTAGGTGCCGATGCCACGCAGGGAGTACACTGCTTGACCATTTGGACGCTCCTGATGAACACCAAATGTTGAGGAATCGCGGCAGTTCAAGAAGCTTGACCTGCTCATTCTCTCGAGCAATGACGGAATATGCATGTCTCACAGATCCCATTTGACTACACCGCTTTGGGTCACCCACGGCGAATTGGATGTTGAAGGTGACAACGATTTCGTGATGAAGAAGTGCATTTTCAAATCTCTTTTACCACTTTTAGAACGCCACAAATTTCCCTGATTTTATTGGATACTGCTCCCTGTGGTTGTGCTATGGTTACGAGCAAGCCACGAGAACTTGGAGGCATCTCCGTGAAGCACCGCTGGCATTATCGCGGCGAATGTTGAAGGTTACAAGGAGGGAAAAAAGAAGTGAAGTGGAATTTAGACATGCTCTCTCACTTGTCTCAAGTTTATTAATTTCTGATGCCGTTCTCTAGAAATTGGTGAGCCAATGGCAGATTGTCATACATGCAACCGCCATATTCCCGCTCCGATGGCGAGCGCCCCGAGTGCACAGCTCTCCGTTAGCGTCAAGTTCATTTGGTAGCTTCAATGTTAACTTGGATAAGCTTCGAATAGCAGCAGACCAGACGGAATCAGACGAAAGTAATATGGGGTAATTCTTCAATGTTGAGAGCAGATCTGTCCCGCAGGCTTGTATTGCTCTCATCCCCCCGACAAATGGCGTGATGCGCTACCGCCGACAAGCCGCCAGCAAGATGCCGCAAGTCGCTCCCGATCCCAACAGCGGTTATTCAGCTTGACGCTTTTAAAAGAAACAATCTGTGTATTTTCACTACTGCGTGTCTCATCACAATTTGGTTGCATCGCCTGGTCTTGGTCTATGGCGCGGGAAAAGCTGAATGAGCTGCCAAGGTTGCCTTGCAGCCTTGCCATGTCACCATTATAGTTCCCTTTGATACCATTCGCAGTCGCAGATCTTCATTTACATCATGGAAAAGTCTCTTTTCCAAAAGAACCATGGTCTTTTGTATTTCACAACTACTGTGGCCCGCGTTTGACTCTCTGCCACCCTATATGCTCCATTGTGAGCATCAGGCGTGTAAGTGGACAGAATAAAGCACCATCAGGAAATGGCGCATTCTTGGCGACACACGAGAGCGTCGAGCTCAACGAATAAATCGGGATTCGCAGTGGTTTCCGAGAGGCCAACTGCCGAGCCTTAGACGGAAAACCTTAACCGTTGGCAAGCCACGATGCAAACGAGCTTGACCCCGCTTGAAACTGAAGTTCAACCATGCAAGACACGGACTGCAAAGAAACATCGCGGCTGCGTAGACTACAAGCAGGGACAAAATACAGGGTATCAATCCTTCTTTGAACGCCATGCCTCGACAACGCCCGGCGCGCGTGCAGCAAATGCAAGGAATTGGAGTCGACAGAATGGGAGCCATTGGCGATGCCGACGGCCACCATCTCTTGCGCCTGGAAAACCTCGATACCGACATTCCGCCCGATGCAGAAGCCATTGCTCGCACAGAGGCCGCCGCCACCACAGACGACGACAACAGTTACCTGCCTTTTATCGGGCAGAGGCACCTTCGCAGCGTCGCGGCAGATCACGTCTCGCGCCTTTCCGGCGTCGCCTACTCTGCCGATCAGAATTGCGTCATCTCGGCCGGCGGACTGTCTGGCATTCTCAACGTCCTGCTCGCAACCATCGAACCAGGCGACGAGGTCATCGTCACCGACCCCACCTACATCGGCCTGATCAACCGCATTGTTCTGGCCGGCGGCGTCCCCAAGTATGTGCCGTTTGAGTTTAGACCAGGGGCAACGTGGAAGCTCGATCGCGGCGCTCTCAGGGATGCCGCAACCCCCAAGACCAGGGCGATGCTTCTCATGTCTCCGTCGATGCCCTGCGGCGGCTACTTTGACGCGCAGGATTGGCAGGCCGTTGCCGACGTCTGCGTGGCCAACGACCTCTGGCTTCTTCTCGATACCGCCATGGAACGGCTTGTTTTTGACGGACGACGAGTCGTGCATCCCGCTGGCCTCCCTGGCATGCAGGAGAGAACCATTACCATTGGCTCGTCAGCCAAGGAACTACGGATGATTGGGTGGCGGGTTGGCTGGATTGTTGGGCCGCAGGAGGTGATGAAGGATGTTGCTCTCGTCTCCATGGCCAACGTCGTCGTCCCAGTGGGCATTGGGCAAGATGCTGTTGCCATTGCTCTCGAGAGGTCGCAAACCACGCTTGGTGGCTATGTACAAGAACTTGAAGCCAGGCGCGACAAGGTCGTGTCTGAATTGGACGGCCTTCCCGTTGGCATTCCCGCTGGAGGCTGGAGTTTACTGCTGCGTGTGAGTGACTATGGCTTGACGGGTCAGGGAGCTTCTGAAAAGTTGCTTCAGCAGGGTGTATGTGCCACGGGAATGCGTGGATGGGGACTTCAGCATGGACATCAGTATGTGCGATTTGTCTTTTCCAACGAACCGGTGAGTCGCTTGCATGGACTTGGGGTAAAGGTCCGAGCCGCGCTAGGCATTCATTCGACTTAGTTGACTTTTCATTTCCTTTTAATACACGTGGAAAAAATTGTGATCGGGGCGTTGGAGGAATTTGGGTAATCGATGCAACATCGTCACCCTCACGCCGTCTTTCCCCATCTTGGCCACCACTTATTTGACAACAGATGGCTCTACGGTACCAATCATTTCGTTCATATATTAATAATGGTAACGACTCAAGTAATATCCATCAGTACACAATTAAGGACATTTATACAGAAATAAATATTTGCTGTCCCGGAATCGCGCTGCAGCCTTATGGCTCCAAGATTCTGTTGACCTTGGCTATTGGTGATGGCGCGTGGCAAGAGTGCCTGTCATCATACGACCAAGATACAATTGAATGGCATGATTGTAAGATGAAAGCACATCTGCGGCACTTCATCACAAAGCTCGCCTCGGCGCGACAGGGAAAACGATGAGAAACCTACTCCGCCTTCCGCTTTTGTCATGTTCAGACGCTGTACGCTGAGGCAGATTACTGCATACTCGGGCATCTTTTTACACTGGCCTGCCGCTTAAAAAGACTTTCAAGGCATGCAGTGGTTTTTGTCAATTATAACTCGCTATGCCTTGCCAGTCCTACGATTGCGGGAACAATGCATAGTTGCGCCGGCATGTCGTGTGTCTCAGGCAAAACCATGTTGAGAAACATGTTGTCTCGGGCCCGGATTCCTAAGGCTCGGCTGAGTTTATGACCGCATCAGCAGTTGACGAAGCTAAATGCAAGGTGTAATCACTCTCAGCGACCACATACGAGTTTCGAAAGACTCTAGGTCAGCATGTAACTGTAAACAAGGCAAGCACGAAACTTGCAAGTGTCTGCTCGAAACTTTGAATTCTTTAATTGTAAACCCAGACTCTAATATGAGGCTCCTCATGGGCCAATGAAGCGATAATTACATGAATGATACATAGAATCTCCAGATTGCTTGACTTGGGCCATATGTCTAGAATAATACGAAATGTAATCCCACCCCCAAGAACACGTGCTTTCCATCCAGACAGGAGCTATCGGACCTCAAAACAATTGTGGCTCAACAGCGATTAGATGTGTCGCGCACCATGTCTATGCTTGCATGAGACGCTAGCCTTTGAGGCGGTCGATGTTGCCGTTACAGCCTCTTGGATACCAGTTTGGCCGTCCTGGATCGTCGACCCAGTCGCCGTGGTGATACGAGTCTGGTTCTTGGACACTGTAGCTGTCAAGGACGATGCAATAGTCGTGTGGTTCAGGGACACTGTTGTCGTCAGGGATGTGGCAGTGCTCGTGCGGTTCATGGACCTTGTCGACGTCGACGTCGCAATGGTGGTGTGGTTCGTTGGCTTGATGACCTTCTGCGTCAAGTAGCGGATGTCCTTGATTTGAAAGTAAAAGTTCTTGAAGGCCTGAGGATTCTTGGAAACATAGTCGATGCAGGTTGGCTCTCTGGTGACCTTGTCGCATGTTCTACCACTGCCTCCATCTAGCTCTTTCCAGAATTGATCACTGCCCGGTGGGATTCCGCAAACGGGAAGAGTGAACATGAGTTGCTGCTCCTGGAAGATGCGGTTAATGTCGCAGTTCGAGGCCCGTAACTGAACGGACGGCTGGCCCCACGACGAAGTATCGAGCTCCTCGTCGCTCAGGTTTGCGGGCTCCTGGCCATGCGGCCAAGTAAACAGCTTAATATACTCCGTGGTCCACTCAAGGGCCTCTGATGTAGTTGTGTGTAAGCACATGTCTCATCAGAAGAGGGAGCCATTGACGACTTACGGATTCCTCCCTTCGGGTCAGCCCAAATGGTGTTTTCTGTCTCTCTTGACTGGCAGCCTTGGTTTAGCCACTGAGTTTTATTGTCGGCGAATGTATTGTCACAATTTGAGGAGATGATTCCTGAGTATTGATCTCCCTGCTCAATGGTGCATGACCCAAATTCGGACGCGGGACCGACGTGGAACACGGGCTTATTGTGAATGTCCAGGTTCCAGCCTTCGTAGATGTCGATTTCACCGGCTTTGGGCCATTCTCCCACACCCAGAGTCCAGCTGGCAAAACGGTTACTGTCACATTGCAATACAGCTCGTATCGTATTGACATTACTTACTATGCTGGCCAGCCTCCGCAAACGAGCTCCGGCAAATGAGTAAAACGAGTAATAACCAACCCGTACTTGAATGCCTTTTTCGAGACAACCCGGAGACTGTCGCGTCCCTCGGCAGACGTCTTATTCAGAACCCTGGTATGATCAATGCCCAGGTAGACCTCGCCGTCTTTGATCTTGGCTAGACCCTTTTTCTGGGCGTTTGTCAAATTTTGGTACTTGACCCACGACCAATTGTCGTCATTTTGAGTTGGGATACCACCGGTCTATCAACCATCCATTCATTAGCCAAACGAATCGGCCGGCGGTCGGAGATGGATGGGCATGGGGTCATACAGTGCGGAAGTCGAACGACTTGAAGAAGTTGCTGGCGTTGTATGTCTGGTTGAGACGAAACTGCTCAGCCGCTGAGGCTGCACAGTGGACGGCAAGCAGCCAAGCGGTTACGGGGCGCATCTTGTCTTGCTGGGCCGAGGACTAGATGGAAAACTGCGTCGAGATGGCAGTCGGACACATTTGGCGCCAAGCATGTATGTCCTTGTATATATATTATGTAGCCAGTGCTGTGCCTAAACCAGCGCCTTGACGGCCAAGAGCAGAAATTGCTGGTTGCCTGAAATGGTCTCATAGGGGTAAAATAAGACAACATGGTGAATGTAATCTCATTTTTTTCATTGCCCCATCCCGTCGTGTAAAGGTTATTTTCGGCGAGACGCCGAAGTTACAACGCATGTTGTACTCCATAGCAGTACAACATATTGTTCAGGACCCGGCGCATGAAAATGAATTGCCAGGGTCAGGGTCTGCCCTGCTTCTTGGCAAGATGCCACTCCGTACCTGCATTCCAGAACGGACCACATTGTGCAAACACGTCTGCTAGTGCGTAATGACTGGTTATGCTCTGCCGGAGTTTCCGCAGTTAAGCCTTGCGTCCCCGGCATCGCGTGAGCTGTGGGTTAGGGTCAACATTGAATATGTGACATGGACTGGAGCCACTTGGTGCGCGATTCAGCGTTCGGGCTAGTGAACTTGTTGGTTTGAGAACCATGGAGGCCACGCGGGTGAGAAGTGCGGGATGGCATGACGATGGGAGTACAAAGGCGCAGTGCGATTCCTTGCTGTACACAGCCTTCTGGGCAGTCCTCCACGGCATCATACCGAGTGAGAGCCTTCAATGTTCCACCAGACGGCTTACAAATTACAACATTGAATGCTTCGTGCCTGAGCACCGAACTGAACTGCGCGACTATCTCTGCATGTGCCACCAAGCCAAGGATCTGCCCCCCGGTTCATCCCTTGTGCGCGGATCCTCATCGATAGCAGGGCATGGGCCCAGCGGGATGGGATTCCTAAATTTTGACCCATTCGGACCCAAACACCTGAGCATCGTTATGTACCCGCCATGACCATGTCGTCTGGTCCTAGGGGATGCGTCTCTCGTGTTTCCGACAGCACGTTTATTGGGCCGTTTATAGGGCGCGTGCTTTGGTATCGGGTGGCTCCCGGCTACCCAGGGCAACTCGGCTCTAAAAGGAAATATAATCACGGAGTACAAGCCGGACGCGATTGCCATAAAGGTGTAGTATTCGTAGATCAGGCCCTCTCGCGACGACGATCCTTCGTCTTAGCCCCCTTCTACACGGACCTGAGACGCGCATCATCTCACCGAGTACTTGAGTCAAGACAACCGGGCGATTATGCTTAAAACGGGTCAGAGACCAATAGCGAAGCGAGTTGTCTGACATGGGAGGTGATCTTTATTCGATCCTCCCCATCCGATTCCACATGTTCCTGCCCTATAGTACATATATAGTACACCCAGGTACATGTTAGATTGATGCTTAATTATTACTAATACGAGACAAAAGACAGCAGAAGAGAACAAGGTTAGCAACTACGGTATTCGCTATTCGCCGTCATTTCTCAGTGATCGTCATCGGCGCTTCCAAACGGTGCAAAGGTGAAACCTCTGTTAGCTGACATCTATTTGGTCATCGGTCACGCGGCGTTTGGGATTTTGCAGAATAAGATCCGCCAGAGTCCATGCGGCGGAATGGTCGAGTGGCTGCGCCCTAATTATTCTTTATGCATGACCTGGTAAGGAGACTAATAACCAATAAACAACGGGTTTTACGGTTCCCAAGATTAATTGATTGCTTAATAAGTCAAGGTCTTTATTATAATCCCTTCAACTTCTCCCAACACCTTAATAACTTGAAATACATGCATCGCAGATAATGCATTTCCCCCTGCTACCCTGTCATATCACGGATGAAGAATACGAATTCCGTGGTGTTGGCAGAGTCGCAGGGATAAACATGGACTTTTCATTATTAATGATAGCACGCAATTGACGCGCCCTTTATTGAATTCCACTACGGAGTAGTTTCGGCAGGAATTCAGAGGCATCCACGGCCTCCACGGCGGTAGACGGAAAATGCTGAAACCACCATGTTTGGCTGCGCGTTTAATAACACGGACGACATTGACCCGTATTGCGCCCTGCAGCCGCGGGCATATCCCGGTGCTCTTTATCCAACAATTGAAACGAGTGGCTCATCAACGTCTTTGAATCCATGGTGGCTAATGGCGTTAAGGAGGACTTCTCGCCCATCACACCACAAAACTCCTCCCACCATCACCACTTTTCCCTAACCAGGCCTTGTGACTCCCTTGTATATCTGTATCCACGCATCTGCAGCTCTCCATACGCCATCATCATCGTACGCGTGTCTACTGCGCTAATCATAGCGATGATGCCAACGAAGCCGGCAGTGCTGCCCTTCTGGCCTCAAACATGCTCGGCAAGTGCAGCAAGCTGGCGAGCCATCCTTGTTGTCCAGGAATTTGGGCAAGACTCTTCCACGGTTCCTCGCCTAGAGGCCGTGAGATTAAAGGATTTGTGCTTCCTCATGACGGCACGGATTGGTGTTGCCCTGGGCTTCCAACTATATAGAAAGGGCGAATGTCAGTCACGGCAGAACAAGGGGGGAGAGTTGATGACTTGGAATCTCCCCGGCGGCATTGACTGCCTCGGTGATGTCTATTCCTTCTCTAGCAGTGGAAGAAGCAAACTCGCCAATATAGTCAATAACCTTTTGAAGCTTGCCATCGAAATTGGGACAGAGTTCTTCCAGCTCTCGGGTCATACTCTCTATAAGCAACCGTCGACGTCTTCAACGGAGGATTCAGGGCCGTCAAGACGGCTAATTCCGACATCAGCTGTTTTGTATCTGGCAATTCTCAACATCTCCTTACACTGTGGTGGAAAACGCGACGTCCACGGCCGGGGCAGTAGACTAGCACAAATGAGCTTCTTAGAGTCGTAGTCCATCTTTCCCGCCTGGTGCCAATGAAGCCAGCATCAAGGAAGGCTTAAGATGGCTTTTGTTAATACACTTTACAAAGATGGTGGCGAGCCACGAGCTTTGGAATAAAAGACTTGGAGATGGTTGGAATTCAGGCATAGTGATACCACCAACTGATCTAACACTCTGGAAATGATGCTTTTCAACTTGTGCGCGGCGGAATTGACTATTGTGGTCCGGGGGGAGCAGCTCTAGGCGTCATGCCGAGGCCGACTGGTTTGACGAGGCGGTAAGAATTGTGCCCAGTCCGCAGGAACGGGAGTAACATCTCAGAAATCAAGACAGCTTTGCAATATTTTGTGTCAAGATGAAGCAGATAGACCTGGTTTGAGGCAACTATACTATAAAGGCAAATGGGCGAGAACGGGGCGTAGAATTACAGATAAAAGTGTTGGCATGGTCATGCCATCGACGAAAGCCTCTGTAGAGAGCAAAGACCGATGCAGTTAGGAACCTACACATATTCGTTAGCAAAGGCATTCCTCGGTGAATAAATACTTCCAGGCTTACCTCCTCCTCCACATCCGCCGCCGCCGCCTCCTCCTCCTCCTCCACATCCTCCTCCTCCTCCGCAACCTCCGCCGCCTCCCGATCCCGATCCTCCTCCGCAGCCTCCTGTGCTGCCACAACCTCCCGTTCCAGACCCGCAGCCCTGGTAACCGCTATTAGCAAAAGACGTGAGAAGATATACCATGGACGGGACATACTCCTATACCACCGCATCCTCCGGCATTTCCACACGCTCCGGCTGCTACGCCTCCACCACCGCAGCTTCCAGCGGCACACCCTCCCCAAGCACCGGCACCCGTGTGGACATAACATGGATCCCATCCGTAGTACATGCCCGGTGCCAGGTACAGCGGATACACTGCGGGGGAATACACTGCATTCTGCTTAGTATTTCAACATCATTGCAGATGGCCAAAAGATGAAGAGGGGGTTGTGGCACGTACTGAAATATGAATAGCCCCAGTGGTCGTAATAGTCATTGCGTGGAGGAAGCGTACGGCCCTTTTTCTCGGCGCGCTTCACAGCCTTTTGGTAGTTTCGCTCCAGAGATTCCTCTTGACGAGAGCGGAGGTAGGCGCTGACTGGCCCTCTAGACGCATCCGCGGAACGGACTGCGTTGTGAGCCGAGATGTGGGCAGAGTTATCCGGAGGGCAGCGCCCGGCTCTGCCAGATTGATAAAAGTCTTGTGCATACTTGTCACCCTTTGAGGTGCCGAGAAATGAGTTCAAAGAGGACGTGTGCGACGCGCGGATGGCTACACCAAAAGAGTATTCAGCATCGGCAGAGTTCATGGTACGAAAGCTGGGACGGGAGTGTGAACGGATATATACCTTCGCAGTACCAACAAGTACATTCGCTGTACAATTCATGAAATAGAACTTGGTACGTCTTGGACGTCCATTCGAATGCCTGGTTGAGCTTGACTTCTTCGATCTTGTCATCATGATCAATGAACTTGAATGTCGCTCTTGTCGTGTCGGCATAGTAGGACGGAGGGATGAGCTGATGGGTGTGCCACGCAAGGTCGACGTCCAGCGTCGGGACAGCGATTTGCTTTGGATAACGCCTCATCAACTCCATGAACTTGACGTACTTGTCTATAAGCCGCGCCATTGTCTCTCGTGCCGAGGGGCTGTGCAGCCAATCCAGCTTGACCATCTTGTCAACAAACACTCCCTGGCGCATCACGGCTCCGCACAAGTCCAATGCGAATGGCGAGAAATTCTCCCAATACCGACTCATCATCTTTCTCACGCAGTTTTTGGACTTGGGAGGAATCTTGTACCGACTGCTCCATCTGGGGGGCATGGAGTTTATGCGACAGAGTCGGCTGGAGTCACGCAATACTCCCTCGACAAGAGATTTGACCGTCTCCATGGTTGGGTTTCTGTGGGATTTGAAGATGTCTTGGATTTGAATTCGCAAGTCGAGCTGGATCATGCGGTTGGGGAACGTCCTTGGATACACATTTTCCTGATGCCCGCTTGGTACAAGTTCCGGCATGCCATTTTGCGGATCGAGGATTGTTCCAGGCATTGGCACCGACTTGGCAAGAAGCAATGCCGAATCTTGCACAAATTTACGAACAGACAGGGCCTCTTTGCAAATATTGCCGTGGCAAGCAACACATTGATGGCTCAACTTGCCGTCCCCATATCCACTACCGACAAGACCGGATAATCTGCGCGAATATTAGCCTTGATTGCAATATCTGAACAGGTGCCTCGGGTGCGACAAACCCGTCTTGCCTGTTGGTAGATTCTTGATCTCCACAGGTTGTCCATGGGATGTGGTTGGGAACCTGGCAGTAAGGACAATTGATGATCTTGACCATGGGCTCACCCGTGTTGGCCCAACATCGACCGGTTGCCTGCGTCCAACGTGTTGGGCAGGCATCAGAGACGGAGTAGTCAAAGTTTGTGTCGATTGCCTCGTTGATAAGAGGCCAGGGCATACCATCTTGCCACAGGCCCTTCATTGAACTTCGAATGGAATCCTCGAGAAATGCTCGAGGATTGAGCATATGAGAATGAAACACCATGAGTACGTCTGGGCAGCTTCAACGTTAGCGTCTGCAATATTTTGGGATCCCACGGTGAATGTACACACCTAGAGGCGGAAGCATATCTGGTCCAAGTCCTCGAGGGTCTTTGCAGAGTATGGGAAAGTTGGCGTACAAATCGGATGCAGGTTCGGCCATCATGTCTTGGGTAAGATGATTTTGGCCTTGAATGACCCTCCACCAAGTCTCATACCGATCAACGGCACGAGCGACAAACAGTGCCCATCTCTTTTCACGGATCTTGCTCAGAGCAAGCTTTACCTTTTCCGCGTCTTCCATCTTGATGCCCTTTCCAGCATGGATGGCATCCAAGTCGAAACCATCAGCGTCATGGCCCGCGCGACTGTCGTACAAGCCGAAAAGACCGTCAGTGTAGCCCACTTCCTCCTTCAAGTTGTGGATGGCGTGGAGGAGTTTCAAGTGGGCGAGACAGGTATCAACCGTGAGCCTTCTTTGCGCAATGTCGGTCTCCAACGACAAATGCGCAAATGCCGCTGTAGTATCGACGTCGACAGGTGGTTGCGCCTCTGCTTGTTCAGCTGCGTACGCCGGTGGTGCAACACCATCGCGGTCATCTTGACCACGCATGATGTTCTAGGGGATGATTAGCTGATGTGAAGAGGGACTGGTTTGAGTAGGGAGGGTGTATATTCTAGATGTATTGGACTCAAGGCGTCGCCGCTGGGGTATTATGACGTCGCAGCCGTTGCCTCCAAGTTTGGCCGGAGGAGCAGAAGAGGAGATGGACTAGGGCGCAAGTGTTCAACATGAATGTTGTCGACGACCGCATTCAGTGCTCACATGTGCACCTTGGTACTCCTTAGCAGAAGCCTGTTGTCTGAAACGGTCGCTCTTTGAGATGGAAATAGCCCAGGGCGGCGTTGAGACGTGCTTTGTTCGCGCGATGACATCAGCTCAGCAGCATGGCCAGGTCAAGAATCATGGTTCTCGAGTGTTCAAGGTTGTTTCGCGTGGCCATGGCCAGTCAGCCCAACAATGCCTTGTCACGAAAAGGTTGGGACGCCAAACGCCACCAAGCAGGCAGGCAGCACCACGGTGGTGTAACAACATTGAACATTTGAACATTGAACATTGAACACTGAACCAACCAGGTAGGTAGTTGACTCTCGAGGTATTGCACGTGTCCCGTCAAGCTTCATTGTTCGTAGGACCAGCAACAGTGCGCTTCTCTTTAACTTGCGGTGCGGCAAGTGTGTGATGGTATTGGTGCCGATTACCCGTCTGGTCAGCGACGAAGTGGCTAGTCCAACTTGGCATGTCGATGGTGCACTAATGTTCAATGTTCGTTGCCAACGGGTCGATACGCAACCACACATGCATACATGTCAGCTGGTACTTGTGTATGTAAGAGCACGTGCACTCAATGACATGGAGACTCCATGTCCAGATGTCCGCCACCCAACATTGACTGCCAACATGAAAGCTGCCGTGAGTGCCTTCCTTCCCCGCGATGAGGCCGTGTTTGGTCGCTGCTCATGTCTGGTCTGGTCTGGTGCAACCTGGCACGACAGCAACATTTGAAGAGCCCAGTGCTGTCTTGTCGCTGTCCCTCGCGGCTAAAGACTGCATGTGGTCCAGTAACTCACATGCGATTCACTGCATGTGGTCAATCCAATTGAATCTCTTCAATGTTCCATGTTGTGTCTTCAGCCTCAACGCCACATGCACTGGCCCAGATCTCAGTGCTTCCTCCCGTCAGCCCCAGTCCAAGCTCCCAGGCAGCCATGGTCCGATGTGCCCGAGATGCCAAATTCCCACCAGTGTCGTCGTCGTCTGGTTGCTCACATGCAGGGCATGTCATGGCAGCCTCTCCACACAGCCGGTAGCATTGGCGAGTGCCCAGCACTATGTTGAAGCATTTGGCGCCTGATGGGGTGGCTGTGGTAGGAAAGCAAATGTGCTTCCCACGATAACCTCATCTCTTTCCATCAATGATGGCAATACTCGTTTTAAAAACTACCTACCCACCTAAGTAGAGTCCCGTCACCGTTTAATACGAGTAATTTCGCCCCCGTAAGCGTCCAAGCTCCACCTGGTGTCATTGCCTCGTGTGAATGGAGTCCCGCCCCGAGCGTTGTTTTGCACCCAGCCGGACATTTATTAGTACTACTACTAGTTGACATGACGTTTCCTGCTCCATCTTTTGACGTCGCTTGGGAACCGAGGGCCCGAGGCCATGTACATATGTCTGGTAGCTTCTTCGTCGACGGCGCGCACAGGCTAGGCATTCGCACTCACCCATTCATGTTCCCATACAAGAGTCTCAAGTGCTGGTACAATTGGCCGTTTCTTTTCTTTGCACCCCCATCTCGGCGCTGCCTGTTGCAGCCATGACAGACGCAATTAGGGCCTGAATCAGCATGTACCCCTCAAGTGCTGGTATGAATCAGCGTCAAGTCTCACGTTGCGTTCCCGCCAAAACGCACCGAGTACATACAGGTCGGCACCTCTGGAATCTTGGCCGTGCTCTATCTGACTGAAACGCCAAAATGTCAGTGGTCTGCTTTGTTTACCCGGAATACCGAGGACCTTGGAGACGCTTCCTCCTGGTACATTGATGACGTGGCGCTGGATCTTGACTCCGTGTCTCTGTGATTGGCACTCTGGCATCGCCGTTGCCCAGCGCTAGCTGTCAGACGGCTTTGTTTATTGGGTCCAAAATGACATTCGTAGCGTCGAGTTATTTATAAAATACGAAGGTCGACGCCCTAGTTGAAAAGACACGAGGGCAATCCGTCGGCTCCGTGCTTTCAGTGGCCTTTCGGTGAATAAATGGGCTGTCGACCCCTTCTCTTGAACACTTGCCACCGTTTTTGAGCGTGATTTTTGCCCTTGCACTCGTTGTTGGCTTTTGTCTCGTTTTGATAGTTTCTTGTGGTTTCCGACAATGGGAATAGACCTCTGACCGGCGCCAAAACGCTTCGCTCCAGGTATATCGACGTCACTGGACCAAACCTCGGCGAGCGAGTTGCCCAGCATTACGGAGTAGTGGTACCGAAGCGCTGCCGCCGAGCTGCCGCGAGCTGTCACTCATTGGGTTGCGTCACCTTCACTCGTTCATCTTGGCCTCGCGCGACTTGGTTGGCGGCTCAAGGATATGCATACGCGCGCATGGCTCTCGGGCCTGTTGGCCATGTCTACGGGGGTCATGGGCGAGTTGAAGTACTTGGTATGTTTGATCCTCTGTGAGCGACGACAGCAAGTCTTTATTATTGAACGACGTCTCTTCTCAACTAACCTACAAGACCAGGGGGTTGCCATGGCTGGCATAGACTTTGGCTGCGACATTGATGTAAGATAATACGAGTCGACAATGACGGTGGCTCATGACTGACCGTAGAGGACAGGGCTCATGTCCCGGCGACCACGTCCAAGTGCCCCTTGCATCCCTGGGCGGCGCCGACTCTGCTGGTCAGATGAAGCACTTTGTGGACGATGACGGCATGAACACATTTCGACTCTGTAAGTGTCCCGTGCATGAATGACTTCATCTCTTCAGCCTTGCTTTGCTAATGCATTGGCGGCGAAGCAATGAGCTGGCAATACATCACGGCGGGTCAGCCCTCGGGCGGGTTGGACAAGATCAATTTCGGCAATTTCGACAAGTTGGTTCAGGCTTGTCTGGATACCGGCGCATACTGCATGCTCGACCTGCACAACTTTGCGCGGTACGACGGCGGAATCATTGGCCAGGGGGGCCCGAGTGACGACGTCTTCGCCGGCTTGTGGAAGCAGCTCGCGACGTTCTACGCCAAGAGCGACAAGATCATCTTCGGCCTCATGAATGAACCGCACGACCTGGACATCAAGACGTGGGCCAAGAGCTGCCAGGCGGCCGTGACGGCAATCCGAAAGGCCGGCGCCACATCGCAACTCATCCTCCTCCCCGGAACCAACTTTGCCAGCGCCGAGACATTTGTGTCTACGGGAAGTGCCGAGGCCCTCTCCGCGATTACGAACCCCGACGGCTCAACCGACAACTTGCTGCTTGATCTGCACAAGTACTTGGACATCAACAACTCGGGCACCCATGCCGAGTGCACCACCAACAATGTGGCCGGCTTCAAAACCATTGCAGAGTGGCTGCGCAAGAACAAGCGCCTCGCTTTCGTGTCCGAGTCTGGTGCCTCCATGGACCAATCTGTAAGTACACAAAGCCACGGCTGACCATTGATGTCACTGTTTCAATGTTGCAAGTTGCGCGCCAATACTGACAAGTCTCCAGTGCATGACCAAGTTCTGTGAACAAAACGAATTTATTGCCGACAATGACGACGTTCTCGTTGGCTTTGTTGGCTGGGGGGCAGGCGGATTCGACGGCACGTATGTGCTTACCCTGACGCCCTCGCGATCCGGCGATGCCTGGACCGACAACAAATTAATGAAGCAATGCATCATTGCGCCGTTTGGCAAGGCTGCGAGCGCAACCGCGTCGACTACGCAGGCGCCAACATCTACCACCACCACGTCCACGTCGGCGACGTCGACGGAGCAGGCGACCGACAAGACGCCCTCTGCTACCCCCGGCACAAGGAATACCAATGCGAATGAAGCCGCTCCAAAAAAGGGCAATGCCGCCGACCACGTGGCAATTTCTCACATTTACATCATCTTGGCGAGCATGGCAGGGCTACGACTTTACTTGTAGACAATGCCGGCGCATGATTTGTGCACAGAGGGCCCGGCTCTGTGGACGATGTAGTACATATATGGATAGAACCGGGCTTTGTTTTGCTGCGGGGAAGGCGCTTACATTGCGGACATTTGAGCGAAGTTTTTTTTTAAATCATTAGAATATGTACTTTTTTGGGATACATGGACCGATGCTGCTCGACACAAACGGGCGTAGAGCACCCTGACAACCACGAGTAAGATATACAAAACCCGCATAGAGATGCATCTTCTTGGCCAGCACGAATGCGAATCCCGCCTACTTTTACCCCGTAAGAGCCGGCTGATCCCCAGATTTCCAGTGGTACCTGCTCGCCGGATGATCCTCCCTTGGAATCCTTTGCCCAGCCTCCCCGGACAGATTCTCTCGGTACGTGCCCCCCTCCACGGCGTAGTCGTCCCAGAACAAGCCCCGTTGGCGCAGAACCGGCAGCAGAAGCTCAATGATGTCCTCAAACGACCCCGGGAGAATGGCGTACGCCAGGTTGAACCCGTCCACGTCGGCCTCGGCCACCCACCTCTCCATCTCGTCGGCGACCCTGTCGGGGGTGCCCACGACGGTGGCCCCGAGCCCGCCTATCTTGATGTGGTTTGCGACGGTGTGCTTGGTCCATCTGGGCACTTCCGGCGTCGACTTGGACCACGCGTCGACGGCCGAGCGGATGGCGTTGGACTCGACGTGCCGCAGCTCCTCGTCGTCGCCGTACTTGGCGAGGTCGATGCCCGTCCAGCCGCCAAAGAGCGCCAGCGCGCCGTCCTCGGAGCCGTGGCTCAGGTACTCGCGGTACTTGGCCTCGGCTTCCTGCTGCGTCTTCCCGAGCACCGGGCAGAAGAGCGTCAGGAACTTGATGGAGCGGGGGTCGCGGTTGTACTGCGTCTTCGCCTGCTGTCGGATGTCGGCAATGTTCTTGGCGATTGTCGACGGGCTGTGGCCGGCGACAAAGATGGCCTCGGCGTTCTTGGCCGCAAAGGCCTTGCCGGCGCTCGACGTGCCTGCCTGTAGGATCAGGGGCGTTCGCTGAGGCGATGGCTGGCAGATGTGCGGTCCCGGTACGGTGAAGTACTTGCCCGCGTGGTTGATGGTTCGGACGAGCGACGGGTCAGTGTATACCCTGGTTTTGGGGTCGAGCTTGACGGCATCGTCCCGCCATGAGGCTTGCCTGGGTACAATTAGCACTGACGATGATGTCTGGCTGCTGTCTCAGCATGCTTGGGGGGTGGCATTGGCGTACCAGAGTTTGTAGGTGACGTCGACGTATTCCTCTGCTATGGCGTATCGCTCATCGTGCGGCGGCTGTTCGGTGAATCCGAGATTTCGAGCCGCAGAATCGAGATAGCCCGTCACAATGTTCCATCCCAGGCGTCCGCCGGTGAGATGGTCGACGGTGCTTAGGCGCCGGGCCAGGTGATAGGGTTGTTCATAGGTAGTAGCTACGGTTACCCCGAAGCCAATGTTTTTTGTTGCTGCTGCCATGGCGGGAACAACCGCGAGCGGCTCATTCACAGGCCATTGGGCTCCGGATACGACTGCAGGGTCGGGATTCTTTGGGCCTTTGTAAACATCGTAGGATCCCTGACGGACAAACAGTTAGTGGGCAACAAGAGACTACATATGTATGTAGGAAACATGGAAGCAACTGACCAGTACGTCGGCTATGAATATGCCATGGAACTTGCCCTTTTCGAGGAGCTTTGCAAGTTCGACCCAATGGGACACATTGTTGAAGTTTGACGATCTATCGTCTGGGTGTTGCCACAGCCCGGGAGACTGGTGGCCACTGCAAGACTCCACAAAGGCATGAAGGATGAGCTTCTTCTTTGGTGAGCTGGCCAAACTCGCATCCGAGTCTGCCATGTTGCGATGATGCGTTGCCGTGGTTGGCAATTGCTTGGAGCGGTAAATCGAGTGACTGCATGTGGCCCAACAGACGAGATCGAGGGTTGTACAGTCTGGTTTTTAAGTAGAACCCGACATGATATTCTTGCTAGATTTCCATTGGGCCGTGCCGTCCACGTCGCGCCGTGTCCGATCACTTGCATCACGTTGCCGCTTCACCAGATTGCGCCATCGATCACGACTACCGCGTCATTGCACTCAAGGCCAAGTAGTGCTGGCCAATCATTCTGCACATTTGGTCAAATCACGGCATTCACATTTGCCAAGAATGAGTAGCCAGGTTTACTCTAAATGTTATTTATGCTAATTAGCCTGTTATCAAGATAATTATTCGTAGCCCACGGCTCCTAGTTTCGGCAACGCAATCACGGCTGAAACAATACATCTCATGCCTGGACTAGCCGATATCGCGCAATTAGGACAAGAGCTCATGCTGGGAGAGTACTTCTTGTAGCATCAATGCATCTAGTAAAGAAAAGTGCCCATTTGCAAACGAGCATATATAGCAATGTATCCCGTTGGCAACTGAAAGAAGGGGTCCGGGGCCCTGTCCGTGGTAGGGTAGGTCCATCTGTCGCTCAACATATCCCAAATATTCACAATCCTGCCATCTATCGGTCGAGTGCCGCGGTAGCAAATCTGCAGGCTTTTTCTTCGGCTTTCTCGTCTCTTGAATCCGCCTGGAAGCCATAAAATCATGCTTCCATCAAGGAGAAACGGCGTCGGTGATAGCGGCAGCTTTGTCGAGCCGCCCCTGCCACAAGCTGCCGGCTACGTTATTGTCATCGTGATTGGCTTTTTGATCGCACTCATCATGATGGCAATAACTCGTGTATTGAAGAAGACTGCGGGGGAAGATAACAATAAAACAGAAATGTTCATGACGGCCAATCGCACAGTCGGCACAGGACTAACAGCATCGGCCGTCATTTCGTCCTGGCTTTGGAGTACGGCGATGCTTGGAAGCACTCTTGTGGGCTACAACTTTGGCGTTGCCGGTCCCTTTTGGTTTGCAGCAGGGTGAGTCCCGCGTGTAGAGATGGCCTCGGGCTGCACAACCGTCACCAGACTAACAGCTCTATAGCTGCTCACCCATGATTGTCTTCTTCTCCTTGCTCGGCATCGCCTGCAAACTCCGAGTGCCGGAGGCTCATACATTGTTAGAAATTGTCAGAATCAGATACGGCACGCAGGGCCATGTGGTCTGGATTGTGCTGTGCTTGATCAACAACATCATTGCTGTAGCAAATATGCTTCTCGGTGCCAGTGCCGCCATTTCCGCTCTGTGAGTGCCGGTGAATGTTCAAACGTGCCGCCCTGAAACTTGCAGCTTCAAAGCTCTAACAGCACTCTGATTGTCTAGTACCGGAATGCATATCATTGCTGCCACGTTTCTATTGCCCGTTGGGGTTGTGTTGTACACGTTTGTCGGAGGCATCAAGGCAACCTTTTTAACCGACTACTTCCACACGTTTGTCATTACAATACTTGTTTGCTTTTTTACAATCAAGGTATTCTTGGTTCCTGAGATTGGGACGCCGCAAGATATGTTCGATATCATCGCCAAGGCTGGCCAAATCCATCCCGTTGACGGTAATCGAGACGGGTCATATCTTACCATGACGAGTAAAGGGGTACGTTTACCGAAGGCGCCGACGACAGCAACGTGTGGATTGCAAAGTAACTAACCGGCGGGACACGATAGGCTCTTCTGTTTGGTATAATTCACATTCTGGCCAACTTTGGACTTGTCATCATGGACACGGGCTTCTTTGCAAAGGCATTCAGTGCTGCGCCGCACGCCGTAGTTCCTGGGTACATTGTCGGAGGAATCGCATACTTTGCCATCCCGTGGTGTCTCGGGACCATTATGAGCTTCGCGGCGCTGAGTCTAGAGGATACGGAGCGCTTTCCAACGTTCCCTCGACGCCTGTCGCCTACAGAAGTCTCCAATGGTCTAGTTCTTCCGTATGCCGCCGTCGCCATCGCGGGCAAGGGCGGTGCCGTTGCCGTGGTGTTGATTACCTTCATGGCGGTTACGTCAACCATCAGTGCCCAAGTCATCTCGGTTTCCTCCATCATTAGTTTCGACATATACCGGCAATACTTCAACAAGGCTGCCAAAGACAGCGACGCCATCCGATGGACCCATATAGGCGTTGTTGCGTTTGGCATCTTCTCGGCGGCTTTCTCGACAGCACTGCATTACGGCAACGTGGATCTTGGCTGGACTCTATACATGCTTGGTGTATTGACCTGCCCCGGAATCGTCCCAACCGTATTCACCATTCTGTGGAAACGCCAATCCAAGCTGGCTGCCATAAGTTCGCCAATATTAGGAATGGCAACTGGCATCGGCGTGTGGCTGGGTTCAGCGGCAGCTCTCTATGGAGAAATCAGCGTGGCCACGACCGGGCAGACGTTGCCTTGCGTCTATGGAACAGTCGCCTCTGCCTTCAGTCCAGCCTTGTACTCGGTCGTTGTCACCGTCATTAGGCCGGACAATTTTGACTGGGCTTCCTTCCGGAACGAAAGACTGGCCTTTACCGCCTCATCGACAAGTGTGGCCGATGTGTCAGAGTCGGACAAAAATGAGAAAAAGACGCACGATGAATACATTCAGAGCTATGCCGCCGACAAGGCCAAGCTGAAACGCTGGGGAACGATTGCAGCAGTCTGGAGCTTGGCCACATTTCTGGGACACTGGGTTCTCTGGTGAGTCGCAAATAGTACATACCTCATAACATTGACTAACACCGGAGCATGTTAGGCCTTTGCCCATGTATGCGGCAAATTACGTTTTCAGCCGGTCATTTTTCGTAGCATGGGTAGTTGTATCAATCATTTGGGTCTGGGGGACCATGCTCGTTGCCGGCTTTTACCCCATTATTGATGGCTGGGGACAATTGAGCCAAGTCTATCGTGGACTTTGCCAAGGACGGGCCAGGAGCTGAACTACATGGTGATTTTCACCCGCAGCTGGAATGCTCCTTTGCCAGCATCAATTGATCCTGTCGGTTCGTGTGCCTCGCCCGGCTAAGTGACTCGGCGTCAGTGGCTGATTTGGACAGGTCTGGTTGGCTCCAAGGGGTAAATTGGAGGTTCCAACCTGCTGAGAAGTCGGGGACGCTGTTATTAGGGCTCCACAGCTCGATATGAGATGAATTGATGGCATTCGAGGCGTGAATTTTGGCGGAAAACTTCGTTTTCTAGAACCCAGCTTGCCAGCCAACCCGTCTTCGGTGGCGGCGAATGTGAGCGGTTTTAGATGAACCAGACCTTGACAAACTCCACTTCTGGTTTGAACTAATGACCAAGGTCAACGGAAAGTGGCTTCTTTGGATGTCTCTTTGTACTTGCATGTGGCAATACAATGCGGATTGCAGCCGTAGAATGTGGCTGCCTCCGGGCGCTCTCCCGCTCAACACATGCTCGGTTGTTCCGAATATTCCGTGCGTGTTTTAGAATGCTGACAGGTGTCAAATGGCCATTTCTGGAATAGCGGACAGTTGAAGAGGCGCTGGCCATTACAGAATTTTGGCTTGGATCTATTTTTTACTAGTGTTATTATGCATGTCAATGGTATGCATGTCTTCATGTAGACTGCAGCATCAAGGCCATGACTCTGACATGACCAAGTAGTACTCCAAAGCTGTTCCTTTCCATCGGTTCCCGATACCAGGCGCCTGTTTACATGCTTGGTTAGCATTTGAAACCATGGATGCACGTCATAGTTTAGATCATGCAGTTTTCTTTCCACAGACACTGGTTCTGCCTTTGATGGTCAAGGCGCCTCATACCAACACGTTGCGCCGGCCAAACTCGATCTATTCGACATGGGCGTAGATATGGACAAGGTCCGCCCATCCGCCGTCACCCCGGCTCTTCACAACCAACCATGACTTCTTGCGCCATCCCAGAACGCTGGGCTGAAAGGAGCTGACGTCGTCTGCAGGCCAATGTCCTCAAATGTTCCGTGGAAGCCACTGAACCCCCTGCCGGCCCCCGCCAACATGACTCAACGACTGTCGCACTTGCCAGTACCATGGTTTCTCTCGACCATGGGCTCCGTGATGCCGCGTCGACTAGTTTGCTGCATGGAATTGGCTACCCGGACAATCATGCGGTAGATAAGCCTAGGCTGAGGAGTACCAAGACGTTGGGAGAGCTGACACGGCCCGCCGAGGACGAACATCGTGTTTCACCGCGGTAGTCCGCCAGGCTCCGTGTAGAGGTGGCATGTGGGTTTTGCTTGACGAACAACACCATCGTGAATCGTGGGACGCGGGATGCGGGACGCAGGGCCTTCCGGTGCGATCCAAAGGGGGGGATGGGTCCAATTTGCGCCGTCGTGGATCCGGGGTAGCTGTGCCTTTAGATATCAATGATAACATGGCTGGTGTTTATTGCAGTCAAACGACACCTGCCCGTTGGTATTGCCAACTACTCCTCGTGTCATACCGGCATCCTCGATTGGCTGCGCCCAACGAGCCAAAATCCTGACGGCGCTAGACTCTAGACTGCGAGGGGTCCTCGGTATTGACACCAAAATCACCCGTCTAAATGAGTCCCGAAACGGCCAAGAACAGTTCCAAGATCGCCGTCCTCGTGGGCCCTCGTTCTTCACCCCCCCCTGAGTTCCGGTGGGAAGCGCTTGGCATCACGTCTGGTCGAGTCTGGTACTTTACTGGTGGTGGCTCAACGTCGCACAACCCACCTTTACCTTGTTGGTTGCTGCGTTTCTTCATATATGCGCACCAAGGGCCAATTCTCCGTCCTCGATCCCAGTTTGGGAATCCTTTGGGTAGTCCCCATATGAACTCGCAAGACGTAGATGCGTCTCCAACCAGCATCATGTCGAGTCTAGCGGCGGAATCATGGTCCTGGTACGGACTGACGTGGCTGGTCGTGGCCACCAGAATGTTGGTCTTGTTGAATCTCTCTGCTGTCGAGCCAGCCATGTTCATGTCGAGTTGTTGTTCTAACAGGCTACCTAGGGCATCGCAGGTTCTTCTGAGGGGCTCCGTAAAAAAGCTCAAACTAGACGACTTCCTCATGGTCATGGCCATGGTACGTTTGGCGTGTTCCACGTACTGCACATGATCCCGATGCCGTGGCTGATGTTTGCTGGATATTCATCTAGTGCACCGATACGGTCCTCATTATCGCGACCAACATCATAGCAACTACGAATAGTAACCTGATCGATCCCAACCACCCGGCGTCGCTATCACCGGAAGACATCAGGCAACGCGAGTTTGGGTCCAAAATGGTGCTTTTAGCAGAACAGATGCAGTGCGTGACCATTTGGCTGGTCAAGGCTTGCCTGCTGCTCATGTACCATCGTCTCACGTAGGTTCCGGCTCTACATGCAGCTGGCATCATGGTGATGGATTCGCCATGTGCAGTGTAGCTAACTCTCATGATAGATTGAGTTTAAAGGGCAACCTGGTGGTCAAGATTGTGGCTTGCTATGTCGCCGTTGGCTTCGTCTTGATGGAGATATTGTATTTGGGAGTTTGGTGCAGGCCCTTCTCTCAATACTGGGCAGTGCCTCCCGATTCCAGTGAGTCTTTGTTCTGGTTCCCGTCATGCCGGCACCAAGTCATAGTAACCGCATCCTTTTCAGCACAATGTTCTGCAGCGACAAACCATCTCATAACCAACGCTGTGCTCAACATCTCATCCGACATCATGATAATTCTCATACCGATGCCCGTCTTCCTACAATCACGGCTGAAGTGGAGGAAGAAGCTGATCTTGGTTGGCGTTTTTGCACTGGGCGGATTTACGGTACGCATGACCCTCGGGCATTTCTGGAAGACGGGCCGTTGTTGGCTAACATGCCATGTCTGGTAGATTCTGTCGGCGATTCTCAACAAATTTTACAGCTTCAATGAGCCGTTTGGATCCGCGTGGACGTTTTGGTACATTCGGGAATCGTCCACTGCCATCATCGTTGCCAATCTTCCGCTTACGTGGACCGTCTTCCGACGTCTCTTCCATCTGCGATCATTCGACAATAGCGAGTACTCGTCCAAGACCCGAAGCGGTCAACCCAGTTCAACTTTGCGATCCCACGGCCAAGCTCACGGCCGCACCCCGAATCGCAGCTACATCAGACAGGGCGACGCCAATGACGACGACTTGGCAGGCAGCCAGGAGGAGATTACGAAAGGACATGGCATCTCGCTGCGCATCTACCAGCGTCATGATGTGCAGATTAGCTCCGAGCCGGTTACCAATCATCACGCTCGGCAGTTATCCAACGAGTCACTACCCGACGGCCTCACCACGACGATTAAGGGTGGCGCTTCTGGGTCCTTCCTACTTGATGCCGAGACTGCATCGGATAAATCGTATCCAGCTGTGAAGGTGAACTCTAGCGTGTGATTTGTTGCTCTTTGATGTGGACTTTATAGACCAGCATGTACTTGCCGTGGGATTTGTGTATTATACCCTTTTACTTGGAGCTTTTGCAATCATTGACATGATTGCACTTTGATCGTGAGGAGCAGTGGTTGTTCATCACTGGTTGTTGACATTGCGGCCATCTCGTACACAAACTTTGCCATTTGCCACAGACTGTGAATCCGTGTGGGTGCGTAGTATTGACAATTAAAGACGCCTGGCCGTTTAATCCCCTGTGGCTTGCACCAGCAGCCCGCGTGAGACAGGATGAACCGAGGTGGACACTCACGATATCCACAACCACGTGAAAGAGCAGTTCAATGAGAAAAAGATGCAGCGGCCACTGTGACTCCATGTTGTTCCAGGTATTCCATCTCCCTCTTTCATGGTGCTGTCCCGTGAGTCTGGGACATCCGCCCTTGGACAGCATCCGCGCCACTCCTTCTCATGACACAGTCAGAGGCCCTTGCCAAGCATCTCGAAAGTCGGCATGGCAACGGCTGCAATTACGGCACCAACCATGGACAATGCCGTGCTGTCCATGTCCCTAGGGTCATCTGTCCTTTACGGCATCCATCTCCGGTCCGAGCCGTCGCACTCGCGCATGGCCTTCAAAACAACAGCCACCGCGCTCCTCGCCGTGTTTGCCGGTACGCAAAGCCGGCATTGGCAACTCGTCCCGGCCCTCGCGCTCGGGTCACTGGGCGACGCTTTTCTTGCCTGGCCAGGCGACGAAGCGTTCTTCCGGGGACTGGCCAGCTTTCTTGTTGCCCATGTGTTCTATGCCTCGCTCTTTGCGGGCATTGGCAATGGCATCGACTTTGTCCTGCGTGACGTGCAGCGCCTGGGCCTGGCGGGAGGAATGCTGCTGCTTGCGCCGTTCATGAGCTTCGCGCTGATGCCCAACGTTTCGAAATCTCTGCAAATCCCCATCGCATTATACTCGACGGTCATCTTGATCATGGTGCTCTCTGTCCTCACCGTGGACAATGACCAGGTGGTTTTGGGGGCCGTTCTGTTTGCGATTTCAGATAGCGTCCTTGCTACCGATGAGTTTTTGATGCCCAAGGACTCGAGATATCGGGGATTGATGCAGCACATTGTTTGGATTTTTTACTACACTGGCCAGCTGCTGATTGCCGCTGGGCTTGTCGATGGATGGGACTGGGTCAACCAGCTCAGGTAACCACCAGACCTTCTTATTGCAGCAACCTGTCGCCGAGGCTTATGTTGAAGGACATTATTATAAAAGCCTGGTTACTTTCTTTGGCCTTTGACGTGCTGGCCGGATTCTTCTGGGTTTCTTGGCAGCACATTCCCTACTGTACAGAAAGTGATTCCAGGGTACAAGACATTGCCACCTTAAGGTTATACCTCCATACGACCGCGTGTCCTTTTGATCTCGGGCAAGCCAGTTCACAATCTGCTCAATTCAAACCAGCAGCGTATGGCTATATAGGATGCGGAAAGTGCCAGCATAGACTTTCAATGATATAGATGGCGCTCCCAGCCTCTTGGATCGGTGTGCAGTTCTGTCAACTTCGTTCAAGCAATCTTGGCTGCTCATAAGCCTGTCGAAACGTATTGGTCGTCTTGGAACGGTGCAACCATTAGATGCCTGGCAAGGCTTGTTTTTCTTTGCCCAGAGACCAGTTGCCACATGTGCGTCATGCTTTCTTTCCAAGCCAAAGACGCTACTGTTGTCTTCTTGTTGCGGATTCCTGCTGCTAAAGCAACCTCGGGGAGGGCCTTGGCAGGGCCTTGGTTCAAGCCAGAAAGAGCCAAGTACATCTTTCGACCATGACAGCACCCATGACGGCCAAAAGTCCGTAGACTCCGTACGTCGAGCAGTCTTGGACCTACTGCCAGTGGGGTTTACGACTTGGAGACCACTCCCATCTCCACCAAGATGTTGCACAAGACCGGCTTGCGCCGGTTTTGACCCCGTCGATGTGGGTTGCCATGGCGTGCCCATGGGGAACAATATTCCCCAGGCCGAAAAGAGCGATATCGACTTGTACCAAGATAGTTCCCGTGCCAAGACAAAGTAACCAAGGTCCTGTCGGGGTGTGACTGTCGCGAAGTACATCTATTAAAATAGTAATAGACAAACGTCAGAAGCGAATTTCGGGATCCAGACGTCGCGGGACCTTGTCCAGTTTGCTCGTAAATAAGCTGTGTGCGCAAGGGTTCCCATTCTACCAATACTACATAGTTGTTAGGCATATCTGAAAGACATTGCTGTGGTTCGAAAACATGTGCGGCTTAACCTGCTACACAGAGCGAATCCAGAGGCAGTACCAAGAAGCAAGAATCGTTGATTCTGTTGAATGCCCGAGCCGAGCAGTCTCACTCGCTGTCTGCAACCCTGCCAATACTACGTGGATGAGGTCAAGCCACAGAAGAGCCACGAATAACATGGTGAAGGACTGAGCGTCATCGCCCTCGTATGTATTTACCTCATTAACCGAGGAGGAAACGCGGTCACCAGCCGGACGAGTTATGTTGCGCCTTGCACAAGGGAGGACTTTGGAGTCTGCTGAACATTTAAGCCTGCACCGACTCCAGTGAGGGCCAAAGCCAACATGGAGGGCTTCCTGACGGGGCAATGGTGAATGACGGAAGTTTGCGGTATAAATCAACTCAAGAAAATACCGGACTGCTGCATGCATAGTGTACTCCGCGGGGAAGCTGTAAGCTCGGTTCAATACGAGGGCAGTCTACGTACATCTAGGCCAACATCCTACAGATCACGTCGACTCGGGCAGGGAGAATCGTGTTGGCCACTGAAGGTGTCGACGAATTCCAAAAAGCCATTGTATAATGGAATAATCCCCGTGCCTCCCGTAGGATAAGCCAAAGCCTTGTCTAACGGGCCTTGTTGCAGCCAAGAGATTCAAAGGTTCCTTGAACCAGGGTTATGCAGACCAATCCACTAAGAGGAGCCACCCCGCGCAGCGTGATTGTGGTCATGTCTGGTCAACATTGAAGGTCAACTGGTGTTGCAGACGCGGCACGATATGGGGGCTGTCGTGAGGTTGTCAGCAATGAGCCAGGGCGTCCGCAATCACTTCAGTGGCACACTACTCTGTGCAAGCATGTCGGCTCTACATTAAACTGTCTATCCGACGAGACTTCTTACCAAGAGAAGAACCTTTGATTACTGCCCGCGGGGATTCCTATCCAGGTTGGCGCCGGAGAAATGCGTCAGCAGTCATGGCAGCATGTCTTGTAAAGGGCGTCTATTATCGAGACTATCTGCCCAATTCCTCCGGCCCTAGTCGGCCAACTTAAAAAAAAGTCTAAAATTCAAGACTTGGTGAATTAGTAGAAACAAAAGTCCGCTGGACAGGATGCTCGAACCTGACCTCGGGCGATGAGCCTTGAAGCGGGTGTGGACATCAGGCCGCACCAGTTTTCCGGCGTGGCATTTGGCGAAACGTCTGCGGTTGTAGTGATGATGCTGTTGGCCATGCCATTTCGCCTTGGGAAAATGCATGCAACCAGTCGACATGGCGCGGAAGCAAACTGCTCTCGGTACATGCTGTTGACTCTGGAGTGCCCGATTCGGCTCGAGCTTGCGACATGGCGGCCAGCGCTATCGAACACCGTTCGAAATGTCAAGTCCGTTGTTTAACCCGTCATGTCGTGACAAGGCCCGCAGGCCGTCACTTCAAATTGGCTCACACAGTGTGGCAGGAGGGCAACTGGCCGAGATTCGTCCACCACTGGATAGGTACCTGGAAGACGTCGACGACTGTGGACAGTGACTCTCTTGGCGACCAGGGATTCAACACCGCGTCGGGCCACCTACGAACAGGGCTGCGTCGACCCGGTCAGGCAATGCGACAATGTGGGTTGATCAAGACACACCCCTGAGTCGGCGGCCGCGTCGGGTGGGTATGCCCAGTTGGGTGTTCTTTTAGATGTCTGGTTCATGTTGTACATGGTCGGTATTGGGGTTTTGGCATCAATACAACACGACTTGTTTGGAGATTCAACCGAGACATGTGCGCCGCGATGAGTTGCGTGACAACGGGGGCCGAACAAGCCACGACAACACTCTTGCCTTGAACAGACTCGGGATCGTAGAGAGTGAACACCACATGTCGAGTACTCTATCAACATTGAAGCCTCAAGTCTTTAGTGGATGGGTGTGCCGGTGAGGGCGCCAAACCGAGGATATCCCATTGACCAGCCTAGTATCCCGGCAACGCCACCAGGACCGTTTTGGTAGGAGGCCGAATAACCTTAATGACATTCACCGTAGCCTTTTATTTTCTTGTCCCTCATGACCATTTGCAGGACTGTATGCATGGACCCTTTGAGGGCAAAGTAGCCAAGTTGACGTGTGTGTATTTGGGGTAATGATGCAAATCTTGTCGACTTGCCAGATCTTCCCTAGCGCGCTGGCAAGAAAGGGGTCCGGTTCTACGGAGTAGCTTGACTTGATTGCGCCTTGCGATGAAGAGTCAATTCGATGCCAGGAGGGCGCCGATTGCACGCTGGTACAGCCCATGGGCCCTGTGGTCTTGTCCCGAGTATCGCTCGAGTCTAGATGGCTTTCTTCAACACGGCTACTATTGTCACCAGAGATGATGTTCATGTCGGAGTGATGTATGAGGCTCTAGAACCTACTCGACTATTCACGTTGGCCGTTCCTGCTCGTCTCTCACCATCCTGTACAGAGTATCAAAACGACGTCGGCTGTACATCGGAGGTGATTAGTATTGTGAACAATACAAAATCCTCCACGGCCAACAAATTTGAACTCTCTAAACGCAAACTAACAGAGCCAGCTAGTCGTCCCTTCTAATTACGCCTAGTCTCACAGTGCCCAATCCGAGCGGCGGAGCACCGTATGATAAATCCCACTTGGAGGCCGGCCATCGCCAATCGGAGGGCATACACCAGAACCACATCGTATCCATGACACACCTGAAGGCGAGTTGCCAAAGACAAGAGGGAGAGAGAAAAAAAAAAAGTTCCCACGCTTGCAGCCGGGGTTGGCCTAGACAGGGGGGGTTTGGGGGACGCTACGCGAGCCGGCCAGATGGACGAGCAACCCAATGCCCAGAAAAAGCAGACGCCGCGCCTGGAGCTCGCGGTTCATCCCAAGTGATGATCATGACTCTACTGGTATCGCGCGCCCGAGTGTGTATTTGGGATCTTTTGTATTTTTCCCGGGGTGCGGCATTGGAGTCGGCGGACCCCGACACGGCCGTTCCACGGGCTCTTTGGTCTGGATGGAGTTTGGGTACATGCCATTTAATACATGCGATATCCTCACTAGCAGTCTGGCGTTTCAAGCTCCTTGCCTGCGTCTCGTCTCGTCTTGTTGATCGTTGGGACGAGTGACCATCCGTCGCATCGCACTCGACGCGACCGCTTCGCACAGAGCCCAGCCCGGCTCTCCTGTCCTGCTTCTTTTCGTCTCGCCAGCCAGACAGACGTTGGCTTTTTTTTTTTTTTTTTTTTTTTTTTTGGCTCTGCACCGGCCGCAGCAGCCATGGCTTCCGGTGCCATTACGACGGGCCACGAGGCCCACGATGCCTTGATGGATGGGCACATCGAAAAGAGAGCCTCGGTGGTGGCCGCCTCGGAGCTGAAGCCGGGCGAAGAAGTCGAGGACGAGGAAATCACCGATCTCTTCTCCAGCTTTCCGCCGCTCAAGGGCATCGAGCACGAGCCGAATCCCCTCACCGCGCGCGCCGTCCTCGTCGGCATCGTTCTCGGGTCGCTGGTCAACGCTTCCAATGTATATCTAGGTATGTGATGCGACGTGGCCGCGGCGGCGCAAAATCGACTCCCGAGCGGCTCCAAGTGTTTTAACCCTGCGCTCCCAGGTCTCAAGACGGGCTTCACCTTCAGCGCCACAATGTTCGGCGCCATCTTCGGCTACGGCATCATCACCCTGTTCACAAAGCTTCTCCCGGGCGTCCCCCTGATCGGGATGAAGTTCGGCCCCCAGGAAAACTCCATCATTCAGGCTTCTGCCACCGGCGCCGGCGGCATGTCGGGCGTCTTTGTCGCCGGTCTGCCCGCCATGTACCGGCTGGGCCTCCTCTCCGAGGACCCCAAGTCCGACTTCCCTCGGATCCTCACCATCACCATCATCTGCGCCTTCTTTGGCCTCTTTGCCGCCGTGCCTCTTCGCAAATTCTTCATCATCAACGTGGCGAGAGAGCTCAACCTGGTCTTCCCCACTCCCACCGCCACTGCCCTGGCCATTCGATCCATGCACGCGGTGGGGTCGGGCGCAAACGACGCCATGAGGAAGATCAAGGCCCTCGGCTTCTCCTTCCTCGGCGCGCTGACGCACATTGTCGTGTCGCAGTATGCCAACGGCATTCTTCACGAGTGGCATATATTCACCTGGTTCTATGCCTGGTTCGTTTTGCGGCCCCCCCTGCCCACCAGACAGACGTCTTGACTCTTATCTAACACGGATGACTGACTGCATGTAGGAGCGGATACACCAACTGGGCCATCAACATCGAGAGCTGGGGCTGGTACATCCAGTTGACCCCGGCCTTCTTTGGCTCCGGCATTCTCGTCGGCCTCAACGCCGCCCTTTCCTGGTTCCTCGGCACCGTGGCCGCCTGGGGCCTCATCGGTCCTCTCCTGGTGCACTATGGCGAATGCATTGGCGAGCAGGTCGGCGAGGGCAAGTGGGCGGAACTGACAAACTTCAACAAGCTCAACGACATCACCAAGCCCGGATTCGTCCCTTCGCCCCGCTACTGGATGCTGTGGCCCGGCGTCATGGTTCTCCTCGTCTACAGCCTGGTCGAGTTTGTGCTTCACATCCGGGTGGTCTGGGACGGGGCCAAGTATGCCTTCAGGTCCATGGCCTCGTCCATCAACGGGGGGCTCAAGTCCAAAGGCAAGAGTATCCCCTTCTTGGAGAAGCAGGCCGCGAAGCTCGAGGAGGAGTCTAGCCTGCTCGAGGACTTTGCGCCTCCCGAGCAGCAAGTGCCGGGCTGGATCTGGGGCCCCGGCACCCTTGTCATGGTCGTCGTGTCTTGTCTCGTCTGCCACTTTCAATTCAACATGAACGCCGGGCTGGCCGTCCTCGCCTGCGTGCTCGGAATCCTCTTTGCCTTTCTCAGCATCTACGGCGGCGCCGTCACCGACACTGCACCCCTGACGGCATCATCCAAGGCCTCGCAGTTGGTCTACGGCGGCATCACAAAGGGCAATTACAGTGTTGCTGATGCCCAGCGAATCAACCTGATAGCCGGCAACATCGCGTCTGGCTGTGCAGACGTCTCCAACAGCTTGGTGTCCGACTTTCGGGTTGGGTTTCTGCTCAAGACGCCCCCCAAGTATCAGTTCTACGCCCAGGCCGTAGGCGCGTTGGTCTCGGTCTTCCTGGCGCCGGGAATCTTTGTCCTCTTCATGTCCGCGTACCCGTGCGTATGGCGTACTGACCTGCCAAAGGAAGAGGTAATGCGATGTCCCTTCAAGGCACCCTCGGTCGTGGCGTGGCAGGCGGTTGCGCAGGCCGTCACGGCGCCCGAGATTCCCATTCCTCTTTCGTGCACCATCTTCTCCATTGTGATGGGGGTTGTCGCCGCTCTGCAGGCCGTTGTCAAGAACTTCTATCTCGTCGGCCCTCGAGAAAAGTACCGGGACTATCTTCCCAACTGGATGGCGGTCGGCGTGGCTTGGGTTCTGGGGGCTGATAGCGGATACGCCAACGCCATCTTGTTTGGCAGCGTCACGGCGTGGTGGTGGAAGAAGTACTTTGGCAAAAACTTTGACATGTATGCCTTTTCTGTTGCCGCTGGCCTGATAGCTGGTGAAGGGTTGGGGGGCGTCGTCAACGCTGCCCTGACGCTTGGAGGCGTCGATGGCCTCAAGAAGGGCACTTTTATCGCTCTGCCCGGAGAGGATTGGTGATGCGATCAAGATGACACATTTTTTTTAGCTATAATACTATGGACGTGCAACGAAGAACCTTGACAGTACCAAACTCAAAGTGACGTGCCAATATCCCGGACAACGGAGAAGAAGAGAGGAGTTGATGCCAGCATTGTTGCCGACGAGCCCGCAGCGTCCGCCCCCATTCTACAAGCACTCGAGGTGTGAGCAGACGTTTTTGTCGCCCATCATCAATGCCAGTATGTACATACGTCGATATTGAACAGATTGCCATGACTACCAGATCCAAGGGGGGGTTTCATTCTCCACACTATCGAAACCCTCATGCGGGGGAGCGAGCCCCCTTGACGTTACTCAGCATGCAAAGGCTCAGGTAAGCCAAGAGAGCGAAGCTTGCCGCTGGTCATGCTTGTGTAATGGTTGACCAAAGACACTAGGTTCACAAGCAACCCAATCATCAATGGTTGATACTCCAAAGTGCTGGCGGCGCTGTGGATGCCGTCAGCCACGACAAACCCTCAAAGTCGGGGATCCTCTGCGGCCTGGGACGTCTGGAACATTGAACTCACGGGTTTTGGTGACGACATTGGTGGGGTCTCCGCTGCGCTATCCAGGTCCCCTCCCTTGAGGCCTCAACAGCAGCCGAAGCTCTGAGTGGTCTCAGTGCTCTCTCTCCAAACTCTGATGCCGGTCTGAGAAATGCCCAGGAAGCGCCACCCTGGTTAAAAGCTCAGGACCTCCTCTCCTCGGCGGAAGGAGCGATTCCTTTTCCCCTCATCACCTCTTCTACCACCGTTGCCTCTTTCACAAGACCAAACAACGCTCTGTACATCTATTATTATTCCTATTCCTACTCCTACTCCCCACCATCGTCATTATGCCCGTCTCCGTCCCCAAGACCGATCGTCTCGTTGACCTCTTTAGCCTCAAGGGCAAGGTTGTCGTCGTGACGGGCGCCTCGGGCCCTCGCGGCATGGGCATTGAAGCGGCTCGCGGGTGTGCCGAAATGGGCGCCGACGTTGCCATCACCTACTCGTCACGAAAGGAGGGCGCCGAGAAGAACGTCGAGGCGCTGACCAAGGAGTACGGGGTCAAGGTCAAGGCTTACAAGCTCAACGTCAGCAACTACGACGACGTGGAGCGGTGCATCAACGGCATCATTGGTGACTTTGGCAAGATTGACGGCTTCATTGCCAAGTACGTTCAACCCGCTTCGTCTTTCCCCCCCGTGGTCTTGGATGCTAACAGCAGTGTGTCATCAGTGCCGGTGCCACGGCCGATGCCGGTGTCATTGAGGGAACTGCGGCTGCCTGGGACAAGGTCATCCAGATCGACCTGAACGGCACCGCGTACTGCGCCAAGGCCGTGGGAGCTCACTTCAAGAAGCAGGGCCACGGCTCCTTTGTCATCACGGCGTCCATGTCTGGGCACATTGCCAACTTCCCCCAGGAGCAGACGTCGTACAATGTCGCCAAGGCCGGCTGCATTCACATGGCTCGCTCGCTGGCAAACGAGTGGCGCGACTTTGCTCGAGTCAACTCGATTTCCCCGGGCTACATCGACACTGGCCTCTCCGACTTTATCGACCCCAAGACGCAGGAGCTCTGGCGTTCCATGATCCCCCTCGGCCGCAACGGACTCGCCAAGGAGCTCAAGGGCGCCTATGTCTACCTGATTTCCGACGCCAGCACCTACACAACCGGAGCTGACCTCGTCATCGACGGTGGATACACCTGCCGATAAGCGGGGGCCGCATGTGGCGGCGGTTCGTGACGGGATGCCGAGTACCATGATGTACCGCGTAAAACGGAGAGCTCGCTGACAAAAACATGAGTAAAGATGAAATAAAATGAAATATGAATCAAGAGTAAAAGCTAGACGGCGCCTCGTGCTCTATCCAATTGTTTTGTCGGGCAGCGTCCATGGCCAAGGAGATGCTAGCACCATCGTGAAGTCGGCGACGCGAGAGTGCCGCTCGGATGGGGCGGAGGTTCATTCCATGTCCAATGTCACGTGAAGCTATGCATTGCCAGCCTGTTAGTATGGGGAGGGAGGGGTCGCCCCCTCACCTCATCCCAACGCAACATTGAACAAAGTGGGGGCATCATTGGCCCCGCGAATTGGTGGATAAAGCACTCTGGCGTTCTGAAGCGATTTATACAGGCTAGATATTCGGGATACAGAGTCTGGGAATGTAGACGGAGTATGTGAGCACCTCTTCCTCTGTTATTCTCCGATTGGCTCCTGATATTTACAATTGAGTCTCTGCAAGGGCTCCGGCCTGGGAGAGTTGCCCGCCCTCACCAAGTACATATGTAAGTGAGGTCCGGTGGGTCGATGCATTTTGGAGCAGGTGTCTGGTCCATGCTAAGTCGTTGCTGGATACTCAATGCATCTCCCAACAGCCGACCGGGCGCCACGGCGGCATCCCCATCTCCAACCGTCGACCCATGTCCGACTTGACGTCCGTCTCGCGCGTCAGCGCCAGCGGCATGTTGGTGCGCCTTGCCATCTTTCGGTGCAACCTAGAGGCGAGCCACCAGATCTTTTTTTTTTGTGTCCATGTCGCTCGCTTACACTGAAACACACTGTCTTATTCAAGCTTTCGCTTCTGTGGTGACATCTTGGTGGCTGCTGTCGCCGAAACGAAAACGCCATGCCAGCCAAACGCCCAGATATCAACGGTGCTACCCTACACACCCTGACATGATTGGGTTTGGCTACCACCAGTGAGGCCAGCCCGAGTGATGAATACACGGGCGATTTGGTTCATGTCCGAATTCAATTTCGATTCATCTTCCAATCAAGGGGATAAAGTTTCCCAAGTTCACACCTCGGAAGCACGCACATCCGCGCAGTGGCTGTCGTTATTTAAAGGAAGAAGACATCCGCCATGCTTCAATTGGCTGTGGGAGCTGCCGCCAGTATCCCATCCATGTCTCCCGAGCCTGGTGAGGGAAATAGAAATAAGAGGGAAAACACTATATACTCTACAAAATACATACACATTACGGTACAATGTCAACAGATCACCCCGTCTGGTTCATCGCCGCCGCATCAAGCGGCTTCGGCCACGAGATTGCTCTCGCAGCCCTAAAACGTGGACACACCGTGGTCGCCACGGCTCGGAGACGAGCGCGTCCAGGACCTGGCGGAAGCAGGTGCACACGTCCTGGCCCTCGACGTCACGTCTCCCCCTTCGACCATTGAGTCGGTTGCTGCGAAAGTGTTTGAGAAGCACGGACGCGTCGACTACCTCGTGATTGCGGCGGGCTTTATTCTCGAGGGCGCGGTCGAGGAGGTTTCGCGGCAGTAAGTCTACGACTCTTTCAACACCAACGTGTTTGGCGCCGTGAGCACGATTGCAGCCTTCCTGCCGCGCTTGCGAGCGCAGCCGGTAGCCCCCGACGGCGTGCGGTCTACCATTGTCACGTTTGGGAGCCTGGCCAGCTGGAGAGGCGGCGCCGGCTTCTCAATCTATGCCATGACCAAGGCCTGCGCGTCGTCGCTGGCGGAATCGCTTCGGGATGAACTGGCTCCTTTCCAGATTCGCGCTGCAACGGTCGAGCCCGGCTATTTTCGGACGTCTTTTCTCAACGCCGGCGTCATGGTCAACGCGCAAAATCGCATAGAGGTGTACAGCGACGAGGCGACACCCACGGGGCAACTGAGGAAGAAGTTGCTTGCCGTTGATGACAACCAGCCTGGCGACGTCGTCAAAGGGTGCAAGGCTCTTGTAGATGTGCTGACTGGAACTGGGCTAGCCCACGGCAAGGACCTCCCGGTGAGGGTGGTGTTGGGGCCGGATTGTGAACGAGTCATTCGGGACAAATGCTCACAGAGGCTTGGGATATTAGATGAATGGACAGATGCCATCAGAAGCACCGATCATGACCCGTCATAGAAGATGGTGATGGGGTTCTTGATGAGTATGCCCAAGTAAGAAAGAGGGTTAAGCGTCTAGGAGTCGCAAGGTACAAGCGCAACCACGTCGTGGGATTAAACGATGATGAGCTCTCCGCTTAACAGGATGCACTATTAACATTGTATCCACTATTTTGGACATGACAGCTATCATTCATTCATAGCTCCAAGAAAATTGCATACAGTTTAATATCCGGGAGGATTGGTGCTGAAGCCGAGCTGTGGCGGTGACGCGGTTTATAGCAACATGGCCCTTTGTATCAATTATTCCCTTGACCTTTAGGTCGAAAGATACATCACGACTGGAAACCCACGGCTCGGTAGCAAAACCACGGTTAGACATTACGACATGTTATATATTACTCCGTACAGTGTAATAGTATGCTGCAAGGAGTGATGGAGGCGTCTGGTGTCTCTTGTCCCGAGAGGAACCGGATAATAGAGCTTGGCTAAAAGCATGGCGCGCCCCTGGATAAGAATCCACATGCACCTTGTCGCAGCCTGCCAATCCAGATCTCTGCTCTTTCAATGTTGGGAAAGCCGTCCAAGCGCAATAGAGTTTGGCTAACGGCAGCCCCGTACCGTGGGTACTGGCACTGGGAGCATCTCCTCGAAACAGTGCATGTGGGTTTATTATCAATTGGCATATGCGTCGTATCGGACGTAGTACGGAGTATTGGCTTGACAAGACGATGCTGGATATTGGATCTTGTGTTGTACAACATGGCGAGTGACTCGGCCTACAGAAGTAGTAGTTGCACAGCAGCCAGACATGTGCACGACGGGAGTTGACCTGGGCAGCTTGTGCCGGCGTGTTGGCAAACTGACACGTCATTTTGATTCTTGTCAAGACTCAAGACAGTACATGCACAAGTACTAGATTGGGTTCTGGCCCACCAAGACTGTCCGCATCGTCGTTTGGGGCTGCTTTATCGCCAACGGCTCACCAAGACCAGACCCTACTTGGTAAGTAAACGGCAGGACACGTTGTGGCCCATGTACGGCGCCTACGCCGTGCGTATGTATGTACATAATTAATCAACATTAAATGCACCCGTAAACGTGGCCGTGAGCCACCAGAGCTATGACCTATCGACAACTTGGGGGACCTGTTGCACGTTGACAGATCTGCGTGCCACCAACCCGACATGTGGGCCGTCAAGGGATGCGAGGCTAGACAAGACTTGACGGTCCCAGCCAGTTGGGGCGGAACTTCTGGCTGCATGCCATTGCAGGGCTTTGTATACGGGCAAGACGTTGCTAGTTGAGGCGTTGCGTGTGTCCAGTCTGGTCCCGTGTAGGACGACGGAAGAGTGTCAGGTCCTCGACTCTTGCTTGCCTGCCAGCCGGGGCGTCTCTTGGTCCCCTTTTGCATGCCATCGATTGACGTATTTGGTTCGTCATGCGCGCTGCGAGCATAATGCATGCCGGGCTCGCAGTGTCTTGCAGCGGTCGCTCAACATTGACGTCCCCGAGCCGTGGATCGCCATCTGCCTCGGACCACGGAGGCGTCTGTGAGTGGTGACGATTCAGTCGGGACCCCAGCACCCAGTTTGTCTCGACTTGATTGGCGGCGCATCGACAGGGACCCGAGGATGAGATGGGCATAGCGTGCGAGTGTGGTCTGAGACTCTCTCTCAACTCTCCACACAACGTCGAGCCAGCCACCACCACCCGACGGCCATGTCTGCCCCTGTCTATGTACTATGTACTACTACGGAGTACTGCACACATAATGGGCTGTATTTTCTTGGCTCAGCAAAAAGCAAATCCAGCCTGCTTGCTACTACGTATCTTGTGGCGCTCCCATTTCTTAGCGCAAGATGCGGGAAAAACGGCGCCTCCGCCTTCAAACCGTGGCAGTGCGCCAACGTTGAATCTCGGAGGCCCCTGTTCGGTTGACGCAAATCTTCTCATCTGGTTGGACAAGGGCCCGGGGCTTGCTTGCCTTGCCGGGGATCGCTGGGAGACATTGCAATTTGGTGGTTTTGCGTTCTTGATCCGGTGTCATGGTCGATCGATTCCATGTCGATTCTCAGCCGTTTCCTGCCCCACGCTCCGACAGACTCCTTGTAACCGTCTTTTTGCTTCTAGCTTCTCCCGTTGTCTTTCCATCTCCCTCATCTTCCTCCCCGAGCGACCCTTATTCACCTCTCTCTTCATGGTAGAATAACGATGCTGCGCGGTTTGCCTCATAATGGCCCTTGACTCCGCACCTCACCCGACGGACGCCGCCATATCGCACCTATGGCACTTCATCGAGACCCGAGGCCTGGATCTGGACGTGGTACGTTGTGTTTGCCGCTGTGGACGGTGTTGCGTACTGCGAGTGTGATTCCTCGTGTATATCACGTCTCGATATTACACCAATGTGCAAGACACAGACCTGCACTTCCGCGGGAGGGATTGAGCACGGCTACATCGTCGACCTGCACACCAAAACTAACTCTTGGTCTTAGGGCAGTTCCCAAGATCCAAGGCAAGGGTCTGCGCGCAACGACTCTTCAGGCGGCGGAACTCTTAGCCAGACGGCAGGTAGCAAAGGATCGTCACTCGGCAAGTTGGGGACAACATTCATTCCTGTATCCGTCTTCACGGCCGTGTGTCTCGTCATATTCATCCTTCTGCGCCGGTTCTGCAAACGTGTGTATGCACCGAGGACCATCCCAGAGCTGAGAAGCCCCGAGTAAGATTCCTATGCTATGCGACGCGCACTCTTGAATGCTGGGGCGGGCCATGCTCATGTACCGACGTCTTGAGCATCGTACTAACCACCGCGTGCAGTGTGCCCAGCCCGCCTTTACCTGGAGGATGGCTGAACTGGATTGTTCCCTTTTTCAAGACACCCGACACCATCGTTTTGAACCATGGCTCCCTCGACGGCTTCTTCTTCCTACGATTCTTAAAGGTCCTCCGCAATATTTGTCTTGCTGGCTGCCTCATCACGTTTCCCGTGCTATTTCCCATCCATGCCACAGGGGGCAGTGGACTCACCCAGTTGGAAATGTTGACCATAGGCAATGTCAAGGATCCTCAAAAGCTACTTGCCCACGTCTTCGTGGCGTGGGCCTTCTTTGGTATGACGCCTGAATTCTCTTCAGCTTGTTTTTCCCGAGCCTCGTTGCGGGTGTCTTGCGACCAGACTGATGCTAATCCTGCCGTTTTTTAAATAAAAAGGGTTCGTGCTTTACATGATTGTACGAGAGTGCATCTACTACGTCAACCTCCGTCAGGCGTACCTGTCGTCGCCGTACTATGCAGACCGAATCTCCTCCCGCACGATTCTACTTACATGTGTCCCAAAGGAATACCTGGACGAGCGTCGTCTCCGGAAGCTGTATGGGGACTCGGTGCGGCGTGTGTTTATTCCGCGAACATCCAAAGCCCTCGTCAAGATGGTAAAAGAGCGAGAACAAACGGCCGAGCGGCTGGAAAAGGCTGAGATTGCACTGATCCGAATCGCGAACCTGGCTCGACAAAAGCAACTGGCCAAGGATTCGAAGCTTGCGGAACCTTCCACCGCCGCAGCGTCCATCACTGAATCGACGGGCTCGAAACAAGACTTGGTCGTGGTCCCGAGTGATAGCACTGCTAATGATACTTGCAGAGGTGATCTGGATGAGGCGGAATCGCCAGGGTCAATAATTCGCCTGGAATCTCTACGACGCAACCCCGATAAAGACAACGACGACACCAGCCAGCATGAAGGCATCAAATTGAATAGCATCATGGCGGACGAGAATGAAAAATTGGACCAAGATGACGGCGAGTATGAGCACCCATACGGTCTATCGATGGATCTCCCGGATGTTAGAGGATCTGTTGCCGCCCAATGGATTCCGGTACAACGACGACCATACCATCGGCCAATTGGCAACTTTGGCCGCCGCGTCGATACGATACGATGGACACGCACACGACTGCGAGATCTCAATCTGCAAATTTTCAAGATGCGCCGACAAGTCCGACGAGGCGATGGCATCACGTTGCCGTCGGTTTTTATCGAATTTTATACGCAGGAAGCCGCCCAAGCGGCGCATCAAGTACTGACACACCACCGACCGTTGCAAATGTCGTCGCGCCTGCTCGGCATTCGGCCAGACGAAATCATTTGGTCCTGCCTACGAATGCCGTGGTGGGAACTCATCATCCGACGCTTTGGCGTCTTGACCTTGGTCACGGCGGCAATCATCTTTTGGGCCGTTCCATCCGCTTTTATTGGCACAATTAGCAACATCGAGGGTCTAACGCAGAAGCTCACGTTTCTCAGCTTTCTAAACAAGCTACCTAGTGTGATTTTAAACTTTATCCAAAGTTTTATGCCAGCAGTGGTCTTGTCTCTGTGGATGGCGGCAGTGCCCTGGATGCTTCGATGTAAGTACTCTCTCCATCTCGATGACCGTCAGGCTTTCTGGAGGATCTGACATTTCGTCCCAGTCTGCGGTGCCCAGTCTGGTATTCCGACGATAACACGAGTCGAATTATTCGTGCAAAATGTGTATTTTGCCTTTCAGGTCGTTCAGGTCTTCCTCATCACCACCCTCACTTCGGCAGCGTCGTCGGCTCTTGGAAAGATTTTGTCGAACCCTCTGGGTGCAAAAGATCTCCTCGCCGAGAATATTCCCAAGGCATCCAACTTTTACCTGTCCTACATCATGATTCAGTGCCTAATGAGTGGAGGAATGCGCCTTATCCAAGTTTTTGGATTAATTCGGCATTACATCGTCAGCCGTGTGAGCGCGGTACCTCGTACGAGGTACAAGCGCTGGTGTAAGCTCGACTCTCCATATTGGGGTGGCGTGTATCCCATCTATACCAATATGGGCGTGATTGGTACGTTTATTTCCATGATGCGGTCGCAAATCCTCACGCAAATACATGCATACTGACGTTTGCGTTTTAGCCCTCAGCTACTCCTGCATTGCCCCCCTCGTCCTTCTCTTTGCCGCCGGGGGGTTGTTTGCAACCCAAGTGGTTTGGAAGTACAACCTCATCTATGTACTAGACTCTGACATGGACACCAAGGGGTTGTTTTATCCTCGGGCTCTCATTCACCTGACCATTGGTCTCTATCTGGCCGAAATTTGTCTTATAGGCCTGTTCGCGTTGAAAGGTGCTTTTGCGCCTTTGGCATTAATGGTCTTGTTCTTCATTTTTACAGGCCTCGTGCATTTCTCCCTCAGCGACGCAATTGCACCCCTTTTACTCAATTTGCCGCAAACATTGCCTCTCGAAGGTGAAATCCAAGAAGAAGAAAAGGCAAAGGCTTTGCGGGAGAAGGAACTCGCCACGGCGAGGTTGGAGGGGGAAGACGGAGCGACGGGAGCGGCAAACGACTACTATGACTCCGAACAAGTCTTTGGCGACGAGGAACAGCTGGAACAGTCAGACACCGAGGAAGAGGAAGAAGAGGAGGATTCTGGAGACGAACACGGGCCCATTACGGGAACCAGAGCCGTGGAAGGTGCAGCTAGCATTGGGTCTACGTTGAAAGAATGGGCCAAGGCTACAACCACGGCAAAAGTCAACAAGGAGATCAACAGCCCAGGCGTACAGGAGTTTCTAGCCAAGATTCAATTCTGGAAACATGACAAGCACGCGAATGGCGAACCACCAGGCTTCCTGGCACGATGGCTTCATCCAGAAGAGTATGAGGATTTTGTTGCTTTGCGAAATACCATACCTGGGGATCAACTCCGTCATGTTGAGTACCCATCCGAGTTTAGGAAGCGATGCTACCTTCCGCCAGAGATGTGGGCGCCAAAACCTACTTTATGGGTACCTCGAGATGAGGCCAGAGTCAGCAGACAAGAGGTTGCCCATACCAAGAAATACACGCCCATCTCGGACAAGGGCGCAGAGTTGGATGAGAAGGGTGGAGTGGTAGTCTATTTCGACAAAGCACCGATAAAGAAAGAGCGGATGCTTCTGTAACATAGGATTGGGTTTAGCATGGCGAACTGTTTGCATTTCGTAGGACTACCAGACTTGCTCAAGGGACAAGCATAGCCCAAGCACGATAATGAAATGAACAATGATATGTGAGACGTCAATATCGTTAATGCTACCGTAGCCAGTCTGTTTCGGTAAACAATGGTACATGAAATCCGACGGTATTTTGGCACTTGCAAACTTGCAATTTTATACCTCAGTTCCATAACAACCACCGTCTTGGATGTTCCCGATGTTGCCTCCCTTCCACATTGCCCGTCTCTCTATTCGGCGTTACGCAAAACGTCAAGTCGCTACTGCATAACGAGGACATTCCGGAATCGAGGCTTGCCTGCTACCAGGCTGTCCACAGCCTTCTGAACATCGGCAAAGGGATATTTCTCAATCATGCATTTGACATCATGAGTTTTGGCGAAACGAATAGCCTCCTCGCTGTCCAAGGCATGACCTGAAGGCCACCCACACACACTCAAGCCGCCGAGCACCATGGCAACCGTATCAAATTGAACACCGCCCGTCGGGGCGAGACAAAGAAGCTTGCCTCCGGGAGCCAGGCCGCCCACCAGTTTCCCAACGACTTCGGGATTGGGGGCCGTTTGAACAATAATGGCAGCGCCACCGAGCTTTTTGAGCTCAGCGGGACCATCAGACTTGCTCGTGTTGATGTAATGGTGAGCACCCAGCTGTTTGGCAAAAGCAGCCTTGTCGTCCCCAGACGAGAGGACGGCAACCTCGTAGCCCATCTTATGGGCATATTGCACACCAAGATGGCCCAAGCCTCCAAGTCCCTGAACAGCGACCAGCGCGCCCTGCTCGACGTGCATTTTTCGAATACCATTAAACACGGTGACACCGGCACACAGCAACGGAGCAACCTCTGCCGGGTCCGAGTCCTTGGGGATGCGAACAACAGCCTCCTGGCGGAGGAGGACATATTCGGCAAAGCCGCCATCCTTGGAGACTCCGTTGACAAGCTCATTGTCGCACATTTGGAATTGGCTACGCTGGCACTGTCGACATTGGCCATCGTGGCCGCCGTGCCAGGGACCGCCGACGCGCTGCCCTTTGGAAATATGGCTCACGCCCGGGCCGAGCTCGACGACATCGCCCACAATCTCGTGCCCTGGCGTTCGGGGGAACACGTCTCCCATGTGGCCCCCGGCCACGGCAACGTCGGAAAAGCACACGCCGCACGCGAGGACTTTGACGAGAACTTGGCCGGGCCCGGGGTGCTGGAGCTCTACATCTTGCAGCTTGAAGGGACCGTTGGCCTCTGTGATGACGACGGCCTTGAAAGTCTTGGGAAGTGAAGCCATCGGTGCAAAGGACGTCTAGGGGGCGCGGTTTTGACAAGAGCACAGCAAGTTACTAGTTGAAAGCCAGCCCAAGGGAAGAGCGTTTCGAGCCGCAAGATGCGCGACGGTGTGCCGGCAATCCGTGTCCCTTTAAAGCATCATCTTTCCAACGGAAGCCCGCTGCGTCATTGAACGCGCACTACACAGCTCTTGACAGACAAGATGCAGCTAGCGCACACCTCTTTCGCAATTGGGATTAAGCTGGAACAAATAGTGTTTTGGGGCCAGCGATCGATGGGCTCCGGACGATCCGCAGCAGCAGAGTTATCCTTTTAGGCTTTATTAGCACGACTATTTCCTCTGGGGTCGGTCCAATGGATGAGTCCCACCACCAGACTGCCCTGCTTGGTCGGGGCCAGACCATTGATGGGCTTTGATGACATCATGTCAAGTCAAGTCTGGTCGTCTGTAACGCCGAAGGCTATGTGGCAACTTGCAGCGAGGAAGCAGAGTATCCTATAGCTTCACACCGAGATGTAACCGAATACTACTGCGGCATTTGGACAGGCGGCGAGACTATTGACATGTACCCAATTCCTAGTTGGGTTGCGTGGTGCGTGTAATAGTTGCAGTATTTCCCTTGGCGTCTGTGAGGCACTTTGCATACAATTAAAGCATACCTGCTACCGAAAGTGGAGGATACCATCGATTATTTGGTGTCTGCCAGCAGTAGCCACGACGCACCTCGGCCGTTTTGACGCATTGCATGTGATGTAATTGGCAACTTGGAGCACTTGTCTCCCTGCTCTAGCAAGGACACCATCAAACCTGCTGCAATTGAGCCTGGCCCTTGGTAGTGAATCCGAGGACATAGCTGGCAAGCTGTCTAGGGGGTAAGGCTGTCGTCGAGAGGGACTTTTTTTGTCCAAGTCGGCATGCAAAGCCTACAGGGTATGAGGAGTCTGGGAGAGTTTGTAAAATACCCATGAGACACAGGATATAAATGAATGACATCTTGTAATAGGTTAGAACAATTCATATCACAATATTCGAGTGTAGACATGTCCGCGAAATATTCTATACAGCTTCAATGTTATATTGCAATACATCTTTAGAGTGGAAGAGAAAACTTTGAAGCCGACTGTTACCGTCTGTTTCTCACACACGTCCATTCTACTCATCGTCAAAGACATCCTTGACAGATCTCCAGGCAGGCACTTGCCCCAGGCCTGATGGCATCTGAATGTATTTGATGGTGGACCATTCGTTGAGGGTTTCAATATAGTGTTCCCTGCCATAGCCACTCTCCTTGGATCCTCCGTGAGGCAAACCCAGCCCGCTCCTGAAGTAGTTGTTGATGAAGACAATGCCCGTATCGACTTGCCTGCTGACACGAAGTGCCTTCTCGATATCCTTGGACCAAACAGCGGCCACGAGTCCGTATCGCGACTCATTCACAACAGAGACAGCCTCTGCCTCGCTACTGAACGAGCACACCGTCGCCACGGGGCCGAATATTTCCTCCTGGGCGATGCGCATTGTGCGTACCACGTCCCTGAAAAGCGTCGGCGCAACAAAGTAGCCGTCCTTGAGCAAAGGGTCTGACGGCAAGTCAGCCTGGGCCGCAATCTTGGCACCCTCTTCGCTTCCCAAGGCAATGTAGCTGTTGACTCGTTCCTGCTGCTGTTTGGAAACAACAGGGCCGACATGGGTCGCCTTGTCAAATCCGTTTCCGACTCGCAATCTGCGCACCGCGGCGGCCAGTCTGTTGACAAACTCATCGTAGACCTTTTCGTGCACCAGTAATCTCGATGCTGCCGTACACGCCTCACCCTTGTTGAAAAAGGCGCCCTCCAAAGCACCCTTGACCGCTCGATCCATGTCGCAGTCGTCAAACACGATAAAGGCGTTCTTGCCACCGAGCTCCAGCGCGGTGCGCTTGACAAGCTTCGATGCCGTTTTGGCGACGGCAGCGCCGGCAGCGGTAGATCCGGTAAGCGAGATCATCTTTACCGCAGGGCTCTCCGTGAGCAGCTGTGCGACCTCGGCTCCGGCTCCGGGGACGGCCTGCACGACGCCCTTGGGAAGGACCGTCTGCAGGATCTCGACGATTCGCATCACTGTCAACGGGGCCTGTTCTCCCGGCTTGATGATGATGGTGTTGCCAGCGGCCAGGCATGGTGCAATCTTGCCACCGGCATGAATCGGCGGCCAGTTGAAGGGTAGAATGCCGGCGCACACGCCAAGCGGCTCCCGGATAATGGAGGAATAGACGACTCCGCGGTCGTGGAACTGGCCAGGAAGCTTGTCGACCAGAGAGCCGAAAAAGCCAAAGACCTGGACGATAAAGGCCACATCCAAGGCCGCGTCGAGAGCTGGCTTTCCGTTCTCGGCGCAGAGCAGGTTTGTGAGTTCTTGCTTGTGCGTCTCGAGAGCGGCAGAGCAGTTCAACAGGATTTGCCCGCGGTCTGCCAAGCTTCGCTGCTTCCAGTTGTCAAAGGCCTTGGAGGAAGCATCGATGGCTGCATTTGTGGTGGCAGCATCTCCTCCACGAACAGTTGTCAGGATCCCTCCAGTCGCAGGGTTGTGGACGACGAAATCCTTTGAAGAGTCGGCAGATGACCAGTGAAAGATGGAGTGTTTAGGGATATTGAGCGCTTCAGCCATTTTGGAAGGACTTGGTTGGGACGTGGTTGTATTATTGGTTGGTCTTGAGGTATGTCAATTGTTGCTTGAAATGCTAAGTCTTTCTTTGCTTCTTGGAAGCTTCTACTACGAGGGCGAGAATTCGCTCTACTTTATACCATTTCAACTCGGAGTTTACTCAAAACTAAAGCCGATGTCTCTGATTTTGATGTAAAGAAATCTTGTTTTACGTGAATCATATCGAGGACTAACATGCCAGCATGCGTAAGGAGAATATTGTGTCTGGTAGTTTCTTACAACGGACAATGGCAAAGTGGATAGGTGCCCGTTTTCTCCGGTCACATGACCGGGAAATTAATGCAAGTGTCGTGGTATTCATTGAGTAATATAGAGTTGTAATTTTGTGTCTTGGGATACGGAGTACGTGCTGCTTGCAATGCTATGTCTTGTATTGGAAATTAGTATTCTGTCATTATTTTGTTATTCTCATCTTTATGTATAAAACGATGAAGCAAATAAGCTACTATTATAAGTTATCTAGGGGTTTAAGCTTATCGATAGTACTGCTTGTCTATAAATGCGCTTGGTCTACAGGTTTGGTACCAAAGTATAGACCAGCGTAAAGTCATTCTGTTCCCCCACGGCAGTGGTAATTGGCATAGAAATAGCGTCGTGGGTTTTTCCAAAAGTTTCGATCCGGTTATATCGCATGTATTCCCCTTGAGCCTATATTATATCGGGGTTTGCATTATCGGACTTGGCTATCTCCGCGCGTCGTTTTCCCGATACACCCTGTGAGACCATTATGGGTCTGGTACTACTTGGAATACGAGAGACCTTGATGCACACCAATTTTGAGGGAGGAATTGTATCAAGGCAAAGGGTTTTCCTTATGTTGAAAGTGCCAAGAATAACCGCAATCCTTGCGTCATCCATAGCATTACTACGCGGCGTCACATTGCTGGAGCATGTCGGTTCGCTAGCCCGCCTTGACACGCTCTTGACACGCAACCTCAAGCTGCATGATTTTTAGTACTTGAGGGTCTGGCGGGTCAAAGAACATTGACTTGACTTGACCGGACTTGACGGGACATTGAACCTTTGTAGACAGTCCTGGGTTGGATCGTCGCCCTTCCAACTTCAACCAGACTTTTATATTTTCAAGAACAACAGTTGCCATACGCAAACTCTGAGTCTTGCACAGAGTCATCTCCATCTGTTTCCGAAATGCCGCGTGGAAGACGAGCTACGAGCTGCAAACCGTGCCAGAAAGCGAGACTGGGATGCGATGCCTCGTCTAGACGCGGCTCCTATTGCTCCAATTGCATACGTCGAGGCAAGTGCTGCGTGTTGCCAGTAAGTTGTCCCCCGTTGTTGGCCTTGGAACTATTTGATGTGCTAAATTTCCTCAAGGCTAATGCATCTACAGACGACCACCCTACTACGCCACGACGACGACCTCTAGCTATCGCGATTACTCGCACCGAGACATCCCCCAGCCAAGCCGTGTGGCAACCGAAACTTCCAAGAAAGCCCATGTGCAAATCAAAAAGTTGCCCGACGTCGAATCCAGTAGCAGTGAATCTATATCTGGGGCTTGAGCATGCCTTATGTCGTCGCCAGACTGCGCTTTCTTTGCATAGTAGCTTGTGGAACACGTATGTTTCCGTTTTTGAGACTCGTTTTAGCCTGTGGACTGCCGTTAGTTGTTGTCCATACAGCGAAGCTTCGCAGGTATGAGGCTGTTCCGACTATATAGCCCATAGTATTTGCTTATCATTCTAACCTGTACGTTGTTGTCCGTGGTAGTCTGGGGGCCTCATCTCCGAAGCCATGGTTGCCCTCGACAGAGTAAACTACTCCCGACCACAACAGAATGCGCCCATGATCCCGCAGGCCGACCAATATACTGGAGCTGGCAAGGTGCATGGCAGCGTGAACCACAGTTTAGTCGACAAGGCGCTTATCAGGGCCATCTATGCCTTCTCTATTCGCTGGCTTCACTTACGAAGCCCGTCACAACCACATGAAACCCGGAATATCCAGACGCAACTCGAGAGTAATTTGTGGCACTGTGCCGCAGAGCTAATGCATGCCATAGTGTCACAGCCATGCTACCGCTCCATATTAGCTCTCCAGCTATTTTCAGAGACAACGGTCCCGGCCGACGCGCATGACGAAGGCATCGCCGAGCTGTGCCAAACCGCTTCATTGGCCCATTACATGAAGCTCTATCCAGCCTCGGTATTAAACGAACCAAGATTTCTGTCTTCCAAAGTGGCGGGAGCTGCAAAAGAGGACCCCAAGCACCTTCCGATGCAAGACACGGCGCTTTGGCTCGGATGTATCAGTGATGTTGCAAGGTCCATTCGGAGTCATCGACCACTCATGCTTCTAGCAGGTCAGTCGGCAGAGACAAAAGTGTGGGGGTATATTAGGGAGCGAGCTCATGTTTTCGACAACTCCTTTAAACACTTGCATTCTACTCTAGAAGTGCTGCCGCCCGAAGTCGTGTCAATCATCTTGCAGAATGCGTCGGCTTGCAAGACCATGTTTTGGTGGAATATAGTCCGCGTCCGTAATGCATTGTACGATCCGGCTGGGGATGAGTCAGTGACACAGACTATGGAAAAAGCTTTTCAAGAATATCATCATTTTCAAGGCGTCTTTGCACCCTTCTTGGACATTTGCTCGAGAAACTTTCAGACCCTTGGCCAGGAAGCCCAACTACACTATTGTAAGTCCCTCGTAGAACTTGTCCACATCTACATCTTGAATAGTAGCTGATATTCTAGTTCTGCTCGTTATACACTTTCACTGGGGCGCCTTGCAACTTAGTAGTCTGCTCTCGCAAACTAGGACTGCTGAGGCGTCGACAGCACCGGAGCCATCGAGTATTACAAGCGTTCAAGCTATCATCAATGTCGTTTCGCTTATTAGCAGCCCTAGTCAATGGATTGTGACCGACATGGACTTTCCGAACCTTATTCTTCGGGATCCATTTCCAGAAACGACGGTCGATATTCTTTCTACTACCGCCAACAGAATCCTAGACCTCCAGGCCGCAGGAGAGCTCCCGGTTAGCACTGCACAGCTAATGGTTTCCACAATTCTTGATACTCTGGCTGTGATTTCTAATATATCGCGCATGGCGGCTCGGACTCTTGACCAACTGCGAATAACTATTGTCAAACAAATGATCGAACCTGTCGGAGGAGATGATACATCAACATCATTTTGATAGAAGACACTTTGCAAATTATATATCCCTAGACTTCTAGATCATAATAGTAAGTATCTAGTACAACAACTAAAGCACTGATTGCGGGCACAAGTGGCATGACGCGAATAGATTATATTTGACACCGCAAGATACCATATAAATGTTAGCCAAAATACAGTACTAGTAATGTCCAAAAACAGCCAGGCTGTGTATTAAATCATGCCGTTCCAAGACACATTTAGCTTCCACCTCCTGGAATGTACTCTCGTATATCAGTCCTCGTCTCGTTCATCTTCGCTTGGGCTATCATCAGGGCCTTGGAATCCATGTCAAACACAACATACATACTCTGTAGTGCTGGTGCTCCAAGAACAGGAATATCTGTAGGTCCGTTGCCCTGAACTGGAGCTATGGCGAGTTGACAAGTCCCGGCACCAGCGCCCGGCGAGGTGCCGCTGCCGATATTATCATTACCTCCTTGACCATTACCATTGGGGGTATTGCCGCCCTGCTGATTGCCGCCCTGCTGATTGCCGCCCTGCTGATTGCCGCCCTGCTGATTGCCGCCCTGCCGATTGCCTCCGCGGCCCTTCCCATTATTCTGGCCCTTATTGGGACCTCGCTGATTTCTGCCTCTCTGAGGCTGTCTTGAATTCCCACGTCCAGCATTGCCGGGCTCTCCTGCACCACTTCCAGGATCAGGTGCAACAATGATGGAATCAAGAGGCACCCTCACTTGAACATTGTCTTGATTCATTCCAAGCGTTAGATCCATACCGCGTATACGGTTACAGTCCGCAAGGAACTCGCCTTGCGGCCCAGGTCGCGCGCCCAGCCTCCGCCCCAATGCATCCAATGTTCCACCGGAGAGGATGATTTCAGGCACACCGGTATCAAGCCATGCTACCGGGGGTGCATCGTTGGAGAGCAGATTTCCCCTCTGCTGTCGCTGTAGTAAATCACGTGTTGATAGGCTCTGTGAGGTGTGCGCATATGATGGGACTCGGGCGTTATCTAGACGGCGACTCGTGAATGCAGATGTCTTAAACTCCCCTGACCATGGTATGCTGTCGTCAGATTCGGAAACCGCACTTTTCTGTCGATTAGGGCGTCCTTGCGAATTATTTCCTTGATCTGTATCCCTGGAGGGGGCCAAGCCAACTGAGCTAAAATCCACGACAAACGCGGGCAAAGAATCCCCATCGGGTTTGAGTAGTGGTGCGGCTTTAAGCTCGCCCTCGAATTTGGCGGCGTCGAATCCACCCCAAACCAGAGATCCGTTGTTAGGAGATCCTAGAAATAGAATTAGCATCAGTTCATGATTTGAAGGATATGAATTTCTTCCCGGGTAGTTTATCTACTTCATGAGCAGACTAAGAAAATAGGGAAATGGGATTAAATATATATATATACTTACGGAAGTCTCCAAGATACAGGCCATATGCGTTTGATTTGCTTAGGTCATCTTGTTTAAACCGAGCTGGGACATTTGGATATGGATCTTTCGCAGATTCTCCTTGAATTGGGCCAATGCCCATGACTGGAAAGCTGACTTGACCGGGAGGCACGCCTCCTGATTCCACGAGGCCCATCCGCACGGGAACCTCTTTTCCGCCGGGAGTAACCTGAAGAGAACTTTCGATAAACGTACCAACGAATGCGGCTCCTCCGGTAAAAGTTGCGTTTAGGGGAATATTTAGGTCTCGAATGTCGGTTTTGTTCTTATTGACGTCGAGCGATCCAGCTTTGAAGCCGGTGGTACGTCCGTCACACTGCTCTCCTTCGCCACGACAGAACTCGCTTCCCGTTTTCGGAATATTCAAGTCACTACTTCCTGTATCAAGCAAGCCTCTCATGACCTGGCCTGCAACTGAAAACTCAATGAAAGGGCGGAAGCCACCTTGAGAAGCGTCCGTGATCTTCTGGATCTCGCTAACTTCTAAATTCCCTCCAGGTTGGGCAGTAGCCTGGCTGCTAACAAGCAGTAGCGGGCTCGAGAGCCAACATGTGAGGTAAATGACCTTCATACCTGCTGAAGGAGCTTGTTGCTGTGTTGAATAGGAAGAATTCAAAGTCAGATGCTAGTTGTGGCAGTTGGAAATAGAAAAGTAGGCTTAAACCCACGTGGCTTCCAGAGCTAGAATAAATAGAGAGCTGTCGATCGGAGAACTATATTATTTCTTCCTACTTAATATATTCCATCATAACTCTGGGGTAGTCTTCAAGAAACAGATCTAACTCTGATGGTAACACAGAAGCTGAGTTTGAAACAATCGTCAAACGATGAAACGTAGATTCGGGAACTTATCGCAACCACTACGGAGAAAAGCGAAGAGACTGACTCAAGAAGGCTGTTGTAAATGTGGCTTATTTTATTACCTTTGTTTTGTAGCGAAAAGACCACGAGACTTTGAAGCATGCAACCAGGCGTGATTCATTAGCAACTTTGTAGCTAACTGCTTAATATACCACCCCCAGAGACCGACTGCTTTTTGTTATCGCCTCTAATACGGGACTTACTACCCAGGATACCCTGTTCATCTAGCTGCGCTAAATGCAGTTTCAACGCTATGGCTACAGGAATGACTCGCGAGAAGCCACACTGACGGGCTGGGGAAAATGCCCGTAGTTCGCTCGTGGCTTGTGCCACTAATAGCATACCGGACATTTGTAGGCTCCCACGAATTATGCTCGTGCCGTCATCTACTAGGCCGGATAGCCCACCCTCCGTTGTCAAGATGGCATGATTCGAATGACTAGGCTCTTCTCCGCGCCCGCAAGACCATTGCGGCGCCCTGAGTCGAGAGCCTTTAAGCCCCATCGCTTCATGCATTGAATTCACCGACGAACGACGACGGCTGCATTTACGGGATGTGACTAGGCCGGGCAAGTGTTCTGCAGCTTGGCACGGAGTGGTAGTCCTGTTTCTGTGTATGTAATCATCGTAATAATAACCAACATTTCAGACAGCTTCCTTCCAGTTCATATGCAAACAAAGAATAACGATATCTTCCTGCATTGCGTTGAACAGTCAAGACATTCAAAATCACTCCATCTTCCCCTCCGTAACAAGGGCGCCATGGGCTTGCATGACCGACTACATATCGAAGGCTCTTATTCCTGGCCTCCAGTCTGCTGTCTCACCCCTATGGGTACCATCTAAGACTACATGTATCGATGCGTTTCAGCCATCTGTGGCGGCACTTGAGAGATAATTTCTAAAACGGGCCCCCAAGTGGTAGCTCAAATGAAACCAAAGATTATGAAAGCAGGGAAAAAGCACACCAAGGAGAGAAATGCGACAGATCCTAGTTTGCCATGAATCAGCAGAAGCAATTAAAATACCAGTCCCGGATGAAAGTTGCCCTCACGGCCTCCAAAGACATGGACCACCATTTTCGAGCTGCTAGTCAATTGTTGGTGTATATGACGACTAACCTTTTACAGCGATGTCATAAAATCTGCCTGTGGATGTACTCAGGACTCTAGAGTGGAATGGAAATACCCAAAGACGAGACAAGGCAATTGACACAGGGTTGAAAGTAGGGTGCTGCTACGGGATTGTCAAACCTACCAGTATTTGGACAAGAAGCCACGTTGCTGGGTATTCCAGGGGAAACTACACCCAAAGTGTCAAAGATGTCCGAAAGCCTTGAAACTGAAGTCTTGGACTATAGAGAGAATTCGTCCCCCCGAGAGCAACATCTTTTCAACTTATTGCGAGTATTGTGCTAATCCTCCGACTAGCACCGTCCTCCATGACGTAGATTCAACCGTAAAGATCTGTCGCACCTTAAACTGGCCACGCCGTCTAATAGTATGCATCTCGACTGCAATACGTTTCGTGGCATTCTTAATCCATTTTCGCTCTTACTGTGTGAGCTTATACGGACTTTTCTTCCTAGCTACCAAGTGCGCCTCAGAATCGTGCCATGCTTGGGAAACTTAACCGATTTGAGTTTATCACGGGCCATCGATCCGTAGTTATTGTATATAAAGCATACGATGGCAAAGACGCATAACCACTTTGAGATACTTTGAAGCGTTTAGAAAGATTGGGGTAATAGTTTAAATTGCAAACTATTTGTGCATATACAGTTCAGTTATTTACGTGCTCTGCCTAGCAATCACCCCCGTCGCCCTTTTGTAGAAAAAGAAAAAAAACCTTTACTCTGCAAGCCTTGCTTTTCAGTGTCCGCGGAATGTTTCCAAGAGACACATTTTTCTATGGTAAGATAATTACGCCCTGCAAAACTAGCAACCTAAAAAGCAACTTCTGTGTCTTGTGGCAAGAAGGGCATCTAGGTCTCCACAGAAGCAATCCAGGCGCGAAGGCCTTCAGGATCACGGCAGTGAAATTTAATACCGGCCGACCATGGAATGGCCTGAGCCTCCGTGGGTGTAGCGGTATCAGCAATTGCGTCCATTTGAAGCGAGCACTCACGCTCAGCACGGAAGGGTGGGAAAACAAGTTTCTTCTCCTCCTCCCCAAGAGGTTGTCGCTCCCAGGTAAAGAAGTGCAGGAGGAGTACGAGTGTGGAGTAGAGACCACGATTGGCCACTATGAAAATCGTTAGCTGACGACAGCAGGTATATAAACAAGGGACCAAACGTACTATCAATGCCGGGGCAGACACGCCGACCACAGCCGTATGTCAAATGTGTTACGCCAAGCTTGTCGCCACCCTCAGTAAAACTGTCGGTGCGACCTTTGCGGCCGTTGAGCCACCGCTCAGGTATAAATTCATTCGGATTATCGAAGGAAATTGGATCTCGGTTGGCGGCCATCAAGTTCATAATAACAAGCTGAGAAGCAGAAGTTAGTGCTTAGTCGAGAACGCAGATGCAAATACAAACAGCATCGGACATACCATTCCAGGAGGTATCTCATGACCATCATAACTAGCACCATCAAGTGTTTGGCGGGGAAAACCAAGTCGAACAGGCGTGTATATACGAGAGCCCTCCTACTTTTATGTCAGTTTTTGTAGGTAGATGGGTGAGGTTTAGTGAAAAGTTACTAACAGTATGCAGGGCCTTGACATATTCAACTCGATCGTATTCGTGAGGCTTTGGTGGTTCGCCATTGTATATCTCACGGATGGCTTCGTAGCCGTTTTCCTGCAGGTCTGGCCTGTTGGCAAGATAACCAATAATCCAAGTAAGCGAGTAGCCAAGATTGACCCCAGCAGCAACTGTCGAGAGATGTTAGATACTGTAATCAATGATTCAAGTGGTAAGAGGAGAAGCAAAGTGGTGAGCGGGGAGGAATGGCTGGTTGCTTACTGCCGGTATAAGAAGCCAGAAGAACCTCTTCTTCTTTTAACAGACCCTGCCGAAGAATGTTGCCTAGAATTGATGGAGTCTGGTCTCCGTCCTCGATACGCTGCTTTAGCTCACCAAGCATCTTATTTATGTAGACTTGCTGCGTCCTGCGGTATTCGCGAGCCTTCTCTTCCTTCTCATCGTAAGACCAGCTTTTGATGCCTAGAGTCTTTCCAGCCAGGTAGCGAAGCCAACTAGCACCGCTCAAAATCGGAATATAATCACGAGCTGGTGAACCCACAGTACGCTGGCGAACTAAGTCGAACTGTTAGTAGATGGCTATATTGGAAACAAGGTGGAAAAGAAAAAGGAGAGAAAAGAGAAGCATAAGAATGAACCTAAGAAAACTTACAGATGTTTGTCTCGTTTTCCGCGAGCATTCCCACTATATCATCATCCAGAGGAGTACCCATAAGTTGCTCAGATACTTGGCCAGTACCGAAGCGGTGAAGCTTCTCGGCCATGTCAACGGCATTTCCTTGGCTAAGAGTGAGAATGTCACCAATAAGCTTCTTAAGCTTGGGGTGAATAACAGGTGTGTAGATTGGTAGGAGGCGAGGAGCGATTTGGGAAGCGAGCGCCTTGCGAGTACGGACAAGACGCTCGCTAAAGGGTGAGGTGCCAACGGTCCAAATACCAGAAGAAGCAAAGTCCTGATGAAAGAGCTTGAACGTGGGCCTTGATTGGTATGCCGGACCTTGTTTCACGATGGTCTTGGAGAGAGCCTTGTGGCTGTTAATAAAGACCTACTCAGCCATGGGTTAGTTTATATGCTTCTTTTCTTTAGGAACTCAAACGTAATAACATACCGCCTCACGCCCACCAAGTGACACCCGAATAACATCACCATACTTCTTGGTCCACTCAGCAATCTTTGGGACATGACCATTGCTCAGCTACTATACGTGTTAGGTATGAAATACATCAGACGACGTGGAATACTAACCTCAAGAAGATTTCCAACGATAGGCAGACCAGGTGGACCTGGAAGCGAGACTGTATGAGGGGCACCACCCAGTAGGCCATCAAAAAACCATAATATACGACTCAGAATTTTACGGCCAAACTCAAACCCACCCAGAAGAACAGCAGTAAGAGCAATAGCGGTAGATGCATAAAAGAAACCAAGATCTCGAGCTCCAGTAACCAAGCTGGAGACTATCTCAGTCTTCGGACTAACCACGGTCGAGTTGAGTAGAGGATCCATCTCGGCGAAGATGATATGAGGGTGATGTGCTGTGGTGTGATGTTTCTGAATCTCATGGAATACGAAACCTTTTATACCATTAGCCAGATGTTTCAAACGGTCTGGGCCAATAGTTTACATTTCCCTGCCTAACACGCAAAAATTTAAACGACGGTAAGCTAAGGCAGGGGGCTTGGGCAACCCGGCATGCTATGTCGGGGCCAATTCCCGCGAGGGAAACTTGGAACCGACGGATCTTGGGTAACATTGGTGGCTCTGCGTTAGTATTGATGATAATGGAGAGTGATTGAAAATGTTGCAGCTCCTCTCAGGCATCTACCTCAGTGATCAAGCGGCCAGCAAGTTCGATTAAGATGGCACGGGTAACAAGGAGTAGCCGATTGCATAATTGGCTAGTACAAAAACCCAGAAGATAGTGCTTACAATATGACCCGATGTATAGTTAATGTACTAGAAACCTAGGAACGAGACTTTCTACTCGAATAAGAGTTAGGGAGAATACCTATTATTGCAGCTAGTAACTCTAGATAAAACCCAATGGCAGGGTGTTAAATACTAACAGAGACTGGGAGTGGCAACATGTACCACTACTACTTGTGATAAAGTTGTATAAAACGTTGCCAATATAAAATGTAAATTCTATTTCCGTCTTATTGGGCTTCATCCCCACTTACTCTTGTCCTGATGCCAATTCCAGCCCGTGCTCCTGGACCAGGGAGATAAGGAGTCTAGTGAACGGCTGCAGATCTACTTTCTAGGTGAAATTCGCTCCGTCTTACATTGACTCAGCTTAGTATGGCGAAAATTTGACATAGTCCTAAAGCCTTTAGATAAGCTCGGTGTAATTAATATTCCCACGAGGCTTATTAGTTAAGCAATCAAGACGCCTGCTTCCTTGGAGTATTACTGATGACGCGATTACGCCACTAGATCCGCAAACTACCTAGGTAAGATTGCATGTACATGCCACGGCTACATCCAACATGTCGGACCGGTCAATAGAAGCAAGATAAATGGAAAATAATTTCACTCGGGGGTAGGCGGTTAGGAACTGTACAGTCAGGAGCTTGCTTTCTTTGCTTTAGACGATTATAAAGACCTTGTAGTGAAGGAAGAGCGGCTAGTAAACTAATGAGACCTTGGACTTGGTAAACATAGTCGTAAGCCAAAACTAGTATGCACCCATTCACGCTTGTAAAAATCTGGGGGGTACAAGAGTAGCCGGCGAGTACTTTCTCACTACAATAGCAATCTCGGCAAGATTGCTTACAAGTATGACTCGAGTATGCAATCGACATGGAGCATCGACATTCAGCTTAACAAGGCGCATGCCATGGCTTTCGGGGGCGGACGCCATTCGGGTCAGTTTTATGCATTGCGACGCGCCATTCTGGCCACTCAGCCGGGTCAAGCAGGACAAAAAGTTTTCGCGCCAGTTGCGCATCGTGTATTAGCCATGTGGCTGAGACGGATGACGGCAAGGGACCAAGATTTTTACATGGGGTTGTATTTGGCAAGGCAGCTATTTCAATAGTTGCACCGAATGGCGTGCTTGAATGTCTCGGACAAGTTCCTCCAACTTAAAATATGCACAATGACCTGCCGGCTCAGGAAACCCTGCCAGCCGAAATAGCCATCGGAGCTCAGAGGATCAAGATTGCGGTGGCCGCCAAAAAAGCCACCAAAGCGGTTTTGTCCTGTAAGCAACGCCGGATCGGGTATGATGGATCTGGTGGCATACAAAAGCTGAAAGCTAGTTATCGGATTTTGTACGGAGTAATCCGATGTCGCTAAGCATTGACCTCTTTCTAGAAGCATTCTTGCATCAATTGGTCCTTGCTGACAAGTGTGCATAATGTCTGGTTGGCCAATCCGCGCCGAGTGTCCGAGGCAGCGCAGGGGAGCGGTCAATGTAAATGCTTCCGCTCCCTTGACATGTGCGGAGTAGACATTATGCAAGGCTTACAACACATGTGCAGCAAGTCTTCGGGGATGATGCATCTTATTCATGTCTGGTCTGGTGTATTTCGTACCGAGGTCCCGTCTGGTCCCACACCGCCGCCAAGAAGGTCTGGTAGAAACCAAAACAAGGGGGTCCCAAGACGTCCCAAGACGGAGACTGGCGAAAGCACATTGATCAATGATGCAGCCCGGATCTCGGCGGGGAAGAGGGGCAGAGAGGGGTTAGTTGGTATAAAGAGCCAGGCCTTGCATCTAGATTCGTAACCCTCAGGGTACTCTTCCCCCAATAGCAATCATTTCCATCCCATTGCAAATCTCTTCAGCAACACCCATCATGGTTGAAGGTGGATGCCTCTGCGGTTCGATCCGCATCAAGTCCACTGGCGAGATCAAGGCCAAGGTACGTGCATAACGGCGCGATTCCCTCCGACATCGGCTAAGACGAGCCACCAGGCACTCTGCCACTGCCTCGACTGCCACAAGATTACTGGCTCGTTGTTTTCAACCAATCTTTTGGTTGCTGATGATGGCTTCTCAGTGACCAAAGGCACCCCCAAGCAATTCTCCAAGACGGCCGATAGCGGCAAGGCCATCACCTCATTCTTCTGCGGTGACTGTGGCTCGACGCTCTGGCGCGAGAGCGACACATACGCCGGCTTGAAGATCATCAAGGCTGGCACTTTGGACGGCAATGCTCTTGAGGATGCCAACCCGGCTGTCGAATTGTTCGTCGTGAATAGGCCGTCTTGGCTGCCAGCTTTTGCCGGCGCCGTGCAAAATGACGCGGCCTAAGCGTTTAGTTGGAGAAGAAGACGGAGGGGAAAAAATCGGGCGCAGAACAGGAATTTTACTTGCCCTTGAAAAATGAAATCTAGTCAATAGTAACATGAGCTACCAACCGATACTGTAAAGGGGGCAGGGCGCATAAATCACCGTTGACCTCCCTCTACCTCTAACGTGTCCTCGCGGTGCTAAAAGACATGAGTCAAGTCACTGGTGACTTTGAAGGGCTATCAATGCGGGAAGCAGCCATGGTAGGCAGCTTCAAATGAGGTTAACCAGCCTCCCCTGGCAGACAGATAGCGATAAATGCAAATTTAATGCTAAAATACCAAAAGGCCTGGCACCAGACATGACTTAAAGCACCTACAACCTGTTTTCAATTAATAATACATATAGTTATCTGCCCTTTAGAAGGTGCAACAAGTTTCATTGTAAAGTTTATTATGTATCCCTTGAATTAGTAGGGTGCCAAGGTTCTGAGACATTCATAAGAAACGGCTGGGACGTCTTGCGAGGTTGTTCAGCTACAGGAGCAGTGAACACAGGCGTATCGGGAACTATACGACCAGACATCTGCCGGATTTACAAACTTGGCCGAACAGTACTCACCTATACCTGTGGGGGCTGGCTGTTCCGGATTTGGGCTTCAAGTCAGGCTTGCTCGCGGGCCACGGTTCGAGTCATTATTACACGTGCAGTCAGTGCTCGGATGGTCCACGAAACATCCGGGGAGCAAAAGCGCCACATGGATCCCCCCGGCCTGGAGACTGCATGCTGGCGGGCATAAGCACCACATCGACGCTTACGGAGGACCGGACCAGACATCTTAAGCCTGGCCCATGTATTCCGTATGACTCCCCTGCTGCCGATTTGGCAAAGGAATAGCGAGGACACAATTATCCGACGCATCGACGCCCCCTGTGGCATTCTCAGATGTAAGCCGCGCACGACCACCAGACGGAGACGCCCCGAATGTATATAATACATGCTTGGGTACTTGTGCATATAGGTACGATACTTACTGGCCGAGCCCAACAAAAAGCCTGCACGTCCATGTCCATTTGACTATCCATTGTCATCGACGCCTCGGACCTCAGGAACCACCATGTGGGAGTCCAAGCAGGCTGCTGACAACTCGGATTCAGACCATAACCCCCCATCGCCAAATGCCCATCAGAGCACCAGTCTATATTTGGCCGGACAGGCAAAACGGCCAGATGCACGAATGAGTCCCGATCAACCGCCAAATGGCGGCTATGGTTGGATTTGCACGCTGTGCGTTGCGCTCATAAATGCACATACCTGGGGCATCAACTCGTCCTATGGCGTTTTTCTCGCGCACTACCTTTCCACCGATGCATATCAAGGGGCAACATATTTGCAATATGCCTTCGTGGGTGGTCTGTCAATCTCCTGCGCTATGCTCGTGTCGCCACTGGCCACCTTGTCGACTCGTCATTTTGGAACCCACGCGACATTGTCTTTTGGAACCGCGCTCGAGGTCATCGGGTTGATCGGTGCGTCATTCGCCTATAACATATGGCACCTCTTCCTCAGCCAGGGGCTGGCTTTTGGCATCGGCATGGGTTTTCTCTTTGTCGGGTCCGTTGGCATCCCGCCACAGTGGTTTACTACAAAGCGATCACTCGCCAACGGCATCAGTGCCTCAGGGTCTGGTTTCGGAGGTCTGGTATACTCTCTGGCAGCTGGAGCCATGATCCGATCTATTGGAATCGCGTGGTGTTTTAGAGTGCTGGGGCTTTTGGCCTTTACTGTAAACGCCATCTGTATCGCGTTAATACGGGACCGCAACAAAATCATCGGTTCTCGGCATGCCCCGTTCGACATGAAGCTGTTCAAGAGACCGGAATATCTTCTACTTAACGGCTACGGCTTCTTCTCCATGCTCGGGTACATTGCCCTGGTCTTCTCCCTAGCCGATTACGGAAAAAAGGTTGGGTTGACCGCCTCGCAAGCATCCGTGCTCTCTGCCATTTTAAATTTGGGCCAGGGACTCGGGAGACCACCCATCGGATACTTCTCGGACACCATCGGGCGAATTAACATGGCTGGGCTAACCACCTTTCTTTGCGCTCTCTTGTGTTTCGTCGTCTGGATCTTCGCCAAAAGCTACGGCGTCTTGATCTTCTACGCACTCGTTGGGGGCACTGTGACGGGCACATTCTGGGCAACCGTTGGCCCGGTTGCTGTCGAGGTTGTAGGACTTCAAGACCTTCCTTCAGCTCTAAATCTCGAATGGTTAATCATCGTTTTGCCTTGTACGTTTAGCGAGCCGGTTGCTCTCGAGATTGTTGAGCACTCGGGAAATTACCTCGGCGCACAGCTAATGGTTGGCTTCATGTATCTTGCTGGGGCTTTATGTGTAATGTTGCTTCGGGGATGGAAAGTTGGCGAATTGAATGAGATTGCGAGAACAAAGGACCAAAACCCTGAGAATCACCACCATATGGACATGTCCGTGGGGTCTACGAACGAATTGGCGAGGGCAGCTGGAAGGCGTACCATACTTAGACATTTCTGGGAGTGGCGAAAGGTGTAAACTCCGCATTGGTTGACTCAATTCGAGATTATAAGCTGTGAAATGCCGGATTGTGCAGACCAACTGTTAAGAAGCTCTTGACAAGTGAATACGCGTTCCTGCTCCATGGGAATGGGTTGTCAAGATCAATAGAGACTAGCCACATATCTACAGTAGATTCAGGAGACAACTAAACAAGGAGGATACGCGTAAATCCTCTGTCAAACTCAACTACTACGTACACTGTCGACCCATTGAGGAGACACACATAAGTCAGGTCGGGATAATTACTGTCCGCCTGCGCCACCTCGGACAAAAGCTTAGATGCCGCAATGTTTGCTTACTCGATCTAGATCCAGAGGCTAAGATTTGCCACTCAGCGGTCGGATTGCGCGACATGATCCCTGCATGGAAGCTGTAAAAGTGGCGCAAAAAAGTTCCCTATGCAACAGTTAGTTTACGCTAAACCTTGGCATTGTCTCTTTTTAATTTAACATTGACGGGCTTTTGCTGACTCTTAGCAGACTCGGTTGCATCACGCTTATTTATTGTAGTGGAAGATGTAAATAAAAAGTAGTCATAGTGCTCTTTACCTAGCTGTATCAATACAACAACACCATTGGATCTTCGTTTCGTCAACATGAAACTTTCCGCTATCATCTCGAGTCTGCTCGTTTGCGGCCTAGGAGCTTCTGCTGTCCCACCAACCACCGCATTCCCTCTGAAAACTCCATCCCGACCTCTTCTTCAATGGACTCTTCCTCCTGTCATACCGCAGATGCGGCCTGCCTTCCAAGCCAAGATTGACTGGGATTTGGACAATGTCAGCAATCTGTTTTGATATAGTTGGGGCTTTCTCCTCTAACAATACTTACAGAACCATACCATTCAGACGCCATCTGGCCTTCGTGCTAGCTGGTGGAGTCGCGAGTATGTTTTCGGCCAGTAATCGAATTTTCAAATATCTGACTTCTCTTTTAGGGGCTACTTGTATGATACGACGGGCCGGCAGTTTGGCGAAATTCTTCGTGCAAACGATGACGGCGTTGTAACGTCTGGAACAGACCCGGGGACCAAATATCTTGAGCTCCGTAAGTTGATCTGAAACTAGTGAAGAAATAACACTCCTGTTGACAATTGCTCTTGTCTAGTCATTTCATATGTTGTAAAGCTAGATGATGGTCACTGGGCGTATGTGAAGCATACCGGCGGCGCTATTGTTCGCCAGTACCAGAATGGCATTGTGTAAGTCTTACGTTCCTTGATCAGTCTGATATGAGATTTTGTTTCCTTTGGCCTTTAACAATGTGGATACAGTCGAGTAGAAACGGATTCTAAAAAGTACACCTGGCTTAACCGAGTTGATTTCATTGCCCCTGGGACGTTTAACGGCACCGAGGTAATGACGGTCAATCACTACTTTCCCAATGTGAGTCGAGAAGAGGTTACCCATTCGATCAAGGCTGACATGCTTGTCATTTGCAGTCTAACAGCTTGCCAAATGGGTTACCGAAGAAAGATAACCGGTAGGTACAGCAAGGGGTATCATGCCTGATCTGGTATTATTAGACTGGGAGAAGTAGGGCGGGAAGTTTTGTTAGCTTTCCGAATTTCTTACTAGAAAGGAGGCTTCAATTCATTGATAGATAGATTAAATCAAGAATCAACTGCAAATTAAACGCGATCCATAGATGCCAATCGTGACATTGTTGTTAACATTCTGAATGCGGATGATAGGCCGTCGATTCCAGCTAATGTACGCCGGTTTGAGACTTTATATGTCGATGTTGACTGCGTCTTGTACCAAGCTTGGTTGAGCCACGGGGTTACGGCTCGTGATCCGAACCGCTCCGCTCCGAGCTATGTCGCCATAGGGGCGGAATGCATCGGGATTACCAGCATTATCGAAACCGAGAAGCCAAGGTGCTGGGCCGTGACTTGGTTCATTGACATTGTGGTCGACTTTCCAGGGATCTTATAGCCACTCCATCGCGAGATTTTTGTTGATAGCCTTGTTGTGCGCGTTATTGGGATTGTGGATACCCAACCTAACCATAACTTTTGCAAAACCTCTTTCAAGTGAGGCTTCATCTTCCCCAAGAGTCCCGAAGATAACATTAAAGGCAATATGTCGGTTTGCACAAAAGACGAGTCCCACAGCAACCAGAGGGACCTGTATCAACATTGAAGAAGAAGGCGGCCTTCCAGTCAGCTAGCTGATTGAGACGCCCGCCAACGACGCCCCCAAGCTCTGTTCCGCAGCCCATGGCAATGTTGCTGACGTCTTGGACGACACCTCGCTCCTCCACCGGCGCCGGCGATGGCCCGACCGAGTATAACGACGTACGCGGTGCCACACCAAGAGAGGTTGTTGAATGAGGTGAAGGAGGTCGCAATGGTGACGCAAAGGGTTGCAACAATGGTCGAATCGATAGACGAGATGACAATCCATAACTGAACCTCTCTCACAACGGTATAGAGGAACCATACCCAAAGCAGTGAGGACGACGATGATCTTGAGTTGGACCATGTCAATCCCTTGTAACCTATTCAGTCGCCAGAATGGGCTTCGGCAGGTGAACGAACCTAGATACTACTTAACACAACAGGAAGACGATTGCTTGAGAGCTCCTCAAAGTCGGACGACTGTGCGGGGTGTGGAGGTCCGATACATGTATGGACATCCTCACTTATCACGGGCGTCTGCTCTGTTGTACCCCGTGCCTGGCGGCCTTGTGCCCTCAGTATCGCGGCTCAGGGTTATAAACCGTCTTTGCAGAGGGTATTCAAAAGCTGGGACGAGCAAAAGTATAAATTCTCTCGTCACACCAGCCACTCTCGGCCCTTCAACGCCCGGACGAGGTCAACTGGGGTAAATAAGGTAGTCATGTATGTTCATGTGCTGTCATTACCTACCGGGACACCGTTCCATGACAATTGGAAACCCCGGTGTGACGAGGTTCAGGCGAGTTCGCACGGGCATTGGCGAGGTCAATGTAATGGCACCATCTTGTGACGTGGTCTGGGTGGCAACAGACTTGAGTCCATGTCGGCAGACTAGGCAACTAGACTTTACATAAAGGCGGCAACCGCCACAAGAGACTATTGTCGCATTTCAAGACCGTTTTCCAGCCCGACCGACATCTGGTCCGACCTACTCAGTTCCTGCCATGGGTGCTAGGATCATCCCGTCTCATCGACAAAGACGCCACCAACACGACCACAGCTGCTAGCTCAACGGCGGCTTCCAAGTCCACCACAATCTTTGAGGCTGGAGGCGCGCGATATATCGCCATAGATGCCTTCGATATACGTAAGGCTAGTTGTTTTATTCTTTGCTTGCTAGGCACCGGAACTAACTTGCGTCTATCTAGTTCGAGCCCAGCGTTGATATTCCTCTGGAGCCTTCACTGGTGACCGTTGTCTGCAACCGGAAGGACGTACCGCTAAACAAGGGCTGGCTCAGGGTCTATCTCGATGCCCCCCCCCCCCCCGTCACGGGCAGACCATTCCACCAGATTGTCGAGATGACTTGAAAGAGTTTGGTAACCAGTGGACGAATATTAAAGTTATAAAGTAGGTGGTCCAGCGCTGGCTCCTGGTTCGTAACTGTATGCCAATAAAGTGCTGCAAAGCGTCTGCCGCTTGTATGATGATGAGCAGGGAGCAATCCTATCCACAATGAAACCAAATTTAGGACCGTAAGTATCTTCCCGGGGCTTCATGCTCTCATGTTTCTCATCTGACGCTTCCTAAAGCTCTGCTTTGACAAAGTTTCAGCAGCTGCGAGTTGCCGGTGTCTCATATGGCTGCCTTGCCATTGCTGTTCCACCTCAAGCACCGACGTCCGCAACCGACTCGCCACCACAACTCCGCGTTGCTGTCAAGGATTGTAAAGGCATGAAGACATCCATTTGCAACCGTGCCTACTACGAGATGAGCTATCCGGCGCCTTTTACAGCCCAAGTAGTTCAGGCGCTCGTAAAGGACGGGGCTCATGTCTTGGGTTTGACCAAGCTAAGCTCGATGGTGGCTCGAGAGGAACCCATGGACGCTGTCGACTGCCCAACAGCCTTCAACCCTCACGGAGACGGGTATCAGTCTCCTGCGGGTAGTAGCAGCGGAAGTGCTGCTGCCCTGGCGGCCTACGACTGGCTTGACTGCGCTCTTGGTACTGACACCAGCGGAAGCGGCCGTCGACCAGCAATGGCGAATGGTGTTTGGCAATTCCGGCCCTTTCACGATTCCATTTCATTGAGTGGTCTTTGCAAGACGTATGCCAAATTCGACACACACTCTGTTTTTGCTAGAAGCCTCGACATCCTGGAACGCGTCATTACAACTTGGATACCACCTCCTCCCATAGCGCTATCTAAGTCACAAAGCAGATCATATCGTCTCATCTATTCGGAGGACTACATGTCAGAGGCAAACACAGACCAGATGAAATTAATTGACGCTTTTATCAAGGACGCAGAGGATATGCTTCCAGCCACTGTTACCCAATTCTCTATCCGAGATTCTTGGAAGCAGTCACATCCTCCCGATACTTGTGACGATATTGAAGAGTATCTGGATGATGTTACACGTAAAACATACTATAACGAATTCTATCACTCCACGGACGACTTTAGAAAGTTGTACTCCGGCAAACACCAAGGTCGGCCGCCATACGTGATTCCTTTCGTTCAACGCAGGTGGGCTCAAGGCGCTACGATGTCCACTGGCCAACACGAGGAGGGTACACGACGGCTACTTGTGTACCAGACATGGTTGCATGAGCAGCTATTTGGAGACAAAAACGTTGAGACGTTCATGCTACTTCCTGTCGCCAACACCAAGCCTGTCTATCGTGATGAGGTGTTGCCCTCCCCCGAGAAGCAATCCGCCTTGGATCAACTCTTTATTCCACCAATCCTGGGCGCCTCCGATATTGTTATCCCCAATGGAGAAATACCTTACCACTCAAAGATAAGTCACCAGACCGAGTTTCCTCCCGTGTTTGCGAATCTTGTTGGCGCGCCAAAGCGGGACTTTGAACTTTTGCGGGCCGTCGAAATCGTCTTAGGCAAGTCAGGACGTGCCAACGTAGTTGCAACTGGTCCAAGAATATTTTCGTAATAAAAAATAATTCATTGTCATATTTTTCATAAGTGTTTTGCGTTAGGTTAGCAGTAGTCGGTTGGCACGGCATTGATCCCAGCCCCGATTAACACGCAGCTCCTCAAGGCGCTTGGCTTTAGCCAATAACCCGCTTACATGTACACATTACGGTTACACCGGCTGCTCGGCTCTTCCGGCATATACTGCTCAGCGTGTGAAGACACAAGAGGAGAAACTATGGCTTCAATATTTCTTCCTCAGTATATTATCCAGGTCATGGTTGGTACAAATAGTAGCTGTCTCTCTGTGACTAAGCGGCTTACCTATAAAACAACAAACTAAATTTAGTACCCTCGGCATCCGGTATACTAATTTCATTGGGGAGGTTTGGCAATTCGGCCATTACTTTTTCGCCGAGGGCGAGGGTTTGCCAAAAAGAACCGGCAAAATCTGTGCATCGTAGTTCCGACTCAACTCCGCACCGACTGTATACGCTGAAGCGCGCGCATAGAGGCATAAGTATAAAGTCTTGCCCAGATTCACATTGGAAAGAAATTATAATTGAGCATTATTCAACGTTTTATTACTATTATACTATAGTTCCCAAGACAAAATCACGATGACGCCGCCTCTGATTACTCTCGAGGAGCACTGGTACTCTAAGGCTGTGTTCGACTCCTTCGACAATGCCTTGAAGAAGGGCATCGAAAAATGGCCAGGAGCAGTAGAGAGACTACTGGACGCTGGTGATCTACGCCTAAAGGAAATGGACCTTGGCAAGGTGTCTCTGCAAATCATCTCGCACTGCGCCGCTGAAGATCCCTCACCCGAAGTGTGCCGAGCTGGTAATGACCAGCTGGCACAAGAGATTGCAAAATCTCATGAAAGATCGACTCGTTTTGCAGGCTTTGCTGTTCTGCCCATGCGTGACCCTGAAGCCGCCGCCAAAGAGCTTGAGCGAGCTGTCAAAAAGCTTGGTTTCGTTGGTGCGTTGGTCGATCACAAGACGGGCCATGGCAACGGATTCTGTGAAGGCAACGAGTACGATGTTCTTTGGCGCAAAGCCGAGCAGCTCGCAGTGCCCATCTATCTCCACCCCTCCTGGCCCACGGAGAAACAATTTCAGCAAGCCTATGCAGGCAACTACTCGCCGACCGCCGCAGGAACTATCGGTGGTGCCATGTTCAACTGGCATAGCGAAGTTGGTCACCATGTCCTTCGATTGTACGCTGCAGGCGTGTTTGACAAGTTTCCCAAACTCAAGATTATTATCGGCCACTTTGGAGAAATGATTCCCTACATGCTGGACAGGATTCTCGAGCAGGACCATCGTCTAGGTAAAACGGGCCGAACCTTCTCAGAGGTATATGATGAGAACATCTGGATCACGACCTCTGGCGTGTGGAGCCTGGATCCCATGCGTTGCATTCTAGCAAATACCAAGATTGACCATATCCTATACAGCGTGGACTACCCATTTACTATGAATGAAAGAGGCTTGGAGTGGTTCCAAGAGTTGGAAAAGAGTGGGTTGTTGTCGGAGGAGGACTTGGCCTTGATCGCGTACAAGAACTGCGAAAAGCTCCTAGGCGTCAAGGCACCCACAAAGGATTAGGAATAGATTGAAGCAAATGTAGTGTTGATAAGAGCTGAGTAGATAGATACGGATGAAGCCGTTCCGCGAATTAGAAGCTATATTACAGAAACAACTCGTACGCACGTAGCCTGTTTGATAATAGTCACAAAACATTATCCCATGTGAGTGATAACGGAGGTAGACTGTCTCAGTCTTAAATGTTCGCTTCCTGCAAGATTGCGCGAGAATCAGTGTTCTCATTACCTAAGATAGCGTCTTATCAAGTTATCGCATAACGGGGATCTCATGCTATTCTTCGATTGACTCGTGAGGAAGTGGGTATAGCGGCAATACTTGCATTATCTGCCAATCAATTATTAGTAACTGACTCGGATTTCTATCTTATAGACTGACTTGTACACTATAACCCCTGTTTGATTAACCACCCGTGACCTCACAGGGGGGTATACAGCCAATTAAGAGAAAAAAGGTGGGTAAAATTAATACCTGATTTCTTGAAGAAAAAGTAAGATTACTGGTGTACTCTTACTAATCCCTGCTAAGTTACTTAACAGGCAGTCACCATCTAGCAGCTGGATTGCTGATATAGCTAGGGGACCCTGCTCTATTAACCTTGTTTGGTCACGGGTGGTTAATCAAACAGGGGTTATAGTGTATATTTTGGATTAGATTATTTGTGGCTACTTGTAAGTTGCTAGTTCCAATCAACTGCTAGTAACTGACTCAGATTTATATCTTATAGACTGACTTGTATGTTTTGAATTAGATTATTTGTGGCTACTTGTAAGCTGCTAGCTCCAATCAAGTACTAGTAACTGACTCAGATTCCTATTTGATAAACTGACTCGTATATTATTAATTATATTATTTGTGGCTACTCGCAAGCTGCTGGTTCCAATCAATTGCTAGTAAATGACTCAAATTCCTATCTTATAGACTGACTCGTATATTTTTAATTAGAGTTTGAGGCTACTCCCAGGCTGCTAGGTCCGCCGGCCAAGATATCAGTAAAAGCAATAATATTAAATTTTAAGTTTTGTAATTTTAAAAAAACCTTGGCGTTTATGCGAAGGTTATTTTACTAGTATATTTAAAGGTCTTATAGTCCGCAATTACAAATCCTAATTCTTACAGCTATCTCGCTTTTTTAAAAATAAGAAAAAACCTGCGTTTTTAATCGTTGATTAAATTTACATTAAATAAGACAAACCCAATATGAAGTTTCTTACTCTTACCGCTTTTACCGGACTAGCTCTTGCGGGACTAGCTAAGAAGAGAGAGGACGATAGCCCTTGGATTTGGGGTCAAACAGAACCAGAAGAAATTAATCTCCTCAATATGGTAATACCTCGTCTTTCTGTAAAATTACTATTTACAGTAAAATACTAACTATATTTATAACTAAGACCGTTGTTACGACCCAGTCACAAGCTGCAGCGTAGGTCGCAGGTTGGGCCGGCTGCATGAGCCACGGGACGGCGCAGGCACAGCGGGTGACGGATTAATGGTCGGAACGGGCCGCCAATAGGGGAGAGTTCACTGACTGTTCAGTGAACTCCAGACGAACCAGTAGCACGCATGTAACCATAGTTCACCAGGACTTCAGTGAACAACAGGTGAACGCCGTAGTATATAGGGACCCCTAAATTCGCTTCATAGATAGACTCTAGCTCCTTAGCTTTCAACACCGATCATTACATTGAATAAGCTTCGCTTACAACTCTTTAACTCTGATCACCTGGTTACGGTCTACAACCTATTACCAACGTAACACCCAACTGCTCAGATTGACTGCCCTAGTGGCTCTGCCAACATAAACTACGACTAGTTTATCCCTTAGGAACCTTAGCCGTTACACGTTGAAAGCTCTTGTTCAGACTACTACCGCGTCACTCTGAGCAATACCTGATAACTGTCAATATGGCACCACGCGAGACTACCACCGCATCTGGATCAAATGAAACCCAAGAAGGACCAACAACCATCTCTGCTCACAAGATGCTTGCTAAGATCATACGCCTTCGGGAACGGGTCCAACAGATAGAAGAAGAACGGCAGGAACAAGCCACAACTACTGCCACAATTAAAAAGGACTTGGGAGAAATCCTTAGACCCAGGGCACCAGGACCGTATAACAGATCCCCAGGTGCGCTTCAAGGATTCCTCACTCAACTCAGGGCTTACCACCAACAATTCCCGAACAAAATAGAAAAATCCTCTGTCAAGGTACTACACGCAGGAGGATATATGACGGGAGTGGCACTCACATGGTTTAAACCCATTATGAGGGACTACCTTAATAAAGAAAAAGACAACCGCGAAAAAGAAACCAACACCATTTTCAAAAGTTACGATGAGTTTAAAAAAGCCATCAAGAAAGCCTTTAGAACAGTTGATAAAGCTAGAGCTGCTGAGTACTACATCGACGGGCTTAAGCAGAAGGGATCAGTATCCGATTATGCCGCTCGCTTCCGATAACTCGCATCTCAGCTTGACTGGGAGGACGAACCTCTTATGTCAGCTTTCTATAAAGGACTTAAGGAAGAAGTCAAAGATGAACTCTACAGAGAGAACAGACCAGACAACTTATCGGATTACATCGCTATGGCGGTACGAATCAATGACAGATAGTATCAGCGACGTATATAGAAGAAACAGGGTAAAGGAACCTAGAACCCTACCAAAGGAAAGAGTTACCAAGCCAATCAACGCAGAAAGCGTGACGAACCTATTGCCTATGGTCACACTCTTAACCCTAGACGAATAGAGCTTGACGCTACCAAGAAAGACAACAAAAAGGAAAAGAAATGCTACAACTACGGAAAACCAGGACATTTCGCCAATAAATGCAAGAAACCCAGGAAAGAATAGAAGCCAGTACTAGAAGGAGGTAAGAAACAACTCAATTCTACTAACCAACAGAAAATCAAAGTTACCGAATCAGAGGTGGAATATAAGAACCTCAACTAGACCTTCTGCTATGACGATAACTGCTACGTTCATATAAGCAGTAAACAAGAAAGAGGATGGTTTCCAAAAGAACCAAGAAAACCAAAGAAGAAAATTATGAACTTCATGGGAAACGGACTACAAGTAGCCTAACAACTGGTACAAGAAGACCTAGACGAACAATCAATGGAAAAGAGAACGCTTACAATAACGGGACGAAAGGAACTCCATGAACCAAAATCGCCAAAATATTTGGACGAAGACTCGCACCAAGAAATTCTCGATTAGGTGCGACAATAAGCAAAAGCAAGGAAGATTCGAAGGGAATAACAATATAGGGAGGAGCAAGACGCACAAATCCTCACCACCTTCAACGAACCGAAAGATAGAGTAAGGGAAATAAGCGTCGATAATAACAACGTAATCCTAGATACTCTAGAAGCGTCCAAAGATGAACAAAACGAGGAAGAAACGCCTACAAGGCTGACAACCACACAAGAACAAGCTGTACAGCGATATTTCCCCGCACCAACAGGAAAATATTTCGCAATTCCTATTCTAGCAGTGGACACCACCACGGCAATAAAAAACCAGATACTATGGTTTCCAGAAGGAGAAAAGGAAGACGATCCTAGACTCTCACCAAGACACGCGGAACACACACGTTTAGCATGGGCATCATACGCGTTTGCAATATGCCAGGCACACTTTTAAACCAAGGCACAACTAGATGTATTTCCAATCAGGATGAAAGGATATCCGATCAAAGCACTATACTTCAGATAGGAACTCCTAGAATGGAGAGTGAAGATAATTAATAACGATTAAACGATGATCTTAGAACCCGATTTAAACACACCCATTAAATGCCGAGCTTATACAAATCCTACGGACGTATATGAATCAGACACATGCCAGTTACATATATATACAAAGAACAGGCAGTGGCATCAGTATGTGTATAAGGGAAAGATCCCAACACACCGAAGAGAGCTACTACTCAAATCACCTCGATGTGAAACAAAAGACCACATGGAATGCCCACTACCAAATTGCTCAGAATATATAGTAGATAAGGCCAGAGAATGGCACAAGTGGCAATGTGGAACACCAGCAGCATACAAACAGACATAGCAAGCATTAGACATACTTGAACAGAAAGACCCCAGGGGAACCACAGAATCAATATACTACAATAAACAAAATCTGGATAAGTGGTACAACGAACGGAAGTTCAACCCCAGATACAACAGGAAATATGCGGTAAACTGCGACAACCCAAGATGCGAAAAACACGGAGAAATGAAAAACCAAATTTACAATCGCCTATGTCAAATGTTTAACGATAGGTTTTGCTTTAAGCACCCACAAAATAGAACTAGACCTACAGAATGGTACCAAGAAATGAAACAACAAATCGCAGAAGAATCTATTCCAGAAAACTCAAAAAACAAGGCACGCTATCTATAAAAGGGCTACAAGCTGGCATGAAGAGAAAGACGCTAATAACCCTCAACGCAACCAAAAGCGGACAAAGCGATAAGATGGTATTAAACGCCGAAGTCATAGGACATCGCGTTCGCATACTTATGGACAGTGGCGCGATGGGTAATTATATCTCACCCAGAGTTATGAATTGTTACCAACTACCGTGGAAACACAAAAAGGCACCATACAAGTTAACTGATATTAAAGGAAAACTTTTTGCCTATAATGACGGAATTATTAACCAAGAGACTAATCATCTCGAAGTACAGATTCAAGGTCATTTAGAAGTGATTCAACTCAATGTTATGGACGTATCGGAACACGACCTAGTGTTAGGGTACCCATGGTTATGGGAGAGTAACCCACTGATCAACTAGAGGACAGGCCAACTAAAGTGGAACAAGACTTCAGGCCAACAGAATCAGCAGAATTCGGAAGAAAGAACGAAATTTCGTCATAACTTAGCTCATGAACAGAGTTCTGAAGAAAAAAAACCTTCAAGCAAGTTATCCAAGGACCAACAACAACAAACAAGCGGCAGAAAAGCAGTCAAAATAATTAGATCCACCGTAATAACCTCGACAGCGCTACAAACCGGGATACGAACAACAATAAGCAACAAGAAGACAAAAGCCAAGATCCGAAAGGTTATTGCCACCTTAAGGAAAGACCTCGCGAACACAAACAAGAAACTCGAAGGAGAAAAGAGGAACGAGAACAATAAAGACGACAAAAGCCCAATAATAAAAGAAGAAAAACTCAAGAATATCCCTAAGGAATACCGGAAATACGAAAAATTATTCGCAGAAGAATTAGAAACCGGATTACCCGAACACAGTTAATAGGATCATAAAATCGAATTAGCAGATGGAAAGTCAACAATATTCCACAAGATCTACAACTTAAACGCAAAAGAACTCGAAACGTTACGAGAATACATCGATGAGATGCTAGTAAAAGGCTATATCAGAGCATCGACATCAGAAGCTGGATACCCAGTTATGTTTGTTCCAAAGAAAAACGGAAAATTGCGGTTAGTAGTGGATTATCGGCGATTAAACGCGATTACCATGAAAGACAGAACACCGTTGCCACTAATATCGGAACTACGGGACCGATTGCATGGTATGAATTGGTTTACCGCGGTAGACCTAAAAGGAGCATACAACTTGATTCGAATAAAGAAGGGTCACGAATGGATGACAGCCTTCAGAACGAAGTTCAGACTATTCGAATATTTGGTAATACCAATGGGGCTCACCAATACACCAGCAACATTCCAGAGAATAATTAACAGTGTACTACGAGAATATTTGGATAACTTCGTGGTAGTATATCTCGATAATATACTAATCTTCTCGAAAACCCTAGAAGACCACAAGGAACACGTACACACGGTACTAAGAACACTACAAGACGCTAAACTATTGCTTAAACCAGCAAAATGTAAGTTCTATACACAGGAAGTAGACTTCCTAGGACACACAATACAACCAAACAAGATACAAATAGAAAAAACAAAGATTAAGGCAGTAAGGAACTGGCCAACACCAAAGAATATTAAGGATATATAAAGCTTTAAAGGCTTTACGAACTATTACAGGAGATTCATCAAGAGCTACAGCGAAATCGCAGTACCCTTAGATGAACTCACCAAAAAGGATAAGCAGTGGGACTAGAATAATAAGGCGTAATATGCCTTTAATAAGATCAAAGAACTCATCACATCCGAACTTGTTTTGAGAACCTTTAACCTAGAAAAGAAAACGGAATTAGAAACCGACTTATCAGACTTTGCTCTAGGAGCACAAGTTAGACAAAGAGATAATAACAGAAAACTACACCTTATTACGTTTTACTTAAAGAAACTTTATGGAGCAGAACTCAACTACCCCATTTACAACAAAGAATTCCTAGTAATTATTAATGCTTTTAAGGAATTTAGACATTATCTTATAGGAAGCAAACACAAAGTTAAGGTGTATACCGATCATAAGAACATCTCTCATTTTACGACGACGCAATAATTGAATAGACGACAAATTCGATGGGCCGAATATCTTTCAGAATTCGACTACGAAATCATCCATCAAAAAGGATCCGAGAACGGACGAGCAGACGCTCTAAGTCAAAGAAGCGACTACAATACAAGAGTACCTACAGCAACAGGACAACTCCTTAAGATCAATAAAAATAGCAATTTCCAGCAGAGACAACTAAATGCCATATTAAAAGTACAAAAAGAAGACCTAGTATACGGCAAAATACACCAATAGGTAATAGACAATATCCAACACATTAGAGACGTACCGATGGGATGCACATGCTACCCAGGAGGAGTACTAATGTATGGAGAAAAAATCTGGATACCACCAGACTTACAAGAAGAATACATCAAAGAAATGCATGAACACCCAGTTTACGGACATCAAGGAATCCGCAAAACACTGGATAAGATACGACGACAATACGATTTCTCAGGAATCAAGAAAGTGGTCAAAAAGGTTATCAACAAATGTATACAATGCGGAAAAAGTAAGGCTTCACAACATAAGCCATACGGAGAATTGCAACCATTACCAATACTAACACGACCATGGGAATCAATAGCTTTCGATCATATTACGAAGCTACCAATGTCGAAAGAACCAATAACCAATGTGGAATATAACAGCATATTCGTGGTCACGGATAGACTCACAAAGTATGGATACTTTCTACCGTACAAAGAAGCAAGCAATGCAGAAGAACTTACATATGTGTTCTTACGAACAATAGCAAGCAACCATGGACTGCCAGAAGAAATCATATCGGACAAAGGAAGTACATTTACTTCTAAGTTTTAGCAAGCACTTATGGCACAACTTAGAACAAATCACAAGTTAAGCACTATATATCATCCACAGACAGATGGACAGACGGAAAGATTGAACCAGACGCTTAAACAGTATCTGCGATACTACATCAACCATCAACAGGACGATTGGGTTAAATAGTTACCTACAGCGCAATTAGCTTACAATAGCTTAATATCGGAATCGACAAAGCAAACACCAGCCTACGCCAATTACAGATTTAATCCCGAAGTATTTCAAATACAACGTGAAGGACCGCAAGCAAAACAAGCGATGCTACAAGCAGATGAACTAAAAAAATTACACGAAGAAATACGACACGAACTAGAATTCGTACGAAAAAGAATGGCACAATACTATAATCAGAAAAGATTAAAGGGACTAATCTTTGGGGAGGGAGACATGGTCTACCTACTCCAACGAAACATCAAAACAACGCGACCAAGCGACAAATTAGATTACAAAAAATTAGGACTATTCGCCATTAAAAAACGAATATCAACAAACAACTATGAACTTTCGTTACCAAAGACTATGAGAAATCATCCTATAGTACACATTTCACTCCTTGAAAAGGCACCAAGCAACGCACCAGCAGAAAAAGACATCGAAGTCATAAACAAAACAAAATACGAAGTGGAACGGATCCTAGACATGAGAACAAAGAACAAAACACGCTAATATCTTATTAAATAGAAAAACTATGGAGACGAGGAAAACATATGGGAACCTACAGAACACCTAAAGAATTGCCAGCACCTGCTACGGCAGTATCACCAGCAGCTTGCGACTCAGCGCTAAGCAAAGCGCCCCAGTCCAAAACATCAAAGGCACCCCAGTCTTAAGCATCTTGAACAGCCTCAGACTCTTGCCGTTGAACCTGCTCTAATTCACGCTTCCGAGCCTCCTCCTCCTCCTTCTTTCGATCCGCATCCTCTATCTCCTCCAGAGAAGCGAAGTCACGACGAGCCATTTCCAGACCCTTCTCACGCAAATGACGACGCATGCGCCAAAGACGCATCAAATGATTTAAGGCCTTATCTATTTCCAGCTAAGCCTTACAACGCCTCTCGATTAACAGTTCCTCCGTTAATTCCTCCTCCTTCTCGAGCCGACAAAGTTCCTCGGTGATACGGTTTACTAGAACACGTCAGCAGTACACACTACGGCAGGAAGACCCCGCACGTACGGTTCGCCATGGGAGTGCGAGAACTATCACAAGAACGACCCAGAGAATAACAAAGAGCGCAACGACCGATGCTCTCAACAACCCAACAAGAACTCTTCTTTTCGAAACAACGACTACAGGGCGATACCTCGAAACCCTGTTCACAAATGAAGGCGGCGGTCGCAACGCGATTGGTGGTAGAACGGGATCTCTTAGGTTTATCCACACGGTTAGACATGGTGAAGGAAGGACATTGCGAGGAAGCAGAACACTTACGACCAATAGAAGAAAGGGCGAACAGGACTATTTATGAAACAAGGCTTAGGTCTTGAGGGCAAGACCATGGGAGAGGGGACATCGTGTTACGACCCAGTCACAAGCTGCAGCGTAGGTCGCAGGTTAGGCCGGCTGTATAAGCCACGGGACAGCGCAGGCACAGCAGGTGACGGATTAATAGTCGGAACGGGCCGCCAATAGGGGAGAGTTCACTGACTGTTCAGTGAACTCCAGACGAACTAGTAGCACGCATGTAACTATAGTTTACCAGGACTTTAGTGAACAACGGGTGAACGCCGTAGTATATAGGGACCCCCAAATTCGCTTCATAGATAGACTCTAGCTCCTTAGCTTTCAACACCGATCATTACATTGAATAAGCTTCGCTTACAACTCTTTGACTCTGATCACCTGGTTACGGTCTACGACCTATTACCAACGTAACACCCAACTGCTCAGATTGACTGCCCTAGTGGCTCTGCCAACATAAACTACGACTAGTTTATCCCTTGGGAACCTTAGCCGTTACAACCGTACAACAAGCTATAACGGTTGCTGCTGATATGAAGCAAATATACAAGTCTTGCAAATATAAGGTAAAGTAGTATATTATATAATTAGAGAAATAAATATACTAACTAGAATATAGAACGCAGTAAGTCTATTTTATAAACTTTACTATATATCAGAAATTGCTTACACTATTTGCTTATAAGTGGAACGAAACAGTAAGTATATTTCCTGGTTTTTATATATAATTATAACTTAACTAAGCTAATATACTGGATTATAGTTTCACGGGGTAAGTAACCTGGACAGCTATAAAATAAGCTTAGCAAATATCTGCAAGGTACTAATTATCTGCCTAATATAGGCGAATGACGAGGTAAGTCGCTAACCTTCGTACTATTACTAAACAAAAATAACTAGACGCTAAGTTATACTAACCTATTGGTCTGATAAGACATTTTATTATGTAGGTTAACGTACTATTAATCTTAGAAATTAAAATAGGAAATATTATACTAATAATATAACGTTTAAAAAAATAGCCAACTGGTATTTATTGTTCTCAGGGAAAGCCAGTAAGTAGCTTTTCGTTTAATAAGTTTTATAATTTATTCTTACTAATATTTATAGTCTAAGGAAGCTCCCGAGGATGTACTTATCCCTACTTGCGAGATATATAACGGTGTAAGTTATATCTACCTTTATATATTTAGTTGGCTAGAGTAATATACTAATATATATATATACTTTAAGTGTGGAACTTGTAAATTATCTGAAACGAACAGAAATATAAAAAGATTTCTCGAAGAAAAGGTAAGCTCTTCCTACTAACAAGTAAATTAGTATTTGTCTAAAATTAGGGGATAATAGGAAGATTTGTATTGTGACTTGGCTTAAGCTAGCTAAAGTGCAAAGTAATTGCAAGTATGTGCGCCGACTACGCACTATATCCTGGTCTAAGGTGCAGTTAGCTCCACGCGAACTATTATGTATTACTAGGGAAGTACTAGTATTTATTTAGCTTATATCTCGCACTTGTAAAAGGGTGAGGCAAATCTTGCTTAAATAATATTATCCCTATTTTCAATACTACCTAGCTGTCTTTTACCCTATTATTCAGGCTTACTAGTTCTATTATTTTCCCTTGATATAGCTTTTAGTTTTTACGTAAAGGTTATAAAATGAAAAACCGCAAATACCTATTAAGTTGCCAAGGCAAGGGACTTAGCAACTAAATAGTAAGCCTAAAAGGTAAAGTCTGTGGCCTTATAATTTAACTTCTTAGAAGATAATATAGGTTTAATTTATAGGGTTATAAAAATATAAAGGCCTTATTGGGCTAACTAGGGTATTTAAATAAATAAATATATTATAATCAAGGTTAAAAAAGTAACCTTAATTCCGGGAATTACACCCTTGGTAAGTCTTGGCGTCAACAAAGTTTCCAATCGCACTGCTTCGCAAGGTAGGCGGAGTCAAGAGGTATTACAGCTAAAGGTGTGGGCCCAAAAGGCAAAAGTTCCATCTCCACCTTAAGGTTGCAACCTGATGTTCTATTACATGCCCCTGTGGCAATAGTTCACAGCAGCCCAGCGGGGTTAGAGGTTTGAAGGACTCGTATTGTGCCTTATTATACGCTGGCAGTCTGAGTCGGTAATAGATACAAAAAGTAGTGACAGGCCCTCCAGCTCTGCCATCAGCACTGAAAAGGCCACCTTGAGCTCAGTACTACATACCACTACATACCATGCTCTATCTCGCAGCAGTGGCCGCTTTCATAGCTGTACTGTCCGTAGTGGGCGCGTCGCCAGTCGGCTCAACTTATAACAATACCGCCTCACATCATGGTTCAAAGTGCCACTACCTCCCAGGTGACGCACAGTGGCCTAGCCACACGGCTTGGCACAAACTGAACCAAACACTAGGAGGTAGGCTTATTCGCGGAGTTCCTTTAGGCCAAAACTGCCACGAACCCAAGATAAATAGCAGAGAATGCTCCAAAATTCGGAGCGAGTGGACGCTGCTAGAGCCGTTGTAAGTCATGCCGAAATATAATTCGTGGAACTACTCTTATAGTATATATATGTGTTTTTCTCTCTATATACGACCACTAATACCTATCCAGTGTAAATGACCCCGTCAATATCATGTCTCCTTACTGGAACAATAACTCCTGCAGCCCGTTCCTAGGTCCGGAAATGCCCTGCACCTTGGGCAATCTCGCGTCCTACGCTATCGATATTAGGTGCGCTGAGGATGCCATTACAGGCATCCGGTTCGCAGAGGACAATAATATACGTCTCAGCATCAAGAATACGGGACACGACTTTCTAGGACGCTCCTCCGGTGGGGGATCGCTGGCACTGTGGATGCACAATCTAAAGCAAGTGGAATTTTTCGACTACGCCAGTCCGCTCTACACCGGGCCGGCTGTCCGCGTGGGCGCCGGCGTCGAGTACTCGGAAGTGTACATGGCAGCCAGCGCTCGCGGATATCGAGTCGTCGGTGGCTCTTGTCCCACCGTTGGACTGGCTGGTGGTTTTAGCCAGGGCGGTGGCCATGGGCCCCTTGGTGCGGCATACGGCCTCGCTGCTGACCAGGTCCTGGAATGGGAGGTCGTGACGGCCTCGGGCGAGCATCTGGCGCTCGCTGGCCATGGTGAGCACGCGGACCTTTTCTGGGCGTTGAGTGGCGGTGGAGGCGGCAACTTTGCCGTGGTTCTCTCCATGACGGTCCGGGCACACGCCGACGGTCCTGTAGCCGGCGCCGGCTTCTCCTTTACCAACCCCGGTAACGACACGGTGTTCTGGGGCGGCATCACGGCGTGGCTACGGCACTTGCTCGTCTTGCATACTTTTCATAGGGGCATCACCACCGTCTTTGCAATCACGGCCAAGTCGTTTGCGCTTGAGTTTGCCACACTACCTGACACAAACACAACAGACACTATTAACGCTGCCATGGCACCATTCGTCACCCAGCTCTCCGACCTCAATATCTCGTTGGCGGGCAGCTACCAGAGCAATGTCCATAAAGACTTTGCCGAGCATTACAGCCACTGGGCCACGCAGACCTACGCCAGCAATATCACACTCGGCGGCCGCCTCATCCCGCGTTCTGTAGTGCAGGATGAGGTTTCGGGGCTCCCCGCGCTTGTTAATACTTTCCGCGACATCGCCCACAGAGGCGCGGTTATCTTGTCTGTCGCTGCCAACGTCACCAATGTGAACCATATCCACAACGCTGTTTTGCCCTCCTGGCGTGACTCGCTCTTCACCACAACATTTGCGAGATCGCTGCCCCAGGAGTCCACATGGGATGCTATCCTCGCAGACTACAGGCAGCTCAACGCGTGGCAGGAGGACCTCCGCGTTATCACGCCTGGAGCAGGGACGTATATGAATGAGGCGACGTGGGATAACCCGCATTGGAAGGAGGATTATTTCGGCTCGAATTACAACGAGTTGTTGGCAGTCAAGACCAAGTATGATCCAAGGCACGTGTTTTGGGCCAATGCCGCCGTTGGGAGCGACGAGTATTGGAAGGCTACCAAGGATCGGAGGTTGTGCCGTATTTGATCTCGCCTGTAGAACTCCGTATTCGCCGTGAGCACAATACGCAGCCTAGATCGATATCGGCAGGCTGGCGTGCTTGCTATGTAATGCTGGACTCCTTGCGAGTCCACGAGAATGAATGAATTCTGCACATCTCATGCCACCTACACTCCCTACACAAGATGTTTGCGGTCAATTTGATGCAAATGAAGCTTCTTTTATTACTACACTATGTAGGACGCTTCGAGGGATCGTCTAGCAGGCTGGTAATTATATAGCTTGCACGTTCCATTGCCTTACATAACTTTGTTACATATGCCGGCCGGCCCGAGACCGCAAATCGGGCATGTTTCTCCCACACATTACAATGAACATAGACACCACGCTCTCCACATACTAGGAAGCCAGCCTCGTCCCAGTGGCCGTTGATATCATCATCTCCAGGTGTGGCCCCGATATTGCCGTTAGCATCGTCATTAGGCGCCAGCCGCATGAAGCCAAGCTTGACATCTTGACCTGGACCGCCGCGGCGCGTGGCATCCCAGGAATGTGTCCTGAAAAGCTCTGGAAGTTCTTTGTCCTGTTCTTGGGCAGCCCCTCGAAGGGCGTATAAAGCTCGCACAGCACCGAGGCCGCGACCTGCTGCGACCACGGCACGCGAATGTGTCGACGTGGCCTGGTGTAATAAAGCACGGACTCGAGTCCTGTTGTTTGAATCTGTATAGCTAGCTGCCGCCGCCTCTACAAAGGCGCGCGTAGCTGGAGAGACGGTCTGCACCCACTCTACTCGGCCGCGAGCAAAAGTCCCGAGAGACACCTTTTCCCAGGCCGGCCTAATTTCTCCGTCAACAAGATACAGGGCAAGAAGAACAGTGAGATGTGCAGTGGCGTTTGGCTGCAAGCGAAAGCCACGCAGGGAACGAAAACCGAGGCTGGCAACATCCAATACCTGGTGATCGAGAGGTCCATATACCTGGCATTGGGCCCGTACATGTTCAATACGTTGCAACGTGGCAGAGCTTGGTTCCCACATGAGTTGTTGGACTGCATAGGGTGGGGAAACAGACGAAATGTCTGCCGTTTCACTCGGTGGGTGAGCCAGAATAGCACGAGCGATATGAGCATGCAGACGATTTGTGTCTATACCGTCGAGCTTACTATGTTCATATATTTCAGCTGATATGCCGTTGGCAGTGACAGCAAACTGGAGAGTTTTATCCAGCCAACGATTTGCAAAGGGACGGTGCGCCCCATTAATCATAAATTGCGTGTATCTTTCTCCAGAATTAGTAGGTGACTCATCATCAAGACACATGACAAATGCGGCCGTATCAATACATGCCAGAACCGCGGCATTTTGAGGGCGGCGTTCAAGGTCTAGGCGGAACTTTGGTCAAGGTAGTTAGTACAACCAACTGAAAGAAACTAGGGGCAAGCCAGGGAGGGAACAACTATACCAATGCCCATGAGTCTCGTTCGTCGGCAGTGAGGGTGCAAACGGGCGGAATGGTGTCGCATGATGCCGTAAGAATATCATCATAGACTCTCGTGACTGCCAACATGTCCAGCGTTTGCTCGACATCTGGAAGTCTTAATTGGAAAACATGCCCACGACGGAGTACGGCTACGGTATGGTTAGGGGCATGGCGCTCCATATGGTCTACGCCGAGGCCAGGTCGACGTGTGGCATAGAAAAGCCAATTACGTCCTTCCGTTGTAATCGGCTCACCGTGGAGCGTATCAGGAGCTATGTCGCCGCGAGCCAAGAGACGGATAAAGTCGAAGGCGGCTATAGTCAGGATGGCAGCACGCCTTGCTTGCGAGTGTACGGGGGCTTGTATTGAATGGATAAAGATAAACGGACCCTGCTCTGGAAGCGGTTCACGACGGTCTAGATACACTTGGCGATCGTAGGTTTCCGCAATGACATCCGAGTCTGTCTTTTGGAGGCTTTTATATAGTCTAGGCCCAGGGCCCCTGAGAAAATTATGCACAGCATCGCTAGTATTGCGGCGATGGTTGGCTGTATCGATAGCGCGTCGAGAGTCTTCAAAGAGGCGGAGGGTATCTGAGAGCGGAGGTAGAGGCAAAGGCGGCAGCTTTTCTGAAACATATTTACCAGTTGAGTGTGCTGATGTTGAAGGCCTTACAGCCCCTGCTGAATGATGATCTTCGGCATCGCCGTTTTCTAAGCTGTCTGCAGTGGCTTCCTTGTCCAATCCAGATGCTAGCAAAGACGACCGAGAAGCGACTTTTTCGGCAAGATCACGTATGGGCTGGTCTGTCAGGATCTCAGACGATTGTAAGGGTGATTTGAACTCGCGAGTGATCCAATTGCGCAATTCGATAGCAACAAGTGAATCTAAACCGAGATCTAGAATGGAGCCATTCCTATCCTTGATCTGGTCATCATCCATTGAAATGAGTGTCATGAGCCGACGAGTAATGGCACTACCAATGAAGTCGATAATGGTATCAAGGTCACCACCTTCCACGACCTCGTCAAAGGATCGTACACTATTCGTGGACGATGAAGATTCCTCTGCGGCTAAAGAGCCACGTATATGGCAAAACATGGCCGAATGGACATTGCTGTTGCTAGCTGATGTATGCGAAAGTGACGCCGCGTTGAAGCCAATAATGGCTTGACGCATACGCGAGTGACTGGATGCGGCTCCAAGCAAATGGTCAAAATAGCGAGACAGCTCTTGTCCAAGTATGGGCCTTAAGCCGGTACGCCATAGCCCTTGGAGTATGGTTTTATTATTGGATGTATTGATGGCGTCCTCGATCCAACCAATATTCATCGACAGGAAACCAGGTCCGCGATCATGCGCAATGGCATCCTGGACGGCATTGCCGGCATTGTAATTGGCCTGTCCACTGGCACCAGTTATGTTGACTGCAGATGAGAGCATGAGAAAGAAGTGCAGGTGAGGAGACGCAAAAACCCGCTCGAGCACCAAGGTGCCGTCCACCTTAGCGTGGGCTACCGCGAAGAAGTCATCGAAGGTCATGGTCTCCAGGGTGCGATCCTGTATGTGTTAGCTTTGCGTTTCGAGGACTTGATAGTTGAAGGGGATGTATTTACGTGAAGAGTGACTGCAGACTGAATGACACCTCGCACAGGGGGGACACCAGTTCGGATAAGGGTGTCTGCTGCATTTTGCACGCTGGATTCAGAAGTGATGTCACACACTAAACAGTATAGACGACAGCCTGGTTGGACGAGCTTGAGCTGCTCCTGAAACGAGCGGTGGTCTTCCGGTTCAATGGATCGTCGGGAAAGTGTGACAAGATGCATAGCGCCACGACGTGCCATGAGCAACAAAAGACGCCTGCCGAGATCTCCCATACCTCCTGCAACAACATAAGAAGCATCCGCTGCTTCCCAGTCCATGCTGACGCTCGAGGAGATGACTGTGCGCACAAGAGAGCTTGGAGACGCCTGCAGGATGACCTTTCCACCCTGTCTGACCAGGTGGATGGCCTCACGAACCTGGGCGACATCTTGGATATACAGGTCTATGCCTTTAAACGGGATTCGTTGTAGGGCTGGGGTGGCTAGGGATACCAGATCCGCCAAGCGGTCAGGCTGCGCTTGAACAAGATTGGTGATGTGGCAATAATGTATGGTGGCATTCTCAGGGGGTGGTGAAGGGAACGCGATGGAGGAAGACGAGTTGAAAACAACGACCTGTCCAAAGGGTTTTAGGCAGCTCCATGCGGCAGCAGGGACAGAATCCTCGCTGATGCGAATTATGGCGTCGAGCTGCAAAAGCTCGTCCAACCGTGGTCGCAGCAGTGAAGGACGGCTGACGATGATGTTTTCGAGTTGAATGTTAAGCTGTCGAGTAATTTCTAGGGCCTCTTGTTGGCTGATGGCTGTTGCAGTGATGGTTGCGCCAAGGACTCGAGCAACTGCTACACTCGCCCGTCCAATATCGGTCAGGACGCCGTGGATGAGCACTTTAGATTTTCCTTTCGAAATCTGGGCAAGATGATGAATGGCATAACTGGCAGCTATGGTAGGAAGAAAGAGAGCGGCAGCAACAGCGGGTGACAAACTGTCCGGTCGTCGACTCACATGCGAGGAGGGAACACGGGCATGGTTGGCTCCGACAACTCCATCGAGCGTGAGCGCGACCACGGCATCTCCTGGACTGAAATCTCGTACGCCTTTGCCTACACGTCTCACTATACCTGAGTACTCCCCTAGTTGATAACTCGTCAGATTCTGAGACTTGGACAACACAAACGCCTCCGTCTCGACCTCGACTTGACCTTCCGCCAACTCCACCGTGTGACTGTCGATGAAAACAATGTCGCCGTCGCCTTTTGAGCTTTGGACTGGGCCCAGAGCTAAGCGCCTCGTAGAGTTTATATAGTGATATGGTTCCGTTTCAATGTTGCTGCTAGGCCCGGAGGCTTTCTCTGAAGCTCGGATGGCGCGGTTTAAGCAGTCGCTGCGTCGTAGGCGTGGGACAAGCACTGCAGCATCCCGACTGACACGATATTCCCGTTCACAATGCGCAAGAGAGTCTCGAGTAGGAGCATAAGTCAGACAATGGCAGAGTAAATCGACCAATACAGGACTTCCAATTGCTTCGAGGGCGGCATGGACTACAGTGAGACGGAGATTATCATTCTCAGCATGCGCAGTTCGCGCGACGCCAGTGATCTGGTGCATTGAGGATGGGCTGACCAAGCTAAGCCAGATAATTCGGTGATCCTGTCGGAGCAGTGTAATGGCTGAGTTGAAGCAGGCTCGGTCGGAGAGAATTGGCTGAGCCAGGTCGTCGATTACCATGATGCATGTGTTTCTCGCATCGCTACTCCTCTGTATGACATCCTGGCTCCAACTTCCAGAACTAATTTCATATCCCGTCTCATGCAGCTTGCCTATCAGTGCGGTGGCCCATGATGGTGTCGTCTTCAGGGCTGAGTGTGTAATAATATGGACACGCGAGGACGAATGCGAATGTTTTGTCTTGTCATTTCGCGCAAGGATAATTCGATTACCATTGACAGAATTCACGACAGTTAGCTGGACATCATGGCTAGGCCAAGTTTTTCGAAGGGTAGACTGCCAATTGTCATCCGAGCCCGGTTTCAGCACGATAACTACTACGCCATCGTTCTTTACAAGAGTCGATACGTAACAGAGAGACCCAAGATCGGACACCAGAACCACGTCATACGTATTGTGTGCGAAGCCCTGAGATTCAAGACTGTTGTCTGGATCCAATGCTCTCCGTCGAATTGGGTACCCTATCAAACGTTTGCAACCCTCATCAATGGGCTTGTTTCCCCTCTCTACAACATCGTATGAGGTCACCGTACCTCTGTGTACGCCAACAGCGGCCAGGAACGCCGGCGCCAGAACCCCCGGGCTCTCCCCAAGCTCGGCAATGGACAGATTTGCAGTCTTGAAGCATATAAAAGACACTAGATCAGCCAAAGTTGAATTTCTAGTGAGATCGCTGGTGCGTAGGAAGTTCAAATCACATCTCCATGCCAGCTCGTAACAAATGCCGTGCTCGTCTTGTGTGCCATGGGCCCTATCCGCATGGTATGCCAAGCTCCGGGACTCGATTGCTGAAGCATAAATAACCGGAAAGCCACCTGAGACTACGGTCATATCTATATTGCTTGCCCGGAAGTGGCTGGATGTGAGCTTTGCTGAGACCTCGAGTTTGGAGCCCTGGCTGTTTAGTGCAGGTGTCTGGGTTGAAATCAAGAGCTCCCCGATGTGGACAGGCATAACAGATCCGGAACCATGCCACCGTTTCATCATTGGGATACCCACATGAAACATGCTGTCTAGAGTTGTTGGGTGTAGAATATGGGACGCCTGGTATTGTGCTGGCATACTGGCGGCAATGTCAGGGACCTCGATTACTGCGGTCGCCCTTAAGCCATCCGTCGACGTTGTTAGGGAGCGTAGGCCCCTGAATGATGGCCCATACGTGTTACCATCCGCGGCCATCTCATTGTAAAGCTCCTCAGGGATCACCACAATTCCGTTTAACCAGTCCTGCTTGGGGTGGGGGTCAAGCATCACAGATTCTGTCTCTGGCTTGTCAAGAGCCATGACACCTTCCACAACTCCCGTACAAAACACATGCCATTTGCCGTCGGACAGAGCCGTGACGGAGAAAGTAAAGCTAAGAGGAGATGCGTCTGCTCGATGCTTGAGACTTAGTTGCATTTCCACGCGTGACGGAGCGTCCGGAACTACCAGGGCTCGGAGGAACGAGACGTCGCGTAGAGAGACAGCCTCGAGCGCCTGTTCAGAATATTGCTCTTTTGCAAGTTGCCTCACAGCCTCAACAACCATGCAAACGTAGCACGCTCCTGGGAAGATGATTAAGCCGTCGATGATATGATGAGCCAGCCACGGTAGGGTAGCCAAGCCTACCATGTGTCGCCATCGCGGCTCCATGGACGCCAACTCGGTCATACGCACTCCCAACAGATGATGATACGGCTCGCGGCGCATGCGGTACTCACGGCTTAGTCGCGACTCGTGCCAGTGTTTGCTCGAGTAATCCCAGCAGTACGATGGTAGGTCCGGCCGGACGGCAGCGGTGTGGAATCCAGGCGTTAATGCAGTGATCTCATCAAAGTTGACTCTGACACCACGCTCAAAGAGGTGGCCAACAACCTGCAGCATAGTTTCAACGGCCCCAGTCCCTCGCTTCAGTGCTGACAAGTAATTATACTCAAGCTTGGGCACATTGGAGGCTGCAAGGCATTGGCGGATAGGGCCGGCCAGAGCGGCGTGCGGACCAATCTCGACAAAAAGAGCGAGGCCTCCATTGTGTTTGTGATGCTCTCGTGCGAGAGTCTGTATGGCATCAGAGAAACGCACGGGGGATATGAGGTTGTCAACCCAGTAGGATGCGGCAAAATCCGACACCCAAGACAGTCCGCTAATTGAGGAGAAGTATTTCACTTCTTCGTTGCCACGTAGGCCACCTGGTGGCGAGATAGGCTCATCAATGCCAAGATCCAGATCACCTAGTCTTGTTCGGTATTCATCAGCTATAGCGCGCATATGATGGCTATGGTAGGCTGTGTCGACACGTAGTTTGCGGCAGAAGGTGCCATCACCGCGGGCTATGATTCGTGCCATTACCTCATCAACGGCGGCAGCGTCACCAGACACAGTAACGCTATTGGGGCTGTTGATGCATGAGATGGCTGCCTCGCCGTGGGTCAAGTCATGGAGATATGGAGCGGCATCGCCCTGGCCTAGTCCGATGGAGAGCATTGCACCAGGGGGGAGGCCGCGATCTTTGGACACGCCGGGCATGAGGCCACGATGGAATGCAACGCGGAGTGCCATGTGATGTGAGAGCCGGCCAGCGGCATACGCAGCTGCAATTTCGCCACTGGAGTGGCCTACTACGGCCCAGGGCCGCACGCCTTGGGAACGGAGCAGCATCACGATACCAATCTGTACCGCGGTAGTGGCCGGTTGTGCTAGTTCAGCCTTGTTGATGCGGCCGCCGCCGTCTTGAGCAAGAAGTTCAGCCTCAAGGTCCCAGGTTGCGCCGAGCTCGTAGAGTATATCCCGCGAGATGCGGATAGAGTCACGGAATACCGAAGAGGGCGTTGTTTCGAGCAGCAACTCATGGCCCATTCCGGCCCACTGCGCACCTTGGCCGGTGAAGACGTATATTACTTGTCTCTTGGACGGAGGCGGTCTGGTCGATGTCAAGTTGACGCCTCGCTCCAAGGTGTCTAGGAGCGAGGATTCGTTGTCTGCTACGCAACTGAAGCGCCAAGGAAGTGCGGAACGGCGGTGGCAGAGGGTATAGGATATATCAGCCAGGGGTATTTTTGGGTGTTGCTGGATCCAATTGACATAACTCTCGAGCAAGGACTTCAGTGAGCCCTGGTTATTTGCCGACAGGACGAAGAGACGGGGAGAGTTTGTCGACGTAGTGCTACAAGATGCATCATATGTTCGCGGCCCCCTTTCGACAATGGCATGGGCATTGGTTCCTCCATAGCCAAAGCTATTGATCGAGATGCGCGGGACCATGCCCTCTGTGAGCGGCCACGGAAGCCGCTGTGTCGGAATTGTGATTCGATCAAGCGGCAACCCAGGTTTAGGGGTAGTGAAGCCAGCCACAGGGGGGATTACCTGGCGGTCAAGCATCAAAATGGCCTTCAGGAGGCTAGCGAGACCGCTGGTGCTTTCGGTATGCCCGATGCTTCCCTTGTTAGAGCCGACATGCAGGGGAAGAGATCGATTCCGGCCCGCAAAGACTTCCGCAATGGCTGCCAGCTCCTCACTGTCCCCAGCGACAGTACCGGTGCCGTGGGCTTCCACATATGCGGTGTCTTGAGGGTGGAGATGGAGACGGTCGTAGGTGTCGCGGATGAGGTCAGCTTGAGCGACACGGTTAGGATGCGTAATTCCCGAGGCTGTGTAGCCGTCCTGGTTTATGCCGCTGTTGAGGATGACGGATCGGATCGGATCTTGGTCTCTGAGGGCATCACTTAAGCGCTTCAAGGCCACGACAACGAACCCTTCACCGCGGCCATAACCGTCGCCGCGAAGGTCGAAAGGGTAGCATCTCCCCGTGCTGCTAACCATGTGCTGACTGCTCATGCCAATATAATGATCAGGCATGAGTTGCAAGTTGGCAGCAGCGACCAGAGCCGCGTCAGACTCGCCATTTCGCAAACTTTGGCACGCCTCGTGTAGCGCAACGAGCCCGCCCGAGCAGCCCGTATCGAGAGTCAGGGACGGGCCACGGAGGTCAAAGGCATGCGAAATGCGGTTGGCGAGGATGGCAATGCCTGTGCCGACACTATGATATACGGGCAGGTCGAGAACATCCTTGCAGAGATTCCTGTCGTAATCAGTACCAAAGATGGCGGCGAAGACGGCCGTTCGAGAGCCAGCACAGGCCTCGCGAGCCCAACCGGCACTCTCAAACGCCTCATAGACCAGCTCGAGCAGAATGCGCTGCTGGGGGTCCATGGCGGCCGCATGTTGCGGCGAGAGGTGGAAAAACGCATGGTCAAAGTCGCGAATATCGCCGTCGATGAAGTGACCGCCCTGGTGGTTGTTTGTGCCGTTGGGGTCACTGGCATTGGGATGATGGAAAGCCGCCTCGTTGAAGCGGTCTGCTGGCACGGATGACCAAGCCTCGCCTCCATCAGCCAGCAACTCCCATAGTGAGTCGAGGCTATTGGAACTGCCTGGCAACCGGCACGAGGCACCTACGATGGCTATTGGTTCGATCGGCATCTTTCTTCCATCTGCTGCTGACAAGGCCTACGATGTTGATTGTGTTGGCTGCAATTCTGAGATGAATGTAAGTTGCTGCTTCGTGGGAATCTTGTTGATGAGGTTGGCTCGGCATTGATATTCCTCGCCGTCCTGGGCTACTTGCTTGCTTACCGTCAATAGTACCGGGTTGTACTCCGTATTACATCGTACTCCCGCCCGGCCGCGATCGCGTCGCATTTGCGAGCCCCTGCCACATGTGTTGTCGTAGCTAGCCTGCGGTACGACTCCGTGGTAAGACTTCTGCAGCATCTAAAGGCTATGGTGATGGGTCAACCAGCTAACCAGCAATGGTGGGAAATAAGACGGTCGGCACCGAGTACCCAAACAAGTTTGATGTTACGTATCGCTTTTCCGAAGAACCGGGGTGCACTTGCGACGGGTAGCCGCTGACCATGGAACAGCCTTGAACATACCCCGTGGTCGTGTTGCACTCTACCTGTCAAGTGCGTCCAAGAATGAATGCATCGGACTAATACGTACACACCCATGCAATGATACAGTGATACCTTTTCCTTGTGGTGTTCACACCGTACCTCTGACGAGTTGACACATAATGGTTTCCCACGTACCTTGATTGACTTGCGATCCCTTCTCGAGTCTGTTTTCAATGTCCTCTATCCTATTCATATTAATTCTGACGCACCCTAGAGACAAACCAAACTGGGTTCTTTGAAACGATGCGCCGATTTTAACACGGGAGAATCTGGATTGAGTATCAGCCTTCACCGCCGTTGTCATATTCTTGACTAGTTTCTCGGAACCGTCGCCGTTCCTAACCGTCCCAACTCATCGGTCATTCCGCCTCTGCCTCTGGCCTCACGAATTTGTACAAAGTCATGGCAAGCGAGATGAACACGTCGCCAGAGTATACGGGCTACCGGCTAGAGGTTTTCATAGCCGTGTTCACGCCTCTGACTATTATTGCAGTGGCTTTGCGATTCTATGCCCGTAGCCTGACTTCCAAGAAGATTGATTCTGGCGACTGGCTCATCATCGCGGCTCTGGTAGGACAGATTGTCGCTGGCGGCATCGCTATTGGTATGTTCTGGGGAGGGTCAACCGGATGACGGGCACGGCTTTACTAACAGATGCCCAGGTGCAGTGAAACAGGCCGGAGTTGGACATCATGCAGCGTATCTTGCCGAAACGAACCCCGAAACTCTCGTCGCCTTCTTCAAATACCTGGTCGCCATGTCCACGTGGTATGCCACTACGGAAGGCCTCGCAAAACTTGCCGTGTGCATCTTGTACAAGCGCCTGTTCCCACAGCGAGGAATTCACATGGTCATCAACACAACAATGCTCGTGTTAGTCGGCGCATCCGTGGGCGGAGGTCTCGCCGACTTGTTTGGCTGTACGCCCTTCTCGGCGCATTGGGGTACGGCGGAGGAGCAGGCGGCCCATTGCGTCGATACCGAAGCCTTGTTTGTCTGGGGCAGTTTCCCCAACATCGTCACGGACGTTGTGTTGCTTGTCCTGCCCATGCCGATAGTTTGGGGCCTTCACGCGTCCGTCAGACTGAGGCTTGTCCTCGTTCTCACATTTCTCTTTGGTAGCATGTAAGTCCTTGAACCGCACATATCCCTGGCTTGCCAGCTTTGGAGAACTCATCGGTGGAGACAGCGGCCTCATAACGTCGGTCCTTCGATTCATCGCCTTTTACAACAAGAGCTCCTTCATCGACCCTACTTTTCACGCGGTTGAGTTGATCATCTGGACGGTTTGCGAGCCGGGGGTCTACCTCATCGCCGCGTGCCTGCTGGTTTATCGCCCCTTGCTGGAAAAGATAGGGATCCCCCTGGTTGGCGGCGTTTCCAGCCGTGGAGGGAATCGGCAAGGGCCAACAGAATTGGCGTTCCAAAAGCCGTCACGTCCACACAATGGCGCTGCCATCAAGTCTATTGGCTCCGGGTCCATTAGCGAGAGCGGATTTGAGTATATCGGGGATGATGATCAGAGGCCGCTCAGGAGACAGGGTGGCATCACTGCGACGACCAACGTCGAGGTGACATGGGCAGCGGGGTCTGCGGTGTAACGGCAGCCGCCCATAAAACGGGATGTGCGGAATGTCCATGTCCGTGGTGGAGAAGGATGTCATGGGAGGCGGCCTGGGATATTATTTCCGTCCGGAATCATCAGATTGACGACACAAAAGACCACATGCAATGTTGACCAGACCAGCTGTGGAGCAGATATCACGGGCGGACATGGAAAGTGGAGACTCCATCGGCCCCCAACTGCAGCCAAGAGATGAAATGTACTAGCCATGACAACACGAAGCACGACAGATTTATTTGCGCTTCACCTAACCGGGAGTTGCAGTGGCATGTGCGAGGTTGGCTGCCTAGACCAGACATCTGTCGGATTTACATGCCGACTTCTCCGTCACCATATGCATGTGTCCTTGAGTACTTATGAAACTGTCAGCTTATAGGTGACATCGGCCATCTTCCGTCCGTGGTGGTCAGCCGTATGTCTTGCATTCCTGTAGATTGTTCCAGGTGCGTTTTAGAGACATCAAGTCATTGTTTCTACAAGTGTCTATATCTTATCAGTGCACTGTTGCCTTGTGTCTGTTTGGCCCAATCACCGTCGGATAGCAACAAGAGCTCGAACCCATGAGTGACTCGATAGATTGGCAGACCAACAGACTTCAAATTTTGCCCATGTTGATCGGTAAGCAACGGGTTTACCCCGCGCGACATATCCGTGGTTGATAGCTTTAATAGATGGAACCCAGTCGTTTTCCCGCTACAGCTGCAATTCAACTTCTCTGCGACTCCAATACGATCTCCATATACTCTCATTGCCATGGCGACCAAGCATGAACGCATCGCACAGCACAACCATCTGGTGCCGCATGCCGTTGATAGACTGGCGCACATGATGCCAGATGCAGAGTACGGCGAATGGGTACTAGGATCCAAGGTAATATCCATCACTTACGCCCAACTAGCCAATATTGTTAATGGCTTAGCTTGGTGGCTCGTGAAAGAGCTGAATGGCTCGGGCTACAACAAACCCCAGAGAGAAACGCTGACTTACATTGGGCCTAATGATGTACGCTACTCGGCACTGGTGCTTGCAGCAGTGAAAGCTGGTTTTGTGGTTCGTGATACTTTCTGCGTTGCCCATCAAGCGTGACTTGTTGACCAGGTGGGAGCTTCTCAGATTTTTGTAACGTCTCCCAGGAATAGCCAGCCTGCACAGCGGGCGTTGTTCAATCACCTCGGCTGCCAGACTTTGATCACGACGAACCCTCTTTCGCCACCCGCCCAAGCTGTTTTGGATGCCGTTGCGCCAGCGCGTCACCTCACGGTGCCATCTGTAGAGGAGCTTCTTTCCAGTTCGCATCCAACATACGTATGGAATAAGACCTTCGAGGAGGTACAAAATGACCCTTTTGTCGTGATGTAAGCTCCCTGGACACCCGTGTTCCCGCTTATTGTGTCGCTTATAATTTCCTAGGCACACGTCTGGGACTACGGGCCTACCGAAGCCTATTATATGGACACACGAAACATGTGCGCGAGTTGTCAACGCAAAGAACGATCGCGAACCCAAAGGAAACTCCTCTGTCGAACGTCTACTACTCAACGGCAAGCGTATAATAGTGACCCTGCCTCCATTTCACGTGCGTGTCTGTTTGGGCTCCCCAAATAAGACGAGCTAATGCTTTCTTCTAGGGGGCGCTTCTCGCTCAACTCGTTGTCGGCGCGATACCCTACGGTAACGTTGTTATTGCTCCAGTAGTGACAGCCATCCCGACGGCTCAAAATGTCGTGGATGCTCTCAAGCAGACCCCAGCTGATGTAGCAATATTGGTCCCCTCAGTGGTGGCCGAGTTGGCCCAAGTATGTCTAGCATGTTTGGTCTTTTCTGCCTGGTGCCTTGCCATGATAACAAGCCAAAACAGAATCCGGAATTGCTTGAATACTGCTCTACTCATCTACAGGCAATTTTGTACATTGGCGGCGACCTGCCACAGGACCTCGGCGACATTGTGGCCTCTAAAATGTACCTGCGCTGTCAATGGGGAGCGACTGAGACGGGTATCGTCCCGCAACTGCTTCCGCCAGAGCTGCTTCCATCCGCCTCGACGGGACGGGAGCTATGGAGCTATGTCAAGTTTCATCCTTGCGTTGGTGCTGCCTTTGATGAAGTGGCTGACGGTATATTTGAGCTGGTAGTCAGGCGTGATATCGCTCTTGCTGACACGCAACCGTGTTTTACTGTGCCCGGGATAGATTTGCTCGACAAGGAATACCGCACCAGGGATCTATTCGAAAAGCATCCACACATTTCTGGTATATGGCGTTGGCGTGCTCGAGCTGATGATATTATTGTTTTCCTCAACGGCGAGAAAACGAATCCCATTTCAATGGAACAGCATATTTTGGCCAAGAACCCACAAGTTAGCGGCGCTCTCGTCATCGGCTCCAACAGGTTCCAGGCTGCACTTCTGGTTGAGCCAGCTTCAGAGAAGCCTCTGACTATAGCAGAGCAGGCGGCTTTGATCGAGCATATCTGGCCCAGCGTTGATGAAGCCAACCAAAGCGCCCCTGCCCATGCTCGCGTGGAGAAGTCGTTTATTCTTGTTATTCCGGCAGATCGTCGACTGATTCAGTCAGGAAAAGGTACCTATATGAGAGGTCCCAGTATAGCCCAGTATTCCGAGGAAATTGAGAGTCTGTACGCTGCTGCAGACGATGCCGTTCTAGGCGATGATATCAACGGGTCTGACGGGCCAGTGCCGCATGCCTTGGGCTTGGATGGTATTGTTCGCCTGGTTAGACAACATGCCCAGGCTGTGACAGGCTGGACAAATCTTGGCGATGCAGATGACTTTTTTGACCGCGGTATGGATTCGCTTCAGGGGCTCCGACTGACACGTGCCCTGGGACGTAGCCTCTACCGCCCTGATCTCGCCCTTTCTACCGTCTACCAGAACCCGTCCATCTCCCGGCTCGCAGAGAGCATTCTTGCAAAGGGAAACGGGGACCAGAATGAGGGCAAGGTCATGGAAATGTTGCTAGCTACCTACCGCGGACTCATACAACAGGTCTCAGTGTCACCAGCATTAGCAAACTCCCGCCAGCGCCAGAAGGAAAAGGCCGGAGTTGATGTGCTTTTTACGGGATCTACCGGCACAGTAGGCACTTATTTACTGCACAATCTGTTAACTCGCCATGAAATTAATCACATCTTCTGCCTAAACCGCGCAGAGGATGGTGGGCAGGCTGCGCAGAGCAAGAGTTTTGCTGCCGCGGGATTCATGGAGACGAGGCTGGATAACGGCCGCGTCACCTTCATCAAGGCTAATCTACAGCAGCCGCAGCTCGGCCTTGACGAGGCCACCTATGAGCACCTCCGTGCCCAAGTTGGGCTTATTATTCACGCTGCTTGGCCTGTTAACTTCAACCTACCTCTTCTTGCCTTCCGCCCGCAGCTCGCTGGGATAGTGAATCTATTTACCTTCGCCGCCGCTACTACAGCGGCACGATTTGTCTTTGTCTCTTCAGTCGCCGCGGTGGAAGGGCACACAACCGGCCCGGCGCCTGAGAGAGTACTCAATGGCCTCGACACGCCCGCAGCTTTCGGCTACGGGCGAGCGAAATTTCTCGGTGAGCTGCTTATGGATGCTGGAGCCCGGCACTTCGGAAACCACATATCCGCAACTGTAATTCGCATAGGTCAGGTTGCCGGCGCGGTACAACGTCCCGGCCAATGGAACCCTCGGGAATGGCTGCCGAGCATGGTCATTAGTTCGTTATACCTTGGTCAAGTCCCCAACAGCCTAGGTTCGCACTTTGACGAAGTGGATTTTGTGCCCGTGGATTTGCTTGCCGACGTTTTTGTCGATCTTGCTATAGCAACAGAAGCGCAACAAGAGGCTACCAGCAGTGCAAGAGTGTTCAACGTGCGTAATGCGCACCCAACTCCCTGGCGCACACTACTTCCCGCTATTACCAGCGCTGCGGCAGCTCACCACTTGACTATGAACGTGGTTCCTCCCGCGACCTGGATTGCTGCCCTCCGAGCGAGCGGCGACTCGGATCAAGTCGATAATAAAGCAACCTCCAGAAATCCAGCCGTCAAGTTGCTAGACTTTTTTAGCACCCTGTGGGCAGCTGAGCTGGGCGACCTAGACACCAACAGTGCTCCGGCTTCGTCTGCTGTGCAGCCCATGGCGATCGCGCAGGCCCTCGAGGCAAGCCCGGCTCTGCGTAAGCTGGGGCCCGTCAGTTCAGAATGGATGAGGAAGTGGGTGGATGAGTGGATTGTAGCTATACGGGAAGAGTGAACACACAATACCAAACGATATTACAGAGTTATAGCTTTAAGCTGCTTAAATCTTCCTATTACACCAACCTGTATCTATCGAAGCTAGACGTTCCAAATTATCAAAGTCTTTGCGTTGCTGTGTGAGCATTACTAGAAAATCACTCGGGAGATGTTAAGCCTGGTCAACTATAGGCCTATCCCCAAGCCCTGAGTGGTTCAAGACTGATCAGAGAACCCGTTATGTATAGCGTCGTCAACTGCAGAGTATTGACAGAAAAACTACACTACATGTAGTTTTTGAGTGTAATTTATAGTGCAGTGTAGTTTTTTTGGCAGGCCGATTCTCCTCACAAGGGCGGCTTGGCTACAGATCCTCGAGACAAGATATATGCTCTCCTGAGATTAGTGAGCCATGGTTGCGGAAGGGGGATGATTCCCAACTACGGCCTTTCCACATGCTCGGCGTACTGTATGGCTATCAGGGCCTTGCAAGACGACCTTTCTCCTTAAGGACATTTTCACAATGTTGAAGTTACAAAACTACTGCTAGGACGACTCTAGTTGGAAAGATGGAAAGTCCGAGAGAAAGAGGGCTTGATCCTAACCCTTATAGTCCAGTCCACCTGGTCAAATTGCCGGGTATGCGGCACCATCGCCTCTCGGGTCGCTTCCACCCGACCAAACCGGGGTTTGGGTGACGGGATCTAGACTACGACTAATGATTTGCCCGCGCCCGAATAGTGACCTGTCCCAACCAGTGACAATTTCGATTTGGTGGCCCAGGTCCCTGAGTCCCTGGATCGTCTCCTCCGGCATGGATTCCTCTACGCTCACGGTCCAATCTTCAACTCGCTCCTCCAACATTCGGGCAGCGACACATATGCGCGGCGCGTCTAGAGCCTCTTGGGGATTTAGCCCGGCAATGACAAGTCCGAGAAGGACCTGCATATGACCTTGTGGCTGCATAAATCCGCCCATGACGCCAAAAGATGAGTGCAAGGACCCATCCGCCAAGTTTGTAATCATGCCTGGAATAATCGTATGATAGGGCCGTTTGCGTGGCTCCAGCTTATTAGGGTGATCTGGATCAAGGGAAAAGTTATGTCCCCTATTCTGTAAGGTGAATCCACATCCCCTTGGGACAATACCGGTTCCGAAGCCGTCATAGTTTGAGTTGATAAACGAGGCCACATTCCCCTCGGAATCGGAAACCGTGAAGTAGACGGTATCACTGCTCTGGAGAGCTGGGGACACAAAGGGGTTGCCATGCTCCTTATTATGGGTGGCTCTTGCTGGATTAAACAGTTTGGCTCGCTCAGCGAGGTATTCTGGCGACAATAAGCCCTTAATAGGGACCTTGGTAGTACTTGGATCTGTAATATACCAACTGCCATCTGCAAAAGCTAGGCGAAGTGACTCGATGATGGCGTGGAGATAGGGCGCTGAGTTGAAATCCTGTGGTCCAAAGGCTGAAATCTTGCCCTGCTTCTCCATCTCCTGGAAAATACCTAGGGCCATCAACGCTACAATACCTTGGCCGTTTGGCGGGTGCTCCCACAACTCTACACCATCATCGCCCAGGCCCAGGCCCTTAAACTTGAGTGAGATTGGCTTTGTCGCCTCACTTCCAGTGTCCATGTGGTGCTGGAGGTCCTCTGCTTCTAGGAACCCCCCCAGCTTCCTAGTGACCTTGATGATCTCATCAGCTATTCTACCCGAGTAGAAGCCCGGCTTACCCTGCTCCCCCAGCGCACGAAAAGTCCTGGCAAGAGTTGGATTCGCCATTATTTCTCCTGGCCTGGGCGCCCTACAACCATCTTCTGCGGCCGGGTCACTCTTTAATACTTCGGCAAAGTTGGGCGATGCGTTTTTGAGAAGCGTCTCAGAATCTTGCCACTGTATTTTATTAGACTCTCGACATTAGAAAGGGCGTTGCAGAGACGGTTGGTATGGCAGAACCTACGTGATGGCTCGAAACCTCCGAGACGGGAAATCCTTTCTCTCCAAGCTGGATTGCAGGATTGAGGATCTCTGACAAGGTCAACTTCTTGCTACCGAAGCGCTCGACAGTGTCAACCCAGCCGGCGGCGGCACCAGGGACAGTCACACAGTGGACATTTACCGACGGGATCTGGACGTCATGAGAGCTCTTTTGGAAACCGAGGGCGTCTCGGATAGAATCGATGGAGCACTTTCCACCAGCCCGACCAGATCCGTTGAGCGCATGGACTTTCTTGTTTTTCGCGTCCCAGAACAGCATGAACATGTCACCTCCGATGCCCGTTGAGCAAGGCTCCGTCATGTTCATCCCGGCAGCTAATTATTTATGCAAGTAAGTCTGCTGGGTTTCAGTATGGCACGCAGCGTCAATCACTTCACGTACCGACAGCGACGGCTGCATCCTTTGGTTTCGCGTTAGAATACATTTGTGAGAAAGAGTGTCGTCGCAACTTACTGCAGCGTTTCCACCAGAGTTGAGAATTTCGATGCCACATTTCGCAGCGAGGGGTTGCGTGCACGCAACAATTCCCTCTGTGCTATAGATGGCACTTCTTCGCGAGGGAAATCTGGCGAAATTGTTGCCCGCATCAAGTTGTCGAACCATGGCCGTCGTATTGCGGCGTTGTTGGAGGAGAGGGGTTGCGGTGTCCCGTAAACCTTGAAGCACAACTCTGTTCGGATAGTATCTGAGCACCGCTTGTTGGGGTTCCGAGGGTGTTCATTCTCTACATGTACTTCAACGAATCGATAAAGGGTCTGGTGTTATCTTCTGCAGTCTAATGCTGGAATGCCGAATGCCGAGGGCGCAACTATGACGTTGAGCCGCCCTCGGGGTCCTCGGGACGCCTGCCTGCCGGGCGTGATGAATCTACATGCAGGGCGTTAACGGCGGAGCGGGTCTGGACACCACAAGTTAGTGATAGACGCGAAAATCGATAGATTAATACTTACTTATTAAGTAACTCTTGGCTCTTAGTAAGATTGCTCTTATTATCTTATATTCATTAATACGCAGTTCAGAAGTTGTAAATTTTAAAACAACTTTTTTAATAGGAAAAAAGACTCAAGTGATAATATTTTTAAAATATACAGTCAAGAATACTCAATTTTTTAGCCAATTTACTTAAAGTAATATATTTAGCTCAAGGTGCCTTCCCCCGCGTTTATACTTTGAGTGCCACGTCCTGAAGACGCTTTAACTTTGTTACCCTAGCAAGTGATAACAGGTCTGGTGCAACCAGTCGGAAACTCTTACCCCAGCTCCAAAATTAGGCTCATTCGCAAAGCCCGCTAGTTTGCGGGGGTGGCTGGCTGAATGTTGCCCGAAGCTTGTATCCGTTTCAGCCACAGGATGCGGCGCGAAGGGCGGCCACGTTTTGGCAGCGTACAGAGGCGTTATAAAATAGCAACTGGCTCTCGCGGTCCTGGATGTAGCCCGGGCCTGTGCCTGTGTGCGTCCTGTCTGGTTGTATTTCGCATTCCAAGATTTCCGTGTCCGTCACAATGCCTCGTGGAGATGGAGAAATATCTAGCATCATGCAAGTTGACGACGGGGAGCCAACAAAGCAAATTGCGACCAGAGATGTGGATGCGGCTCTCAAATTCCTTGAAAACCAAGGGACGGTGCCTTCCATGTCAGACAGTGATGAGAAGCGGCTCTTGCGCAAGATTGACTGGCACATCATGCCTCTTCTGACCTGTTGCTATTTTCTTCAGTATCTGGATAAGACTTTGCGTGAGTGCCCAACCCCTGATTCATTTGTAGTCGAATGCTCACCTATACATGGCATGTATCAGTCAACTACGCCAATGTCATGGGCATAAAGCAAGACACTGGGATCACGGGCAACCAGTTCTCCCTGTTGGCTACAATCTTCTATATTAGTTTCATCGTTTGTGAATTCCCCACTGGGTATCTGATGCAGCGCTTTCCCTTGGCTAGATATCTAGGAGCCAATATCATACTTTGGGGTATCGTGGTCTCAGCAAATGCTGGTAGGTGATGAAAACTGTCAAGCCGGTTCAGCTAACCTGACTGGATCTCCGTAGGTGCCCAGAACTGGGCTACCCTGGCCGCTCTCAGAGTCTTGCTAGGTTGCTTCGTTGCCGTCGTCGCTCCAGCACTGATTCTCATCACTGGCATGTGGTACAAGCGGTCAGAGCAGCCGCTCCGTATGGGCATTTGGTATCTGTCCACTGGCCTAGGGCAGATTGTCGGCGCCCTCGCTTCATATGGATTCCAGTTCTATCAAGGCCAAGATTTTAAATCCTGGCAGATCATGTTTCTCCTCTTTGGCCTCCTTACCATCATGATTGGCGTGGTCACGGTCTGGATCCTGCCCTCAAGCCCAATGACGGCCACGTTCCTCTCGCACCAGGAAAGGGTCTGGGCGATTGAGCGGCTTCGCGAAAACAGGACAGGTATCCAGAACAAGCACTTCAAGTTGCACCAAGTATTTGAGTGTTTCCGGGATCCCCAGGCCCTGCTCATCTGCCTCATTAATATTCTCTCGAATATCCCTAACGGCTCCGTCTCCACATACCAGGCCGCCATCATTGAAGGATTTGGATTTTCATCCAAGGAAACCGCGTTGCTCTCTGTGGGCTCAGGAGCCGTTGCAATTGTTTCCACCCTTGCAGTTGCCTGGTTTAGTGGCCGATTTAATGCCAATGGCCTGGGGATTATATTCCTGATCGCTTGTGGAGGTGTGCTGGGTGGTGGACTTGTATCATTCTCACCGAAAGATAACCAAGGACTGCAACTCGCGGGGAATTTCCTTACGAATTTCATCGGATCGTCAATGGCCCTTCTTTACGCATACTCGGCGAGCAATTTCGCCGGCAACACGAAAAAGGTTACCATGAATGCGATGCTTCTCGTGGCGTTTGGTAAGCCATATGCCCCGTACTCCCGCGTGCCATGATGGACCCAACAACTGACATGGTGGCTACAGGCATTGGAAACATCGTTGGGCCATTGACCTTCCAGGATAGTGACGCGCCGAGATACATGCCGGCCAGGATTACCATTTTAGCAACGAGCTGTGCGGCGTGTCTTCTTACTCTTGTTCTCATGGGCTACTACTTCTATGAGAATCGACGGAGACAGAGACTCGCTGCAGCTATTGGGCATCATGAAAATAACGAATTCTACGACCTGACTGATAAGGAAAATATCCAATTTAGAGTATGTATTCTTCCGAGAAAGTGTCGTGACGAGTCGCTAAATTTTCCAAGTATCGCTATTAGTGAGCACACACGTCGGCAGACTGTCCTATTCCGGCCGGACTATATTTGATTTGCGACTCGTTACAACAAGAGCTGGGATCACGCGATAACCCTGTAGGTAGAAAGTTGTCAGTACATTGTTAGTATACGAGGCTGATTATAATGTAAGCCCTTATTATATAAACTTGAATAGCTGATTGGGTTCACACTTGAAGACCAATTTTTTATTATATACTTCCTAGTCCATCTTCTAGAAAGTTGCCAAGGTCGTCCCGATACCCTTGGCTTTGGCAAGTTGCAGAAGCTGGTGCCCTACCGCCATGTCCATAACACCTACTCCAACGCTTTTATACAGGACAAAGCCTCTTTCGAGCCATTCAGTCTGCGCGGAGGGGATGTCTTCAGATCCAAAGATTCGTCCGACCTCGAGCATCTTACTCGGATTTATACCTGCGCTAACTAGCTCTCCGGCCTCCTTTAGACACCCATCGCGGGTGTCAACCGTAATATGCCCTTCCCACACATGCTGCGAGAATATTCCAGAATCATCTACTATCGCCTTGAGGAGCTCCGGATCGATCTCTGCCATGTTCAGCCGGTATGAGCCGATAGCAGCGATGTATCGTGTCTTCCTTCGAGCACTTGCTGAAGTGAGGAATCTCGCAAGGAAAAGAGGTTCAGTAGCTGGAGTGGTACAGAAGATGGCATCCGCATCTGCAACCAGGTCTTCGAGGCTTTCGTTGCCTTCCCCAAACTGGTACAGCGTGATGTGTGACGGCCAGGACGCATGTGAGTCTTTAACTAGACTGGCAATTAGTTGTTGGGCTCGCTTATAGCTTCGATTGACAATAACGATCTTGCGAATATCCTGCGCACGTAGCAACACAGCCAAGCGAATATGCCACTGTGCCTGCTTCCCTGAGCCGAAGACCACGATGTTACCTGTCTCCTTGCGAGACTTGTAGAGGAGCATGGAGCCCAAAGCGGTGCGGAAAGCCGTAAGCTCCGCAGCGTTGAGTATACCGACGGCTTCTCCTACAGCATTACACAGGGTAAGGACGCTACATAGCCCTGGTGGCCGTGGTGATGCTTCCGAAAAGGCGCTCGGGAGCCCGGAAGAAGGAGCAATGCCCACAATCTTGACACCAATTGACTGTGGTGTCGTGGCGGGCATGAACAAGCTTCTTTGCCCGTCCGGCCGAGAAATAACAGAACGTTCTGGCTGATACTGCTGCTCATTCTGGCACGAGTAGGCGACAAGGCCTCCTTGCAAGGCTGTAATAAGTTCGCGGGTATCATTTAGACTGAGTTCGCTCAGCAATTGTTTAACGTTATGATCAGATAGCACGGTGAAAGCCATGGCGCGCGTTGAAGAGAGTCTGTGTACTATACACAACAAAGTAAATAAAACCAAAGTGGCGACATTCTGTGAGAGAATGTTCCCGTTCATGCCACATATTATCCGACCGCTAATACCGTCTGGAGACGGACTACCCCCAAGCCCCAAGTGACGGGATGACGACAGGAGACACTGATCCTAGTAGTAAGCCGCATGCCGAAGCAGAATCGGGTAAGGGGTGAATAAGACTCGGAGAGACATCTGACTAACTTGATGACTTGTATGACTAGGCAGGGTATTATATGACTAAACAAGTGTATGTGTGTGACAGACCTCTCGGAGGCAAGAACGGACATTTTGGAACTTGGTTGAGAATAGTACCAGACTTTATGAATCGTCCAGGATACCAGCGCGGACTGTAGCGAACTGACGTGGCCAACTAATACATTTTACAAAGGTTGTGGGAGTCGCTTAGGATAACGGCAAAAGCTCTTGCCATGACGGTCTCTCCGGATGCATCAGGTACAAAGCATTTTGGAAGAGCTAGGCGTGCTTGCTTTACGACTGTGTCAAAGTATGGTGCTCGAGGCTGGGATGGTTCGGAGTTAACCCGACTGTCAACGGGGCGGAACCTTTCACCTTGCCTTGTTAGTTTGTGAAGCATCTTGCCGCCCGCAGCTGACGTGACTACGCCGCTCGCATCCCAGGCCAGGTTAACGCAGATACCTATAGAAGCTGACGAGGATGCTAACGGTATGGGCACCGAAGCGGTTTTTCACATGGAAGAGTGAGTCCCATGGCGGAACATATGAACGCATGTGTAGTAGGATGAGTACAATCATCATCCACGTCACATTTACCGTGCACCTTGTAGCGATACCTGCTACGAAACGATACAACCACGCGTAGCCTCATCTTTGTTATGTACAGGTCTGACTGTATTTCGTCCAACTAATTCGCTTGTTGGGATCATGCCCAACGCGACCTGCAGATGCAGCGTACCATCGACACCGTCCTCTAGCCCCAGAGGCATGTCCCATAGCTCCCTCAACTCTAGTTGCTTCTCCCACATGTCGAATCTTTTCAAGAACTTGTGCACGCTGGCCAGTGCACTGTCCAAGCTACCACCAATCCACCCATGGTGCGCACTGCTCGCCTCTCCGCAGATGTGGAAACGACTGTCCGCCGCTGGGCGTGTGAGATAAGGGTACAAGTTGGAGAATTTGCCAGGCCCAAATAGTGCAAAGGCACCCGAAGTGAAGGGGTCGTGCGACCAACTCCAAGCGTGGTGTGATATGTAAGCGTCGCCGATAATCTGGCGAACCTCATCAAGAGTAGTCAGACCATGGTAGGAAATGGGACCCTGTTGTTGGAAATTCTTCAGGTGTACCCGTGCCAAATTATCTAAGATCAGGTCACGAAGTTCGTCATCGTGGCACGCGATCAGATTGCCAATGCGTGTCGCATCCTGAGCCCATGTATAGCTACAAATCAGTGTGGCCGACTGATCTTGCGGATCGCGGATATTATAAGATGGATACACGCAAGTACGAAGAGGTGTATCCGTGGATGCCTCGCCGCCGCTTGTGATGCCGCACTTCGTTATCCACCATGGATAAGAGAACTTCATGGCTACCTTTGCACTATCATCGTAGTCTAAGCTTCTGATTGCGCATTTTTGACTAGGATGCAAGTCGAGACCAGTCAAATCCATTCGTTGCAGACACGGAAGACTAGTTGTGTTGAAAACGGTAGTATAGTCCTGGCGGCTTCCTTCGGGTTCCCCGGCGACCGAAACAGTGATTTCGTTGGTGTTTGGGTTCTGATTGTATTTTCGCACCCGTTTTCCATGCTGGACGGGTTGCTTAATAGTCTTCTCCATGGCCCGGGTCAAAAGTGAAGAACCCCCGTCGATGCAGTACCACTTTATGGTGTCTTCTCTAGGTCCCGCAAAGTCAAAAGAGTCCATGACTGACTCTGAGAATGCTTGATCGAAGAGGCCACTTGCTGTGTTATTGGTCTCCAGCCACTGGATACTGAAAAAGTCTAGGTATTTGAAAGGCATCACTCCATTCTTGACGGGGGGCGGATTTTTGAGAAATTCGCGAGTGGTATAGCTATCATATTGCATCAAAAGCTTGAATCCTTCTTCAAAGTCCGCAGCCATCGCCTTTCTAAAAGGCTCATAGGCACTATCGAGCAGTTTGTTCACGTCATCGACATTCTTGTCAGGCACTGAACCTCCGTTTGCCTCACCAACACGAAACGGATCAGACCCACGCGGCTCGCCATCAATAAGTGTTATATCGTTATACATGGTGGGACATTTGACGGAACCGCTCTCTTGGTTAAAGTAATAAGGGATCAGCGGAAGATTCAGCTGCTTGAGAAGCTTGAAACTTGACTTCATGATGTCGATATCAGGAAATCGCATGGCGCCGACATCGTAGTAGTCGTGTGGGACATCGGAGAAGTAATGAGTATATAGTCGTCCTCCAGTTCTGTCTGAGGCTTCAAGGATATCATATTCCAGACCGGAAATTTTCAGGCTGTCCAGAATCATAGCAATGAACAGGCCAGCAATACCGGCACCGACGATACACACTCTGTGCTTGAAAGTCAAGTCATCAGAATTCTTAGCAGAGACTCTTTCATACTCCTGCACAACATCTTTCGGGAGATCGAATGGGCTTGAAGGGGCTGTGTGAACAAGGTCGCGTAGATGAGGAGCCGAGAAGGAAATACATTCAGGTTGTGAAGTCGTTGGTGAGTAATTCTGTTTCCGCGGACTGTGGTCAGTCGCTTTCGCCAGGTTAGTCATCGTATGGAAGATATTCTCTCTGATAAGCCTCGACGCCCATCTTGAGCGAAAGCCATATTCATCCATGCGTGTAGCTGGCGTTTCCATGTTTGTAGGAGTGCAAAGGCGTGACTTAGAAGAAGCGGGAAGGGAAAGATATCTCTATCTCGTAAATTATGAATACATAAAAGCCCTGGACAATTTTATTCATCTCGCCTTCGAGTACATTAGATATTATCGCATATGAAATAAGTGCCGATTAGTCAAGCGACGGACCGCGGCCAAACAGAAGCCCCGTCATAACTGATCAGTAAGACTTAGGTTCGGAGTTATCTGACTTTACGTCTCCGACGTAAGATCTGATTGGATCTGACGCAAGAGTCTTGATTTAGATACTAGAAAGTCAGACCCCCACATGAATCAGCAGAGATGACTATGTAGATGTAGTCATCGTCGCCGAGACTAATCAGAACCTACTCTCCGGTCATATCATAGTCGGATATTGGTCTATCCTTTTGAGTCGCATCGACGGCATTTCACAAAATAAAACGATAAAGAACAGCGTGACGAGAAGAGACAATACCACTTCAGACAAGAATGCCCGAGATGCAACGCAGCATCCTTGCTGCGAGAGCGGCAAAGAGCGTCAATGGACACGCCGAGACACACGGTGTCAACGGGGATACAGAGGCCAAAGGCACCAACGGACATTTTCGGACCAACGGCAACTCCAGCGGTGCAGTGACGCTCGAACTGGACGCCGCCATAGTCGGGGGCGGGTTCGCAGGCGTGTACTTGATGCATCGACTGCGACAGGAAGGGTTTAATGTGAAGCTTGTCGAAGCCGGGTCGGGCTTGGGGGGGATCTGGCATTGGAACAAGTAAGTTACTCGACGTTTACCAAACCGCGCCGCTAAAGGCTCGATCGGCGCACATTTGCCTGACAGTGTGTTTCCAGTTACCCCGGCGCACGGGTCGTAAGTTGACGTTCTTCCCTGATTTTGTCGGTGCGCTGGAGAAAGAGAGCGTGGCGATTCGTAGGCTGACGTACGGCCCTCGTGTCCATCAGGACAGTAAATACCCCGTCTACGCCCTTGATATCCCGGAGATCTACGAGACGTGGGAGTGGAGTGAGCAGTATCCTAGTGCACCGGAGTTGCAGCGATATTTTCACCACGTCGACAAGATTCTGGATATTAGCAAAGACACACTATACAACACGCGGGTTCACACGGCACGGTGGGATGACGAGACGCATAAATGGCAGGTCTCTTGTGATAATGGAACGGAGATCACCGCGCGCTTTCTGCATGGCTGTCTCGGATTTGCCAGCAAACGCCATTTCCCCGACTGGCCCGGGCTCGACACTTTCGGCGGACGTATGTGCCATTCTTCATTCTGGCCGGCTGAAGGGATCAATGTGCGTGGGAAGAAGGTGGGAGTGATCGGAACCGGAGCGACTGGGGTTCAAATCGCGCAGACCACGGCGCGCGATGCTGAGCAACTTACCGTATTTGTCCGCACGCCCAACACCTGCATGCCAATGAGACAGCAAGCGCTGACGCGCGAGACGATCGATAACGATAGGGCAGGGCTCAAGCAGTTACTGGGAACGGATCGCTATAGAAATTCTAGCGGATTCTTGTATCCCGACTCTGAGAAGAATTTGGTCGACGATTCCCCGGAGGAGATCGAGCGTACACTTCAAAACGCGTGGCAAGTTGGCGGCTTTGCCGTCCTTTTTGTCTACAAGGACCTGCTCCTCAACCCGGAGGCGAATCGAGTCATATACGATTTCTGGGCGCGCAACACCCGCAAGCGGATCTCCGATCCAGTCAAGAGAGATATCCTCGCCCCTCTGGAACCACTGCATCCATTCGCCGGAAAGCGGGTGAGTCTGGAGCAGGATTACTATGAACAGATGGACAAGCCCAATGTGAAACTCGTGGATTTGAAACAGGTCGACATCACCCGAGTCGTGCCGCAAGGCATTGTCACATCCGACGGTGTGACGCATGAGCTGGACATGATTGCCATAGCCACGGGGTTCGACAGTCTGACTGGCAGCTTCACTCAGATTGACATCCGCGGCATCGACAACCAGAGCCTGTCCGAGACCTGGAACACGCAGCGAGGAGCGCTGACGTATCTGGGCATGGCGGTGCACGGCTTTCCAAATTTCTTCTTCACCAATGCAAGTGGTATGTGCGAGTGCGTGGGCGCTACACTTGACTGACGTGTTGTATGCACAGGGACCACACTCACCTACGTTCTATAACAACGGGCCATCGCTCGTGCAGCCTCAAGGTGAATGGATTGTTGACATGATGACATCCATGCGAGCAAATGGCCAAACCAAGATCAACGCGCAGCTTCAGGCGCAAGAGGATTGGAAGAAGCTCACGAATGAGCTACATTCGGTCTCGTTGAGGCACAAAGTCGATAGTTGGTATACTGGTGAGTGCTCCTCCATACCCGGCCGAAAACGAGCACCGTTCAAGTCAACTTATTTTACGAGCAGGCGCGAATATTCCCGGAAAACCACGTCAGGTGCTGAGCTACGACGGTGGGTTGCCGCGATACCTTGAGACCATTCGACGGAAAGCCACAAATGGATACAACGGATTCGACCTCTCATGATGCAGCCCTCTTTCGCTTTGAAGACGTGAGCTAGACACAGTTAGCGCATAGATGTCTTGGAACAATAATAAGCGGGCAGCAAGGCAGGGTTAGCATTCGTCAATTGGTTGAGTTTTTATTTGATGAACAAAATGCAACGACAAGGAACATGCAGCGGTGTAGAGCTTCGCCGACCAGAATACATTCCATCTGTACCTACTTGTCTTCATAGTAGGTCCATGCGTGTTCGTTCTGATGATGAATTCATGATGGCTTATAGGTTACGAGAAATATAGCAAGGTCACACGTCCCGTTGCCTATGTCACAATACAACTGCGCACTCTTCGTTCAGCCGCGTGATAGTGGCATGCAGCACCCTCCGTCCCAACAGACCTGGCTTCAAGTTGATTGGAATCACGACTTGTATCTCTGCAACGGCCTCGAAATCTGACCATCGTCTAGTCTAGGGCTACACAGCGAGACACTCGTAGGACATGGGCTATGCATAGATGGATCGGAGAATTGCTGAAAGACAATGTGTGTTTTGTCTCAAGACAGGGTGAAGACATTAGACGAAACCAACTTGTTGAAGAAGCTAATACTCCGCATAAAGCCCGAGTAAACACGATATGACCAGATCTCATTACAAACCCTGAGCTGGACTAGATCGAAAAATGTAACTTTGTATTAAGTCGTGGATGTCATAAGATGTCCGGCGAGAGAGGGTCCATGCGATGCGACATCTCGGCTTGAACAGCTGGACTAATAGCCATTATTTAGAGTGCTTCGAGAAAGAAGAAGATAGTGGCAAGCCACGAGATGAGCCATTGCAGAGATGATATGTACACTTGGTCACAGTACTGTGGCTACCTGCTTTGCTATCAGCCACGTCACGATGCCAGTCGGACAAAAGCCGCTGTATTCGACTAGTACCGAACTGTCTCCCTTGGCTTACTGGTATGTACTTGACCGCACCATCTTCCTGGCCACGGTAAAGCGCCAAGCCAGCGATGATCAGGCCCAGTTTCGTCAGGCGTTGCGGGAACTGTGAATTTCCAACGCCATCAACAAGCTTGGACCAATTGAATGAGCGTGCTAGAGTCCAGGCGGCCGGATAACTGCATAAGCATAATAGTAGCAAGAGCGGTATTTGAGCGGTCATGCCGCCAGACACCCTGGAAATTGGCTATAAGCGCCATTATGAGCCCCCACAAGTGCGGTTGCTGTAGGCGATGTCAGCAACTTAACTGGAATCGCTTGCGCGGCAAAGTTACCTCTTTTCGAATCAAGTTCTTTATTCTGTGTAGATCAGGTGCCGTTAGGCAAAGTTTTCTCGGTGAGGTGAGTGTTGCGCTTGCAAGGGAAGCGAGATGAGCCTCGAGGGCGCTACGCGCGGTCTTGCTCTCTAAAATCAGCATACTCTCTGCTGTTCTCATTGCTTCCTCATAAAACCCGCGCTGTTCTCTATAAGGCCACTGTTTTGCTGTCTTGGAGAGTTCCGCGAGGATTCCTGGCAGTCGCCTTGTACGACTGAGTTGCTGCTCATAAGCAAGCGGCGAAGACTCGCGGAATGCCTCGCAATAATAGGTCATTACTAATGCATCAAAATCACTGAACCCAGCAGACTCAATCTGCTTCATGATACTCTGGACACGTTCATCTAGCACCATTTCTTCTGGTGATGGCGTGGGAAGACTGACAGTCTGCTCTGGCCGGCAGTTCTGAAGCGCGAAAAGCGCTCCGTTGATGTAGTTGCCTGACGATGTTTCTGATGCTGTAGTCGCCGTGGTATCTCCGACTTCAAGTCCCCAGAGGTTGTTTGAGCCATGAAAACCCATTCCGCCAGTTTCTTCTGTCGCAAAGAATGGCTCGACTTGTTTATCTGCTCTTGGAGCCACTAAGTTGTTAGCTAAATGCCGACATTCATGTTTTGACTTGGGAAAGTACAACCGGATGATGTATCCCTAGACGAAACAAACACTGTCTCGCTTAAACCATTATGTGCGTCGCCAGGTTCGCTTGGCGGCTGGTCCTCAAGTCGAACACAGTCAAATATGTCTTGATCGACTGAATGTGGAGTGCATGAATCTTGTTGAGCCGTAGAGAAGTTTTCGCGGTTTGATGATGATTTTGCATTGTTTTGAAGTTGCCCAGTTTGTTCATTCCGCTCAGATGCCCCGGCTTCATGTTCACGAAGCTGTTTTTGGAGCTCCTCTATGCGTGCCTTCATACGAAGACCTACAGAATCAGCGACTAGTACAATATAGCCCGCGGCTGTAGTTCCTTACGGTGATTTCTTTGCGCGACTCGGTTTTGTATACGCTTTTTCTCCGCGGGGTCACTTACTGTGCTCCAGTCTTCCTCAGGATTGGCGTCAACATAGCCGCTCGAACGGTTCAACGCCTTTGGAGGCACTCTGTGGCTAGCGTCGTTTCTCTTGGGCATTTTATCTAGTCACGCAGGGAAGACTGGCTTGGAAAAGAATTGACACTAAGAAGCTCTATTTGTAACGAAGCGCAAAACTGTCTTGAGCTTATGTCTACAGCAATCTCCACCTTTGTAATGTCGGCGCCGGGGAGGCTAGAGCGCTTTTATATTAGCATCTGCGAGCGGGAACTAGCCGAAAGAGCGTATTGCCGCATATCGGCGCTATAGCTAGACCTTATTGGTTGCAGCCGCCCACAGGCTCATTCTTGTGTGCAGCAGGGCCTCAACCTTTGACGCCTAGTCTCGCGATGTACAGCCCCGACGTCTGGATCTTACGCCAAGACCTCAATCTTCCCTAGGGCGCTTATTCCCCGAGGTCAAAGCCACACCTATTTTTCCGCGTACGGCAACGCCCGAGCAGTGTAAATACCGTCTGGTTGGCGTCATATTTCGGCTAGCTAGCTAGGCCCCTACATATAGTGAGGGGCCAATTCAATACATGGACCCTCGTGCAAGTTCCGGTAGCCCGTGCAACACTCATGACGACAATCATCGACTAACCGCTGCCAAAAATTCACTCTTGATTGGTCTTACATGCCTTAGCGTCATTGTAATCACTAGTCTTGAACAATATGCGGTGCGACAGAAGCAACATGATTCAACTCTACCATGGTTCTCTGGGTCTCAATCCAAAGAAGTGCCAGCGGCTCAGCTGACCTAAGACGCAGCCCCAGCCGAAGGTGTCCGAATTCAATGGCACCTCGATAGGCACACAAGCTAATTGATATCCACACCACCCCCTTCCCCTCGGAGCATTCCGAACTAGTGCTAGTGCAACCAGACTCTCCCGGGGCGTTCCCCGTGTGGGGCAAAAGATATCAATACTATCAGCTGCTCTCCGGATTTCCTACTGCGGAAGGCAGAGATCTGCTGTGTGACGGTAACTCCACTTTTATGGTGCGGGCTTTAGCCGGCGATGAATGACATAATTCCCGGCGAATTAGTGCGGGGAAAAGTTTCCAGTGCTGTTGATGTAGCAATGCTAAGACCGTAATGGTGAAGAAAGGTGCGCTACTAAAGATCCTGGGCATTTTCATCCGTCGGATCAACGGATGGCTTAGGGTTGTCTTGGGGTGAGGGTGGGTTGTATCTGTTTATCTGGGCTAGAGTGCTTTGGACGCTCGTTGAGTTGCCTTAGGCAAGGGACTTAACGGCTAGATCTCCAGCCTAAAGGGTTATACTATATACCTGCAATTGAACTTTATGAGTATATACTATATATTAAACGGGTTTAACCCTCCTCTACTTATGTAGCTTGTAGGAGAACGTCGTCTAGTCAATGTAGACTAGCGGGCACGGTCGGTCAGCTGTTAAGCCCGACGGCGTTGTTGGACAGGTAGGCGGGTTTGTATCCCTGCTTTCCAGTTAGCCTGAACGGAGCTCGGAGGACACAGTTGACAGGCACATGAACTACATATGTATGATGAACCTTCCGTGGGCGTGTGGTTATAGAGACTCTGACGATCGAATAGCGCCTTAAGGAGCAAGCCTCTAACCGAAGTAACCCGTGAGACAGCAACATAGCTAATAGCAGCCTGGAAGTCGCGTGTATTGAGGACAGTAGCAAGTGGAGCAACTCGGAGAATTAGGCCATGCACGTCAATTTTCAATGTCCATCCTTGACCAAAAATAAATAACAAAATATCTCCACATCAGTGTACGTTAAAACCTGGATGAGACAGCGTTGCAACTATGGTTATTAACAGGTTACTGGCACAGTCTTTGACATCTACACCACCCTTGCTAGTAGTTAATACATTGACAGGCCCCTGGTACTATACGGGCGTCCTTGTACGGGAGTCGAAGTTCAGCGATGAATTTGCGAGCCAATACAATAGACCCCTGACGATCCTGATGAATACCCATGCTCTAGAATTAGGTGAAGAAGAAAACAGGCCGGCGTTCGAGGCCGTCAACATTCACTCCTAACTAACATGAATTTTGGGGTTTTGGTCCTACAAGCATCCAGAGCAATCATCCTGTCCGTGTTGACACAACTTCGGTCTGAGATGTAATGGTTAATATGTAGCTCCACGACTAGTCTCTGCAGAGCGGCCGCGAGAAAGGAAGAGGCTCTGGGTAAGAGCCCATCGAGAACGACTTCGTTTGCGCAAACTGCAACAACTTCGGGAACAGTATGCGGGGAACAACTTCGTCAGAGTCACTGACTCGTCAATGCCAGCTAGTGGCCTGACATCAAGTTAGATATCGGCAAACCATGGTTATCTACGCAACAGCCCGTTTGTCTCAGCAGTATCCCCTTAAGGAATCCAGTCTCCGCTACCTTGGAAATCGAATCTTCGCCAGCGACTGCCGCAGAATTGGCGCCAACGGCGTCTACGGAGACACATGTCGCATATGATATCATGTTACACGGAAAAGGCCCAACAGGTCGTGAAGCCCAACAAAGGGGCTTCGCCGATACAGGACCTGTTGGTTACACAGCTAGAACACGTGCCCGGGCAAGGACCCTAGGCCCGGGCGTTCCTTTTATGTATATAAGGCGGTCACCCTTCTCTTCCTTTCTTGTAGCAACTCAGGACCTTTGACATCCTACGAGATTATTATTGAATTGAGCCCTTTTGCTCCAAGCCTTTATATTGAACCCTTGTCACATATCACGACCAGATCGTAAAAGCAAACGAAATTGGACTCTATGACAATAGAAGAAGACCCTGCGGTCTTGCGACGAGAGCAAACACACCTCCTAGTACAGAGCTACCGAGCCAGACGACATGAATCGTACTTTCAACCCAACGAATAGACGAATTATTTTTCCAACACTACTGTGGATGCTGACGAAAATCGAGAGGATGGGACGCGAGATATCCCTGATCTGTCGCAGCTCGCTCTAGAAGATCATGCGGCGCACAGCTCCTTGTACAGCGCCTGTGCTCCGGGGCCAGATAAGTCATGTTGGCCTACTCCCGACCTGGGTAGCCTTCCGCCTAGCTCCCGCTCGACTTCCGACGACGATTCACTCTTGCCCCTTCCAGATGACGGCAACACACAACAGCCTACGCTCGACGGTTCTTCGCCGCCCGATAACAGTATTTATCAGACCCGGTGCTTGGTATTTACAAGCAAGAAGGTCTTCCTGCAGCTGCTCGCCTTACACCCAACTTCATCGATTCTTATAATGCCGCATGTCATAAAATTTGTAAGGAGTTCTTCAGGCTGAATTGCAATTGTAAGCGGTGTGTTCAGTGCGACACCGTTTTAACTGTTCGAACTAATAGGCGTTGCGTCTCAGGCTGTGCCATATCGGATGTCGACGAGCCGGAGGAGGTTCATACACTCTAGCAGAGAGTGCGGTTTCTGCAGTCACTCTTGCCGGGACTCAATACGGTATTTAGAGACACTAGCTCTTACGATCCTAGCAAGTCATTTCATCAATGCAGCGATTTTCTGGGCGACTGGTCAAATAAGCCACTATCCTTCCGCAAGACGCAAGTTGAGCTACTTCACACCCTCCTGGAAATCTCGCACCGGTGGGATGTCGACAGTATATGGATTGGAGCCAAGACGCTCGGAGCTCTCAAGTCACCGAACGACACGACTTTTTACTCTGCTTTCTCCCCTCTGCCGCGCTTAATCACTCCACTAATGAAGTGGTCCAACCATATGGACTGAGCATTGCGAAGACAATATTCGAATATTCATTTCGGCACTGTCGACGTTTTTTATTTCCGTTTTGCCGTGTTCTTCCTGTCTCCCAACACTGATAAATGACCAAAGTCGCAAACTTCAGCCTCAAAAAATGCTCTCTCGCTTCAACGGCAAAAAGGCTTTTACGACGAAATTATTATCCTAGCAGTATGTGAGACAATGCTTGACCCATTTCGACAGGAAATACCACAATCATATAATATGTTGTATGTAAAGTCGCGCTCCTACCAGGAGAAGCTTGGCAATATTCACTGGAAGCCAGACGATTAGAGTCGAGCCTCCGGTATTCTATGCTAACAGAGTATTTGGCTAGATTCTGGAGCTCAGCCATTGACAAAGCAGATTTGCTCTGCATTTCGGCTGCTAGTGGCGCCGAGGTTGCGTATTTCCAGTACCCGCAGCTGTCACTCCAATCCCATGGCGTGACAAACAGAATTTGCGGCTTGAATCTACAGGACACTTTAACGGGTTTCATGGAAAACGTGTTGAAGGCTTTTGTTCCAGAACAGAACAGCTAGACTTGCGACCCCGTTGGATTGATATTGTATGTAGGGATCACGTCACTACCCAAGGGCTAACAAATTTCCAGCCGGACCTTGTACTCTGGTTTGGAAGAACTATTGTAACTACTAACTGCACGAACGACTCTCCGCTATTACTCCCGGCAGCCCTAGGGATTATGATATTGAGCATATATTAAAAGTTTCTGTCTAACTTGTCCTCGTATACTATCCAGCTCAACCTTTGCGTTACCTTCTAATATACTCGTTGAGTAGTAAACACGACTGGATATGGAAGTCCAAGTAGACTGTAGGAGACAAACAATTGAACCGGAGAGCTAAAATAGTGGAGCACTAAGGTCTTGGGCTTGACGAAGTTATAAAGTTAGGTGGTACCTAGAATAGGCTTTCTACACGCGTTAGTCGCTCTAGACTTTTACGGCTTAAGAGGCTTAACGTGTCTAAACCACCATCACCCTCTGCCTTCACACGACTCATTCAGCCTAGGGTAGTACCAAAACAGCTACAAGAGGCATGCCTAAATGTGTTTGTGTTGCCTGCGAACCCGACTATCGACGACCCGCCAAAAATCCTATGGAAGAACCGTCATTTTCTCCAGGAGGATTCACTTGCACGGAAGGGTGCAAAAGGAAGGAAGATCTCGATTAGGTGGCATGGGTTATTCCTTATTGAATTAAATTACCAGAATCACCCAATTTGCAATGTCTGGTACTACAGTCAGTGCGACATAAAGGGGAAGCTGAGTTTTTCTCAGTACAGGCCACCTCGTATGCAGCAGACCGCAAGCACCGGTCTCTTAGTCAGACTTGACACTTAGCAAGCTCACGTCAGCTATGTCATTGACACAAGAAGCCATCCATCTCGGCTCGGGGGGACCAATTGATATCTACCCGATACGTACACTTGATATATGTACATGTCTATATATTCGATGTCCCCATCACAGCTTTCCCAGCAATCCAGGATACAACCGAGCTAGAAATTAGCGATAGAGCTGGCTGCATGGAAGAATCATGCCTTCTCATGTTTACGACGTCATTGTAGTAGGCGGCGGCGCGATCGGGCTTGGAGCTGCATATGAGGTAGCCAAAGCAGGCAAATCTATTCTGGTACTCGAGCAGAGCTGTCTCTTCAACGCGAGTGGAAGCTCCAATGACCTAGCCAGAATGTATCGCACAATGTAAGTCAAAGGAAACGCTCTACAGGCTTTCGCTCAAACAGGACATACAGGTATACTGAACCGTTCATGGCGGAGCTTGCTTACAAGTCCATGGGCATTTGGAACGAGCTAGAAATGGACGCTGGTACATCTCTGCGCGTAATGTCAGGGCTCCTGAATTTCGGAGACGCTACAATGGGAGCAGACACCCCAGAAGGTTCTCATTCAAGATTTTCTGCATGTTTATAAAAGATACTAAATATGTCTTAGGAACACTCATGGGGCCTATAGCTAATCTGGAGAAGCTGGGTATGCCGTTCCGCAGGAGTACGTGTCTTACTTGTATATACAATTCTTCTGAGCTTACAAGACATTAGTGACGAAAAAAGAAATGGAAAACGAGTACCCATTCAAGAAACTCCCAGAAGCGTGGGAAGGCATCTTCGCTCCAGATAATGGCGTGATCAATGTCCCACTCCTGGTTCGAACTCTGGCACGGCTGGCCAAAGACTATGGCGCTCACACTAAGCAATATACCGAAGTCAAAAAGCTCGTCCCTGTTAAGGACAACGGCGAAGATACGTGGAGGGTCGAAACCCGTGTCAACGGCGACGAGGCTGTGTTATTCAGGGCTCGAAAGATTATTATAGCGGCGGGTGCATATACAAATCACGTCGTGCAGCCTAGCTTCAATTTCAAGCTGAAGCTCAATATCTGGGAGATGGTGGCATCGTATTTTTCGGTCAATGCTGGTCCTAGTGGAACGCTTTTTCCAAGTACGTCATGGTAAACATTGATTGCGAAGCTGCTAATCGTTACCAGGTATGTGGTTCCAGTTCGCGAACGACAAGCATGGCAGGTCACGGCTGTTCTACGGGTTTCCAACAGTCGAATGGGGTCCTCCCAACGTGTGTCGAATCGCGGTAGATGCGGCAACAAGACAGATTACAGACCCCAGTCTACGGTGCGGTAGCGTCGTGAACCCCGAGGATATACACGATACACAGCAATTCATCAAAGAGCACCTGGTGGGCGTAGATCACATGACACCTGCGTACACCTTATCGTGTCTGCAGACGAATACGTTCGGTCCGTACATTTCTCTCTCCAGGGCAGTCGAAAGCTGACAACTCGAGTCAGACAACATGTTCGTACTAGACTATATTCCGGAACAGTATCTCCAAGGCGGTGCAAGAGATAGTGTGGCAGTGTTCACCGCCGGCTGGGCTATGAAGTTCGTGCCGCTGATCGGGCGAGCCCTGAAGGACATGGTGCTGAATGGACACTCTGAGTATGCGTTGGACGAGTTCAAGATCGATCGTCTGGATCCCAAGAGCAAAGGAAAATATGGCAAACCCCAAGCGGGCATCATTGACGAAGTGGATGCCGATTTTGCCAATAGCTGGGAGCATCTCTAGTAGCAATTATATATGCATCGTAGTGCGAGCTGAGTGCGTATTTACCACTAGACATTGAGGCTACAATGGCAAAAGACGACAAGTTCTTGCCAGACACAGCTGTTGCCGCGTGCAGAGTCTTGTTCCTCGCGCGGACACCTTGCACAATTGAAATTTGCCAAGAGATATTTCCACTGCCTACATTACTACATACAGTGTAAGACTATGAGATGTAAATCAGTCAGAGCTATTCCGTACAAGGTCAGTAAGTGATGACGCAGCGCCATGATAAAACGACGCCACAAGTAATCCGGGCTGTGATGACTACATTTAGTCAGCTTTTCAGTTGTACATGGAGATCTGACTGTATCCGATGCAAGGATAGAAGGAGTCTATTACTAAGCATCTGAGCACATATGACTTCAAAAGTAACAAATTGACATCTTGGAAGTCATTAACCTTTGCGAAGCACTGATTTCTTCGCGCATCAAAGCCGCACCATAAAAGCTGTGCAGAATCAAGTCAACGTGCTCGACTAGATACGAAAATGACAAAGTTCAAGCAAAGCAACACGGCCAAATATCTGACCTCAATCTACTCTGTATCTACACCGACAGAATGTGCCAGTATTTACGACAGCTGGTCCGAATCATATGACGTTGATGTCGTTCAAGGGAACGTGGAATATGTCGCGCCAAGGGCGACCGCACTTCGCGCCAAGACTGAAGGTGGCAACATGACTGGAAGCATACTGGACGCTGGCTGTGGTACAGGACTCGTCGGAGTCGCCTTGGCACAGTACGGGGCCAAGAATATCGACGGCATTGACTTATCTTCGGGAATGCTAAACGAGGCCCGCAAGACCGGCGTCTATCGCGACCTGTCCATTGTTGATATGAGCAAACAAATCGACAAAGCAGATGAGTCCTATGACGTAATCACATGCTGTGGCACTTTTACTCCAGGACACGTCGGCCCTGATCCAGGAATCAAAGAACTTGTGCGTCTCGCGAAGAAGGGTGGCGTGATAGTTGCAACCATCACAGACGTCATTTTCGATACCGGAGGATACCGTGCCGAGATTGAGAGACTAGCTAGTGATGGATTGATAACAATCGTAGCGACGGCGAAAGAGCCTTATCGTGTTGGGTCCAACACGTTGGCTCATATGGTGGTGTTGCGCCGGAGTAACTTGGCGATTGGCCATTGAGAATTTGAGTTCACCGTTGATGGCTGCTGGGCTATAATAAGGAATGATGCTTGTATCAGTCTCCAAGGTATTTTGACCCTTCCAATGTATGATGCATGAGCCTCGTGGAGGTCTGCCGTGCCGCAGCGTCCTCAACCTTGATCCGTACGATATTAATCTCACTTGCGTACTATTTATGACTCTTGAGTCTGATCAATAACAGTCTCAAGTGGCTATATTACTTTGCAACGGTACGTCAACATCCATATTTATGAGGTATTTACCCAGCGTGGCCAATTTGATTTGTTTCCATTACATGCTGTCCAACCATATATGAACCTCGGTAGTCTGTGTGTTTCGCAGCTCCATCGTCGCATGGGTCTGACTTCTTTTCACACCCGGCCGTGGCACACAGGTGTTTGACACCTTTGTCATCACCTCCGCAGACGAAACATTCAGCTGGCTCAGTGCACCTTCCAAAATGGACGCAGCAGTTTTGCATAGCTTTAGATTTGACAAGTTCTATTTGGTCTCTGGGGTTCAAGCACACACAATGAGCTCATGCCTTCGCGCGCCCGTCATCTTCCACCTGGACAGCCTCCAAATTGTTAGGTGTTGTTTCTCCCTCTCCGGATTTTGAGCGAGGGCCGTCGAACTTGACTTCAGTCCATTTAGCCGCGCAGATGAAGAGACTAGCGCACATCGTCACCACACCCGCCCATATCTGAGCCTTGAGAAAGCCTCCATCGTCGCTTTGGATCAAAGCACCCGCTAACGGCGGTCCTGCTAGTGACGCGAATGCTATAAGGCTATCCACCATGCCGAAACGAACACCTAGCTTGCTCAAGTCCGCGGTCAATGATGCGAGCCCGCTGACGAACACTGTTGGAGGTATACATCGTTAGTCAATCTTCAAGGTACGATCGGCAGGGCTTGGCTATGAGATGTAATCTGACAATAGGACACGCCAAAGGTAAAGGTAAATAGAAGGGATGTATACTGACTTCCTTGAACTGCGCCGGTGGCAACTCCGTAAAAAACAGAATACACGTAAAGACTGCTGACGCTGCGCACGGCAATCCAGACAAACAGCATTATAGCGAGGAATATCGTCGACACGATCAAGGTGAGCAGTGAGCCAAAGTATCTATCGGCAAGGAATCCAAGTATCGGTCGTACTGGGATGCCGATAGCACTGATGATGACGAGCAGGTTCGCAGCTTCCACCGCAGAGAGGCCTACGCGCAGGGTCGCGTATGTGTTTATGAAGAAGAAGCAAAAATACACGGCTGTAAATATCAGGACTACGCCGATCGTGAAGAGGACGTATGTAGGCTCCGTGAATGCCTTCCATTCGACGAGTGGCCCCGCCTTGCGCGGTGGAAGACGTGGCCGAAAGACAAGGATGACGACGACTGCGAACGCTAGAGCAATATAGCCTTGGACGCGGACTGCGCTAGGAAACCCAATAGTCGCCTGGAGATGTTGAATGACCAAAGAGAACAGTATGCTGCCTGTGCCGCTCCCAGACGCGGCCAATCCTATGGCAAATGCTTTCCTTTTGTTCCAGTACGAGCCGACTACAGCCATTGATGGCACATAGCAGGCACCCATACCGAGGCCGGTACAGAGGCCTTGTGCGAGGAATATCTGCCAGTACTCGGTCGCCAAGCTTGTCATGAAGGTTCCGAGCACGATTAACGAACAGCCCGCCACGGCTGCGTGCTGAGCGTAGCCTGCATCGGCAGCGCGGCCGGCGAATGTTCCTAAAAAGAAGGTGAGAAAAACTTGTAGGGATCCAATCCAGGCAACTTGCGACTCGGGCAATGACAATGTGGTCGTATAATGAAGTTGATAAACGCCAAATGAAGCGGAATATCCCCATGACAAAGCATTGATGAGATGACTTGCGAGGATCTGGAGCCAGGCCTGAACGCCGCCATCAGGAGGGGGGCCGGGCTCTTCCTGGACCAAGGGAAAAATGTTGAATGGCATGGCGCGGATTCTTCTGTCATGATAAGGAGAAAAGATGTGAGACGGGAGAGAAAAAGTGAGAAGGGGGAGACATCTGTCTGTGTCGATGCGATCATCAAAACAGCACCAGACAGTAATCAAACACACGGCAGGCGTGCATGCAAGTAGTACACTAGCCCGAGTTTGGAAGAGACCCAGCTCCACCAGCCAACTTGGCTGTGGCTGTGCCTCTAGTCAGGGAATTGAATACAACGGCAAAGGTATTGATTGTTTTTGAAGGTCTTTTTAATTGAAGCTATTCGCGCTGCTTTGTTGGTGGCGCATGGTGATTCCACTGACAAGTACGCCCCAGAGACTCAGGGTCAGCCGGAGGGATTGGCAAACCTGGCCTAGGGCTATAATTGTATGTACGGAGTATGTGTTGCATATGACTAATACAGGGATAGTCTCAGGCGACAGATACATGGGCATCCGGACAAATGTTGCGGTCTGAGTCATGTCACGCAAGAGCCATCTTGCCTTCCGAATCGGTCCCAACCATTGGTGGTGGGCGGACCGTGGAGTTGCTGTGAAGCAGGGTGTCTTATTTGCCAGGGCTGTGGGAGCTAACATTGCCGCGATCGGAAGGCCCTTGGCAGCCCACTGTTACGACCCAGCACGTAGGCTGCAGGTTGGGCCGGCTGCATGGAGCCGCCGGGCGGCAC